GATCAAATAGAAGCCGTATTGGATGACATTCTTAAAAAAGAAAAAGAAAGCATAACATATAATGTTTTTAAAACCTATGTTAGCAGTCTGCTTTCTTCATGTGTCACTTTCTCCAATTTACGAAAGGTTTCATAAATTATCAAATTATATAATCATCACTAGTAACTTCTCTATACAGGCTACTCTCATCTTGCTACTCAGTCAACATCTAGCTTTTCGACTTATCCAAAAAGGAGAAAAAAATTTGAATGATTTGATTCAGTTTACAGCTACCCTATTGCTAGATTATACACGTGATTACCTAGAAAAACTTGGCAATTCTTGGGTGGGCAACCTATAATTAAGTTAAGTTTATGACATATAATCTATTGATATTGCAGCAAGCTACAATTGTTGAGGAAAATGAAAATTATTTGTCAGAACCTGGCTCAGGAAATACAATAAAAAGTCGCAAAAGTTCTACAGGGTTCTTTCCGTTTAATAATGAAGTTGATGAGGTTGACTTAAGCTATACATTGGGCGTTACAAATTCATTTCGAAGTCGAGTAAGAGTCAATTGATTTTTTAAACTTTCTTTTATAGATGGAGGTTTTAATCCTATACGTTTATAGATAAGCAGCGAAAAACAGTCAGAATATGAAGAAGATTCTTTTGATGGTCAAGATACTACATCAAGACGGTGGCGTAAGTGGATATTTTGGACTGGTATTTGCGCGACTGGAGCATTTCTTGCCGGATTATTGATTCATAGGAGAAGATAACTTACGCATACCATATCATATATTTTTTCTAAAGCATTAACTGCTCAACCGTTTAAATGTTTGCGTTATCTGACGTTTCTTACAGTATAGTGTCATATCGAAGAGAATCGTTTTTTAATGAATTTCAGCTCTACGTGCAATAAATACTTTGAAAAAATTTATTTTCTTTACTTTGAACTTGTACAAAATATTGAAACTTCATATTAATGACAATCTCACTAGGCAGGGTTGCACGAATAATTTTTATCAAACACTTTTCGCAAAGCTTTCAAAAAGTGTCATCATAAGCGCCAAAGAGATAATCATCAATACGTAGTATAATATAAAGTTAAGTAATCAGGATACTGGTAATAAAGACTTAGAGCAGCTTTGTTATGTCCTTTTTTATTGACTGTAATCAGAGTAATAGATATAGTTATTAAATGGTTATTTAATTGCTTATACTTACAAAGGGACTAGTCGTTGGCGAATACCTATCAACTGGTTGCCCCATTTTATCAACAAGAAACTTCGAGAAATTCCACTTAATACGACTGCAAAAAAAAGATGTTTAGGGAAATTAATCTAAAGTACTAATTAATATGTTACTATGACATTGCAGAAAACACTTACTCTCCTAAAAATCCACCTTGCTTCATTTTCAAATATTTGTAAAGTGGATCCGCATTGTTTCCATTTACCTCGATTTTAGAGAACATATCAAATTTAACACCATATTTATCTTGGGCAAAAGCTTTTATTTCTTCATTTGTACCAGGTTCCTGACCTCCAAATTGATTACAGGGAAAACCCAAAATACGTAACCCAGAATCTGCTAGCTCTTCGTGCAAAGCTTGCAGTTGTTTGTAGTTTGAATCAGTGAAACCTCATTTAGAGGCTACATTCACTATGAGACAAACTTTATCTCTGAAATAGTTCTCTCAGTTTCAAATGTTTTCAAACAGAAGTTTTTTACTTACTCATATTTTTTTAGAGAAACTTCATTTCCATCTATATCTTTCACGGTGAAGTCGTAAATTGATGACGCTTTCTTCCAGGAATCTGCCTCTGCCTGAAAAACACTTTTTATTTCGTCTACATAATTTATGCCTACAAATTGTAAACCCAATCCCAGAGCTATCAAAATTATGATGTATTTAAAAGTTTTACATAGCAGAAAGTCAAAGAAACCGCTCTGAAACCGATAACTTTTACTATAGACTATATGTTTTGAAATTAAAAATACCTACCATTGTGGAGCGGCTCCGACCGAAAAACAAGCAAGAAAGTGGGACTCTAGCAGAGGTCGCGAAAAACAACACTCTTCGCATTTCCTTCGTTAGGCACGCTTTCGTAAAATATAATTACCAATCTTTTAATGTAAGAAAATTGATTAATTTATGTTCTTACCTTTTTTTAACAAAATATTGAATTTTACGAAAAATAATACTAAAGGCCAAGGTTAAAGGAAGTGAGCAGCTATGGCGTTCGCAAAGCTAACATCTAGATATTCTGCTTTATTAGTTAGACAAACTTTAAACAGTCAGAAGCAATTTATACCAGCTTCTCTCTTGTCTACTTGTAAGTGACTGTCATGATGTATTATCAAGTATATGAGATTTATTTCCCTGCCGCTATTTTTTTCAGTACCAAGTGATCAGAAGAAGTTCGAATATCTTAAAGTAGGTCGATGTGGAGAAGAAAACAAAGTTGCTTTTATTGAACTTTACCGTCCAAAAGCACTCAATGCCCTTTGCAATGGCTTGATGTTGGAATTGAATGAGACTTTTGATTGGATAGATAATGATAACACCATAGGCTGTGCCGTTATAACAGGTAGCGAAAAGGCTTTTGCCGCTGGAGCTGATATTAAAGAAATGCAACCTAAACATTTTTCGGAAGTATATAGAGACAATTTTCTTGAACACTGGAATAGAATCACTCGCCTGCGTAAACCAATTATTGCAGCTGTAAATGGATTTGCATTAGGAGGTGGATGTGAATTAGCTATGATGTGTGACATGATTTACGCCGGAGAAAAAGCACAATTTGGACAGCCAGAAATTATTATTGGAACAATTCCAGGATCTGGTGGAACTCAAAGGCTTCCCCGTCTGGTTGGAAAATCGAAGGCTATGGAAATGGTACTAACTGGCGATCGCATTGGTGCAGAAGAAGCATGCAAATTCGGTTTGGTTAGTAAGGTGGTAGCCCCTGAAAAGTTGGTCGACGAAGCTATTAAAACAGCTGATAGAATATGCCAACATTCTCCATTAATTGTTAAAATGGCAAAGGAGGCGGTCAACGCATCCTTTGAGATGACTTTAGCCGAAGGCGTCCATTTTGAGAAACGCATGTTTCACCAGACTTTCGCTACTGTTTGTATATATTTTATTAGTTCTGCTTAACATAATTTGCCGGTATTTCCAACAGAGTGATAGACGAGAGGGAATGACCGCCTTTGTTGAGAAACGCAAACCGAATTTTTCAAACGAATAGAGGCCTGCAAAAGACTTTAGTTGTTCTGTAAACGAAGCGTCTCGGAATATCAATAAATATTTAGTTTTCTCGACATTTATCGAACGCGAAATAATCCCTTAGTGTTTAGCTGCGAGCTACGGCCCCGGCCGCTTTTTTTATATACTACTTAACCTTTTTTTAACGACACAAAGAGGCAGAAAATAGCACAGGAAAATGGCAAAAAATGTTTTAAAAAAATCAGTCACACGCTTTTACATACACACGCACAATTAAGAAAGAGAATAGAGACAAAATGTTAACAATTAGCAAAAATTTAATCAGTCAGGCTGTAGAGCCTTTTCGTAGCTGACTTTGAGAGGCAACTGTCTACTGCAGTACGACTTAAATGCTGAGTTGGTCGACGGTATTAGGGTTGTAGCTGATAATAAAGGCTCCTTAACCGTCGGTAAAGAAATTTTACTATCCTCATTTTCCTGTTGTTCACAGCACCCATCAGGAGGTTCACGTATTGGTGCTGGCTTGAGAGTCTCAACTTTAGCACTGTCATCGTCCAATTGTATATCACCAAAACTGGACGGTGTCTGCGTCTGCATATTATGGCTGAGTATTTCAATAAGTGGTGGACGACGACCGTCTCGAGGTGGTGTACAACACGCCTGAACGCATTGAGATGATGCGGTAAAGACGAGCGTTTCGATTTCCTGGTTTAATCCTTCCACGCTGCCACGCTGTATTCGAAATTTGGTTGGCGTCGTACAATGCCCGTTAGAAATCGGCTTACAGCAAGAGGGTGGTGTCGACATCATTCTCTTTAATTGATTGATACGAAACGCCTGCTGTAGTTGATCATCAACGCTCCACGAGCGAGTGTGCTGTGAGCGTCTTCTAGAATGATAATGATCCGTCGTCGCCGCCCATTCGTCGGGAGTCTGCAATAGTTGAGACTGCATTACGCGCCACGAATGGGCAACTTGCCAACAATAATTATACCTGCGTACTGACGTCTTCCTTAAATGATGAGTTTATCGAATGAATCGAATCGTTTGTTGTTGGCCACTCACCGTTTAGATACTGCGCAGTAGTAATGTCGGCTGATGCTGCGCGTCGCAACGGCGATGGACTGGTGCTGATCACTGTTTTGGCAACGATCCAACAACCATTATAATTATGTTTACTAATAACAACTACTTTTTATCTAGTTCTGAATACAGCGTGAGAAACGTACTCGTTATTGTTTATATGAAAATGCTTTAAATCACTTCTGTTCAGTGTCAGACAAATAAATAATGTACTCGAGATAAAAAATTATTCCTAACCGCGCCTAGGGCACGCATATAACTCGCCAAACATATTCTTCGTAGTTAGCAGTAAATCAATAACTTCGCATGAAAACATTTGACACACAATCAGTTTGGCACTGTGCCAAATCGGTCGCTATCCGTTAACAAAATAAATCTTACCTCTGAAAATACATGAATCTGGTGATACATTTATCATATTAGTACCAAATTGTCTCGTCGCCCGAAGGGGTCCTTGGCCTTTTGAAGCCGGAGACGAACTTTTCTTCATTCTTGAACTAGAATTTGTTCGATTAAGAAGTCATGTTCCGATAGCTATTTAAGATAAATAAGTGGACGGGATCGAAAGAAATATTCAATTGACTTGTTAGATTTTCATTCTGGTTTGCATAAAAATTATGTAGACTTTTTTCCTCTGCTCGTTCTTTTGGCAACCGGCAATACAGCGCATGCGCAGAATTATCAGAGTAAGTTCGGGCTGAGGTTGCCAATTTCTTCTTTCGATTTGTTCAGAGCAAAACACAACCGCATTCTTAACCAATCATCGATGTACAAGCATCCAAATCACGCTCTACTCTCAATAAGAGCAGACGATCAACATAAAGTTTATTAATATTTCTCTCCATTTGTACAGTAACTTTGATAGCTTTCAACCGCAATGGGACAATATATAGTACAAATATATATTTATGAGCATATTATGTAATTTTTTTAAAATATTATATATGTTAAACTCTGTAACAACTCTTATTGATTCGTATGTCGTCTGCAGTGCACTGCAGTCTGCTTCAACCATAGGTCAAGGCTGCCAATAGTTTCAGCCGCCGAAAGTTGGCATTTTCTGATTGGACAATTAGAAAAATTAAGTTAATACTCGCAATAAAAACTCGGTTGAAATCATTATAGCCATTTCCTCGAATCGTATTTGAAAGCTAATTGGCGAATAGCATAAAGTTTGTATAAATTTAAGCTCATTTTACTGAAATACTTAAAGAGATGTGGCGAACTATTTCATTTGTTGTAAGCGGATTAACAATAAGACTGTGTTACAGGGCTTGGTTTTCAAACACTTTTCTCTAAGCCGGTTCTGTTCACGAAATAACATGAAATTTTGGAAGCTTCTAGGAATATTGCTGTTAATTTCAGCAAGTTGTTTTGCAGAAGATAGTACTGAAGGAACGCCAGAAGCGAAAAATTCTGAAAATACACAAGGTTAAAAAATCTTTTTGTTGAGAATTGTTGAATGTTCAAAATAAAATATTAAAAAGGGTATCTCAGCATATTCCATAGATATTTCGTATATAACATACAACTCTCTTTATACAGTATTAACTGTCTAAGACGTAGAAATCCTGTATACAAACTATAAATTGTTTGTTGCTTTATTTTTCCTATTTATGTTGATTAATTGAACCAACTATTCAATCGCTTGAAATTTTGTAGAGTCTGAGGACAGCAATGACGACGCACCTCAAGTACTCGAGGATAATGATGTTCTTGTGTTAACTAACGATAACTTCGATGAAGTCGTGTTTGATAAGGAAATTATTATGGTTGAGTTTTACGCCCCATGGTTAGTTGAGTTAATTTTTTTATTTATTATCAATAATATTTTATGATTCTAGGTGTGGCCATTGTAAAGCTCTCGCTCCTGCCTATGAAGCAGCAGCTAAACGTTTAAAAAAGAATGATCCTCCAGTTTCATTGGCAAAAGTTGATGCAACTGTAGAGACTTCAGTTGCTGAGCGATATGAAGTACAGGGCTATCCTACTATTAAAGTTTTCAAGAAGGGAATGGCAACTCCAATTGACTTCGATGGACCAAGAGATGAGCAGGGAATCGTTGACTTTATGCGTGAGCGAGCTGATCCCAATTGGAAACCTCCACCGGAAGCTGTTCTTACTTTAACCAAGGACAACTTTACTGAATGGACAACCAGGGAGGAACTTATGCTTGTCATGTTTTATGCTCCTTGGTGCGGGCATTGCAAGCGATTCGCTCCAGAATACGAGAAAGCTGCTCAACAATTGAAAAAATTAGACCCTCCTGTTTATTTGACAAAGGTCGACGCTACCGCTGAGACAGAAATGGCTACATCTTTCAAAGTTACTGGGTATCCCACCCTAAAAATTTTCAGAAAGACTAAAGTTTTTGAATACAACGGCCCAAGAGACACTATGGGTGTAGTTGAGTACATGAAAAAACAAAGAGGTGATGCTTCGAAAGAACAAACCACACTTAAAGCTGTTCAAAATTTAATGAATGTTGACGACATAACAATTGTTGGATTTTTTGAAAATGATAAGAGTAAATTATATGAGAGGTATCAAGAAGCTGCAAATCATGTAAGAGATGGTTATACATTCGGTCATACTTTTGAAAAGAGCATACGAGATCATTACAAAGTGAATGCTGAATCTATCGTTGTCTTCAATGCTGAACGCTTCTACAGTAAATATGAACCCAAGTGGCACATTTTTACAGATTCAGATGCTGAAGTTGAAGACATTAAGGGTTTCTTCTCCGAACATGAAAGACCCTTGGTAGGCGTTTATGACACTAGCAAAGGAAGATACTCAGAAAAAACCCGTCCTCTTATTATTTTCTTTTATACTGTTGACTTTTCATTTGAACATCGTAAAAGTACTCAGTTATGGCGATCAAAGATCTTAGATATTGCGAAAGATTTCAAAGATATCACATTTGCCATTGCAAATGAGGAGGGTAATGAAAACTTGCTCAAGGATTTGGGTCTTGACGATTCCCCTGAGGAAATGAACATTGGTATATTCGGTGAAGGAAATCTTCGTTACCCAATGCCAGCTATGGAGGAGTTTGACTCTGATGATATCAGATCATTCATTCGTGCATTCAAACAAGGTAAACTCAAGCCAAAAATTAAGTCTCAGCCAGTTCCTAAAAAACAAAAAGGACCCGTTAAAGTTGTTGTTGGAAATAGTTTCAAAGATATTGTCATGGATAAATCTAAAGATGTACTCCTCGAGTTATATGCTCCATGGTTTGTTATTTAAGCCAATTAACCCTCTCAATATTGATAATCTAATATTTACACAGGTGTGGTCATTGTAAAGCTTTCGAACCCGAGTATAAGAAGTTTGCCAAGAAGTTTAAGGTATAAGTAAAACTAAGTTTGTTATACTTTGCATTATAAAAATTTTATTTACATTTTATAGAAAGAAAAGAATTTAGTTATCGCAAAAATGGATGCGACTGCAAACGAATCTCCCGAAAGTACTTTCACATCGGAAGGATTTCCAACTATTTATTTTGCTCCGGCTGATAGAAAAGATTCGCCAGTTAAATATGAAGGAAATAGAGACTTGAAAGATTTAGAAGAATTTATTAAGAAACATGCTTCTGTTTCTTTTAAAAAAGATGAGCTGTGATTCCATCATTAGTTCGGAAGTAGAGAATATAAAATTTTTCTCATATATATAGATGGTAGCTTTTAATTCAATTATGTTAAACAGGTCTACTTCCGTATTCGTGGCTGTGACAAAATTGTTTCATTTTGTGACGTTTTTTCTAGTTTTGTTATCTGTGCACAAATCACAATAGACATCAATTATTTGTATGTGATACTTTTGTTTAGTATATAGTAGATTACAGGAGGCGCTAGTATCTTTCGGGACATCGTTTTATTATGATATATTTTCGATCAAGAAAACTCTATAACACTTCCTCTAAAAAGATGTAGCCAATTGTTAGTGAAACTTTGTATAAATCGCCATAAAATATCGCCATGAAAGAACAGGAAGCAAAAAGACTTCCTAGAGTAGCGATATTCGGTACTAGTGCTACCGTAAAATGCCTTGTTCCAAACTTAAAGAATAGTGGATTTAAAGTAGTTGCAATTTGGAACAATAGTTCAGAGAATCTTGAAGCTGTCGCCCGAGAGCTGAATGTACCTAATTGGTCTGTTGAAGAGGGAGCAATAGTTAAACAAAAAGATTTATATGATATCATATTTATAAGTACCTGTCCAACAAGTCAGACAGAAATTGCGTATAATTCCTTAACTGTTGGAAAACATGTCATTTGCAACTTTCCTGTTGGACCTACTCAAGAACATCTCTTGAAATTAGTAAAAGCTCATTCCGAGAAATTGATGGCAATTGTCTGCAATGGATTAAAATACTTACAATGTTTTGTACAAATGAAAAAGCATATCGATGAAGGATACGTTGGAGATATTCGTACTGTAGAAGCTCGTGTACACTGTAAATCTATTTTGAAAGAACGCTATGATTGGACATGCGATGAACGAATGGGTGGTGGTATACTTAATATTTATGGATCACCAGTTATTGATCTAATACGGTATTTAACCAATCTAAAAGCTTCCAAAGTGCATACCGTTCTAAAGACATACACAACCCAGACCAAAACAATTTGCAGTATTCGTCAAGTAACAAGTGATGACTACTGCTCTGCAGTTTTGCAATTGGAAAATGGAGCTATGTTTTCACTTAACTTAAACTCACACTTTCGTAAGGATTACGACCTAGAAGTGTCAGTTTGTGGTTCTCATGGTAGATTAAGTGTCAAAGGAAAGGATCTGGTGGGTGTTAAAAATTGTGAGAGAGAAGAGCATTTGTACGACGATCGTTTGACTCTAAGAGAATCCTCAAATTCACAATCAGAAATTTCTGGCTATCATTTATCTGGAATCACGAGGCAGTTGAATAGCATTAAAGATTCCTTTCAAAATAAGGAAGGAGATGACTTATACGATAGAAAAGTAGAGAAACAAGCCACAACCCTTGCACAAGCACAGTACATTCAAGGAGTTATTGACGCTATGGTAAAATCAAATGAAAGAAGAAGTTGGGTGCGAGTCAGCGAACTAAATGCTTCGGATGTTGACGACGAAAGTATTTTATCTTTAAATTAGACTCTATACAAATTCGATATATATGGAAGCATAGCTAGTCAAGTTAAATTGAAATCAACAGAAAAATAAATTATCTAGTTAATAAGTAGATCACACAGAAATAATTACAACATATAAGATGAAATACAGAAGAGAGATACTTCATCAAATACCTTCATTCCAAAAATAAACGCTATTACTCTTTAATTAGGAAAACCTTTAATCAACGTGCATACAGCATTAAGCTTAAAAGAAGTTTTGGTTTACAAAATACAAATTTTTTATGCCATTACAAAGTATATCATACTCAAGTAAATTATTCAATTTTGATAGTCATTTGGGAAATAAAATTGCGGTTTCTTGCAAAAATTGCTAAGATGTTTGGATGGTCAGCCAACGTAGTTTTCGCCCCAGGAAAAAACTGGTAGTATCTGAATCTTTTAAGAACGCACTAGAGAAGCATGTCTGCGGATGAAAGTGAAGAAAGTTACGGCTATTCGAGCGATGACTCTGATAAAGAGGTTAGTTGTCTCTGAAACTAATTGTAGACTTCAATGTCAAATATGCTTTCTTAATTTTTCCGGTTTTAACCTTAAAGAATATTATAAAATTATATTTTAGTGGGCGATATATGATAGTTTTATTTTATAGGTACTTGTGGCATATGAAAAAGGATTATTAAAGGCAGACAAGTTAAATATAGAACAGGAGAAAAGGGAGTTTATCAATAAAATAGTAAGCACCTATAATTTTCTATATAGATTTTGTGAAAGGAAATTTTAAGATCTAAACTCGTTCTTACGGATAAAAAATTCTTTTTGTTAGGATGGCCTTAAATCGAAAACTGAAGAGTTTAAAAAGAAAGACCTTCCATGGCCTGAGAGATTAGATTTAACAGTAGCTCCAGCTATGGCTCCATCGGCTATTAAAGATCAGATCCTTGACAATCCAGAGGACATCAACGATGATTTCAAAAGAGAGATGTATTTGTAAGTATAGCTATTTTTATACCTTTACACGATTTCATTTTCCTTTGTACCTTTATACAGTCATAGGTTAGCACAGGCTGCTCTTGTCAAAGGTCTACCGCGTTTGAAAGCTTTCAATATACCAACTAAAAGACCAGATGATTATTTAGCTGAAATGGCAAAATCAGATGCTCACATGACCAGAGTTAGAGAGAACCTCATCACCAAGAAACTTTCTTTGGAAAGATCAGAAAAAGCAAAGAAATTGAGAGAGATGAGAAAGTTTGGTAAACAAGTTCAACAGGAAGTCCTTGCTAAAAGGCAGAAAGAGAAAAAAGAAATGATGGATGCTGTAAAAAAATACAGAAAAGGTTTTTGTTATTAACAAATGTTTCTAAAGGTTTTAATTTTTGCGTTTTTTGCCAGGCAAAAAAGAATCTTTAGAATTCTTAGAAGGTGATGAAAAGAAAGGAAAGGATAAGAATAAAAATAAAAATAAAAAGTGAAGTGTTTAATCTTGCTTAATTTGCCTACATTTTTCATTTTGATTGAATCTTTTTAGAACAAATACTAAACGAGACAAGAAAAATGCCAAGTTCGGATTCGGTGGTCAAAAGAAACGTTCCAAGTATAATACTAAAAATAGTGTGGACGCGGTTTATTCTGATTTCAAAACGAAAAAGAATGCGATGACTCCAGGCAAGGCCAAACAAGCTAAACGGCAAGGACAAAAAAGGCCTGGTAAACAACGCCGTCAAAAAGCTCGTGGTAAAAAATAATTGGCAGAAACTATGAAAATTGTTTTGTTATTTAAATGTAAGATATGACTATTACATTTTTTTTTGCTATTAAATCTATCGATAAAATGTTTTTAAGAATCAAAAACAAAAAGTACTTTATTTATATTTCGCCTCAGAAGAATAAAAATCATTAACAAAGCATTCAAACTCAATTGAATGTTCACAAATTACCTTATAACACAATAATTACTCAAAACCATTCTAGCTAAGTTTTTAGATCCGCTATCTAAATAAATTCTTGATAAATTGTAGGCAGTTTCTTTTTTTAAGTTAAAATCCTCAGACTCAACTGATGGACAAGCCAGTGCCTTCTCATACATTTCAACAGCCAAATGCAATAGGCCCATTTGATGCATGGCACGACCCAAATTATAGTAGCTTTCTTGATCAAACTTTCTTTTTTCCTTATATTTTGAGAAAAAGGCCGCAGCCTGCCCAACTAACCAATTCTTTTTCTTTTCGGTTCTAACTGACATTAGGTTTGTTAGCGCAACGCCTATGCATAGACAAACAAATGCATTGTCCTTATCTGATATATAAACCTCCATAAATTCTTTTAAAGCATCCCGATAATTACTTTTTGTTAAAGAATAATGACCAAGTAACATTTTTAAAGGCTTTGAATCTGGAGATTTTGCTTGAAGTCTAGATAGAAAGCGTGCATGCCTTCCATCTAAATCGTACATGCATAATTGACCATAAAAGTTCCATACTTGTGGAAGTTGGGGCATTGTGGTGCAGTACTCTCTAAGAATTCTAAAAATTAGGTCAGTTGTTTTAGTTTTTAAGCAAGTCATAACCAAAATTAAATCGACTTGCTCAGCTTTAGATCTATCAGTCACAAACGGTGGATAGAGTATACCTAATTGAGATATTCTTAAGAGACCCTTATTGTCTTTTAGCTTAAGATAGGCTTGGCACATTTTTGTATATAAATCATACATATTCTCAACTGGTATATGTTTAAAATATTCTAAAGTACGTCTCAAAGAATCCTTTTCAATACTATTAAAAATATTTCTTATAACTTCTAGCCGATGTTTAGCACCCCGCTGACAATGCACTTCATTTAAAAACTTCCGTTTCTTATAGCAAACTTCGAATTTCGAATAAAAAAGTTTGTCCGCCAATTCGACAAAGTTAGTATATTTTTCTTGAGCATACAACATTAGTCCCCTTTGTAATAGTATTCTAGCGTCTTCTTGATCATGTTCTAGACATTTTAGTGCTTCTTTATGCCGTCCAAGTTGATTGTATAAGGCAGACATAGTTAATAAAACATCAGCGTCTGATTTTAATTTTAAAGACTTTTCGTAGGCGTCTAAGGCCTCATTTGCTTTACTTGTGGCTTGTAAACAGCGGCCGTATTTGGACCAAAGAGTTGACTCTGTTTTTATGTGATCCAGTAGATGTTTTAATATTTTAGCAGCTTTTTCGTAAAATCCCGAAGTGATTAGGGCATCAATAATTTGCATCTTTTCTGTTTCATGTCCGTAAGGACGACTTAGAATAGGTTCAACAATTTCCTAAACTCAGAATTTCATTAGATAAAGCTTACTGAAAAAATCATTGAAAATAAACCTCAATTGCCCTAGATGGTTTAGCCGTATTCTGTAACAAACAGACTAATACTTTAGCTCGAATTTCTATGGGAATTTCATCCGGAATATTAATTCTGTATGTAAAGTTTTTAAGAGAAATAACAGATATAAATTAAAAACTAACGCAATAATTTCACTTGTATTTTCGTCTTTCTTGATATCAACACCTTTGAAATTGCTAATTATCTGTTCAATACAATGATAATTATTAATAATTTATATATAATTACTGAAAAAGCACTTACTTCAATACCTAAATTAAAGTTTTGTTTTCTTAGGCAAATTTCAAGGGCTTGATTCATGTCTAAAAATTTAATTATCATTATTATAATTATATTTTATAGTCAATTAATATTTAATAGTTAACACACCTTTTTCAGTAACTTTTGATGGAAATTCTGCAAAAGCCGCTCGAAATGTTTTCATAGCGTTTTCCAGTTTTTCAGTTTTTAAATATGCCTGAAGATTATAAGAATCTTTATTTGATTTTGAATAGAGAAATTCAACTGAAAATTTACTTCGAGAAGAGCAATATAAACATTCCACTTTTCGTCATCATCTTTAACGTGTTTTAGCATAGTAGAAAGAGTTAAAGCAGCTTGATAATATTGACCGTTTTCCAATAAAAGTGATGCTAGAAACCAATTTAATTCCATATTATCTTTATCTAAGGCAGCAGCTGTAAAAGTAGAAATAAAAAAAACTTAATAATTTTCTTTAATTATCTATAACTAACCTTTTCGAAAACAAAATAGAGCCTGACTAGTATTCTCCAATTTTAAACCCATTCGTCCCAGTTTTTGCCATTCTTCTGGTTCTTTGAAGGGAGTCAGAACAGCATTTATCAAACCACACTGCAAGCATTTTTCCAGATCTCCTTTCTCTTCGTATATATATTGTAGAGTTCCGTACGGTTCGTTCGCAGTCGGTTCTAAAAGTTTCAAATACTTGTTTTGGCCATTAGTTAATGAGACACCAAAGTCAAACTAACCTTGTTTAATGATTTCTGTGCATATCTTTATCGCTTCGTCGTATTGGTTTGATGCGCATTTTAAATTTGCTTGTCCCATTAAGCCTTGAAGAGCTGGAGGTAATTTAGATCTCTCTAAACGTCCAAATCTTTTCTGTTCAAATTATTTTTTTTATGAAAACAAAACAACTATCTTATTTAAAAAATCATATGAACAAACGTACAATTGGTGTCTGAACCTTTTCTGATTTCTTTTTATCAAGTTTTTTCCTTTTCGAAGCAGGTTCATCTGCTAACTCTGATTTGGCTTCATCGTCGCTACTATCCAATTTAGCTGGGTGTAGGTAATCATTAAATTCCTCAAAAGATATTTTTCCCATTAGATATTGCTGAAGGATATTTTCATCAACACCCTGAATTTTAGTATTTCGACCTATTTCAGTGTCTTCACGAGATTGCGCAGATGTGGACGGGCATTCCTCTCCAAGTAATTCGGCGATCAAAGCACTTTCATCATCTGTTGTTGCTTTTGAGCCACTCTATATTTATTTTACAAAATATAGATATTATCGCTCAATTGATTGAACAAAAAAAAGTAAAAATATGTTTTACCAGATAGATTTGTCGAATCAGAGATGTTTCATGGTTTCCTTCGTCATCTTCACTAAACTGACTTTGCAAGCTTTGAAAAAGTTTCTCTTTTTCATCATTATTACCACTCATCCTAAACTGACTTGGTGGACAGCGTGCAGTGTGTAATATTCGAACGGGTTTCGACGTGCACGAGTTTTGGATTGCTAGTCTTGCGTTCCTCGAAATTGTCTCTATTCACTGTTTTCTCACATAAATATCAAAATTTTAGATGGCTGATGATTTGGTTGATGATTTTATATGTACGTATATTTTTGATCTAAACTATTTGTAACTCTCATTAAGTAATTATCTTCTAAAGTGAATGATGTACCAAGCGATACTGAAGAGCCTAAGCGAAAAAAACGTAAGAAGAAAAGAATTTCTGAGGAACCTAAGATAGTTATAGAAGACAATGAAGACCCAAAAGAAGATTTTCTTGACAAACTTGACGATTTCTTCAAACATAATTTATCAAGCATTGAGAGAGAAGCAATGAATTTTGGGGAAGGAAGCTTTTTAACTAGCAATATAAATCATAAAACATTATCAGATTATTTAAAAGAAATAATGACTGACTGGGATAAATTAATTAATGATAAAACCAAATCCAAGAAAGGATCACCATTTATTATTGTTCTAGCTTCTTCTGCCCTGCGAGCAGTCGATTTAAACAGGTCAGAAACTATTTTTCATTGACGCTAGTTGTTATTTTTTTCTCTTTTTAGGGAAGCCAATGACTTTAAGACAAAAAAATGTAAAACGGCTAAACTCTTTGCTAAACATATGAAGGTACTAATTTTTGCATAATAAATTTTATAAATAGTGCATATTACTTATAAATAATTAATATAATCTAATTGTGTAGCTAAAAGATCAATCTCAATTCTTGGAAAAAAATGATATCCACTTTGCAGTTGGTACTCCGAATAGGGTTTCTAGTTTATTGGAATTAGGTAAGAATAGTCTCTTTCATTTATAAATGTCTTGATTTTCGTTGTTTCCTTGTAGGTAGCTTACAAACGGGACAGTTGAAAGCTATAGTAATAGATTGGTATTGGAAAGATTTAAAACAAAGGAAAATTGTTAATATTCCAGAAACGCGTAAAGACTTATTTGTATTGTTTCAGAAACATTTTTCTTCTTGCCTTGGAACAGATCAATTAGACACAAAAATAGCCCTATTTTAACAAATCTATTTTAAAATAAAATTGTTTCATTTTATGAAGAAAATAACAAAATAAATTAATACGATCTGGAAAAAATATCTGCATTGTCATCTTTCTATGCTTGGGTAAAATTTCAAAAGTAACAAAACCAGAAAACAATTTTTGTTTCATTTTAAAATACTAAACTATTACTTTTTCAAGCGCTGTACTGTTCAATAGACATTCGCAATCACATCCTGTTGGACATTTAAAGCGGGTCTTGAACCAATCTTCAATGTGTTGTGAGTGACCGCCATGTCCACATCTGAAAAAAAGAATACATTATGTATTTATAAATTATATTTATAATTATTCATTACTCTATGCAGTATGATGCCAATCCTCGAACATCCAATTGACATATTGAGCATGTCAATAGCCTCTTTAGACATTTCGGTTCCTTGTGTTTTATAGATCGAGTTGTCTCTCCGCAAAATGGACACCGATAATTAAATTCTGGAAAACGTAAGATGAATTAAAAAAGTTCGTCTAAGAGAATTTAAGAACATTTTTATCTTACCAAACATATAAGTTGAAGGTATATTTTTTAAAGATTTTAAAATCACTGCTCGCTGGCGAAGCAACTCCCATCGATATAATACTTCTGCGTAAGTTAACTTAATAGCGTCGTATAATTTATTGTCTCCATCTAGTACTCTAAAAACAAAATTTTTTAGCATTACTCTAAATAACATACTTCTTATAATATATACCCTGGAACAGTCACTTTGACTCTATCATTTTCTGGAATAGGCTTTTCACTTATCGTTGTTTTTCCTTCATTTTCAGGCCATGAAAATTCTTCTAGACTATTAGATCGTTTTACTCGAGAAAGATCTATTTATAATATTGAACATGATGTCAAGATTTAGGTTTAATTTAAATCAGGCAGCTAAATGAAGCAAACTAAACTAAGACACTTACTATGATTCCACCCTTTGAGTGAAGTATCAGATAAATCTATAGTATGGTAGGGATTGTACTGTAATTATCAAGAAGCAATAAGATTAAGCAGAAGCATATAGTATCAACCGTCAACTAAAAAAAGCTAAATAGCATGTTGGAAGGATAAATAGCTAATGTTAATAAGAAGCACGTCTACAGTATGACTAATACGAGTATATTCACTGTTTTTTTTCTACTTAACAGTTAATACAGTAAAGTCAGGAAGTCTACATAAACGACACTATAAAATAAGCATAACGATAATAATAAAAGTAGTACTAGTAGTAATATCTTTTAATTATCATGCGAAGTATATACTAAAATTAGAATGCATTTAAAAGCTTTAAGGTAAAAAAAATTCAAGAAAACTCACTAAGACTTAGGTGTTGTTCAGGGGTATCAACCTAAGACAATACACAATGTTTCTAAACATAACTCATGCCTAATTAGGTAAAAAAGAAGGTCTTGTATGCAAAATCGGGGAAAATGCTGCTTACTGGTGTTGATTTTTGAACTTTATGGATATTACGCGGTCTTACTCTGTTTACTTTGTTCTGATAATTAAATCGAAATAGTTACTCTCCGGTAAATTTATACAACATTGACCGATTTGACAATTAAATAAGGATTATAAGACGAGATGTTTCTGTTTAATGTTAATATGAAAAAAACTTACCGTCGATTGTGAGCAGTCATCTTGAAATGTGGTTTGAGGTGGTGAAACTGGTGATAATGCTGCAGATATCATAGCAACTGTTTGTATATCACCCAATTTTAAATAGTGCTCCAAACTGAAAAATGCGTTGAATAAGTCTTCAAAAATTCTATTTAAAAAAGAATTATAACCCTACAGCGATTTTATCATTGACACACCCATAGGATGGTCAGACCATCGTGAGTAATCACCCCCTTTATCAAGGGCAAATGAAGTATCCACTGCAACACCCAAAACCGACCACGCTTGAAATAAATCTCTCCTTCCAACATTTGCAGCGGCTTGAGCATTATGTGAACAAGTTCTTGGCAGATTATATCTATCTAAAATGTACTGTTCTGCTAGCTGTCTATTAACAGATAGTGCTGATACCATGTTGTAAATAACAACAGTCTGCGTTTTCTTAAATCCGTCAATTGTTTTTTTATGAGAAGAGCCCTCCGTTGTAAGACGTGATTTGGTTCTCATTCGAGATGTCGACTAGAGAATAAAAAAAGTAAAATACAAAAAGACTCTTTTTGTATACAAATACTATACCATAATCCAAGGGTCATTTTGATATAAATTGAAAATACGATCTGGCGAAGTACTTCGACCGAAATATGAAGACGAACTTGAAGATGCAAGATCAGGGTAATGAAATTGTTCTAAACAGCGAGGAGTCTTCTCGTCGCCCCGTCTAATTGATGGATGAGTAAAACAAACAAGTAAACCCACGGAAGAAAACCTTGCTCCACAGTGTCTTGGATATGGCACCCTGCTATCTTCTTGAACACCAGGATAATATCTATTAAAGTATGTAGGAAACATTGATCCATTCTCAATGATTTGCTCATCCTATTAAAAACGAAATAGAAGAATAGGAAGTTTTTCGTTTATAATTTATCACTTACTGGAAGACTCTCAATAGCTTTTTCTAATCTTCTAACGCACGATTCTAAACATAGTCCATTATTTCTAACACGCTGCTCTGCCGTTTGAACCAATATTTCTGACACTTGTCGCTTTGAAGCAGCGTTTAAATTTGTATCTTCCATAAATTCAAAGGTTGGAGTAACATTCGATACATATTTATCAGGAAACGTTATTTTGACAGTGGCTAATTTCCGTCGAATAGATACAACGACAGTACAAGTCACATTTTCCTGATCCATCTAAAATTACAAATTAAGCAATAAAGAATATAAATAAAGGATTATTATTCTGAAAAATTTACATACACTTTGTACACAGACGTGCTCTAAATTATCAAAATTTGCCAATTCAAATTCCTGAAGTGACGTAGTTGGAGATACGGTATTTCCTGCTATTTGGTTATCTGAATTTACCCCATTACTTATTGATGACAAGGTTGTTGCAACTTTTGGCGAGAAACACTCTGTCGGCTTCTCTTCCACCTCTGGAAAGGGTTCACCGCAAGTTTTTTGAAGTGAATTATCTATTTCTAGAATATGTAACTTTTGATCTTTGGACCATGTTAATAATTCTGTACGTTGTTCTATAGGAATAGAATTTCAAATTATAATTTTAGTTATCCGAATAATTAAATAAACTAGCCTAATTTTCTCCATTGAAAATTAAAAATTACATCTTTATGGCCTGTAAATGTATGAAGAGGGCTTTGAGTATCTTTTAAATTCCATAATATTAGTGAATTTTCTCTCCGTAATTGTGACACAACTACAGATAAAATCCCTTCGCCGAAAGGCTACAAAAGGAATCATTTTCATTAAAAAGATTAATAAAATTCTTTAATTACTGTATAGCGGGCTTTCCAAACAGGATGAACACACTGAATACGCATCTTGGGTTGCCTCGATTGGTCAATATCCCATATCTAACAAAAGTAAAATTATTGATTTCTCTGCATGCAAATGTTATACTCTATATAGAAACCTTTATGGAGGCATCTTGTGATGACGTAGCCAGATGTTTCTTACTTGTATAGCTCCAGTCAAGACCATGTATTTTACTAAGATGGGCGGTAATGTAATGCACTGGTGTATTTCCTTTCTATTATTTGTATTAAAGAACTTAATGAAATAAAACATTGAAGAGCACAATATTACTCTTATATCCCAAATTCTTATGTCACCATCGTGGGTTGTTGCTAAAATATCATTTGACACTTTGTTCCATTGTACTTGAGAAGCTCCGGCTGTTTACAGAAAAATAAACTCTTAAAAGTCCAAGATTGATTGAACTATGAACCGAAAACCGACCAAAGGCTTGCAAGCTCTTCACAGGCTTGTTTGTCCTAAGATCCCAGAGGAAAGTAGAAGCATCTGAGGAGCAGGTTGCAATCCGATTAGGGTTTTCAGGTGACCAAGCTAGGTCATTTATTGTTCTCGTATGGCCTTTAAGAGTTTGACGAACTCTACAACTGTTCAATTCACATATTTCAGCCTTCTGGACAGTCTGGTGAAATTTGGTTAGGTTATTGAAATCTTGATTGAAGTATTAATAAAAAAAAGTACTTACAGCAATCGCACAAACTTGAGATTCAAACGGGCTGCAGTGTAAAGCACTAACATCACATTTTGAATTGCGGACAAATTTTTGCACTATTTCTGTTTTCTCCAAATCAACTACGGCTATACTTTTTCGCCTGTAAAGGGAGTATTTAGCAGAAATAGAATAATGAAACATTGTATTTTAAATGCTATACCCCGCTAATATAACAGAGTTTTTGTTACAGTCTATTCCTAGTGCGGTTGCTTGCAAATCCTTAAATTCCACACTATTAGTATAGCTGACGTGCATTGTTATATAGCTTTATTATCGCTCAATACACATTTAATTCTGAAATCTACTTGTCCAAGACTAAATCACTGGGGGAATATATGATGAAATTTTCTACGGGAGTATATGACGAAAAATATAAACCAGATTAAACATAATGGGGCAGTTGTACAAAAAAATACAAATAGATCTATAATCTGGGTTCCGATTCGTCCTTCGAGAATACTTTTAAATATATTTTCTACAAATATGAAATATATTATTTTAAATTTAAAAAATTAATAGGTTTTTTTCCGTTTGTATACAAAATTCTAAACTTTTACGAATATATACCGGAAGTAGACTGCAGCTAGTGACTTATCAGATAAGAAACAAAGCGGTAATTTTATAGTTTTCGAGCTTTTACAGCAGAATATCTGTGTTCTTTTGTTTTTATCTGGTAACTTAAATCTTTTTCTACCTTTAATGTATGGTGAGAAATCATGACACCATCTGTTAATGTTCATTTAAACGGAGCTTGTATTTATGAGTGACACTCAATAATTTTATATCTAGATAAGCATAAAAATAATACTATACAAACAGGAAGCTCTAAATTTTATTTCAAATTTACAGAATTTATGTAAAAAATGGCCCAAAGTGCTTCGGCAAGAGCCGATGAGGGTTTGTAGATACATATTTTTTCTTTGTTTACCATAACCTGTAGTAATGAAACTTTAGACGATATATGGAGCGATAAAGTCGTCGAACCTGAATTAGAATTTGACGAATCTGGAATCGAACTAGCTGCAATCGACGGTATAAAAATGTTGTAAAAAAAGCATGCTTTATCGGTGTTGTCTGCAGATGTGACGGAATCTTCCTTATCCGCTGTAATAGAACGCGAAATTGGTATTTGGTTCTTTAATTTTCTTTTCTTAATTTGTGTCTTTCGTTCACCAGTTGACATTCCTTTACATGTACAATAACTATTTTAGCTCTATGTCAGGAGGAGAGCGAAGATCCACATCTAAGAGCTGGAGCTATAACTCCAGATGGATTAATCGACGAAGACTTCGAACAAGAATTAGGTTCACCTGATCATATAGAGAATGAAGAAGACGGTGAATTTAAAGATATATCGAAATATGGTATAGTTCAGTTAGCAGGTGATGATAATTTTGGGCGAAAAATTGTTGTGATAAGTGCATGTAAATTGCCGCCAAGATCGGTGCTCGATCACGCAAAATTGCTTAGTTTCTTGAAAAAGACGCTTGATCAGTATGTTGAGAATGATTACAGCATCGTTTATTTTCATTTCGGCTTTAATCGAGAAAATAAACCATCCTTTGCGTGGCTTCGTCAGGCCTATAAAGAATTCGACAGAAGGTTTGACAGGCTTACTTAAATCAATATACAGTTTATTAAAACTAATCAACCAAAAACAGATATAAGAAGAATCTCAAAGCGCTCTATGTTGTCCATCCAAGTAGGGTCATAAGATTTTTATGGAAACTATTTCAACCTATAATTAGTGCTAAGTTCGGTAAAAAAGTCATACATGTTGAATATCTTCATGATTTGGCTCAGTACGTTCAACTCTCTCAACTTCTCATTCCTAAAGCCGTTCAAGAACATGACGCAAAATTACTAGAGAAGTATAAGCCAGTAATAAAGCCTATGCCCATCATACAGGCTCCAAAGTTTACTCAACAGTTTGGCGTCACTTTGCAATAGTAAATATTTTAAATATGAATCATTTCTGAATATTTTTAGAAAATTATTATTGTAACAAAACTAATATTTCTCGTATTTACTTTTAGCATGAAAGAACGAAATCAGAACAACGTAATACCTATAGTAGTTAGCTCGACAACTGAATACCTTTTAAATGAAGGTTTAAGTTGTCAGGGAATATTTAGGAGATCTGCTAATGTTCAATCGCTGACCGCCGTCCAAAAGCAAATTGACAATGGAGAAAAAATCGATTACGGTTCATTCAACGATCCCAATTTGGCAGCTGCCGTTTTAAAATGCTTTTGTCGGCAGTTACCAAAACCCTTACTGACATTTGATCTGTACGATTACATCTTACAAATCCAATGTAAGTCCCCATTTTTTTCAATAATCAATTACTAACTTTGAAACGTTTTCAGCTTCTTTTCCAGATGATAACAAGCTTCCTGAAGTTCGCCGAGTTTTGTGCGATGAATTACCTGACGATAATTACGAAGTTTTAAAGTATATAATTAGGTTTTTAGCTAAGGTTGCTGCTAACTCCGAGGTCAATGCCATGAATAGTCACAATTTAGGCATTGTCTTTGGACCTAATTTGCTCTGGCATTGTACAACGCAACCGAACCCCGTCTCCATACAATATATCAATTCATTTACAGCCTATTTGATAGCTAATTATGAGGAATTGTTTACAAAATAGGTTGAAATTTAATTCTTTGAATATGATATTTTATTAATGTTACATTTCATATTTATCAAATATACAATCGTAATGGGTAAATAGCTTTTCGATTTTGCTACGACATTCACATATAGTACACTACAAACGCAAATGGAATTTTAAAAATTAGGAGTGTCCATGTTTGTAGGAGGGTAATACAGAATCTTCATCCATTGCCGCTTTTAAAGCTTCGTCGGGTAATTTTTCGGGACTAGCCATTATGGATGATGACGTAGACAAGCGTCTAAGTCGTGATAGGATTGCTGAAAATTATATATACCTATAGAATCGAAATTTTATCTTATGAATCAGAAAATTACCAGGACGGAGTGATATAAGAGAGCAATGCTGTTCAACCCAACTGAGAACGGATTGATGAAAATTGAGCAAAGTAACTGAACGATTGTAAGATTCAAAGATAGGGCGAACAAACATAGCAAAGATCCAAAATTTCCAATTTTGAAATGTTCGAGCACGAACGAAATCATCAAACATACGTTCGACTCTCATCGGGTTGCTTTCTTGAGGAGAGCTACTAACACCACCTTCTGGCAATTGCATTTGATATGAACTAAAAACAAGATATCAAATGTTGAAACTTAATTTGAAACAATTGAAAAGCTTACTTAATTTCATTTGACAATTGTTGAGCCTCCAAACGTAATGCATCGGCTTCTTTTTGCAATTTGCGATGTTCTCTTCTTATTTGATAGCAGTAGTCCAAGGCTAAGGAAAAAAAAACTATAAGATTATTTAGAAATATAACAATTTTTTTCTATAAGAACTGTATGTAATGTATAAAATATATTTTAATATAAGCTATAAAAAATGGAAAATTTTTTTATTAATAGCTGTAAATGGAAATCATTATTAAAGATTTATATTCTGTCTTTAAATGTTCGTGTATAGATATCAAAATAAGGCTTTAATGGTTGTGCAAGGCATTTTTCAATATTTAAGAATGCAATTCAATTTGTTCTTTTACCGACAAAACACTTTCATTTCATTTTTTTTTTCATCATACACAGACGATGCACAAATCTTACTTTTATTAAGCATGCCAGCCTTGCTCTCTTTTGTGCCCTGCGCCGCAGACTCGCTCAAAGCCGGCACCAACTTAGAGAGATCATCAAAGCCTCTCTGTAACATAAAGTTAGCTTTAGTAAAAACATATTGCTTCTGGAATTCGTAAATCTAAAAAAGGCAAAAAAGTATTTAGTATGAAAAGATTTTTTTCAAGCATTTAATCTTTTCGAACCTAAAACTTTTAAAAGTAGTTAGAGAAAAAAATCCTTTTTTTATATTACCTGCCAGTTTCTGGCTAGACCTACCTGTATTTTAAATCGCCGACGATGTTCGGCATTGATGTGAGATTCGCGTTTATGTCGCGGAATCTTCTGTTTTCCATTATCTGATTTTTTCTTCTTAGTTTGCCTAGGACTGCTAGCTCGCGATTCGGCTTCGCTTTGAGATGGTGTTAAGGAAGGGGGGTAATAAGGAGTTGATGGTTCGCAAGTTGGTGCACACTCTAAGTCTAAAGACTGTTCAAGAAAATATTCTCTTAATTTCAAGTTTTACAAAAGTAATCAATTATGAATAAAAATAAACTTTCTAGGTCGCCAGGTCAGATATCACAAGTGAAATCACGTGAACATTGAATTTCATTTGACCTTCGTTCTGATTGGTTAAAATTTGGCATGCATTTAGAACGAATGGTCACGTGGGTTAAAAGCTATAAAAGCGATCGCGCACCATGGGCTCCTTTCTATATCACTTCGCCCATCTAGCAAATTCAAGAGGTTCCGTTATATGTAATTTCTCTAAAGCTTCAATAAGCTTTCCAATTAACGAATGTGAATGTTTAAAAAAAGTTTAAAAAGATAGACAAGCAATTGCAGATATTGTATGATATTTTTTTCAGAATTTCTATAAGTTACATACCATACAGCGGAATACGTCGTCGAATGGAGATTGTATTTCTCCAAATTCTTCGAGATTCAACGGTAAAAGATCAACGGGAAAATCTTCAGTTTTCATCGTTTCGTTCATAAAGTTAAACGTGGCTTCGCTAACGTCACCGTCTAGGATCTATTCGTAGAATGATTGACCTTTGTAAAGAGTCTTTAGTTGACCCACTTTCCTAATCGCAACTGCTGGCGTGGTATTCAGTAGTCTTCGTAATTTTTTTAGACGCGAAATATGTCTTGAAAAATTAATTCCTATATTATGGACAAGACTAAATAATAATAATAGCTATTGTAACAAAAATTACGTTATTTCTGAAAGCGGAAGTGCATGCTGCCATAGAAACTAAGATGGCGACAAAATCGATGTATTACGATATTTACTACAAATAGTACGGGTATATTTAAAGTAACAATTAAAAGAACAAGTTTTTTTAAAACAATTCAATTATCAATGTCAAAGACTTTATTAAACATTTATAATTCAACAAGAAACGTCCTAAATTATCGTTTAACAAACAAACGAGCTAATTCTAAGGCATTTGATTTTAACTGTTTGGCTGACAATTTCACATTCTTCTCTTCGGCCTCCTCATCAGCTATCTGCATCCAATAGTCTTTTGTTCTCCCAAAGTACTCAGATAACTCCTCGTCATTTTTTAGTGGCGGGGGTGAGTCTTCCATCTCTTCATCTTTAATATAAAATTATTAAAACACAATCATGTGTAAATAGTACGCTACCTTCATCTGATTCATTTTCTTCACTGTCTTCATCCTTATCCTCGTCAGAATCATCCCATTGCTATAATACAATAGTCAGCAGTGATATCGTCGAGTTTTTGTCAAGTAAAAAACAAACCTCAGCCTCTTGTGTTGGAGCAACAAGAACTCTCCAGCTATCAAACTTTTGGGTATTAATAGAATACAGATCATTGCAAGTAACTTGCACGTCGCCTTTCTCATAAATTCCACCGTATAAGTATAAGATATTTCCATGAACGGCTAGTGAGGTGTTCATACGGGGATGAGGCTGAAACTTCTCTGTAATATCTGTAGGAATACTATCATCGATCTCCATTGCGTCGCTCTTTTCTATAGTGAGAGTAAACACTCCATCTTCTACAACTGTAGTTTCTGGTGCTTCAGAGGACTCCATTAAGTCGTCAGCTTTTTCAGAAACCTTCTTTTCTTCTACTTTTTCTTGTAGGAAAACTTGGTACCATTTCGTTCTATCTAAATCTAGAGAATACATATCGTTTAAAAATAGTCCTTCTACGTCCTCATCGTCCTCCTCATCAATAACTCCACCAAAGAGAAAAGCTCGATTCTGAGCAGTTGAAATCATTGAAAAACCAGATCGAGGATTTGGTTTACTTCCTGAATGCTTTATTTGGGACCATTTCCATTTCACATCGGCTCCAGTTTCGTTATCTAGATCCGTAAAATGTTTTAATTCAGTAATTAAAAAAAATGTATATAAAATGTTTATTACTTTGAGATGAGAGCAAAAACATATCTGATAGAATTGTGCCTCTATCTATGTCTTTTTTCACATTTACTTTGCTATATCCACCATAGACAATGATAGATTGTTGATTTGGATGAAGAACTAGTTGGCATCCTGATCGTGGGGACGGGGGTATGCCACATGTGTCTATCTTGGTCCAAGTGTAGTTATCGACGTTGAACATATGCAGATCGTTGAAATATTTATAGTCACTTAAAAAAAAAATCAATGTTCTTAGTTTGTATTTTAAAAAAAATATTTTCAATATTTACCGGCCGTTATCATGAAATCCACCGAAAACAAAAATATTACGTTTGCATAAAATCATTCTATGACCACTTCTGGATGATGGCGCCTTAGGCGCACTGAAGAAAATTTATTTAAAATATGATGGTTGAGACTATATTATCATACTCTATTTTTTGCCACTTTCTTTCTTTTATTTGAAACATCCATAAGTCCCGATAGTGGTAAAATTGAGATTGAGTAGGACTTGTAAATTCACCTCCAAAAATCCATAGTTCACCTCCTCCTCTTTTCAGACAGATAGCCTATTACAATTATTTTACTTAATTGGAATTACTTATATTTATTTTTACTTGGTGTGAACTTCGTGGAGGTGGAGCGTTAGGAGCTTTAACTTTTGTCCATGTATTATTTTTTGAGCAATAAAAATACAGTTCGTTGTAAACATTAATCTATAATTTAAAAATCGATGAACTGGGTGATTCTATTTAGAAAATTGCATACTTTCGATCCAGTCAGATGTTCTCCTCCAAACAAAAGAATCAAGTGTTTTTCTTCAAACGATGTCCAAGAACAATGAGCTCTTTTAACAGATAAGTTCGTTAAAAATAACTTTTTTCAACAAAATTCAAATACCTTGGGCTTGGAGGTTCACATTTCTCAGTTATAACTTGTTCTCGCTTTCTATCAGCTTCTGCTAATTCCGCTATAATCAATTCAATGTCTTCCTTTAAAATACTAAATTAGTATTCTAACCATACTGACAAAGTATAACTTACCTCGCCTTGTTCTTTTAAATTTTTTTTGTTTCTTTTTTCGGCCTTCTTTTCAGTTTTTGCAGCTGTCTTTTCCGCTCCTTTACCTTTTTTATCTTTGCGTTTAGATTTTCCCATCTTCTCTCAGTTCAAACCGATGACTCATGCAAATATCAAAAAACAATTAAGAGACAGCGAATTTCGGAGAAAGTCCTCAACACACACGTGACAAACGAGCGCTATTAGCGCTGAAATACTACCCATGTGGCTACTTAGTTTTTGTAAAATACAGGTTACAAATAGCGGTGGGGAATACTGACTTCCGGTTCAATTTTACTTCATTAAAATGAAAAAAATTAAGCTTAATAATATTTTTGAAAAATTTTAAATAATATTTTATAATAAAAAATTTATGGGTAATAATTTTTTTCGCCCCGTTCCTTATCGACGATGCCCGGATGTACGGTACACGATATGGAGAGAATTTTATAAGAAATATTTGCAGTTTTGTCACTTATTAAGCGACTGAATTCATTGTCAAATTCTAGCGAATAAATGATGGTTCGAAAGTATGAGAAAGAACGTGTGTGTGAATGGTTTAAAACACTGGAAGCACCCGAAAGAATCGAATTAATGTGCAGTCTTATTCAACATTGCCATCCTTTGGAGGTTCGTTTCTTCGGAACTTGTATTGAAGATATGGCTCGGAAAGATTTTCTTTCCCTACGTGCTGATGAGACGAACGCTAACAAGTTAGACGTTGTCAACAAACTAAATGACATAAATGATCAACATGTCAGATCTCAATTGATACTATATTTGTCCTTAATGCATACTACCAATTCCAAGTGTGCAAACGTCTTCTACGAAACTTTAAACTCCATAGACTTGTCGGCTTACGCCGATATGCCTTCTAAGTGCACTGAAGGTGAAGTGCACGAAGACAATAAGAAACACCTTCAAGACGTAATAATGGCTTATACTTTGGCAGGAAATCATCCTGCCATATCCGTAGGTCAGCGACAGGTCATGAAAGGACGAATGGAGGCTTTGGATCGCATCTTGAAAAAATGTTGTACAGGAAAACGAATGAACGATAGGAATTCCGCAAAATCACCAGTAGAACCTATACGTAAGCAGTAATTAATAAGAACTCAATATACTATAACGTGTTACGATTTGCAGGTTGGGTTAATCGTGTCGAAGTGACAAAATTTGATCAAAGTCGACGTATTTTCTACTTGAATGTCTCATGGTCAGACGGATCTCAAAAAGAAATAATCAAATCACATGCGGATATGCATCAATTACAAACGGAGGTAAGAGAATTAAAGAGATAACTATCCTTAATAAGTAATTTAAATCTGTTGCAGTTAATTATACGTTATCCGGTAGAAAGTTCTGATCTTCTATTGGAAGTAGGACCATCTGCTTCTGAAATGGATGTTGTTACCGATGTACTTCGAAATCTGCATAAACTACCTTTCCACATACTCAGTCACAAAATCATCGCACAGAGATTCGATTCGAGTTACACGGAAAATGTTCGAAGTCCCAGAAAACAAAACTCTAAAAGTGACTTTTTGAATGTTGAGCAAAACTCTAGTAGTCCTTCTGTTTCTCCAGCATCTTCGGTCGAGTCTAATTTAAATATCGCACCGAACATTTACGAGTTACTCAAGACTAATCGCCTTACTAAGTACGCCTCTAAACTGCAGGATTTCACTCTTAGTGAATTAAAGGAAAAATCTAAGGATGACTTTTTAAATTTGGGTATAACAAGTGGAGCTAGTGAAAAACTGTTTAAAATTTTTCAAGATGCGCAACAAAACGGCGATTTGACGGATAATGAGGCAACCGCCAGTGGTTTTACTTTGGTCCCGTCATCAATGAGGACTGTAGGCACAACAAACCTTTCCATGTCGAACATGGTCATACAACGGCCGAATTATACAGCGACGAATTCAACTACTTCTAGTCCAGCACCGCTCACTTCCTCTTCACCTCATCCAGATAGTCCGGTTGTTATGGTATGGCCTAGACCGGGCGCCTCCAACGGAATTTTGCAACCACCCTATCATAGCGCTATACAACCGAACGGAATACCCCAATTCCATACTGACTTCTTACCTTACTATTTCCCTTATTATTCCTCTCCACAAGTGCGACCTTCAGCGAGACACTCGTCAGGACGAGGGGCAAATATTAATAAGAGTAACACTTGTTTTAATTGTGGTCAATTTGGACACAAGGCATCAGTGTGTCAAAGTCGCACAATGGATGATATGACGACTACGAGTAAGAAATTTTTTTATAGATAGTTTTTTTTTTTTTTAAGAATTTTAAGCGAACCATGTATATGTATTTAGGTAGGTATCAACTGAGACCCCAGCCGAAGCAGGAAGAAGACAGCTAATATCATGCAGATCTCGTTATGGCCACATTTAATATACGCAGTTTTTGTATTTTTTTTTCGCCCGTTATATAAAAAGACTCATTTCGAGACTGCTAATGCAAAAAGACAAGTTTTGGTTCTTATCTTGCTCTATTTTAAACTGCATGACGGTTAGTCCGCCATTTGTGATCACTTATCAATTGTTGTGCTATACTTTACTTTGAAAACGTTCATCATTTTTTCCTTTTCATTTAAAAATATAACATTTGAAGTGAGTTCGAAGTTTTACTTCCTTCGTCCGCTTTCGTTTGGATTTCGTCTACTTCTTCCAGATTGTTTTATACCTAACATAGCTGAACGAGAGTAAATGTCTTTAACAGCAAATGGGGAGCTAGATGCCAGAAAATCGTCATTTAGGACATCCATCTTCTTTCTTGACGCTTTCGAAGATCTTTGCTGGGGAACGGGTTGATCGGCAAAAAGAATAGGGTTATTTGCGTGTTTTCCACCTTTTGGAGTAGGAAGGGAATATTTAAGTCCTCGACGTGAAATTTTTTTTCTTCGTGATAGATATATGCGGACATTTCCATCCTTGTCCACAGACATTGATACTTTTTTCAAGGTATTTGCATTACCACAATGTGGACAAAACTCTTTATCCATTTTCTTGGTTATTCTATATTAAATTGTTTTTCATTAGAATGTCTATCAAGGAGAAATTACATACTTAAAGCATGCGAAACATCGTAATATATAACTTTTGGCACTTTTTATTAACATTCCGTTTTCGGATATAACGTTCAGTCCGAGTTGAAGAAGGACATTCTGGAATTTTGAAAAATATTGTATAAATAGTAAAATAAAAAATTGGAAATTACCTGCATTGCGAAATCTGTTGTAATACATGCTACATCTATTTCTTTTTTTTCATCTAAATCAATATTGCCCATTTTTGCTCTTATACTCCGAACATTTGATGGCGTTATCCACCCTTCTTCATCATCTTCATTTTCTTCACTTTCACTTGCTTCAATAGCATCTCCAGGAATTTCCTCTCCTTCATTTACTATTTCGTTCGATTCTGTTTTTTCTGCATTTGGTGATGATTCAGAACTCTCTATACTTGCTTGAATTGACTCTTTATCTTGTTCATCTTCTGACTTGTATACTTTTTCTTGAGAATTCTGGCTATTAGTGGATTTTTCTTTTTTAGAATTTTTATCTGATGATTTTTCTATAAAAAACCCTGATATATCTTTAGGATTATCAAATCTTTTCCATGTTGATTTTAGCTGAACCTACAAAACATTTCAATCTTACAAAAATAACTTAGAAATTACTCTATATTACTTTTGAGCCTGGTTCGTTTTTCAGATGGTCTGTACCATTTACTTCTTTTTCTAAAGCGAACGTCAAGGCGATGACTTTTAGATCAGTAGCTGACAGACTTGCATAATCTCCGGTTTTCTTTGAAAAGTTTGTTACTGGAAATATTTAAAACATTGATCTTAAAGATAAAGGAAATAAAAGTCTAAATACCATGATGTAAAGCTTCAACATCAGGACTTTTGAGTGTAAATTCATACGGTAAGACTTGTAATGATTCCTTAGTTCTCTTATCCTTGATTTCACTTATTACTTCATTTACAGTAACCACGTGTTCAGTTAATCCCTGATCAAAATCATCTTCTTTAATGATTATCTCCCATTAAACCACAAAGAAAATCGTTTTTATTAATACTGACCTGCAATTGTATATTACGTATGAAACAGCCTGAGTCTACAACAAGACGTTTAATTTTCATGATGCAGATAGCGAAAAATAAAACTTCAATAATCGAATCCAACTTATCGGTTGATACGATATAAAATAATATTTTATATAGAATCGATGATGTCATTCGATTTTGCGATCTGCTAGATGTTGATGAATATTTTGCCGTAATTTGCTGTACTTCCGGTACTAATCTAGTTAATAACATATATGGAATAAAATAAGTTAATTAAATATAAAGACGAGCAGGGAAGATTTTTTGAGTTTCGTATAAAAACTGGAACATTCGAAAACAAGACGTCAGTTTAACCCGTCATTTCCGCTTCCTTAAGTGAAAACGAGATCGTCGAAATTTTCTCTCAGATGCTCTTTAGCCACTTGTGAATGGTTTAAACATCAAGATTAAAAAGCAAGAATGTCAAAACTGGAGCAAGTCCTTCAGTTAGAGCCGTATCACGAGCTGCGATTCAAAGGTAATTAAGCGAACATATAAAATATTACACACTCCACATAACGAGTACGTATTTCTCATATCAGGACCATTCACTGACGTTGTAACGTCTGAGTTGGTTTTAAAAAATCCTTTGGATAAAAAAGTATGTTTCAAAGTAAAAACTACGGCTCCAAGGCGCTACTGTGTCCGACCAAATGGTGGAATCATTGATCCCAACTCTACCGTAACCGTTGCAGGTAATGATTCTGCTAAAAAATAATATCATATGTTATTCAGTAAAGTTGAATCCTTTTACTTAATTCAGTAATGCTACAACCATTCGAATACGATCCAAATGAAAAAAATAAGCATAAATTTATGGTTCAAACTATGATTGTACCAGAAGGCCATATCGAAAACTTGGAAAATTTGGTTAGTCCTACATTAATGTAAAATAAAAAAAATCAATAAATATCTTTGCAGTGGAAAAATGCCTCTGGCGAAAAAATAATGGACTCAAAGCTGAAATGTGTGTTTGATATGCCTGCTCAGGAACAGTTACAAGTATAAATAATAAATTAAAAATTGTCTATTGTTATTACTATAATACTGTTTTTGATCAGAATAATTTGAATCTATCCAAAGAAGAGAATTTAACTACTACAACACCGCAGCTATTAACACAAGATGCCCCTGTACCAACTAGAGTAAGTTATTAAACAATATGGTATAGCTTCATCTCTATGTGCCTATTTCTTAGACGATGGAAACGAGTAGAGACAAGCCCGTCGATGATCAGAGGAAAATGAAGGATACTTTAGCTCTTTTTCAAAATGAAAACCAAAAGTTAAAGGTAAAAACAGTTGATTTTTATTTTCTGTAATTTCTTGATTTCTTAATAATCTCAGGACGAAAACGAACGTTTGAAGAAGCTTGTTCAAAAGGATAGTTTTTCGAAAAAGGCACCTTCTGATGGGGGACAACTTAGCGAGCAACAAACAGCACTACCAACTGGAATTCATGTGGTGGCTGGCATCATCCTAATCTTCGTTGGAATAACAATTGCTAAGTTATTCTTATGAATAAGGACAAGATGAATATTCGTCTAGTCTCTGAATAGAACATAGTTGCAGTGTAAAATTTATAAGTTGATTATTTTTATCTCAGTGATAAAAATAATCTATCGATCGTTTGGTGATTTCCATAGCCTTTTATTAATTCCTATCTGTAATTATTATAAGGTTCATTAACGGGATAAAGAAGATGTTAAAAAAAAAAACATGACGTTTTTTAAAAAATGCAGTTTCTGGTAATTATTGTGTGCGAGTACGTTACCTAAGCCTATAGTTAACCAATTTCATGCTAATATTGATTTAGTGTGAAATTAGGAAATACCTCTAATTTAATCTTTGCGTTGCAACTGACAACTTATGATATTAGCCGAATTTTAACAGTTTTGCAATCAAGCCTACAGAATTTTATTTAGCAGATTAAATTATATTTTGCTATTCTATAAATATAAGATTTCTTAATCAACTTGAGTAACTTCATTGGTCTCTTTGTCAGAAGTAGCATGCACCAAAGAGGAAATGTCGCCCACAGTCATTGCTCTTGTTTCATCACTTTTTAAACTCTGAGAAAACAGCTTGACCCTCTCTTCTACGGTTCTCCGGATGATAAAATGATGAACGAACGTTTCCCTGTTAAAAATAAAAAATCTAGACTAAATTCTAAAACTAATTTATTAAAAGCTAGCTTTGTTTGGCCAATTCGATGAACTCTGCCTATAGCTTGTAATTCTTGAGCTGGATTAAGCAGAGGTTCAACAAATAGAACATGTGTCGCTTCAATCAAATTGAGACCATTCGCTCCTGCATGGACAGGAAGTAGTAGTATTCTTGCGTCGTTTCCTTCCCGAAAAGCGCTGAGTACATCCTAAGGAATGAAGAAATAAAAGTCAATAAGGATGTTCAGAAATTTATTTTACCTTGTATTTCGCAGAATGATTCAGAACTAAGGATTTCATATTGTTTTGATTCAGCGCTTTCGATAGAACCTCAAGTACTTCCGGCCACTGATTTGAAAAAAAAACAGTACGTTGTAGAACGTCTATTAATAAAAGCATATTGTTAGTTTCTCCTTACTGTTGAGAAGACCAAAGATTTAGCGTCAGGCGTGGTCGACTGGATATACATGAGACACTTAACAATATTTTTAATTTTAGTAGAGTGATCGCCCTAAAAAGTGCATTTCTTAGAATTTCAGCCGAAAGTTATATATAAAAGTTTTACTTCTATTTCGTATTTGTTACTTATCATCTTATCTTCTTCATCATAAACTTCGTTATTTGTTTTCGAGTTGTACACGAAAGATATATCTTCATGGTTTGTTCTCTGTCTACATATTGGACAGGCGCAAGACCCTTTGTTGACTCCGGGCGCTCGTGTTCTAGTTATTATAACCTTTATACAATCCAAACACAAGCAATGTCCACAATGTAGGACGGACCACTAAAATAAAAAATATCTTGAATTCATGGAAATCTGATTAGTTACGTTAAGCAATCGAACTTTGTCTGATAAGTCTCTTGCGCATACTGGACATGGATCTAAATTGTTGATGGGCTCTGAATCGTTTGGTGATCGCTGAATATTTTGTTACAAGTGAATATTACATAATAGATAAAGTATTTATGAAACATACTACTGCTAAATTCCTTAAGTATCTTAGTTGACCAAGTTTTCTGGACAAATCATTTTTTGATACTATTTTATCTGAAGCTAACTTTAACTTTTGTTCATTTACTTGATGCTGCTCAAGTATATATGTTGCTGTTGAGCTCGATCTGTCTTCGTACGATTTACGTAATCTAAATCGAATTTTTGCCATCTCCAACTCGTCTAATGCACTGATTCGGTCTCTTGATGTGGTCCAAATAGAACGAAGGCACTTTATAAATAGAAAGACATGAAAATATGTTCATAGACTAGAAATTGAAAGGCTTACACGAAATTCTTTTTTCATTTTATCAATAATTAGGACGTGTTGAGAACCATTGTCACTTAGATACTTCCAAGGGCTGTAAGTTTTTCCAAAACTTATAAGCGCTTTAAGTATTATTTCTAAAGAAGAATCCGCCCAATTTCCTTCTGGCTTTAGAGTAAATAGTCCATGCTCATTTTCTTCATCTTCAATATTCCTATCAATAAAACGTTTGTAAATTGTTTAATAAGTTAAATTGTTTAAGAGAATTTTTACTTATCACTAATTGAAAATAATTTGCTTTCGTAATACTGAAGCAATCGATTACAATTGCAGAATTTGCAGCTGAAAATATTATCAATTTAAGTTTTCTAAAGTATTATCTGTTTAGTCAAATAATTTACTCTTTCGAAGCTTTCGCCTCGTCAGTTTCAGGTCTTAAACAACACGATGCAACCTCTTCAACCTGCTGCTTCTCTGGAAAGCCACATAGAGATTCTATCGTAGCTAGCAACTCATTTCTACTTGTCATAAGTTCGTTTGAAAATTTATCAATAATATACATAAGCCCATTTGCGTTCTTGAAAGCTCCGGCAATATTACCTCCTCCTAATTTTGATTTACTACGAAGATCATTTTTTACTCTAATGATTAAGGAATTTAGAAGCATGTCTTCATTCTTTAAGGATAGCATCTCTCCCCACCAACTGTAATTTAGATTTTCCATATTTTCATCTAAAGATCTTTTCACTGTTTTCCATCCATCAAGTGCACCTTCAAACTTGATTTGACGCTGACTTATATATTTCTCTTTAATTTGACTGATCTAAAAATAATACAATTTTAATGTTAATTATTATAACATTTTGTTTAGTATGTACTTCAGCAGGTATATTTTCTTCTCTTAAAGTCCTACCATACTCATCTGAAGGATGTTCCACTAATACTTCTTGTAAGTTCTCTAGAGTATGAAGTTGTTGTATCTCATCCGTTCTGAGCTCAGTTGAATATTCTGTCACAGATTGCAAAACGTTTCTATACAAGTTAACAGCTTCTTTGACCTAAAATAACACAAAGATATATCTATTAGCACAATCGAATAGAGTAGGATATGTTCTACATCATTCTTAATAAGAGCAATAGCTGCTAATCCGTTTAAAGATGCTACAAATTGCCTATGGGCCTCCTCACATTCCCGAACAGTCCTGTGAATCATGGTGTCTAAGAGTTCGCTCATAGTCATTATGCTGAAAGGATGAAAGAGGATAAGAGGCTTCTCTCAAATCAGAAGTAAACTAACTTTTTCGTTGAAAACTTTCCTCTTACAGCTTTTGGATGGCAGCAAGCTTGTCGTAGACGTAATAAAGGATTTAATATTTTATTTAAGGAGGATTTATCTAATTGTGACAGCTTAATTTCTGATGGAAATTTCGCCATATTATGACCGTCTTGTTTAACGCAAAGCTCTTGTGTTGTTCTATAGAAATGCTCTTCGATTGATGACAGGTTTAGCCAATGTATAATTTCGGATTGGTCAGGAATTTGAATCTGATCTATGACTTCGGATTTCGAAGTTCTCCACATGATGTTATTTAAGAGAACTTTCATTGGTTCTTTATTTCCGATAAAGAAGGGTTCAAGAAGGGCTCGACGCCACCACAATTGAACAAAATACGGGTCGACACCCAAAAATAAAACAAGCCCATATATGTCTTTTTAAAAGGATAGGGTTAGTTTATATTCAAATGACAATAAAGTATTTAGTTGAATGAACCTTCAATGCCCCTTTGCAAAGGTGTTCCAGTAATACACCATCTGTTTACTGAATTTAATCGTAGAGCCATTTCAGCGGTCTAAACAAAAGAAATAAAATTATTGAATTTCTAATATCAAACTTGAGCTATTTGCAAGTATGTGCGATTACTTTTGTTGTGGTTCCTTCGACCATTTGAGCTTCGTCCAAGCAGACTCTCCACCACTCTATCACTAATAACGGACTTGGAATAGTCATGTATCTTTTAGAGTTTCTCAACGATCTCCCTTCTTTGCCTTTGAAATAAATATTAGTTATCCAATTTGTGTAGAATATCTCTATTTAATAAATAAATCATAAAAAATACTAGAACGCTTACTCGCATGTGGTAAATCAACATAATTAATCTCCTTACGGAGCGTTTCATAAGTCATTAAGACTAGATCATGATTAGCAAGATAGTAAGGTTGAATAAATCCGGTTTTTTGAACCCCTTCATAGACGTATAAGCTAAAACATTCCATATGAACGTGTCTTTTAATTTCTTCTATCCATTGCGCATTAATGGAAGTCGGTGTTACAATTAATGTAGCAGTAGATTTTAAAGGTGGCTTTTAAGTAGATTTTACAAGTTTAATGTGAAAAAATTATTCTAAAAATAGATTTTAATTTACCGAAGATACAAGGCAATGAGGACATTTAAAAGGTTCTTTGTGAGGATAGTTAATATCATAGTTGAGACATTTAGGATGCTGCCAGATGTTGCATTCCGAACATTGTATTCTATTTAGGAAAGAGGCTGAACAAATTTCAATATGCGAATTTAATTAGTTCTACTAACTTGTTCTTGGAATTTATTTCGATTTTTGATACTCCACAAACGCAATCCAAATTTAGATAATTGTATTTAGTGGTTTCTTTTAGTTTTGAGGAATTAGATTCTTGTTCTTTTATTCGTTTTGTCTTCTATTCATGACAAATATAGAGTATATGTACAATATCTTAATACATTAAGCTTTTTGTAAACAACCTGCTCCGTTTCAATAGTGTTTGTTATTAATTGTCTAGGATTGGATAGAATGCATGCAAGAACCTCGACCGTTTTTCCCAATCCCATTTCATCTGCTAGAATTCCACCTGGTGGATTCAGACAGGATAAAGGCCTCTTTGTTACAATACTGTAACATTAAGTGTCAAACTATAAACCAAGAATTTAAAAAATGTTTTTCATACTTTCCACCAAATTTCTGATAGTAAAGTAGATGGCCACTCTTCGAATAGAACTCTTCATAAAGGCAATGAAGAGTTTCGTCTTGTTCTAATATTTCAAAGTATATTAATAAATATCAATTAAGTGGTAGTGTTAATATATCTCTACCTCGGTGTGTAGTCTCTTTTTGTAGCATCCAAGCAACGGATTGATTCTGATAAGGACGTAAGCTAACTTTTAAAGCTGAATGTTTAAATGTTTGATTCTTGGATGGACATATTGGTTGCTTTTTTTCTAACAAATCATAAATACATTGTATGCTAATATTCTCTCTTTCGAAATTTTTCATAACTAAGTGTAAATGAATAGAAAACAATAGTTAAAAACAAAAACAATGGGGAATAATTGGACAATAACGCTTACATGGTGAATTTTTTCCATAGTATTTTTCCATTAAATTTCCAATACAAACATTAAAATTTGTGGTACGCCATGATTCACTTGGCCAGCGAATTGAAGATAAAGCGCTTAAGTTTAAATATAAATTAAACAATAAAAATCCTTCTTTATCCTTATTCTTTAGTTGTATCGTAAATTTTTTGCTCATTAGTGCATGAATTATCTCATCATCTTCGAATTCAATACCGATGTAATTCTCAGAAATTAACAAAAAGCATTCAAATTTTTTATTTCTTGAATATAGGCCTTTTTTATAAGTTAATACTATCACTCCCTCCGTTAAATTGGCTATAAACTGTGTATACAGTTCTTCTGAATGGTCTAGGATTTTTACAGAAATATTTTCTACTAGACAGGTTAAAGTTTGGTCTGTTGATTCATTACCAAACGAATCGAAGTTGAATTTGCTGCTTATCATATGCTTTGATAAGCTTGTTATTGTATTAAAAGGTATTTTTTGTGGTTTATTTGTTTCCTCTACAATACTTTCTGGTTCATTGGCTGATTGTGTACTGGGATCGCCACTTTTTTCCAAAGTTGACGGATTATTGTCAATACTTTCAAACATATTCCAAGTAAGTTTCTTTCGTTTGTCTTCATTAAGTTTTTGGGGAAGTTGTCCTTTCCGTTTTCTCGGCATATTCTTCGATTAAACTAAAAAGGAACAAGTTTATACAAGTTTTTTTTTTCAATTTTAATCGTTTCAATTTCAAACAATTGCAAAATAGAATGTAATTCACGGCTTTATCGCTCAAGAAAAATCGTATAGTTTGCTTCAAAATCGTTTTTTTATCAACGATTATAACATTTTTAGCAAAAGTATGTAATTATTATGTATATTTGAATAACTTGTTAAGTATGTTGATTTTATTTACAAAATTTTTTTGTGAATACCTGTACGATTATAGAATAGATAATTTTCTGCGTTCTGTGCAAAAATGTATTGTGATTGCGATAAAGTTTATAAATTGAAATATATTTTTTTATTTTAAATCTAAAATTGATAAATATTTATAAAATATTTATTGTATTTTTTATGACATGAAATTTTTGTAATATCTAAAATTTAAAATGTTTGTACTTATGGTTTTTAGAACGAGGCTGAGTCAGTCTTGCGCAGCCGCATAAGCTAATATAAAGCGACAGTTTGGTTGTTGTATCATTGCATATCTCCGAAATCGTTGGAAAAGACTAGAATCTGAAAACTATATAGCTTAGAGTGATATATCATTCGAAGATCTGTCCGGTTTAGATTGTTGAGCGATTTTTTTACGAGGCATATTAGCAAGAATAAGATGGCTTGTGGTGCTACGCTAAAGCGCAGTTTAGAATTTGATCCTCTTCATTCTCCAGCTCGGTCTCCGAAACGAAGAAGATGCACACCAATGACTCTTTCACCGAATATCCCACCGACGAAACAACATCAAACGACCGTTTCGCCATTTTTAGCTTGTGCACCTAGACTTTCGCACGGTACGTTGCACAAGTGTTAAAGCTTTATCCTCATAATTTTTTTTTTCAATCCTTGTTTACAGAGCAAATTTATGCCAACCTACATGCAGAAATTCGCCGTATGCGAGCTAGAAGACAATTATCTCCGACTCATTCGACAATCTGTATCGGTGAAACGTCACCGGGTTCGGCTACGGGACTATCCTCACCTTGTAAACAAGATAAGCCTCTATTCACTTTCAAGCAAGTGAGTCTGTTTTGTGAAAAAATGCTTAAGGAACACGAGGCTGAATTACGAGAAGAATACGACAAAGTTCTTGTCACGAAAATGGCCGGTATGTACTCATTTTAAAATTCACGCAGCTGTTAAATGCTAATCTTTGTTTCATATGTATAGAGCAATACGAAGCTTTTTTGAAATTCAATCACGATCAACTGCGCCAACGATTCAACGATGCCGCAACCGCGAGCTGTAAGTTAAACATAATAAATTTGCAATATTATTTTAATGTTTTGATTTCATTTCAGATGTCTCATAGATATAGTATCGTTCGTTAGAAAATCTAAAGTTATACGCGACAGTGATGACGAAAATGTTAATCGATAAATGGTTACAGAACAATTGAATATTTTTTTCAAGAATGCTTTTTTATATATTTTATCGCGTAAACTGTTTCTTTTTTAAAAAAAAAAACAATTGATGCTTTGTAGAGAAAAAAAATGTGTATTGTGTAAGCGTGTAATGGTCGTAATACAAGGTGACGGAATGTTATCATAATAAGCTATCATATTTCGCATTATTAAAAGCTGGTCTCGTGAGGCCGGCGTTGCTAAGTTAGTGAAATTTCGTGGAGAAATATGTCTGAATGCATTGATTGGGACACTGAGGAAACTCAACCAATACATTACCAATTTTTCGATCAACAAGTTGATACGAATTCTACTCGACCGCTGACCTATGATAAATTGGATAAGAAGGAGTCATTTGTGTCACTAGACTATGAGGAGGAAATGAATCAAGGAACAGATACTGATCAAAATGACTATGAGAGTGAAAGAAGTCCTTTTAAAAGTCCAGAAGCGGCTCCAGAAAAAGGATTTACAATTGTGGGACAAGGTTCCATAGTTGAAACATATAGCAGAATGTCTGACAATCAAAGAAGAGTGTCCGAAAACTCATCAGTTGCGAGTAATGGAAAATCGAATGGTGATAAATCTTCTACGTCCAGTCCTACTGTTATAAATCACACTGAAGTGAAAGACGATGAACATAATAACTCCGTGGGTGATGAAGATGAAAGGCCACCAGTAGTCAACTCGGAAACGGTGTCAAAGACTCCTGCCGGTAGTGAGCATCAGAATGAAATAGCGGGGTATGCCAGCGATTATAGCCATTCAGAGAGCCTTAATGAAAATAATACCCACGTAACTGAGGCCGCTGAGGAGCAATCTTCAAGTCCTAAATTATCCCCAAGGACTGACGCGCAGGATGACCGGTCATTAAATGAAGAAGGCCGTCAGACATTAAAGACAGCAAGTGATAATTATAGTGAATACAGTTATTCAGAATCAGTTGAAGACAGTAAACGGCGGTCGCCAAGCCCTAAATTTGAGGATAAGAGTGACGCTACAACAAAGAAACTTGAAACTGATATAGAAAGTGAAAGGGAGGAGGAGGTAAACCATAAAAGCGATAGTGAGCAGGAAGAAGATATTGATAAAGAAGAGGAATTCGGAACGTCCAGACCGGAAAGTGACAAAGAGGAAAAGGAAAACTACATTTTAAACGAGTTAGACGATAAAAGTTCTGAGAAAGAAGAAAGTGATGAAGAGTTAAACGAAAGGTCAAAAAGAAATAGTAAACTAATAGTAATTGAAGAGAAAACGGAAGACAGCTATAGTGAAGGTACTTTCGAAAATTTCACGGAGAAGGAGAGTACTGATATGAATCAAAAGTCTCATACACGTGATAAATTCACCAATAAAGCTCTACCCGCGATCGGAATAACAAATGGGGTATTGGAATTGGAGAACTTTCAAAGGCCAGGCTTCTTAAATCGACCGCATCGTAAACAGCCTCCAGCGCCCATTAAAATGAAATTGAGTCACGAACAAAAAATGGACGCTATACATAATCGTCCTAAGCCGTGGCTAAACAACATGTCAAGACCTCAACCTAAACCTCCTGTTCAGCCTGTTTCTATAATAGAAGTTCGGAAAGCTGGTAGAATTCACCGACCAAAACCCTGGCAAACGCGAGTGGCATCAGAGACAACCTCACAGACAACGTTCAGTGATAATACAATCGTTAACAGTGAGGTCTCAGAGAAGCCAGTAGCTAACGTTAAGCCAATATTGAGGAAGCCAGAGAGAGTTGAGATGGCAGAAACGAAGCGACTAGTCCGTGTCCAAAGCTCTTCCAAAGCTCGTCCTGGGATACCCACCCAATTAAAATCTGTTGCCTATTGGCAAGAAAATAAATTGTATATCACGATAACAGGACCTTCGCATATTATTGATTTTGTAAAACGAAAGAATAATCTTGATTCAATCGATGAAGTGCCTATGGATGTCAATATGACCTTTGTACAAGAGAAAAGAAAGAAAAAACAGTCGTCTTGGCGCCAAAAGCCAAAGGCACAGTCAAAAGTTAAATTACCACCTATTAATGTTGATCGCAACATAGTTGACAACAGAGCCGTTTATAAACCTTTTCAGTTTTAAACAATTGTTACAGCTTTTATTAAAAGATGTACTAAACGATTATCAGACAAGTTCACTGCAGGATTGGTTAATTTTTTTGCTAATAAATCATTTAAAACCTTTCTTGCTTCTTTGAATATAACACCAGTTCGTGCAAAAGCCTGAAAAGGGAAAATATTTCTTACAATTTCAAGTATATAATTAAAATGCCAGTGTCCTTACTTTTAATTTAATCCATCCATCAACCGTTACAGTCTGATTAGCGTGAAATACTTGAATATCACCTCCGAACATTAAGAGTGAGATGTTGTCAATTAAAGTTGTCCCTCGAATAAATGTATTCTTCTCGCCCTTCGTTTTTTCGTGATAGATTATGAAGCCGTCCATGTTAATGTTCTTGTTGACAGACGATGGGTGAACTAACACTTTTCCTTGATTCGTTAAACAATCGGTCAGGGGCGTTCTATCACCTTCAGTTCTTTCAATTTTCCTAATTTGACCAATGTTGGGATAAATTCCACCAGTTAGAATAAGCTTAATCATATTTTCGTCCTTTGCAGTTAGTTTATTCCCGATCAATTGAGAATCATTATTGAAGCCAATTGAATTTACTAATTTCATTAGCTCCTTTGAGATGTTCTAGTTGTTTTTTTTTATAATAAAAGTTAATGAAATTTTATATAAAAAGCACTATATTTTAAAGTTTCTACCTCAATTTCTATCATAGTGCTCCTCTTAATGAAATTCATATCACAATAAAGTTTTTCAGCGTTTCTCCCCTTTGCTCTAGATTCTTGCCATCTGCGAACAAAAAATTAATTAATGTTTTGTGTAAAAGCTGAATAATATATTCAAACTAATTTACTTAGTAAATGCATTCAATATTGTCAATTGATCCGAATTTGAAACGCTTAGATTCATTAATGCATTTTCAGCAACTTCTTTCTTTCGTACAGGAACGTAGAAAGGTGATTTTTCATTCATACTGGCGGCTATTATGGCCTATTTATTTATGAGAAATAGTTTGTTTATAGTTGGATTATATCTTTTAGAAGACTTACTATTTGCTCTGTTACACCAAATATAGCGGCGAATATTAACATACGTCCTAATTTCACATGGACAGGAAGAGTTGATAAATGATGACCAAGCGGCGTTAGAACCATGTTTATACAATCAACAGCACCTATTTCTTGTAGTAGTGATAGAGATTTCCTAATAGCTTCAGGTCTTGGAGGATCTAAAGCTGACAATAATATTTTCTCGGGATCCTTTTCCTCGCATTTCTATAAAAAGTTTAGAGTGGTAAATTAATGAATAGACGTCAATAATACTATAAATAGTTCGTCATACTAAGATATGCAGACAGAGAGATTCCAGTGGTACTCGTAAAATCTCTGGAGTTGTAAATTGTTTCATACTGTTATACCTAGAAAATATCGCAAGGAAAATTGAAGTGACAGGAGGGGGAGAGAAACACAGAAAGAAAAATACCTCATATGTGTATATAATCTGAAGCAAAATCCTTCACGAACCCTACCGGCTCGACCTTTTCTTTGATCAGCACTTGCCCGACTAACAAAAACTTCCTTAAGACGACTCATTTGAGTATTTTCGTCAAACCTAAACAATAAAGAGTTATAAAGCAAACATTTAACAAATTTACAACTCCTAAATATTTTATTTTACCAGTTTTCCTTTACTTTGCCACTGTCTATAACGAATACAATATCTGGAATTGTAATTCCAGTTTCGGCAATATTTGTTGCCAAAACGATTTTCCTATGACCTTTAGGAGGATATTTAAATATTTCCTCCTGGCTATCGTTTGATAAAGTTGAGTGCAGCGGCAGAACTTTGTGCCTTTAAAAGAATAGAATATTGTAATACTATTAATATCTTTAAAAAAATACAGTAGATATTCATTACTTGCGCTTTGACAGTTCTGCGTCATAAAGGATCATATCATATAATTCTTGTATATGAGCTAAACCGGGTAAAAATACTAATATTCCACCTTGAACTTGATTAAATTCTTCTTTCCTTTCTATTAATTTTATTGTTTCCTATATTGAAAAAAAATTGTTATTAAACATACTAATAATAGAAAGAGTTTCTAATAATTATTTTAATTACCAAAATAATATCTAAATTGAGTTTTAATATGCCGTTTAACCGATTTACTGTTTGAATTGTTTGGGCACTATATTTTGTTGTATCCAGTTCTAAGTCGTTGTGCTCTACCTCCTGAGTGGAATAAGAGACTTGTTCCTTAAAAGATTTACCTCCTTTAGCTGATATTGAAAGATTTTCCGTTACCTAAATTAATTAAAATATAATAAATATTTATCATTGCATCTGACGTAATAATTACATAATTTGAGTTATCGTTAACTTCAGCTTCTTCAGGACAAAAACCAGTTTGCTCGACGATATCCTCGAGAAAAAAATTTTGAACTGGAAACGTCCTTCCTGGTAGTGATACCAGTTTTACATCTAATATTTGCCTAACATCATCATCCGACGACTCGAAGTAATCAATAAATTTTTGAGCATCGAGAGTAGCGCTCATTAAAATTACTTTTAACGGTTTTCTTAACCTTTTCCTCTCTTTTACCAAATTCTTTAGGGTAACCAATAAGAAATCCGAGTCAACTGAACGTTCGTGAACTTCATCAATAATTACATGACTTGTACCATTCAGTAGAACATTATTTTGAATCTTTCGTAAAAGCACTCCCGTTGTGCAATATAGCAACTTCATCGTTGGTGAAGTCTTTGCTTCAAATCTATTGAAGTTAAACAGAATAAAATATCTTCTAATACCCACTATTAATAAAAAGCAAACCTAATTTGATATCCTATTAAACTATCTCTACTGCCTGGTTTATTAGTATTCATCTCAAGAGCAGTTCGAGAAGCTAAAGATACGGTAGATATTCTCCTAGGTTGAGTACAAATTAAATTACAATCCAAGAAATCTTTATCCACTAGTAAATCCTGTATAGAGAGAGATAAAAAAATGAAAAAATAACATTAATAAAAGACAAAAATCTTATAAAGAATCCATCTTTTTAAAGTGATACACTAATCCACCTACTTGTAAGAGAAAATGAGGTATTTGAGTAGATTTTCCACTGCCAGTTTCACCACAAATAATTGTAACATCATATTTGTTTATTGCGCTGATAACTTCATCTCTACAGATTAATTAAACTAAATATTTAACTCAAATATTATTATAATATACCTGTATTTATAAACTGGTAATTGTTCTCGCGTTTTTAGCAATTTCTCGTATTCTTGTTGTTTTGAAGCAGCTAAAAGAATATCGCGACAGCGCGCCTTTATAGTGGGATCTTTTAGGTTTAGTTTAGATGTTGTCTAATCGAATATAGTGTAATTAAAAAGATGATCAAGGAGGAAGGCGAAAATCTTACAACGGGTGATACAGGTATATCTTCCCAATCGTTACAAACGTTATCTTGTTCGTTATTAGAGACATCGGATAGGGATACTTTGATCTTTGATAGTTTCTTGACTAATTGAGAAACAAAAGCGTCTCTGGGCTGTAAAATTCAATACATTTTTATAATAGATGTATATTTTTATAGTACACAGTCTACTGTATACAAAGCATATATGCCGTAAAAAGTCTAATAGAAATTTAAATTGCATTACTTTACTTATTTGCTCTTTACCACTTTGTACAATATCCTCTTCTGCTTTTTTCCATTCCAACCAAATATCTCTATAAGGAGGTGGTAATAATTGATGAATTCTCTGAAATTCAAATTGATGAAGTAATAATAAAAAAGTTTTTTAATTAATTTTTTTTTACCTGGCCGCCGCATAGCTGAAATAGCGCAAGTGTACTAGCTAAATGTTCAGCCTCTTTGACATTTTCGCAAACAATATCTGGTATTACTTCAACATCACCATCCTTTCGATTAACTATACACCTAAAATATATTATTTTGAATGAAATTGGTTTATCAAGTAATCAGTTGCACTTTTAAGAATTTCACCTGCTTCTCCATAATGATCCGGATACTTGTATAGGTTTAAATCTAGGTGGTGGACTATTCTTTAGATTTTTACGTAGCCAATCGATTAAAAATTGTTTTGGAGATTTTCCAGTCCACTGTTGTCTTGTATAGGAGAAAGATCTCTTTTGGAATTTAGGCTTTTCAATCTTCTCTATTAAAAACAAATTCTAGTGTTACAACTGAAACGCACAGTTTGTTTTTATGATTGGATGAAAACCTGGATTAGAACATTCTAAACTGTCGAAACCAAGGAGACCTACATCGCATTCGTCATCATTGTCATCATCATCAATGGAACTCTTCTTGTGGACCAAATCACTTGTTAAGTCTGGAACTTTACCTTCTGGAGGTGGTTCGTATTTTTGAACGCTTGAAAGATTAAATTGAGGATGCTTCTCAATTGTTCTCAGTTCTATTTAAAATAGTTCGATATTTTATAATTTAAAACTAGAGGAAACATTTTTAATCAAATATAATATACCTTGCATTAATTGATTAATTTTCGTACTCAATTCTTTACTAGCCTTCTTATTCCTTTCGGCTTTTGCCAATTGAGCTTTTTGCTTTGTTTCGGCAATAAGATAATCAATTCTTGCGTATTTTTCATTCTAAAAATTAACAAAAAATTCTTACTAATTCAAAAATGTTCCATTAGCTATATTTAAAGATTATTTACGGGGTTTTCTTCAACAGATTTCTTAGCATTTGATTCATCATCGCTTGAATCAGTATCCTCTGCATATCTTAATATCCAATCTTTCATATTTGCCTTATCCGATTCTATATCTTTCTAACGTTTTAGCAAATAAATCAACATTTATTCTAAATATCATTTTAAGTATTAATTAAATTTGTAAATCTACTTTAGGTGGAGCTTTAACACTTTTAGTTTCTATTCTTTTGTTTGTTAAATTTTCTTGGAATTTTTCACGAGGTTTAGTATCAGTTTTTTTAATGTGACAGAATCCTTTCGGCAATTGATCTGTTTAGTAGCGTAGATAATTATGTATTATAGAATTAATTTAGCATAAAAATTCTTACCACTCTTGAGATTTAAACATAGCCAATCTAAAGCATCTATTAAATCTCCCCCTTGAGGTAGAACATGATCCATGGCAATTTCTATTTGTTCTTGTTTGAAGCCATAGTCAAATAATGCGTTATATACATCCTATAGAATATTTATGCAAATATATTAGAAAAAATGAACAATAATGCAAATTAAACTACTTTAGAAATATAACTTACTGTTAACTTTTTGGCTGTCAACCGATTTGATATTACAGTACTTTTTAATCTATTTTCTAAATTTGTTTTTAATAGTTTTACAAGATTATTCTCAACTTCTTCTTCGAGCTCGATCTGATAAAAATTGTATTTTGAATAATTGTTATTATATACAAAAGATCACAATGTTATTCTCTTTTTTTTTACACACCCTAGGATAAGTTTCTTGTTCTACTATTGCTGCCGCTGTCAATTCTTTGGAAGCATATGACTTTTTTACTGTAACAAAAACGTTCGATTACACGTGTTTATTCTGTGAAATGCCTTCAAATATGCTCGGATCATACCTTTAGCAACATCTTTCAATGGTTGGGCAACAGTATCTTTTTTCTTTCCATTTCTTTTTTCTCTAGTATTCATATCTAATTATTTAGTTTAAGAATAATGAAAAAATTGCAGTACTTTGTGCAACAGAGCTTGTGATTTTACAGTACTTTTTTTTTGAATGTTTTGCTGCCCTGGAGTAAACCGGTATACAAAAATAAGCTCCGCCTTTATAGCTATTGGAATGAGCAGCTGATGTTAAGAGTTTAACAATTTCAGAAAGCTAACATCCTAAAACAATTGACAATGGACAAGTTTGGAACGAGACTATCTAATCCTTATTATAATAGGCAAGGAAGCGAGATGGCAGCCTCTCCAGCAGGCACAAACAGCAGTTTGAAGGGCATCATCGCTGGTATAATTTTGGATTATCGCTCTATCTTAGACCTCTATATATTTAGAATAGTTTTATAATCAAACGTTCAAATGAATCTTTGAACTTATTAACTTAAGACTATTTGAAAAAAAACGAAAACCACAGGTGTTATGTTTAAAATTGGTCGAAGGATCATTTAAAGCATGGCAACGGTTCAAAGTTCAAAGATGACATTTACAAGTCTGTATCGCCTGATTGCAGTGGTTATAAAATATAAAGAAATATCGATTTGCAGTTGCGATGTAAGACAGTCAATCGATAGAGTCAATTTACTGAGTAAAAGTAGGCTTGTCACGTAAACATTCTCCCGCATATGCGGAACCCTTCCAGATTTAATCACTGTAACACGTGCCAACTAATTGTATTGATTGTATAATTTCTAACTAATATAGGTGGAATTACTGGGGGTATTGAAATATGTATCACCTTTCCAACGGAATATATTAAGACACAATTGCAATTGGATGAAAAATCAGGAGGCGCTAAACGCTATAAGGGTATTGTGGATTGCGCGAAGTTAACTGTACGTGACCATGGATTCTTTGGTCTTTATAGAGGTTTATCCGTTCTCTTGTACGGTTCAATTCCGAAATCTGCTGTAAGATTTGGAGCTTTTGAAGAATTTAAGAAAAGAGCTGTTGATGAAAAAGGAAATTTATCTGCCCAAAAAAAATTATTATGTGGTTTGGGAGCTGGCGTTTGTGAAGCTATATTTGCTGTTACTCCTATGGAAACTGTAAAAGTAAAGTTTATCAATGATCAAGCATCTGCAAATCCAAAGTTTAAGGGATTCTTTCATGGTGTCAGAAGTATCATCAAAACTGAAGGATTTCGAGGATGCTATCAAGGATTAACCCCGACTATCATGAAACAAGGAAGTAATCAAGCTATTAGGTTTTTCGTTGTTGAAACTCTAAAAGATATGTATAGAGGAGATGAGAAAGGAAAGTCTGTTCCTAAATTACTTACTGGACTTTTTGGAGCTATTGCTGGTGCTGCTTCTGTATTTGGAAACACACCTCTCGATGTTGTTAAAACTAGAATGCAGGTTAAATTTAGACTTAAACAATTAGATGTTTGAAATGTAAATAAATTATTTAAATACTTTCAGGGATTAGAAGCTAAAAAATACAAGAACACTTTTGATTGTGCTGCAAAAATATTGAAGCACGAAGGACCTCTTGCGTAAGATATTTTAATATTTATATTCTATATTATACTACTTTTGTACTTATTTATAATTAACCCTTTAAATACTTTTTAGATTCTACAAGGGAACTTTACCTAGATTATCAAGAGTCTGTTTGGATGTTGCTATTACTTTCATGATTTACGATTCGTTTATGGAATTGTTTAATAAAATTTGGCCAAATTAGGGCCAAATGAAAATTTAAATTTAGAGCAAGTAACTATGTTTATTGTCACCAAAGGTGATTAGCTCTTGTTACGAAATCTGAAAGCAATAATATTGATAGAAAAGGTTTTGTTGAGAATAACTAAAAATAAGTTTATGTTGTATGTTTATATGAAAGAGTTTATTTAGTTTTAATTGCCTTGTTCTGTTCCTGAGAATGATAAACAGATTTGTCTGTTAATTCATTAACCGTCTATTTTATAGAGATTATGTTTGGTCGGTCTTAATAAAACGATAGAACTGCGTGAAAAAAATAAATAATTAACAGCTACTGACATCTAGAGTGTTTTTCGCACAAAACCTTTAGCCTTGACCTTCACAATGAAAACTAATTATTTTGGAAATTGCGAATTATTCGCAATATTTACAATAGCTGTAACTATTCTGTGGGTAGTAATCGGCAAAAAATGGACACTTCAAAAATTAGCTTGGGCAATGTTTTTCCCAGGATTGTTTGCTCCATGGTTTTTTCACGGGTACGATCTGTCGGCTCTTATTGGTTATGATAGTGTAAGTAATTGACTTCCAGTAGATGCTCTAGATAGTTTAAGAAAAATATCATGAATGATGTTGAATTTTAAAAACAAAACAAATACCTTTTCTCCCCTAGATTGGTCTAGCTAGTCTATATTCATTTATTGCCTTCTTAATTGTTATTGGTGAAATGATTCTCTGCATATCGTTCAACATTCTTTCTGGTCTAGGCGAATTAAGAGATGATGCGAGTTGGTCTAAACTTTTCAAAAGTTTACGTCAGACTACAGTTAATGAATACATAAAAAACTTTTTAAGGGCAAGTGGAGAGGAGATTGGATGGAGATGTCTGATGCTTCCTTGTTTAATCAATAAATATGGTCGTTTTGAAGCATTATTAATCAGGTAAATAGAAAAAAGAATATACTTTCAAAAACATTAAAAAAATTATCCTTTTCCCGTCAAAACGATAATTATTATAAAATTTTCATTTTTCTAGTGGCCTAGTATGGGGATGCTATCATATACCTATTATGGTGTTATTAACTGCTCGATTTCGCACTTCAAAACCTTATTTAACAATACTTTTCCAATTTTTATCATGTAATGTCAACGGTCTAACACTTGGATGGATTGCTATTCAATCCAAGTATGTATTTTTAAGATGTCCGCTAGATGTCGCAAATATACTTTTACATTATTATTTTGAACAGCTATTCGATATGGGCACCCGCACTTTTGCACTTCTTATGGAACGTTTTAAATCCTCCAATTTTGGGTGATGTGTACAGAAACAGAATTGGTTTTATACAGGGGGAAGTTTGGAAGGTGAATGGAGAAGGTTTAGCCGGTTGTATGGTCGGGATTGTCTCGTATATTTTCTTGGCTAATTCCTAAATACTTTAATAGTTTTTTTTAATCCTGTGAATCCATTTAACAATAGATATAAATTTATTTATTCTCATGTTTATATTTATTTCGATTAGGTGTATTGCTAAATTTGAACAAATACATTATCGGACTAGATATGTACTCTTTTGCAATTGTACGGCAGAGATATTATGTTCGACTGATATGCATAGACTTTAACACATAACGACCACGTTTCTCAAATATTAATGGCAAAAATTTTGCAGTATCTGAGTCGATAAGTTCTGCAACAGCTGCTTTCATTTGAACAAATAAAATCAATTATGCTAAACACGTGCGCGTTTAAAAATCTATATATACTGTATATAGTATATACAGGCGCCTAAAAACTCAGATCGAGCTTCCAGCAGAAGCACCTTCACCATTAACTAGTTAAACACCACCACCTTCTTAAAAGAAAAAGATTTTTTTTGTATTTTTTTCCACCACCAAAATGAAATTAACTATTTTTTGATAAAATAAAAACAGTCAGGAGAGTACAGGGGGAGGGGGGACTTCATTATTAGAAATTATATACAATTAAAACAGTCAAAAGCAAAGCAAACTTTGTTTTATGCTTTAACGAACACATTTTTTTATACATAACATAAACTTATGCGATAATTAAATTTCTATTCAACGCGGTAGAACTTCTGTTGGAGGTGAAACTGGAGGGCTTGGATAACCGTTGTACAAGTAGAAGAAAGGCTGGTATGGGTTAACAGTGGTCGGTAGTGGTGAAACATAGTTTGGTAAGGTTGTCGCTGTCGCTAAAGAGCGATGATTAATTGGCGAGGCAAATGCCGGAGCAGGATAAGCCATTGGAGGGCTTAAAATTGCTGGATGAGTGGGAACAGTAGGTGTGGGCATTAATGCTCTTTGAGGTGAAGGCGCAACCGCTTGTAACAATGGTGTCGCAAGAGGCGAAGCAACAGATGGAAGGCCATTCGTTAGAATGATATTCATTTCGTCGCCGCTGCACTGAAGGACTTCAACATAGCGCTTTTTCGAACATGCTACACCATTTATTGTTGTCATTGTTTTTCGGTGTTTAGCTATAGCTGTTGCTTCAGCGGCTAGTTCACCTTCCATTTGAATAAAGGCCTCACCACTTGGGGCGCCGGTACTATTAATAACCATATGTACACCTTGTAAGACAATGTGTTTTGAAAATTCCCCAAGAAATGCCAAGATATCTGTGACACTGCATTCGTATGGTAAACCCCTAAGTCTTATACAGTCCTTTTGCGATCCAGTTGTTATCATCTGTTGCGGAACTGGCAATAGATTATTTGTGGGCGGAGCAAACCCCATCAATGCCATTTGTGTGGCGGCGGAAGGGTCGATAAATGAAGCGGCAGCAGCAGTTGAGACATTAACCGTTTGTGCAACACCGGCTTCCATAGCGTGTGCACGAGGGTCCATCGAACGATTGAGAACCTGTTGAACTTCGGCTGTTGTACTCTTGAACAATTCAATGTATCTTGATCCAATACATTCCCGATGTTTTAGTAAAGCCAGATCAGCTTCTTCATCGTTTGCAAATAGAACGAAAGCGTCTCCAGTAGCTCTACCATCGGCATGATGGACAAATAAGACACCTTCTTGGCCATCTAGAACTTGTACACTATTCGGTCCGGTTTGGAAGAAATCGATCTGTACAAGTTTTCTTTTGTAATTATACGAACACAAAACTTTCCCTCTAACTACTTTTATAATTTCATACGAAGCGCATAATATGTAACATACACCTTCTAAATAGTATGTGCCGTATTATATGCTTAGTTGATTCAAATACTGCATACAATAATAATAATAACAATAAAATACCAAGGATTTTCAAACTACTGACTATATGTAAGACTTGCATACTTTCTATGTGATAGCACACAACTTTTATATATAGCCATACGCTTATTTTAAGAATTTATTTTATGTAATACATATTGAAAATATACTGTATCATATGTACAGAACACATGTTTTTTAAATGTTGATGAGAGAAAGACTAAAAATCACCAGAGAAAGACATTGCGCTGTCGTTTATAAAAAGAAAATCATTTCATAAACGCATTACAAACACTCCAATCGCGTTCAAATTGCAGTCGTTATAACCACTACCAAAACTGTTAAATACGTATACCCGTTTTATGCGAACTTAACATTATATATATAATTTAAGTTCGCACTTGAAGTATATATACGTATATATATAATAATATATATATATATATATATATATATACTACGTATACAACATGAGAATATACAGTGCAAAGCTTATTAGATATCTATTGAGTGAAAAGGCAATGCAATGTGTTAACTCTGCACAAGCAAATATGCTTATCGTATATCGTCGTCTCAATAAAAAAGAAAATTTTCTTAAGCTACTACACTACCTATTCATACTCTTGAACAGTTTTGTTTCTTGATTTTAACCAACATATGGGACATTATTTTTAGATTCTTTTTTTCTCTCTCTCTCTCTCTCTCTCTGTCTGTCTGTCTGTCTGTCTCTCAATATACAAGAAACTTCTGTGTATCTTGAATTTTTTAAATAAACAAAAAATTAATAATCTTTATGTATGAAAAAGTGTTATGAAAAAAATTCATTCCGTATTATGTGCATTGCTCATGCTAAACAATATTTATGTTAGCTAGCTATAAGAGATTAAATAACGTGTTCAAGTTTATGCACTGTATAAACCATAGGCTGTATAGATAGTGTTTTTGTACGTAAGTGTAGTTTCTAAAGTGTATATCTATATATCTATATACATATATACTTTAGATACATCTACATACTGTTGGTTATACGTTTGGTTATTATGATATTATTTGTAAATGCAAGCTTATTCCGTTTAAAACACAGGAAACCACACCAGACCCGCTAAATCACTTCCCCATTTCTGCGACTTACCATTTATAGACATCGTTTACGGGTCTGTTTATATTGATAGAAAATCTTTTAAATATGTCGTTTTTATGTTCAAAATGTTTTCCTCTACCACGGCAAAAGCCCCCCACCCAGTCCCTTCTTTGCCATAAAGACTGCTTTACAAAGTCACTATAACCTTAACAAAATGCCTGATCGTCAGAGCAGAGATTAAAACTTTTCCTCACCCGCTACCACATTTATTATTAATGAGTTAAGAAAGAGGATAAAGCTAGTTAGCAAAAGGCACACTCACGATTTGTTGAGAGGTAGCAGAATAGGGTAGTCCCCGCATTCGAACAATGACTTGGCCTTCATTGTTATGCTTCTCCAAAAACTGTTGAGCTTCTGCGTTCCCTCCCCCAGCCACGTTTATAAAATCTTTTCCAGAAGCCTTATAGACTTCAATATAGCGTTGGCCCAAATGATGTTTATGTTTTCTTAGCGCCAAATCTCTATGTTCCTTACATTCAAATCGTATTAAAGCTTCGCCATTTCGCCGCCCTTGTGGACTAAGGCATAAAGCAACTCCACCCCTGTTCAATCATTTTTTTCATATTATAGCAAATCAATTTGAAACGTCTGAAAATATTGCTCTTTTATTTACTTTATAATATTTAATCCTTTAAAAAAAAGCGCGATGTCCTGATCAGAAGACTGCCATGGCAAACCTCTAGCTCTAATTACCGTGTCGTCGTCAACGTTCTCACTCTTTGAACTGTGAAATAGAATAGAACACATCATATAAAAGCACCAGTCTATAGCGAAAATGCGATTTCAATGCGAACGAACTATTTATAAATGCTGCGATTTTTTTCTATTGCAAATAATGAAATACTGTTTAGTCTAAAAGTGACATAAAGAGAAGAAGTAGGATTGTTTCAAAATACTTAGGCCTAAAGTGTGATTGGCGGAAAAAATAGATAAAGAGTACTAACCATATGCCGGGTTCCAGACGATTGCTGATTGTTTCGGGATCGCTGAACTGATAGCCTGAAGCGTGAGAAATTTTAATAAGCGTTCGAATGTCGTAAAGGGCGGTATAAACTCGATATATACTATTGACCTAGAAGCTTAGTAAGACAGTGGGCACTTCTACGTAAATATACACGCAAGTTACAACGTATACTTCTATTGCTAAACCATTCAAGTTTTTCCACTCTATTAAAGTGGAGGATTAGTAGGACGATTAATGGCCCTCGTTCCTAACTCCTCTAACTAACAATTAACAATATAATAAGTGATTAAAAACAACTATATACTCGGATTGGTAAGAGTATATTAAAAATCGATATTATACAAGGTACTATGAATTGAAATAATAATACCAAATAATGATTATTATTAATAAAAAACTTACGATCGTCCAACAATCTTTGAATAATTTTAGCCATATCTTGGCAGTGTCTGACGCCATATTCCACAGATTGGTCCACTTCTAAATTCAAGTCTATATTTGATGAACGGTTAAGGAATATTTTATAATATTCGTTATAGGCAGTATATCGTTCAGAACACGCGTTTTAGTGCGCGACAGCTGAATAGATGCACGTTTCTCAATACACAACACCTAGCTCTACAGAACAAAGCATTTGGACGCCCGTTTGATGCTCGCAACAGCTGGATAACTCAATCGAAATTGAGGAGTCATCAAGCCACGTGTACCGCAGCTGACGTTTCGAAAGGCGTCTCTCTGACATGGCTATCTATATAAGGGTTTATTTTCTTCGACGACGTCCAATGCGGGACGCACCTGCACCGTTACAGCAATATGTAAATTAAGCGCCTGCCAACCTCTAACGTCACGTTTTCATGAATGCGGGACGTATGTAGTGTTACAAAAAAGTTGTAAAAACTTTAAAGGATACGGTCTAGCATGTCTTTGATGCAATGGACAGTTTCAACCTTGTAGTGTTCCTTAAAAGCCTTCCTCAGGTCGAAGAATTTATAAAAGTATGTAGGCAATGAAATGTTTTTTCTCTGAGCTTCTGGATGTAAGACTAGTCGTAAGTGAAGTTGGCCATCGCAGCATAAAAAGAAGGATGAACCGCCATGGAGGGGGTGAAGTTCTTTTTGAACGAGAAAACGTTCGAACTGAAGAACACATTGAAAAAAAATGAATTAGCACATAAATGCTATATAGGCAAAAAAGCACATTAAAATTAAATATATATGCTACGTTTTAAAGTTATATATAAAACACGTGATAGACACAGCTAAAAACTGTGAAAACTGAGCACTTAGGCCTATTGACAGAGAATGAAACTAACCTCGTCCAGAACTTGCTCCAGAGGAGGAGCAGATTTTATGAGATCTTCATTAAGGCCAGTGACAATTTTGCATTCTTCAGTTAAAATAGTTTCTCGAAGTTCATTTTGCGTGGGCCGGCAGTAATAGGATTGCACACAAACTACTTTATTAGACGCTATGTCATAAAGTAAGTAAACGAAAAAGACGACTTCTTCTTCGTCGGAGCCAAGGTTTTCACCATTCTGACCTCCTGTCACTTGAAATAAAACGACTAGATATTCGGGGCTCATACTCCACCGTTCCCGTATAACTATAATTTAACGTGCTCAACTAGAATTGTCAGGTTGCCCTTTCCGTAGCCTTTTATACAAGTGCATTTTTAAAGAACGACAGCGTTCAGTTCTCTGATTGGTTGTTACATGATAAAATTGTAGGTGGCGGTACTTATTCGCGGAATGTATTAATTCAAAAAATATAATGTTGCTTTATCTACAAATTATACTCTATAAACAATCACGGACGGTTAAAATAGGACGAGACAGTGTTTACTTTATGCATATTAGCACCTTACTAACTATCGCCCAAAGGCCCCTCTTCCTCTAACAGGGCCTGCAGAATTAGGCCTACCTCCACCCCGACCCCCTCTTATAATATTCGAGCCTCTTCCTTGTCCTCTATTAACTGGTGGATTAGTAATTTCACTTTCATCTTCGCTTTCATCCTCATCATCATCTTCAAGATCATCGTCTTCGCTACTAGCAGCTGCATATCCCCTCCTATCATTTCGATTCTGGCCATTGAATGTTCTTGCTTGAGCCTGAGGTGATCGTCCAATTTCAGATTTAGCAACAAACATATTAGCCGAAGAAGTCGAATGTTGACGGCTATGTGTTGCCGAACGAGTTTGAAGTGGCGTTGCAGATTGAGAAGATAATCGTGTATCGTTCAAAGACGACCTTGAATTTTGCCGTTGTATATTTAATCTACCTTCAGTTTGAGAAGGATTCAGTACGGATCTAAAACTCTGATATGAAAAACAAATTTGTTTCATTTTATTTGTTCATAAAGAAATATTACCGCTATATCAGCTTCCTCATCAATATCCTGCAAAGATCTATAACAATTTGTAAAGTGTTCCAAAGCTCTTGCGTGAAATATTAATTCGGTATTCACGAAATCCATAAGAATGTTCTGAAAAAAAAGATAAGAGAAAAGAACTTTAAATCACTTAATTAAACAAAATATTAACTCACTTTCAGATCATTTACTTTTTGTCTTTCAAACGACTCCATTTTCTCTTCCAAAACTTTCTCCGAATGGAGTGCTTGTGTACTAGTTTTAAGCAATTCATGCTCCTTTCTTGTCTATTGCGAAATAATAGTCATATAATAAGTTTTACAATAACTTACGTAAAAATGTGGGTAATAATATACCATATCTTGACGATCAATTGAACCCCTTTCTCGAGTTCTTTCAAACTTTTTACGACTTTTTAGATCCTTCTCGTGTGCGGTAAATGCATTTTTCAAGTCTTCTTTTGCATCTTTACATTTGTGTCCATATTGCGATAGAGGGTTTACAACTTTACGTTGAATGCTTTTAACCTATTTTTAATAAAGAATTGAATTTGCTATGGTGTAAAATTTTTATTTAAAAATAAAAGAATGCAAACAATACCTCGTGATCTCGATAATCTTGAACAGCAGAAAAGTTTTGTGCAAAAGTTGACAATGCTTCTAGTGTACTCTGGTTAACAATTTCAGTTTCGGAATAGTCCTTGATCTTTTGACATATTTCGTCACCTAATGAAAAGCTAAATTAAAGAAACAGCCCCAAGCCTTAATATGATTCTCACCTTTGTCTCTAAGTCTTGCTATTTTTCGAGAAAAAGCACCGAATGCTTGACACATTTCGCCCAGGTGCTTTTCCACCTGGGCGATTCGTTGCTCTATAAATCTTTGCTGTCGATTGCTGAAATTTTAACATTTAGAAAAATTCAATCACTGCAGTCGAACAGAGAGCGAAAACAAGCTACGACAGGCAACGCCTCTGTTATGTTAAGAATGTGCCGCAAAATCAAATATGAAAATTCACTGGGAAATTACAATTTAAAGATTTTGATAACAAATGGCACAAACCTTGACCATATATCAGCCCCTGTCCGCGGATTTCCTGACATTTCTAGTCAAATTTTGATCGAATGTCGAAACTTGGGTATCGAACGAAAGAATAATTCCAAACAATAAACTGAAAATCATTCAAAAACTCCACAGTGTCCGAATCTGGAATGGACAAACTAGCTGAAAGTGATTCTGACGATGATCTTCCTAGTGGTTGGGAAGAAAGGGTCACAACAAACGGGAAAGTCTATTATGCAAAGTAAGTTTTTTTATGATTGTCAGGAATATTTTTTTTAATATTTCTTTAAAGAGTTTTTATATATTTTTTGTCGAGCGATAATGAATGTTTATTGTTTCAATCTATCTTAAGCCATCAAACTCAAGAAACTCAATGGGAACATCCTTACACAGGGAAAAAGAAAAGAGTAATCGGAGGTTTGTTCATTGCATAATACTGATAAAAATTTATTTAGGTCAACTACTCCCAGATTTACCTTACGGTTGGGAACTGACAGTGTCGGATCAAGGACTGATAGTCTACGTTGAGTAAGTTTGTATATTATGAAATAGAACTGATCTACTCCGGTTGCAATTCTTTTTAGTCATATAAATCAGAAAACCACCTTCACGGACCCTAGATTAGCATTTGCAATTGAAGATGATTCTTATAAATTTGTACCTTTAAAATGTCGATTTGACTCAAGTACGACTACATTACAACTTCTTCATGGAAAAGACCTAACGGGAAAATATATAATAGTTACTGGAGCTAGTTCTGGATTAGGTATTAGAAGTAATTAGCTAACCAATAAATATATAATACATATACATTTTGAAAGGATATGAAACAGCTAAATCATTAGCTCTTCATGGCGCTCACGTGACTATGGGCTGTAGAGATGTTAAAAAAGCTGAATTAATAGCTTCTAAAATGATTGACAACAGGTTAATATTTATAAAGAAATTCTACAAATATACTAAATATTGTATATAATATAATTTTAATACTAAATGCATATAAACAAATAACTCTTAAGCAATTATTTCTTCATTGCAGCTCCAAAGTTAAATTGAATATTTACGTTAAACATTTGGATTTGAATGATTTGAAAAGCGTAAAATGTTTTGCGCAGGAATATATTTCTCAGGGCTGGTGCGTAAATTTCTTTTGTTGATTATTCGATTTAGTTTTCTTTTTATTAATATGCTTTTGTTTGTTTAGGCCTTTAAACGTTCTTATCCTTAATGCTGGCGAAATGTTTCCTCCATTCCAAAAAACTGTTGACGGGTTTGAAAGAACATTTCAATCACATTATTTGGGTCATTTCTATCTGTGCAAATTTCTTGAAAATCTTTTAGTTGCTTCAGGCTACAATAGCTCTGAAAATTCTCGTATTGTTGCTGTTACATGCGAAGCTCATTGGTGCGTTAATCTAATTTAATGTAGTTGTACTATATTGTTATATTTGAAATTAGGCAATCGAAGATTCAAAATGCATCAGATATTATCGCTAATACTCTAAATCCCCAAGCGTCTGGCTATTGCCCCTTAGAAGCCTATTGTAATGCAAATCTGTGCAAGCTACTTTTAGTAAAAGAACTTAATAGGAGAATGGATAAGAAGAGGGTATCTATAAATATAATTATAAATATTATAAAATAATAACAATATTTTGTTTGCTACAATTTTTCTGTGAATACAGAGACAGGTATATGCCCTATATCTATCTATATAGTTTATATGTTCGTGACTTGTTTACTAATTAAAAAGCCTTTCTTGTAGTATTCATTTCTTAGATAGATTAAGATGGTTATTCCGCTATGTACAACTTTCCTTTGCATCCTGAATTATATTTTGTGTAATAAAGTGATTTTTTTATTCGCTTAGGTTATTTGTCACGCAGTGCATCCTGGAAACATGATATATACCTCTATATTTCGTCACTCCTGGTGGTTAATGCTAGCTTACACCCTCTGCAGACCTTTTACTAAATCGAAAGAGCAGGGTGCTGCTACTATTGTTTATGCAGCCACATCGAGGCAGGCTAGTAGATTACTTAATTTCTTACGTCAATTAACTCATTTATGGAAAATGCGAGTAGGTGGGCGTAATCGGCGGATGCTACTTCATGAACTGTTCTGAATGTCAGCCTAGTTTGGCTGCACAAAGTGATATTTTAGCCAAGGAGTTGTGGTCTTTGGGGGAATTGATGATACAGAAAGCTGCTACTTTGAACGACTTAAACTTACGCTGCAAACAGCTGACTGATGCAGAGCAACCAAACGAAGCCCCGACCGAGTTTGCCATATGCTAATGAGGAACTGACGCGTCTGTTTGCCGTGTCTCCCAGGTATTCCTGTAATTCTCGTTTGACGTCAGTAATTTGCATTGACGTCACAAGTAACGCCCTACAATCTACAGAGGTCATGCTACATAATTTTTTTATGTATAAGTAGTTTCTATAGCAATTACTATTCTCTATAAATTGCGTGGGCACATGTTGCATTTATGACGATCGACTATTTGCGATAGAGTAATTTCCTATCATTCAATAAATTAATAGCTAAATTCTGGAAATTTCGCGGATACTTGTTTGTAGGGATGCCTAAATATGACGTCATTGGAAGATACAAATAGAACAAAAAATTGATTAGTGGAAGCCGCGCATTCACCCTTTCGTCCGTTTTCTTTGAATATGAATATATATATGGTACATATATATGAATATATATATTTATAGATATACATATGTACTAATATAAATTGTATATATATATATATATACATATTTATATATACAGTATATATATATTGTATATATATATATATATATATATCTACATCCAGCTAACAGGGTAGACTATATATACAAGCTAGACTTTTATATTTAAACATATATTGTATTTGAATACATAGTTTGTATGAGTGGATAAATATATCTTTATTTATGTGTTGATATACAGATGTGAGTTAATAAATTTTTATACTCTACTTAAATGGCATGTACAAATTTTATTTGTAAAGGATTTAATAGGGCAAGGAGCAAGGAGTTAGCTTCTGCATATTTTGTTAACAGATTTTTGAATTTTTCTGTACGAACTTGCTCTGTTTTATAGTACGCTATATAAGACAATTAGATAAGTCTTAGCGAGAAAGGAAGGGGGAGAAAGGGTGATCGATCGGGCACATGATGGGCGTATTCTTTCTTGGCTATTCACTCCCACATGTGCTAAAATACAGCTGATTAAAGATTGAGGTGAACATCTTATAGGAGATCGAACTATATGTTAAATGGCAGTGTTTGTATTACTTGAGGAATAAATAGCAGGAAAATATAGATACTACAATCGTTTATGCATTCATAGAAATTTTATCGAATTTATATAATCTCACACGACCTTCCGACACACTTTCGTTCAGTTTGTGCATAGAAAGTAGAAAAACTTCTTTTCTAGAAAATGACGCTTTCCGGAGACATTGGAATACTGGTCAATTGTTGCCTTTCAAATTCTGTTTTATAATAGTCTCTTTCCTTCTTAAAATAATCTCTTTCTCTTCTAAGAGAGTCAATTTCTTCCTTTGCGACGTTTAATTGGTTCTTCAATTCTTGGAACTGACATAGGACACTTTGGTTCACTTTTTCCAAGTCGGCTTTTTGTTGTAGACGTTTGTTTCGACAATTATGGGCATAACCTCGGTTCTTCAAGGTCCTTCGCCTTTGTTTTATACGGGTTATTTCATCTTTTGACAAACCTTGAAGTTGTCGATTTAATTCTTTCACGGATAGAGATACTAGCTGCATGTCGGTCATATTCAATTTTGTTGGTTCGTTCTGCAGGGGTTGTTCACCAACCATCTTGATAAGTTCTTCAACGTTAATTTCTTTATGATCAGTGGGTAGTCGGCATTGATGAATGTCTAAGGATGATGCAGATGAGGCGTAAAAATCCGACTCAGGAGAAGAGGGATACGATGAAGAGTGGACAGGTGATGTTTGTTCATCGTCATTACTAGATATACCGTTGATGAGTGCCAAAATGTCGTCAGATAGTTCATTCATGTTGTTACAGCGACTAAAGTGTATAAACAAACTCGGATAAGTAGAGTTTTAAATGTTTCGCGCTTGAAATTTTACGGAGAATTGCCGGAGTTCCGCTTTATATAGGGATAGCTCCATTGTGTTACTACTTTGGGATATTGGCGCACAGCGAGCCAATCAGCGTTAAGATCATAGCTATTTTTAGACATTACGTTTGGCGAATCTATGGAAAATTCGGGCATGCAAATGAGGTAGTTATTTTTAGAATTGAATCTGTCACTCAAAACTGCCGGTGCATTTCTACTCTATTCAAAGACCTCATATAGGCCATGGAACGGGTGTTAAAACTTTTCTTATACCTATTAATAGATTGAAAATTAATATATTATGGTAATTACCGGCTTATTTTAACGAAAAATTTTGTTTTAAGCTAAAAAAGTGTCTGTTATACTTTTATTGTAGGAGGAGCAGTACTTCGGCCTTAAAGAGAGTCAAATGGGTTGCACAATTTCTTATAGAAAATCTATTGCACTCAAATTATTTTTTTAATCTTTCAGTTTATTCTGAGAAAATATCAACAATATCAATACCAACAAGTTTAAACGACACCGGACAAGACAGAGGATCCAGTTGGGTTATTATGCTCACTAATAATTTCCGATTTTGTCTGAACGTTCGATTAATTTCGATGAACAATAGCACCTGTAGGCTAAAACTGCATTAAAAAATAAAAACAGGTGAATTTAATCGCTGTCAAAGTTTAATTTTGGATGAATATCGTCTGGAAATAGAAACATTTTTATTACAATAAAAAAACAATAATGTCAAGTACTAACTGAATGTTTCGGGAGAAAGATCGCACGAATGGCTGATTTCCAAATCGTCGTGGGATCCTAAAGATATAAATGACAGACTACCTGTTGGCGTTTTATCTACTGTCGTCCGGTCTAATTCTCTGTTAATAGTAAATTAGGTGACTTTTTAGTTTAATTCTTTTTCTAAAAATATACTTTTTCTTAATATCCTCTGTTGAAATGGATATTTTTCTTGGTCTAGCTACTTTATGTTTCAGTTTACATTGGTTGTTGTTACATTTTTTACCTTTCAGACAGATGTTTGTGTGAAGTTTCTTGCACTGTTTAGGAAATTATAGTTCTATAAATAACTATTTAAAAAAGAAAAAAAAACAAGATAGTATTCTTGTTGAAATTAACGTGGGCGCCATTTGAGCAGTATCCATTGACGAAGTCCTGGCAGACTTCGGCATTTTTTCCTAAATTTATATGCAGGTATGGGCAATTTTCCTTGTTGCAGACTCCTTTCAGAAAGTAATGGCACACTGGCATTCGATTTGTTGATAGCTGGTGTAGGAATGGACAGTTATCTTCGACGCATTTTCCCTGAGCATAGCTGATTTGAAGCAAGACCAATATGAAGCATTATCAAACTAAGATAAGAATTTAGTAGATACCGAGTACAAACAGCCACTTTTGTGCTATCATGAACATATGGACATCGTTCCTTTCTAGAGCATTTTCCAAAACGAGTATAGAAAATACACAATTTTTTCGTTGGTGATTTGTTTACATGACGACGAATCTTAAATTTGGATACTGTCGCTATACTACGCTTTAGGACTTTTCTAAAAATAATATTAATAAAAAATACATATTATTAATATCAATATTATATTAATTAATATGAACTAATCTTACTGAGCATGAACAAATTTTGTACTTCTCAGAGTCGGAGTGAAACCTAATTAGTGGGAAAATAAATATTATTCATATATATATACTGTATGTATATTGCCTGTTATTAAATATAATATATGATTTTAAAAAAAAGATAATTACTTTTTTTATCATTTTGAATTTTTATCAATTTTCTATTGTTGTTAGATTTATAATGAACACCATCTATATTGAGAATTGGGCTTTTTGACTTGAACTTTCTTCTATCTACTTTTAGTTGTTTTCTGGATGGGGGTCTCACTGGTGTTTTCTTGGTGTAGTTACCGTTTATAAATTTATATTTATTTCTGGATATGTTATTAACTTTTCTTTGTAGTACCGTATTTATCAGGCATGGATCTATTCGCAATAGAAGACACGTTAACTTACTAAATAAATGTTTTGAATTCGAACAAACCTTCATTGCGGCGATTATCTATATTATACGACGCAAACCTATTATTGGGAGATTTGTAGATCGGAAGCTTCGCAGGTTTTTTAAACGGCAATTTGACTAATTTATATCGAGATTTATAAACATTGTTATACATTTGATTCGTTACAGTTTTGTCATGACTTCCTGAAGTACTAGGGACTAAATATTCTTTATTTAGTTGAATTTGGCCAGAAGTTAGGTCTCCCTTATCCTGACCAGATGACACAGACACCGTTTGATTTCGAAACACTGGTTCAATTTCTTTTGATTGATTTTTGGAATGCTTTTCTATGAGATCTGTAGTATTTCTAATTTATGTATTATTTAATCCTAATAGGAAACTACCTGAGAGGAAATTAATTTCACGCAGTAAGTCATCTTTTTCTTTTTCTATATGTTCGTCAGACATTTTACATTGCTTCCGTAATAGCAGACTGCTTTTCGGTTGAAAGCAGAACAGATTTCGATACCAGGTGGTCACGTGACACGCCTGTTGTTGGTAACGTAGGAATTGATTCAGCTTTTCTCTTCACAGAAATAAAATTTAAAGACATCTTTAAGAGGTTTCTGTCCAAATATAAATTTAAAATCTAATACTATGGTATCTTACTTATGAAAGATTTGTTCTGACGTGATATGGTTATTTTTACAAACGTGGGTACTACAGCGTGACGGCCATGTTTAACTAGAGCACGTTCTTATTGTCTATTCTAATTTTATCTGCAAAATGACCGAAGTATGTTGTAATTTTCAAATTTTTAAATTATATAATTGTGCTGTTGTCCAGAACTCCGTGACAATCAGCATTCGAAAAGCATCCGTTAAAGATGCTTCCAAACTTGTACAAACGGTATCTGATGCCAGTCTTAAAATATTGGAAGAAGATATGTGGTACAAGATCGAAGGAAGTGTGGACTCCTTAAACAAACTCTGGGCTTCAATTGTCGATCTGACAGCTTCGAGCGAAGCTGGACAATCGAATTTATTGGAAGAAAGCAATTGTGTTAAAATTGTTGAGAGCGATATATCTCTAAAAACAGATTGTTTTAGTGATGAAGATGAAATTTTGGCCTATTGTGCTGTTTGCTCTTTTAGAGGAAATTCAACATATCTAGAGGAACATTATAGGAATGAGCATCACGACGTGATTCCTAATGCTAGTCGTTTTTGTTCGGACATGTGTGAAATATGTGAAAGGTATCGTTTTACACACTTTATATATAAACCTGATAATTTTATATTTTTTTAGAACGTGCGAAAGCTATTACGATAAACGAAAACACAGAAGAACTCACATTAACTTTGATGGTAGTTTGAATGACTGGTCAAAACGAATACTGTCTTCGAAAGGTGTTTTGCTGAGTGTTCCACCAGTAAGTTAATAGAAAAGCCACAAAAATACCTTATTTAAAATATATTTAGTGATAAATTGGACAAATTTCTCATGTAATTGATATATTACTTTATCTATTTAGAAAAAGGAAAATACCCAAAGCAATGCTAAACTCGTTAATGTTCCCGAATATGCAAATGGTATGGAGCTTTTGTCATCCGTTATTGTTCGTAAAGAAATGGAGGAGGCTTCTTCAGAAGATGTTGACGCTTTTTGTGATTTATGTGGTCTTCATACAGTTCTCTCAGAAATTCAGCAACACTACCAAGAGCGACATTCTCATGGTGTTAGTGAATGTTCACTTTGCGAATTTAGTTTCAGTTCAATAGCTTTTTGTAAAAAACATGCCACTTCAAGCCATCCGAATCAACAGGTTTTTTACGCTTAACACTTCATTAAGTTATTCTAACTAACTGTTTTTTTTCAACTGTTACATAAACAGGTCAAAATTCGTCGAAATAACGTAGAAATATCAGAATTTATATGTGAGAATTGTGATAAGGATTTTCTGACTTCAGAATACTTAAAAACTCATATGGCTTCTCGGCACGCTAATGAGAGTCCCGAGCGTTGTAGATTTGCTTATAATTGCCAGATGTGCAATTTCGGTAGCTCACTTTACAACGATATAATAAAGCACATTAAAGAAGATCACGATGCGCCAGATTTATGTCCTCTCTGCCAAACTCCTTTCAGAGATGTAGATAAACTAGCCAATCATCTTAAAAAAATGCATCCAAATGCTGATTATCATCAATTTGAAAAGCTCTGTGTTAAGGTTGAAGGACATAAATGTAATGAATGCGAGAAGGAATTTAAAGAATTACGTTTATTAAATGTTCATATAAAACGGGTACATAAGAAAGAAGTAAGATACGTTTGTGATGTTTGTCAAAAAGGATTCTTTGAACACAGCAAAATGAGAGATCACAAACTAACACACCTATCCGAAGAGGCTAAAGTCGAGAAGATGAAGTTTGAGTGCCGTTTCTGTAAAAGAAAGTTTAATAAATTAGCTAATTTAAAACAGCATGAGAATAGTCACACTGGGAATAAAGAGTACGTGTGTTCATTATGTAATAGAGGATTTGCATGGATAACTGAAGTAATTATACGATTATAAATGGGTTCCTTAGTATTACCTAAATTTACATGCTTTCAGCTGCGAAAGCACATGATATCTCATTCCAGAGAAAGACCCTTTAAATGTAACATGTGCTATAAATCGTTTAAAGTAAAGAATCGGTTGGAGTCTCACATGATAATACATACGCAGAAAAGCAAATTCAACTGCGAGTTTTGCGGAAAGGTGAGAGCAGTACTGTTAAGTAAACAAAGTTTCTGATTAAAAACTTCTTATTTTCTAAGGCTTTCACAGTTCAAGCTACCCTCAAAAAGCACCATTGTAAACAAGCTGAAATTCAGAAAATGATATATTCCATGAAACAGCCAGCACAACCACCAACTCCCCCCCAAATTCAACAACAAGTTCAACAGCGCGAAGCTACCGATGATGTGTCGTATATGTGCGGAGTTTGCAGGGAAATGTTCACTGATGCGTATGCGGTTGATGAGCACGTAAAGCAACATGTACAAAATGTTGAAGGCCAGATAGAAGAAGAAGTGTTGATAGATGGGACGTACGAAACTTTTACAACAGATGGCGCTAACTGAATCAACTGCAGAATTACAATAAATTAGATATATAGAATGAATTTGACAAATCATATGCTATTTATTAGAGTAATTGAACGACCCTTTCTAAAAATCCCAGGATATTACATGTAGAAAACTAAGAATTTGGGTCTGAATTTATTGCAGTAGAGGGAAAAAATATATGGGCACCTGCGAACAACGTGTTCATCGTTACCGTTTAACAGTTTATTGGAAACTAGAATCCCAGCGTATGTTGAGTTTATAATAAAGAGAATACAATTTAGAATGATCTCTCAACTCATTGCGCATTTTCCTTATTGCCACCTTATTAACCTAAAGTAGAAATTTCCTTTTACCATAGATAAAAAAGGGAACAAAATTGCGCTAGGTTTTATTGGCGAATCGCGCTGACTGATAACGTTCGTATGTTGCAGTAGTGCTGGAGGCAAAACCTTTTTTTTTTTTTTTGCAAAGCGCTCCGATCTCTTTCATTTTCGCTTTTTGTACTTTTAACATTCTAGTTCCGAAACGAATTAATAAATGAAGAGTTTCGAAAGTTTTGACGCTTTCTGTAAGTTTGTTAACAGTCGGATTTCCGGCCGATAGTGATTTCAACTTTGAACTTTTACAGGCGCACTTGCAGCTTGTTTGGGCAAAGTTTGTTTGGCGTGTTTATTTTTGCTTAGAATGCTGAAATTTCTTCTAAATGAACGCTACGGATATAGGTCGAGAACTCGATCGTAATTTTAATTAGCACCTTTAAGTTCATCGAGTATTTTCTTTAAGATAGTTTTAAGACATAATAATTTTAACTGGAAACTGCTTTGGCTCTTCTGGTTGATTTGCTACTATGAATTTTACTTTTTGAATAATTGGGACCGATCTCTAAGATACTTAGATTCTGAGACTAAGTGGGGGCGCTGCGAATGGTTTGGCATTTACTTTCTAAAACTCTCATTTTTAACGGAGTCATGCGATCGCTCGTGTTGTTTCTTACCACTTTACTTTGGAGTGTCGTTTTGATGGCCGTAGATCGCAAATGTCCCGTCGAGGCTTGTGTGGATGGCTCGTATGAAAGACATCACTTTGTAGAGAAAAATTGTAGATGTGATAAGTTATGCAAGTTTTACAACGACTGCTGTCACAAGACGAAGAAGGAGACTCTTTTGCTGAAAAATGCTTCTTGTATTAACGACGAGAGATTAGTTCTTCCAGAGTCCTATAATCATTTATATATGATAGACGCCTGCCCACCTCATTTTACAAACCATTCTAACTCAGAAATGGACATTTATAGGTCAAAATGTGAAGCTGAATCAATGCCATCGGATGATAAGAGTTGGGGAACGCGTTACTTTCTACCGGTTAGTGGTCGTATTACCGTAAAAAAGAAAAGGCCTATAACAGTGGTCTTTCGGAACATTTATTGTGCAGTCTGTAACTCGGCAACTTGGTTAAAATCATGGAATGTTGTTCATGACTGCATGTTAACCAGTAGAATCTCAAACGGAACTCGTTTCAGTCGTGATTTATATAATTCCCTTTTAACGGCGTCGATTTCAAAGAGCAGATGTAAATTACGTTTCCAGCCGCCCGACGACGATCTCGATAAGTCGGGGGTCCGATATTGTAAAAGGGCCCATTCAAACGCCGGATGTTCGTCCTCAGAAAATTCAAAGAATAATAAATTGTGCGTAACGGCCCCATCAAGAAACGTTTACGTGGATAATGAAGGATATTTTACCGCTTTTAGAAATGAATATTGTGCTCGGTGTCATAATTTGAATTTAACTTATGTAATATGTAGAGATCCAAGGGGAATACCAGATTACACAAAAAAGTCAGGAAAGTTTAATTATAGATTTCGTGTTAATTGGCTCCAGTCTATGGGTTCTATAGAGTATTTTGAAGACTTCAATAGCAATGGTAAACCGACGGTAGAGAAGTTTGGCAAGTTAACCAAGTGTACAAAGAATACGGTTTATGATCCGTTTGACCGATCTTGCCATTCGGTCTGTCCAGAAAATCGTTATACGACCATCGAAGGTGATTGGGAAAAAGTTAAATGTTCTGAGACGCCCCAAATAGAGATCTCTACTAGATCTACTAAAAAATCCTTTTCCTCTACTTCTAAATCGACAACTATTAGACCGACTAGTAGTACTTCAACAGACAAATGGACAACTCTCGAAATGATGAAGAAAACACCAAAGCCCGCCCGAAGGGAAGTTCCGGTTGAGAAGGAATCACTCTGTCCTCCAGATAAGCGTCTAGTTTTGGTAAAGAATGACTCTAAAGGAGATTCTATTGTCATGGGATATAGAGTTATGCTAGAGGAGGGCACTGGTCGATATTATATCTGCAGTAAACAGAAGATAGGAAAAGGGCACTCAGTTACCCCCGTCCACGCTTATACCTTTGATTTCGACCGTAATCTCTATGTTGTAAGCCTAGTTGCTACATCAATGTCAATTATCGGTTTAACTATTTTACTTGGAGTCTATTTCATTTTGAGCAAACTCCGAGATTTAGAGGGGAAATGTTTAATAAGTTTATGCTCAGTATTATTTGTCGCGCAGTTCCTTTTATTGGTAGGAACCAAGAGGACCGAGGTACGCTATGTTTGTCTAACTATAGCTACCGTTTTGCATTATTCTTTTTTGGTCGTATTCTTTTGGACAAATTGCCTATTCGTTGATTCGATACGTCTGCTAAAGAGCCGTTCCTGTAATGATGAGGAGGGTAGACGCTTTGTGCTATATTCGCTGTATTGTTGGATACTTCCGCTATTTATAACAGTTACCGCCCTATTACTGGACATTAGTACAAACCACGATTACTACCGACCGAATTACGCGCTCAATGAATGTTGGATCACTTCTCGAAAGGGTCTATTAATCTGGTTCATTCTACCCTCCTCTTACTGCCTCTTAATCGACCTCTTCTTACTACTGAGAGCTGTCTGTATAATCTGCTCGAGGCCCGTGGAAAGGGGTCGGCGAACATTGACCATCTACGCCCTCTTCCTCTTCCTTTTGGCCAGCTGTTGGATATCGGCCTTCTGTTGGGCGTTCTCCAATCGACAAATCCTCGCTTACACATTCGTATTAACGAACGGATCGCAAGGTGTCTTCCTCTGTTTGTCGGTAGTCTGCGCTCAAAGGGTTTTCGTTGGCCTAGTAAACAAGGGTAGGATCTGTGAGACGTACGAACAAACTGATAGATTTCCCATCTCGCACCGAACCAGGCAGTATATTTACGATGAATCGAAAATTTCCACTCATGAAACTCGTATATAAATCATTTTCGCATATGTTTATAATACACTGGTTACATCATCCGATACGGCCGTAATTAGGGGGAAAAGTCCAGGGTAAATGAATAGGCCGAATAGGCCGACTTCGATTGATAAGGGCGGAAGGCCCGCAAAGAATTCTAATTAGCGCATCAATTGCACCTGGTTAAACTCAGCTAGTTCGCATCTTTTGGGTCTAGCCCCGTAACCGATAAGCAGCTCTATTAATATATAAACAGTCGAACAACGATCAGCCTTGTCTTCCATCTCAATCTACAAATTCTACACTTCCCCTACTTATCTACCCCTTTTATCTTATCCGCTGACGTAAGACAAACCATCTTTAAAAACGTTCCCCCGGTCCTAATTCGAATTAACTCGGATAAGAGGTGGATAACTTTTTATAAACTTCATAAAATCTACTCCATTTAGTCCATTAATATTCATTATATACGAAAATATTCCCCACCCTTTCGTCATCTGCACGCCAGATTCCGGCGGCAAACTCTCACCCGACATCCGCTCAATGTGCTAATGGACGTTTTCTTTTTTGTACGTAAACAATCGCCGAGGGTCTCGTTCGGTGAAACGTGACGGAAATGACAAACGTATCTAGCGGCCTACGAGAGGTAGCCGATGATATGTGGAGAAGTTAAAATGAATGAGTTAATTAGATATAGTACAGACAGACAACAGACGTTTGTTTGTAAAACAAGGCATTGGCAAACTGACTCACATACTTCATTCTATGCAATTTCGCGTGCCGTTCGGTTACAATCTACTAGTATAATTCATTATCTATACGAGGAAGGCCTTTACTCCTTGAGCAAGACGGCAGCTTATCTTAATAATCCGTTAGCGATAATCCCAAACAGGTTTTGCAGTGCTAGTGGTAAACAAAGTTTAAAACGCTCCTGCAAACGTGCGCGTGCACTTGTTTGCCGATGGTATAATTGTAACGGCTAAACCGCGATTAGAAAGATAGCCGCTCACGAACGGTTTTTTATTTATACATTTATACCTTTGATAACTACAATCTGTTCATTTCTTAAAAAGAAAAGTCTTTTTTTATTCAACTGCCATCTAGCGCTAATGATTGAAAAGTTTTTTTCTTGCTTCCGCGTGTTTCTCGTTATCCCATTCACTAAAACGAATAGCGTGAGGATCTTCACTGCTAGGTGGATCATAAATACAGGAACGAGACTGTTGGACACACTCCGTAACTCTTTTCTTAAATTCTTCAATATTCTTATCATACAATTCCGCTGCCTCTTCATTCTTGGGATTAGTTGAATCAATTTGATAAAAGATGCTCCTTACGTACATTAATACTTCTCCTATGTGGTTTCTATTCTTTCTAGAAAATAAAAGAGAGAATAAAACAATCGAATGACACTTTAGAAAAATATTTTCTCTTATTCTTTTCAAGAATAGTAAACGCTGTCAAACATCTAATTTATTACGCCATTTTGTAAACGTTTAAACGTATACCAGATGGTGACAAGAAAGAATAACATAGTACTGTTTACTAACCTCCAATGCCGAAATGCTCGTTTTACATCCACTTCACCGCTTCGTTGATCCACGCAAGGATGAAATACCCGAGTATCGAAGTTTATTTTCTAGAACCAGTTTTAGGTTATTAAACGTAAATAAACAGAAAGAATATAAAAAAAACTTACAGGGCAATCGGAATCCGGATAATTCGGGGGTATATGAATGGTAAATTTAAAGCAAGATCCCTCGTACATACCCTGTCTTAAGAATATTACACCAAACCAGACTGTAATTAATAAGGTTAATTGCCTGCTACATTTTAGATCTTGTTTACTTACTTGAAGGTGAATTTGCCGCAGGTATTACATATATTCCAGGTAGTTTTTGCCGTTGCAGTAGATTGCTGTTTATTGGAGTAAAGGGAAAATTAATTGTTTAATAATTACTTGAAAAAATATTTACAATTCAGCAAGTAAAGAGTATTCTAAAAACAACGGTTCTATTTTCTTTGACGATGATAGGTCGCTACGTTGCCCAATTCTGTTGCTCATGCTTGGATATTTCTTAGTCTTGAGTCTTTCATTCGATACTTTCCACTATAATAAATATTAAAGTAATCATTATTAATTTAATATGCGTATATTAATACATTGAAAAAAATGGCGAAACTATATCCTGAAATGGATGCATACAGTACAATTAGATTTATCATTATTTAAAATAAATATAAGCTTTTACCGGTTTACGTGATTTAGGAAAGCAACAAGATTGAAACATTTAATAGATTTATTTCCTAGTTAAATAATACAGATGAAAAATACAGTAAAAGAAAGAGAAAGAGAGAGAAAGAGAGAGAGAGAGTGAGAGAGAGAGGGAGAGAGATAAATAGGTGAAAAAGAACAACGGAATAAAGGCCTTGCAGTTTTATAGTATGTTTTTAAGTTGGTCCGGCCGAAATCTCGTATACAATTTCGTGCAAAGGTCAAATGGATTTTTTTCAGAAATTGAACAAATACCATTGATTAAACTAAAACACATCAGTCAATCAAGTTGAACTAACCCTGGAGGAGAGGTATAGTTGTAGAAACTCAGTTTAAAGCTAGTTTAGTTAACTTATCTAATTGAAGTTTTGTCAAATAAACGGTTTTGTAAGTATATTGGATTTTTAGATTACACTGTTGATTGTTGGAGCAAGTGGCGTATTGAATGGGTCGATTTTTTTTATTTTTCTTCAGCTTTATACGTTTTACTTCTGAAAGCTTAGAGGGTTGTCTAAGACGATTACCACCGCTTTTTTTCATACGTTTTTATAAACGTTTGGAGCAACGATAAGAAGCCGATAAAAAAGAATCGATAGCTTAATACAGGAGTGTACAGCGTAACGGCACGAAATTTGATAATGGATAATGGTTACTAATTGCCCATAATATTGAAATACAACCGTATCTTTAAAATTTTCTATATAAGAAAACGACTCAGGGAAGAAAAAACAGAAAAGACCGATAAAAGAAGAAAAAGTTTATGCAAAAAGATAAGGGAACTAAGGTATATATCTATAGCTATAGAAATTTGATTATTTTAAAATATGTTAAAGAAAAATAGATAATTATTATCCAACTAGAAAAGTTTCTTTCTTTATATAAACTGATTAAAATGCAAAAAAAAAAAATATATATCATAAGCATTCGAATAAAATAAATAAATACATCAAAAGATAAGTGCAGCGATTGAATCGAATATTAATAAAGTTGATAAAGCTTTTTCCAATATCGGCGTCATAAAACAATGAATATATAAAGAATGAGTATGAATGATGCAGATTCGAAAAGTTACTGGAGAGAGGATATAGATGATAATTACTTTAGAAAACAAATAAAATTCGCTTTATTACCTTTATACGCGGCTCTAAGGAATCAGGTTGAACCTCGACAGCCGAAAGGGTATTGGATTTATTATATCGATATTTATATTACTCTTAATACTAATATATTACTGTGTACATATATATATAAATATACGAATGTTGTTATAGTAAATCTCTCGTCAAAACAGATCTTGTCGAGCGGCACAGGCATCAAGATCTATTAAACGTATCCTCGAAAATAGAAAATTTACTAATGTACTTGATATAACTCGTTTTTTGGTATCGATGGACGAGGAAAGATCGGCTAACGTCGTCCACATAAGAGTATTTAAGGGCGGTCCGATCTCTATCAAAGACCTGCCTCATACGATCAAATGTAAACATTTGAAGATGGAATTGGAAATTATGGCCGGGCTACCCACAAATATTGATTATTCTCTTTGCTTTCCAAAGCATAATGTGTTGGATGACAATTATGAAATCACGTTTAATGATAATATATCGTCTGGTGCACTCTTTACTGTTCAATTTCCCCCCTTATGGGAAACGATCGTAAATTTGCTTAGTGAAGACAACCCCGATTGCTTAATTAAGCATGTGAGGATAGTTTCAGATACGCTGTCGGAAGAGAAAGCTGAAGAGTTAATCTTTTGTATAGCTTTCTTAGCTAGTTCTATTGGTAATGTTAAGACTCTTAAATCTCTATATAATATCAATGGAAAATCGTTTACTAGAGAGACAATATTCAAACGTTCTTGCGCTCATAGCGCTGCTCATCAGGACAATATAAGCGTCTTATACGAATTGAATCAAAGTCGATTAGATTTAACGAAAAAGGACATTTTTGGAAAAACACCGTGTGATATTGCAGAAAGTGTGGACGCTAAGTCGAGTGTTAGATTTTTCAGAGAGTTGATTAAAAATAGAGCAGGTCTTATTAATAAGAATCTATTACGCGTTCAAAAGACTCCAGACGAGGGCGACAGAGACACGGAAAGTGCAATACAAAGCAGACGAATAAACAGCGCTCCATCAACATTGTCTAGAAGGCAACGAAAAGTAGGTTGGAGTGCTGACACAGATAGCGGTATAGAAGTCTCCTCCTTCGCTGATACGAAATTAGAGAGACCCTCCAGCTCAGTTTCCAATATGACGAAAGGATCTACGTGTAGAACAGTTATATTGGAAGATTGGGAGTTGGATTTTCTACGAAATTGTAATCTAGAATCGCAGAAGAAGCTTCGATATAGAAAGGAAAATTCTAAAATGAACAAGAACGTTTCTACGGAAAGGAAGGTTTATTATAAAACTAAGTATCACACAGGAGAGAACAAAGAAACAGATTGGTCAAAGAGGTAAGCGAAAAAAAATGTCAAGTATGATATTTACGTATGTAGAATTTAATAATCGAGATAAAATATATTACGTCCGTTTCCATGTAAAATATAATACTTGACAGAGAGTAACTTTCCTTATTTGTTTATATCTATAATAAGTGATAACAGCATGATTGTAGTATCAGTAAAAATTTTATGGTCAATCAAGTAGCAAATATGGTAGAAAAAAGTGAACAAGATTTACTATTGAAATCTGCTTACAGGCCCGCAAATGCAGATAGTAGATTCAGGACTTGGAAGACATGGTTGCTAGAGGAAGAGAAAACGAAAGAAGTTGATGAAGAAAGGCAGCTCTTCAATGCGATGGCTTATCAGAAATGGTTAGATAGAAAGAGAAAGAAGGGACTATTGCAATCGAAAAATGATGAAGGACCAAAAGCATTCGTTAATCCTTTAGCACAAAAGAAAATTGATTATCGAAAGACGCCAACCAGGGATATATTAGAAAATAATTCCACAGCTTACGAGAATTGGATGGAGAGTAAACAAGATTACTTTTACGAACAGAAACTAATGAAACGAGAAAAGGAAGCAGAGATTGCAGTTGATCCAATCGCTAAGCAGAAAATAGAAAAGACTAAAATCAGTATCTTTTCTCTTGTGGATACTGGCCATGGAAATGTTCAAATTCCCACTTCATCAACCTATAAGGACTCATATAAAAATTGGCAATCAACAAATTCTTTTCAAAAAGAAACCAGCAAACCCGTCAGCAGGGAGGACATTAAGCGATGGAGAAAAAATTTGAGAAAGAATGGGATGATGTATGAGGAATGGTGTCAACTCAAGAGAGATGAAGACAATATAGATCGACCACCCCGAAAGCCTGCAACTCCTCAAAAGACTTTCGCTTTGACTAATCACAAAACATTCATCGTAGTTCATAATGAATAAACGATTTTTTTTATAAATAGTTGGTTTCTTTTTAGTAAAAATCTACACAAAATACTTTCTAAAGAACTGCAGGAAATGACCAAAGTGGGAGTATCAGTTATAATACAATCATTCCATATGTAATCGTACACTCTTATCAAGTACATAAAATTCTAACCTTAAATGCTTTCACTTACAAACGCTCCTGCCAATTAAGACTCGATTGCAAATTGTAAATATTTCAGTTTGTAAAATTTAATATTGACAAATGAATGTTATTCTGCCTTGGACACCGCAAATTCTTCTGGACTTCTCATTGCAATACTAGAACTATCATCAGCCGGAAGTCTCTGTAGATGTGAAAATGGCCGCTATTCTTGGTCGTTCGACTTGTCGAAATTTTACTCGTTTCGGCAATGAATTCCGAGTATCCAAGCAGGTACGAGATTTTCATATATTAATAAAATAAAATTGTCATGAGATCCCTTCATGACCTTCACATAAATATTGTTCATAGAGAAGTGTTACCTCTAACTCCTCTAACGTGTGACCTTTATTTATCCGCTACAGCAGACGAACTAATTAAAAAATAAGAAAGTACTTTTATTTACTCCTTAATAACCTAACAGGTATTCTCTACAAAATCCAACAAATTTCTGTCGAACAAGAAATGGATCGCCGGATTATTAACTGCCGGCGTAACTGTAGGAGGTGTTGGACTGGCTTCATCTGTTTTCGCCTCTGAGTTGGAATTACATCCTCCAGCTATGCCATGGTCACATAATGGCATATTTTCATCAATAGATCATAAGAGTGCCCGACGGGGTTATCAAGTTTATAAACAAGTGTGCGCTGCGTGCCATTCAATGAATTATATGTACTACAGAAAATTAGTAGGTGAATTATTGACTGAAGATGAGGCCAAAGCCGAGGCCGCTGAAGTCCAAGTCGTAGACGGTCCTGATGAAGAGGGTAATATGTTTGAAAGACCAGGAAAATTGAGCGATCCCTTCCCCCAACCATATGCTAATGACGAAGCCGCAAAGGCTGCAAATAACGGAGCTCTACCGCCTGATTTGTCCTTCATCACACTGGCAAGGCACGGAGGTGAAGATTATATATTTAGTTTATTGACCGGGTATTGCGACCCACCTGCTGGAATTGAAGTAAGGGAAGAGTTACATTTCAATCCATATTTTCCTGGAGGAGCTATTGGAATGGCTAAAGCATTGTATAATGAAATTTTGGAATATGAAGATGGAACACCCGCAACAGCCAGTCAAATGGCTAAAGATGTATCTACATTCTTGAAGTTCGCTGGTGAACCAGAATATGATACAAGAAAACGAATGGCACTGAAAATGTTTATGATATTCGGTATCCTCATACCAGTAGCATACTACATTAAGAGACATAAATGGTCAGCTCTTAAGTCTCGAGTAATTGCCTACCGCCCTCGTCCACGAAAGTAAAAAATGTTTGTTCGTGCAATTATCAATTAAATAATTGTATTTGAGGAATAGCTATTTCGAAATATAGTTCTTACAAAAAATGAGAAAATTTTTAGTAATCACTTTCCGGTTTTACGGTGTTACCTCTTCTTATTTGACCCCAACCTATCAATCGCCAGTGTTTTTCAATTTTTCGGCTAAGAGCAATTTTTTCTCCGACTTCAGTACAAACAGGGTTTTGTAGAGATATTTTAGCCAAATCAGCTTTAACTGCAATAACTCGACCACCAGATGACAAAGAACCAATATTAACCATTAACATTTCACCTTTAGCTAGTTTTTGTACTTTCGCGCCTTTCTTATCTCCCTCAACCCTAACGCCCAGCAAACGTCTCAAAAGGAAATACGATATTTCTATTTCAGTATAAATGTCAGGTAATGATCCTACTGCCCCTAAAACATGCCCGACCATTCTATCAGCACGACACAAAGTTGGTTCGATTTTGGTTCCTGCTCCAATTAAACCTCCTGGTACAGCGTATTGAAGGTCGTTCTGTTCAGCCAACAACGATACGATGCGGGAGCGGATAGGCTTACATGTCAATTTTCCTTGTCCATCCTTATTTACTATTCCAGGTCGAACTTCAATTTCTTGACCTACTTTCAAAACTCCCTTAAGAATAGAGCCTCCTGCAACACCACCGCGTAATTCTTCTACTTCGCAGCCTGGCTTATTAACATCAAAAGATCGAATAACGATCAGTCTTGGTTCGCTTGTAAAATCACGAATAGGAACAGGAATTTTTTTAACAAGGTATTCGCATACAGTATCCATATTGTATTTCAACTGAGCAGATATCGGAATAACAGGAGCTGATTCAGCGATCGTTCCTTGAACGAATTTCCTTATCTGCTCATACTGTTCCTTAGCTTGTGTATCTCTTACCAGGTCAATTTTATTTTGGAGAATTATTATATGCTTTAACTTCATAATTTCGATGGCAGCTAAATGTTCCGATGTTTGCGGTTGAGGACATGATTCATTTCCAGCAACCAACAGCAGAGCTGCATCCATAACAGCGGCACCGTTCAACATAGTCGCCATAAGGATATCGTGACCTGGGCAATCAACGAAAGACAAGTGACGAACAAGCTTAAATTTGGCTTTCGTTGGAGACAGGTCGCAGACAAATTCATCAACATGGGCACTTCCACGAGAAGTATAACATTGTGGCCGTCCTACAGCTGGATCATCACACATGTAGATCTTGGCATTGGCATAGCCCAATTTAATGGTGATATTTCTTTCTAATTCATTTTTAAAACGGACAGTTTGTACTCCAGATACAGCTTTAACAAGAGTGGACTTTCCATGAGCTACATGGCCAATTGTACCAATGTTAATTGTTGCTTGTCTGCTGATAACTTCAGGTGTCAATGGAGTCAATTTGGAGATATCCTAATTCAAACATGATATTAATTTTTCTTACTTATGAAAAGATCAGTATTTCCGCAAATACATAATAGATCTCGTACTGAAAAGATTATGAAAGGTAATGTAAGAAATGTTGATGCAATACGGTAGCTATTATTGCAATATATTATCGCTCTCAATTATTATGGCCACAATTATCTTCAAGCCTTATATTAATTTTTTAATGACATCAATTGGCAAGAAAATATCGTATATGTCATTAAAAGTTGAAATTATTTATATCGATGCGTAAACAGGGGAATATGTTACACTCGAAACTAATAAAATCTAGCATCGGAATAACACGCGACAGCAGACCGGTAAGTCTCTCGCAGAAGAATAGACAAAAGACTAGTATCAAAAATCCTCCTATTTTATTGAAACGACCCTACTCACCAATGTAGCTAAATCCTGTCTCATTAAATGAGAGTGCATTGAAGATTTTTGCGATTTTTCTTCACTAGTCGCCATAACGTTTCTGATGCAAGTGGACAACCAATCAAATGCCCAGAAAAAATCGACCAATCAGAAATGATTAATTTTTTTTTTATTTTATCCGCGGGAAAAATACGTTTAAATCTTTTTATTATCAGTAAGTAGATCGGAGCAATACAAAGAGACGTTCAAGCTGAATTGATTCATGCAACAAATGGAAGTTTACTTTTATTTAAATTAACTCAAAAAAAAACAAAATGTGTAAGTATGTACAATGTGTAACTATTCCCAGAATGTAAAAGTTCAGATAAATAACATAGCAGTTTAAACGGTAGAACGGATAAATTGTAAAATTAAATAAAGGTTGACTACCTTTCTACAATCGTTTTAGCAAGTAACAAACATGAGACCATTCAAGTTCAGAGGGATGTTACAAAAAAAAAAGATATAAAAGTATATAAGTATGTTGGCAAATTGAAAAGCAAGACACTTGCATATCTAACATAACGATTAATTGCACAAATTGGACAATTTTTTTTTTTTTTTTTTTACTATATCTATAATCGAATTTAACATTGTCTGAATAATAATCAGCTACAATGTATCCAGAATAAAAATGTATACAAATTGTATATATATATATACATATATATACGAAAACAAGTACAAAATGTCCATTTTACAAAATGTTGTGACTTTCAAATCGCTTGAGCATTCTTGTAACAAATAGTTCAACTAAAAAAACAATATACAATAAAACTTTAGTCATCAAGAGGAAAGCACCTGACATATTTCGGCGGTTGAAATATCAAGTTGAACAGCAATAAGTTATGAACACTTACAAATCTCAAATACTCTCACACTAATAAATACATTTCAACTACAAAAACTTCGTGGCGATTATTTCAGTCAAATAACCGGAAGTTGGATGCTATGAAAACCAAAAAGAAATACTTTTGCTTTTAAAAACTCTTTGTTACTCAGCCTGCTCCGTATCGCTTTCTACTGTGCTTCCTGAAGATGTTTGGCGCTCCAAAGAATCTTTTATACTCGAAGTTTCGGATGGAGTTCTTGAATAGTTTGGAATGCACTTCTCACAACCTCTAATTAACCTGAACAAAGTAGCAACTCATTATACAATTCATAATATAAGTGTTAAAGAATATTTACTTAGGATCAAGGATTGTTTCCCCAAATTCTCCAACAAAAATTATACCGCAACAGACGTGCTTTGTTTTCCAGTAGCTCAGATCTAATAAAGGGGAAACTGATACGCGTCTCTGGCGGCGTTTTGATTGATATTCTGAACCACTTTCGGATGATGAGACTGATGATTCTTCATCTGATACTGATAGGTAAAATGACATAATAATCTTGCAATAAAGTTTCGATTAGTTACTTACCAATGATATTGTCATCTGATATCAAACTTGGAGATCTAGCAAAAAGTCGGGAGGGAGCTCGTTTTGACGGTAACTTCTTGTGTTTATACTTTGTAAAATGTTCCAATCTCTGATTCAGACGTGATTTAACTCGTGTTAGGCTTTTGCTACCTGGCCCAGCTCGAGCATCGACTACATGATGCCAATGTCTCTTTGATCCCGTGGGTAGTTTTTTCCATCTTTTGACAAGCAGAACGCAGGCGTTACAAATTTCACCGGCTCGGCGTTCTTCTATACGGAAGCAATCGGCAAAATCATTCTCGTATTTTTTCGAATCAGTAAATCTTGAAGATGACGATTTAGCCTTACAGATACAACATCCATCAGAAGATCTGTATGTCTTTGGTTTGTGAAACGAAAACATCCTCGATAAAAATTCTGCAATTATTACATAAGTTTTAGCATCTCGAGAAAAAACGAGGTCACAACTGTTACTATAAATAGCTAGCGCGCGCGAGACATTTGCCGGGCAAGCCCCATCTAGATAAATTATTTATGTACATTTAATTTTCGTTGCCTCGAATAATTGTATCTTTCAAAGAAAAGTCATCAAGAAACTTAAGAATTAGTCAGCGGGGTAATCGATTTGAGACAAAGAGCACCATCCTTTGTCTGATTCATCCGAGGTAGCTAGCTGGTTCGGTAAGAAACGCCGCTAGTTTTCAGCGTTATTCATAAGCGACGACTGACTAAACCGTTGTAAAAACTTTAATATTAGCTAATATTCTCCTATTAGAATATCATCTTATCTCTATCTTTCCTAAATGAAGCAAAATCTATCCTACGCGGGAACTCATTTGAATGAGTACAATCATTAGCCATGTGACTACTTTTAACGTAGGTTTCAAGAGAAACAAAAAAAAGTCATAACATGAAACATGTCACATAGTATAGATAAAACTGTTCTAAATAGTATCAAAAAAATTAAAACCTGAAAATCACAATAATTCAGCTATAATGCAGAATGTTTAACACCTACCTTTGAAAGAAAGCCCAAACAACGCGATTCTCGCGCAAGTAGTACGTTAAATTGATTTGCATATATAAGTCATCCAACATCCGGATCTATGTTATTGTCTAAAAATTTCGTACAAAATCATAATAAAATTTAAAAAAGAGTTGCATATTCTACACAAAAAGTTTGAATTTTTAATAACGATGCAAAATTTAAACGCTTATAACAGAAGAAAATATTATATCTTACATTTCACGTATAACATCGAGTCAAATTAGACTGGTCCTCTTTCTAACAGTTAAATAGCTCCTTGTTAGAGAAAATGATCTTTTAGTAATATGCATTTGTAGATATTAGTTTTTTCCTGACAAATGCGCTAATTCTTTAATTAAGAAGGTACTATTTTTATACCAGTCTAACAAAATCTCATTTGACCTCACTTTGAACTTCCCGTTTACGATATTTGTCCGCCATTTTGATTTCTGTTTGTTTTTCGGACAAGGCATTTTGTGAATATAAAGACCGTCCGTTTAAGTAAGATGTAATTGATTTAGCACTCTTTTTAGCTAGAGTTAAATTTTTAGAGCGTTAAGTTTTTTCTATTTTTTTCTGTCGAAAAAAATTTCACGACCAATTACGGACTGGTAAAATGCGTGTTTTTACCTTTATATCAGTGTAATAAGAGTATATGGCCGAATGGTTAACATATTGTAGGTGTTTAGGTAATTACACAAGATATTTATCGTGTGTCATTCTACAGTTTGAAGGGAGCATGAAAATCAAAGATCGATAAAGTTAATAAATTGAAGAAAACCTACTGACTCCATAATGTTCTGGAGATTTACCTTACCTTCTAAAATTGACAGTCTTCTTGAAAAAGAGGTAGGGTATTACTGTTATTTGAAAATGGTTCTAGCTGCAGAAAGATCGTTAGCTAATTAATAAATTTATGACAAAATTCTCTTAGAGGTTAAAAGTAGTATTTCGGAAACTATTTGCAGTTAGTCATAAATATATCTAGGCTAGAATCAACATTGTTAAGTGGCTTACAAACCTTTCCAATCTTTTTAGGAAATATGTCTTATGGAACTGCTAGATGAGGACGATGTCCTCCAAGAATGCAAGGGTCAAAATCAGAGACTACTTGAATTGTTTGTATAACATACATTATCTCCAGAACTAAACTACAATAACCTATTTTATAGTTTAACACAAGATGAGTCAATGAACAAGTTAGTCGATTTGATAGTTATGCAACCAGACGATGAAACAGATGAGAGACGTCGTTATAAGTTTCCGAACACGGCTTGCGAACTATTAACCAGCGATGTTGCTCAAATTACTAATATGTTAGTGGATGGAGATATCTACTTGGAAAGATTGTATAAGTTTTTAAACACCAATGATTCCTTAAATCCGTTACTAGCGTCCTTTGTTGGCCGAGTATTCTGCTTGTTGATTACACGTAAATCCGAATCAACGCTGAATTTCGTTAAAAGCAAATTAAACTTTATGGATTTGTTATTAAAACATCTGGAGACGTCAGCTATTTGCGAGTTGTTAACCCAGTTTATAACTTGTAGCTCATCTTTTGCAGCATCAAATAGCTTTCCTGGTAAGATTATTTTTTATCAGATATCTTTGATTAGATGTATGTTTAAATAAATAAATATTCAATTAATAATACAGATATTGGAGAAGACTGCGTAAAACAATGCAGATCTTGGCTAATTGATTTAAATTTAATAGAAAAATTAGTCAATCTGATTCATCCAGATTATTCGTGTTATATTCATGCCAATGCATCTGGTGTCATTATGGAAATTATAAAGTCTGAATTTCCTTTTCATTATATGGTTTTTTACTAATAATCTGGTTTTCTTAGGCTACATCGGGAATTTCTCTCAGCTAAACTTAAAGGAGATGAAGTTTCTGATGAAGATGACTTGATAGCAAAGCAGGCGGAATCGTCAGCCTGTATAAATAAACTTCTACATAATATGTTGTCATGGAGGCGAAATGTAGACACCACGTCTACTCCGGATGAAGAGGAGAGACGAAATTCGGCTCTTGTACACGGCTTCAGTATTCTTTTAACTTTGGTTGACCCGAAAGCTTGTGCGCCGTCGAAGTATGTTTTTTTTTCTTAAAGATTAAATCAAACTATAGCAAGTAATATTTTATCAGTTCTGGACCTATTATGAACGATCAAATCATGAGCGGTCTACCCGGCGAAATTATTTCCAATTCCACAGATAACGGACGTTCTGCAGATGACATATTGACTTTTGATGTTACTGAATCTGTTGAAGGGATAGTTCAGCACTTACCAGACATTCATCAGCTATTGTTGAATCCTCCAAAACAACATTATTCAACTATGAACACTACTATAGGTCTTTTAGATCCCCCTTTGGGACAGATTCGTTTAGCAGTTGTTAGACTTTTAGCAACGATTTTGGAGAGAGCACCAAGTGAAAAAATCAACGAAAAATTAGTTGAATTAAAAACTCAGCAAGTTCTTTTAGAACTTTTTTTTCATTACACTTGGAATAATCTTTTACACACTCAAGTCGAAAAATGCATTGCGGCAATCCTAAACGCCACTCAGGGTCTAACAGAAGGAACCGGAACGTTTAAATTAGTAGAGCAATTATTTTCGTCAAACCAGTGTTCCTTAGTATCAAAAATTTTGTGGGCATTTGAAATGGACGCAAGGCGTGAAGTTAATACTCGTAGAGCCGGTTATATGGGTCATCTAACGAAAATCGCTAATCATGTTACAACCGTCTCACATAATTTAGGAGCTGCAAGAGTCAATGGAGGAGATAGTTTAAATGGCACCGATGTTGATTCAGTTCCCGAAACTCCCAGAGACCCGAGTAATTTTAATGGTTTTTTATATAATTTTTTCTTTTTTAATATTATTTTATGTTTAGAACCTACAGAGGAAAAAAGTGAACTTTCAATTAGTACTGGTTCAGACGAAAAAGCTTTTTGGAGTGATTGGATTGATCAAAGTGCTCGAGAAGATTGGGATAAATTTGTTACCGGCACCCTTGAATCTGTAAGTTTTATTGATTTAAATATAACATCAATAACTTTTAAATTCTTTAGGTTAACACAAAAAACATTATTACACCTGTACGACAAGGCAACATGGGGCTGCCAAGTAGTTCAGAAGATGGAGACGATGACTTCAAACAGGTTAACTTTCCGAGTGATACAGGATTACAGCAGGTACATATCTACAAAATGTTTTTAACATAGATTAGCAATTCTAATTAGACACTTACGTCACATTAATGTAAAGTTAGATGATTAAAGCATACGAAAGACATGTAATACTTAAGCTTAAGAATGTATTTTAACTTATTTACAACATAAAAAATAAAACAATTTGAAGTGTAAAACACTTTGTCATGTAATCCGTAGGCATTCTCAGACTATCAACTACAACAAATGACAAGCAATTTTGTTGACAATTTTGGCTTTGAACAGAGCGATTTTGCCAAGACCGGACAAAAGCCTGAGTAAGTTGTAAAGAAATCACCCCACAAGTAGAAATTAAATTTTACCGATTCCTCAATGCAACAGGTCGATGTATACGGAAAACGTTAACAGTATTGACTTTGGTTCTGTTGAAGACTGCGTGAGTATTCCATTTTCAAATACTAAATCTTCTTTAACCTAAATGCATAATTTTATTGTATTATATTTTAAGTCTCCCCAATCGTCGAGAACCTTATTCGATAAAATAGTTAATAAGAAAATGAATATTATCGATGACGAAGACGATGATGACGATAAGAATGCTTGGAATCACGTTGAGGAAGTGGAAGTAAGAGCTGCACCGCACGCACTCTCTGCAACCCTTTGTCACTCATCTGATGAGGAGGATGACTGCGATGAAAAGAGGCCTAAGAAATCTTCTTCCTCTGACAGTAGTGAAGATCTCGACTCTCCACAAGTTATTCGACATACGGAAATAATGGATGTCGAGAAGGAAGAAACATTTACAAAAGCCACCGATATGGATACCACACCATGGAAAGATGACGCGTGTCAATCTCCTTCCGAAGATAGCTCTAATTGGGCCAATTTTGATTCAATCGAAGAATCAAATAATGAAAAGAAAGAAGGTTGGGCTGATTTCCGAAAAATTTCTGATGTTCCAATGGAAAATGCAGATTTGAAAGTTGAAACTGCAAGAGTTTCAGCATATGGTACAGTTCATTGTTTTTATCTGCTCTCTTATAATCGAAAGTGCCTATAATGTTTTTTGTTTTATTTCACAGTCCTATCTGAAGATAGTGAAAGAAATGATGAAGTGAAGGAAAAAGAAAATCCACAGGGGTAAGTCTTTTTTTTAGTTAAAGAGTACAGTTTATATTTTAATTGACCTTCCCTTATTCCCATTAATGTAATACTTTAATTTACGCACTAATGTTGTTAATAAAATCAATAAAACGATCGCGATTTTAGTTTGATATTGCAAGATGTCGAGCAAGGAGACGATCTATCAGCAAACTTTGAGTAAGTTGCGATTGGCTTGTGGTGAAATGTCGTTTCTTTCTTCTGCACTATGAGACAACTTAACAATTTCTTTTCGTTTCCATACTAATATTTTTTATCGTTTTGTTTCATTTTTTGTTTTCACTGAATTTATTTGAGATTCTCCCTGCAGCTTTCTCTCAAATTCCGGTCTAATGAAATATGAGGAGGCTGCTGAACAGGCGTCAACTGCAGAAAATGCACCATGCAACGGATCTGCTACTTAAATATGGTCTAAACTTGATTTATTTTTCAACGACCTAAAAATTAAAAAATAACTCGATATAAATAACGACTTATTTATTGTTATTGTATATTAGCAATTTCAGTTGAAAAAAAATGATTTACAACGTTGACTAGTTAAAAGTGTTACCAAATTCAGTAAGACCTACATTATTACGTAAAAAATACAGGGAATGTTTAGTGTGTTTATTGTAAAGAAATCATTCGCCTGTTGATATTCTCTATTAGCCATATCTAACAGCAAAAATCGTACGAGTTATTATCTTCCGTAATACATATATTTTAACATATCTATTTATTTTTAAAGTTTTGTAACTTGAAAAAATATCGTACTCTTTTTTAAGGAAAAATACTAAATGGTCATTTATAAATGTTCTTGGAGTTCACCAATCTTCAGATATATTACATCGGAGATTGAGTTATATACTATTTGTGATATAACATTTACTTAGGCATTTATTTTATGACATGGTAATAAAATTAATGAATACAAATATTGAATCCTCTTACTCATTATTTTAATCACTTTTATCAATCTGTATTTAATCTTTCATATAATAGTATACAAAGTATATTAATACATATAGTCTACTTTCTTGGAATATACACTTAAATTATATTTAAACAAAACATTTAGATGAAATGCAAAAGAGATAGCGCAGTTGAAATGGACATGCCAATCAAACCAAAGTAGCCGATATATCCAAAAGCTCCACGAGTTCTTTTTGATGGATCTCCTGTGTAATAGCCATGAGCGTATACGATTCTTGAAACAATCCAGAGCAAACCCAAAACAGTGGCACCACAAGGGTACTTAATACCTGCAAACAACATAAGAACCAAAAATTGTGGATACTGCTCCAGAGTGTTTTGATGGGCCCGTTGAATGCAATTAAAGACAACACTATCAGGATGATACATTGCAGGATATGGCAAGTTGTACTTCTTTCTTGCCTTTCCTACTTTTAATCCTTTATATATCAACATAAACATTGATGATATAATGGTTAAGATAACATAGCCAAAGTTGTCTGGTATAGAAACATTCATTTTCTTATTGATATTAGATGCTTTCCTTATATTCAGCCGTAAAGCAATAAAAATAAGAGACTTCCAATTTCAATTTATAGTGTGAAACGGTGACAACTAGGTCATTTAACTGGGACCAGTCGAATTTTCGAGCATTTCATTTGCTGAGCTTAAAAAAAATAAATATGGACCTCCTTCTCCACCATAGTGATTGAAAGAAAAATAGGTGTGAACCTAGTAACCACGCTAATGTTTAAAACAACTTAATCATGTGCAACACCGATGAATTGGCAAAAGATAATTCTCGAAACCTAGAGTTTTCTGAGCAAATTTATTTTTAATTGATTTTTAAAACAAACAAAATACCTATAAAATGTGCAAAAAAAATTCATTTGTTTACTAATTTTCATCTCTTTCGTTGCTCTCTAAGATTAAACCAATTTCATACGCTTCCCGCAACTTTTCTATGGTACCCGAATAATCTCCATATTTTCCAGTACCTCTTTTCAAGTTTTGCTTTCCCGTTAAATTTGGCATGGTTCTCGATCTTCTGCTTATTTTTTGTTTAAATAACTTATTAATCAAGAATAAATAAATAAATAGACTAACTGTAAAAGACGCCTGTCTTTGTTATTTCCACTCCTAGTATTTGGTCTTTTATTATAACGAGGAATTAGTTTAGCTTCTGGGTATTTGACGAAAGCTCCATGACCAGGAGGACAATAGAAGTATCGCTTGCCCCTAATTATACCGTTTGTATGAGAACCTACTAAAAATGGTAATACAATATTTTTAGTATGAAAGTAAACAGATATTAATCTTTCGAAGTTACCATTTTCATCCAGTTGAACACCAATATACAATTCTGCTCCAATATTATCGGATAAAGGACCTATAAACTTGACAAAACCTTTTTGATTACCGCGAATGATTACTCTATCTCCAACTCTAATTGAGCAACTATCCTTATTTCCACTTTTACCTAAAGACGCCGATACTACGCGGGTCCTTCGAACCCTCTCATCCTCAGATTCGTATAATAAAGATTCGTAGCCTTTAAAATATTTGGTTAAAAATTTTTTACAAGCAGAACAGGAGCAGTAGAATGGATCCATATTTATTAAACCGTTGGCAACATACTAACTGAGCCTAGCTATTGTAACGGTCAATACAACAATAATATATCAATATATAATAGAAAAAAAATAATGTCGTTTAGACAATATAGTTAACGCATTGTTTGAACTGTATACTCAAGAAGAGGTTTTAACTTTCTTCCGTCAAAAGACGCATAAATGATAAGGTTTCCTTGTTTATCAGTTTGTACTTGGCCTGTCCAAGTTCCTCTACTTTCTATTAAGTCAACCCAATCTTCACCAATTGAAATAACCATTCTCTTAGCATTTCTTGCTAGAAAGTCAAAGCGGACTTGATTGTTGGCTGGCAGGTATCGAGTTAATGGTGCGCGAAGTTCGCATCCTATTGCTGGCCATCTCTTGGTCGGTTTTGGAAATGGTCGAATTTTTGGTTCGGCATTCGAATAATTTTCGATTAAATATTTAAATGAACACTCTCCATTGACAAATATAGACAATAAATATATGGCTCTTGTAGCCGTTAAGGCTTCTATGGCTATTGTGCGATCGTCTCTAGATACAATTAGAGCGAATTTATCTCTGTCGATTAAACGATTTTTTGTCGAATCCCAGAGTCTAAATTTTAATGATAAATGATCAGAATCTTCTATTTCGGTATTCATTAGAACTCTGATCTTGCACGAAGCATTATTGCAAGCTATGTAAGCGTCTTTATGTGAAAATTCTTTGAGTTTTGGTGTTAGCGATCCGACCAGACCGACTGGTGGAAACGTAATATTTGCATGAGGCGCAACAATATTAGATTTGACGAGAAACGAACATGCTGCATCTAGTTCCCCGTCCATCCATTCACTCTCTACGTAAATTTCTAACAGAAATTTACCCATAGTCGGTGGTCTTGCTTGAACAACGTATTCATTCGAATTTTTCAGCACAACAAATGTTCTATTCTCCAATTCTGCATTTTGCGAAGGACGAGATAAGGAATTCTTTAAACGTTCCAATTTTCCCGCAATATTTAATCTTTTCGGAGATCTTAGTCTAACTTGAACATTACCGAATTGGTCAGTTGTTAGTAAACCGCTAAAAACACCGGTTAGAGTTAATGATTGATTGAAGAAAGGCGATTTCACAACAGGAAGACTCTGGAAATCAATTTTTGAAACTGGAATTTCTAGTAGCTGCCATTCAGGATCATCTGGTAAATGTTGATAAATATGATCTTCAGGATCTGTTAGAAAGTAAAACTCATCAACTTCATACGTGAGATCTCCTGATGAATTTTTCGCATGTCTAGCTCCCCAGTTACAATTTATAAAACGCCAAGCGTCATCGACGTAGACTGCTGTCCACTGATTTCGGAATTTCATAAGTGACATTCCTGGCTTATATCCTGCTGCTTTGGAGACACCATCAATTAATTTGCATCTAAGACCGGCGTAACCGCATAAACGCTTAAAGAGATCATGGTAACTCTCTGTTCCAAGTTGTACTCCTCTCAACAATCCCAAAGGGGATTCAGGATCAGCTTCCTCTGTAATTTGACTAGTCGACATCCATTTGAATATTACCCTTACTTTTTCTAAATCACTCTTGCAATTCGCTGTTAAAACTTTCACTAATTCTGTGAAGGACTCATATTGCTGCCCCGCAACCCTTAACGCCTGTCGGTCTAAATGACGAAAGATTTTTGGCGAATCGAAGAGATCAAATTTACTAGAAAGTGGGGGTGCAGGTGGTGGATCAGCTAAAAGTTGCACTTCTTCTTCCGTCTGTTCATGAGTTTGTCTTGAACTAGAGCCATCTTCGGAGGAAATTGAACGATCTTTATTGTGAATAAGTAAGAACATTTCCTTGCTATGCTTCTCAATCATACGAGTAACTGCTGCTTGTTCTTCGAGTGCAATTAATTTTAAAAGCTCTTGTGCTCTTTCTGTTCTTTGGCCAGTTAGCATTCTATCTAAATTTCTAATAATCGCTTCTCTTTCATTTGTTGAAGTTTGCTTGGTGTCAAAGTATCTCATAAGGAGGCTAACGGCGTTCTCTCGTTCCGTTTGCATTTGTCTATCTAAAGCTCGTAGCTGAGCTCTTCGTTCATCAAACATTTGTCTATACAATTCATCTTCCTCTTCCCTGTGATTTTCTTCGAGAGCACTTTGGGCATTAATTACTCCACTAGTTTCTAATTCATGAATAGGATGAAATGTATTTTTTCTTTGCAGAGTGGGCGTTACGCCAGGTCTTTGACTAAAGATCTTCTGCGATTGTATGGCTTGTTGGATATGGAGGGAGTCTCTGTTAATCTGAGCATTGGCGATAGCAACGTGATTACCACAAAATACATCTTGTTCATCTCTGCTCAATTGAAAAGACTTCAACGATAATTGAATCTCGCATTGTTTACATTTGAAGCAGGAACGATGAAAAACCAAGCCAACGTCAATCCTTTCAACAGGATATACCTTTTTTCCACATCTTTTGCAAATTTCGCCTGATATTGATGAGATGGTACTTCGTTGTAATGTGGCGAAGATTGATTCAACATTAGAATCGCACATTTTAGGTTCTTTCTCACCTTATCAATACATATCATTAACAGGTGAAAGGTATATAAATCATTGTTCGATAGATGGCGTTGCTCTAGGTTATGAAGAGTCTTTCTCTTCTGGAATAATACATTAAAAATACGTTATAAATTGGCTCAACTGTTTCCTAAGAAGTTGGAAAAGCAGTCTAAATAACAAATAAAGGTCAATTATTAATAATAAATGTAGGCCTAAAAAACTTTAATGTACAGCATTAAGCGGGAATCTGTTATCCTATATATTATTTTCTCTAAAATAAATAAATAAAATAATAAGTGAAACCTTTTAATGGAAATATAAAAAAAAGAATTTTTTGATAAGATTGCGTAAAAGACCTTAAATGATTATCCTACTAATCTGGTTTAATTATAAGCCTTTTTGTCCACTTCTCCTCCCATAGTCTTGTGTAATAGTAGAGGAATAAAGATATAAAGGAATTTACTTATTTTCTACTCATTTTTCATAAGAAGCTCAACACTTTTAAGTCTTGTTCAATGCTAAATTCGCTAAGTGTCTTACTTAAAAAGAAAACTGAAGGATGAATAAAGAATGCATTTTATTTAATAATTTTTGAAGACTTTTTTTCTTTCTTTTTGAGAATTTTTCTTTCGTTTCTTCATCATATAACTCTCTAGTTTATTGTCTTTTTGTAGATCCTTATATTTTTCTGCTAATTCCAGTAATTTTCTATCACTTTTCTTAAGAAAATATGGTTTCTTTCCTTCAGCTACTTGTTCCAATTCCTTCTTCTTGATTTTCTTTAACTGTTCTTTTTTGTTATCGTTCATTATTTTTACCTTCTCTTTCTGCTCATATCTATCTTTTAATTTGAGTAATTTTAACCTTTTATCAGAATTCTTTTCCTTTTTGATGGTTTTCGCAATTTTCTCTTTTTCTCTTTTCTCAATTTCACTAATAAAACCATATGAATTTTGAAAATGATGCTCACTGAATTTACCAGATAGATCATCGAATCTTGGATCTCGAGTGTTAGTTAAAGACGCAGTTTGAACGGGATTATTCTTCGGACGTTTCGATGAAATTTCGCTTGGCCGATTTTTATTTAATCGTTTAAACTTCTTACTACCAGAGCGTATGGGTTGTTCCATATTATCTGAGGATTCTTCATCCGACATTTTTGTAGAGGTATAGTATGAGGTACAGAAGAAGTTCCAAAATATACAAATTACCACGTTGTGATGTATATTTTATTCGGACACCGCAACTGTTAAAGTGAATGCATTTCGATACTATTTGCTCTCTCTATCACTCCACCTTTCTTCCAAAAGGAAATATTTTCACATCTTTTAAACGCTAAAAGAGAAAATGTTAGAAAACCGCCCCCAATTTAACATAAACTGCACAATAACAATAATAATAAGAATCGTTTAATAATACTTATTGTAATCTGTATTTAAACTATATTTTAAAGCGAATACAACTAGAAGAAATGAATTTAGCCTACTCCGGTCAATTATTTACCAGGATTTGACGAAAATTTAAAGCAACAACCGGTAAATAATCGCCTAAAGTTGACTACGAAATAGATTCGCCATGTTGAGAAATATCGCTTCAAATAAATGTCTGGGCCCTTTTTATTCTTTACCACAAATAATTAAAAAGTTCAGTGTAATAAACGAATTGTTAGTTGTTTATATCAAAACCATTCAAAATTAATAAACGGTGTGAATAATAATATTTAGTAACATTTAATGATAAAAGAAGCAGAAGAAGAAGAAGAAGTAAAAGAAGAATGTTTTTGTTCTATTTTAATAGTACTCAAGAATACTGTATTTTACATTTCATAGATTAAATATTAGTTTTTAGTAAGTACACCATTGTGTAAAATTTAAATAACTTAATTGTCTTATAGGCTATTTAAGAGTATGTTTTACGTGACAACATTGTAGTGTTGATTGAAGGAGTAATGTACTATTTGTGAAACAAAAATAACAGAAATTAGAAAGTAAGGGGGGGGGGGGAAAGGAGGAAGGAATGGAATAAGTTTGATTAGATGAATAATTCAAACAATTTTTCATTTATAGAATCAAGAATAAGTCGTGTCACGACGCTTCTATGACATGAAAAGCCAATCTCTAAATATCTTTATTAAAATAGACATATTAAATTGGAAAGAAGAAATAATATTATAGCTTAACGTGCATTGACAAATATAGGCTTATTAGTAATTCACCAGCCCGCCGTGTCCAGGGAATTCCATTCGATCTGTTTTCATTCTCGCCCTTGGTGACGAGTCAAAAATGACGTAGTTCCCTCATTTTTACCTTCTTATTAAGTTAATGAAGTCGAAACAGTTTTATCTGATACCATGTCAACAGCTTTAATTTTTCGGATAAGATTAACACTTTATCTGGTTATACTTAAGTTCATCACAAGTCGTAAGTAGAGTTTTAAGCACGTTCCTTTAATATTTAAGCTATTTCTAAACCAAGAAAGGATTTAGATTATGTTTATTGAATTTTTAAATAAGTATATATTAAATATCAAATAGATGGTTGTGAAAATTACGACAATTGGTGCTTGAAATACGTCGGAAGTACAAATTATAATGACGGTTTAAGCCAATGTAAAAGTCAGATTGGAAACGATGCTTTTCTTATTCATTATCAAGCGGTATGTTTATTTTTAATAGATCCCATCATAATGCGAATGTGTGACACAAAACTGATAAAATTTTGTGTTTAAATCCCCAACAGAATTTAATAAATAAATTAAAAGATATCAATAAAAGTAGTTCTAATAAGATTTGGCTTGGGTATCAAGCAATAGAGGACCAAAATGTTGGTGACAGTTTTAGCCGACCTAATTATTGGTCTTGGTCTTTAGGTAAACAAATTTAATAACTCTCTGCTAAACAGAACTGTTATCAACTTTTTCTGTTTTTTAAATATATAGACCATACCATTTTGTATGAGCAAGGATGCTTTCAAGATAATTCTATAATGCCTGATCTTGATTCGAAATACGAACAAATACTTCCTACTCAAATAGATCCCACTACATGCGGGAATATATGCAGACTAAAAGGGAATAAAGTTGCTGGAATTCAGAATGATGGTGGAGGAAATATCTGCTTTTGTAGCGATAAATACGGCCGGTACGGGGCCACATCTTCATACTATTGCACAATCGAATGTGTAACAAGTAAAAAAGGTAATTGTGGAGGAGCTGGTGCAAATATTGTGTTCTACGTTGACGGAGCTCTTTCAAAATGGAAGAAAAATCAGCCAGATGGATCAATAGATTCGGGAAGCGCCTGCGCTTTTACGACAAAAAATGATAAATTAGAGATGTCTGATGATGATTGTACTAGTTTAAAAGGGGTTTTATGTCAAAACGGTCTTGATACATTTATATATTCGAGTACGAAATTAAGCTGGTGTGAGGCCCAAAATGAATGTTTGAAGAGAGATATGAACTTGATTCACTTGAATTCGACAGAAGCTATTGAAAATACTACAGCATATCTTGATTCATATGGTCTTTCTGGAAACGAAGAATTCTGGGTTGGAGCAACCAGACAATCTTGGAAAATTAATGGAATCGATAGATATTTGACCTATTCAAATTGGTCAGTTTGCCAACCTACTGAAAATCTGAACAAAGTAGATAAGGCATGTGTTGCCATTAATCTAGAAACTGGTGAATGGACTACAGAAAAATGTTCTGAAAATTATGGAGTAATATGCGCAACGGGTATGTTATTAATATTCGCTTTAAAATAAAGCTAAACGTTTGTTTTATTTAATCTCTTTTAATGCTTTCTATAAAAAGTTACTAACTTAACAACTAGTAAGTAAATAAATAATTAATTAATTAATCAATCTCTTATTCCAAACTTTAATCTTTTTTTACAATTTTACTTATTAATAATCATTTAGCGTCTACTGCTCCAAATGTGACCGCAAATACTACTTTCAATTTTACTGAGTTAACAACAACTTACTTTTTAAATACTACTATTTCTGGTAATTTGTAATGTTGTTGAATCACTGTTCATTATCTATTATCACTTTTTTATTATTATGTAATAAACTATGATGTTGTTCAAGAATGATAAATTGTAGTAGTATCATTACCTTCCTCGTTCTCCCTACTTACTTTCTTTCTTGTTCAGATTATGTTACGACGACAAATGAACCAACGTCTACACCAACACCAAAACCGACTACAAAGACAACTGAAAAGCCTACAACCACTCCTACAAAGCCATCGACTAAACGATCAACGAGACGAACAACCAAAACAACAACTACCAGAGACCCTTCTAGAACCTATCCTACAAATCCTCCACCAGAGACAGATCGACCAACAACTCAACCTCCAGTAAGATTTTTCGGATTGTTTTTTAATCTTTTTAAAGTTGATTTATTCTTGTAATCATTATCTTAGGATCCACCGACTGATCCTCAAGTAGGATTTTCTAAGAAGAAGAGTTCTTTAAATTTTACAAGATTTCACGCAGGTTTGCCATTTCTCTTTCATTTACTTTATTATCATATCGTCTCATTCCATAGGTCTTATAGTCATATTTGTCCTCTTGATTCTGGGTATCTTTTTCCTTATCTTATTGATATGTTATGTGCAAAATGCCGGATTTCGGGAAAAGTTCAAATTTAATGAACCGTGGAAATTCGCTCCTAAAGATGATACAGCTCGGTAAACACGAATAGCACTATTATTATTATTATGTTCTTTTTTTCTATAAATCACTCTCTTCATTCCGTTTTTTTCCGTATTTAGCTTAACAGCTAATAACTCAACTCCAAGCGTATACGACGATACTTATGACGCTCGGGTTGATGCCGTTAAACCTCAAAGTCAAATCTATAACGAATCAGCTGTCCAAGCTTTGAATGGAAAGGACGCCGCTGATTCTCACAGGGATAACCCAGTTATTGGTGTACCAACTGAAAGTGGTGCAGTTTTAAGGTACGAAACAAAAGTTAGACGAATTAGTATTCGTAATAACGAAGTAGACGATGCTCTTGAAACTGTTCGCTCTCGATATTCAACAGAAGCATAAAATTATATGTAAAGTATGGAAAATTGAAGATTTTCCTCTATTGAGTCACAATTGAATTTTCTTTTCTATGAATTAAATAGACTTTTTTCATGTCTTTCTTAAATGTTAGTCTCCATTTCATAAATTAATTTATGCTATATCTTTAATTCTATTCTTGAAAATACTGCAAAAAATATTTCTTATACTGTATTTATACTTCGTATACATAAAGAGATTAACTAAAAGGTAGTCTAACTTTATATTGTTCAAAGGTAAACTATATTGTGTTTAAAGATAATAATTATATTAAATTTATATTAAAAAGAAAAGTTGATTTGTTTTGTCATTTATTCAATTAATATCCAATGAGCTGATTAAATGTATATGTATTAGATAATTATCCTCGCAAATTATCATTCCCATCTCTCATTTACATATTCAATTTCGTTCTTTTAATAACAAAGAGGATTAGTAGATCTAATCTTCGTTAGAAATATTATTTTGTAACATTTCTAAACATTTTCCTTCGAGATAAAATGAATAGATTGCGAAGAAAATGACAAAGAAGCATATAAGAGAGACTACTATTGGAAGTATCACTGTTAACCATCTATGAGAGGATGAGCTGAGTTTTAATCTTTCATCTCTTCTCCTTAATATTTCGACGATTAATGGATCGACTATCGAGGTTGTTGAAAGTGAAAATTTTGTTGAAATCTTTAACATTCTCCTTGTTTTCATTACTATTTGTTGTATAGTTGTTGGCTTTGTCATAAATCTTACGCTTTTTAGAAAATTATACCTAGATCTGAATAAAATTTGCATATTTATGAATTTTTTTATAAAGTGAATTTCTCTTCTACTTTTTGTCATTTTTTCTTAAAGATATAGTGAATTTTTCAGGTCTAGGACATTGAAATCCTTTAAATTCATCATGAATTTTTCCATTTTCGATTCTTGCCTTATAAACTTGAATTAACCAATTCATATTATCTAAACAGCCAATAACGATTCCTAAAGATAATCGACCTTTAAGATTTGTAAATGTTCTTTTGAAGAATAATAATATTTGGCTGTTATGATAGTCGGATGGTAGGATAATTGTACATTTCTCACATTCACTTATAATTATATCATTCGTAAATATGATACCTTTAGAATATAAAAATGCGATTGTAAAGTGAAATGAAGGGGAAAATAGAGAAATGGAAAAGGGTTAAAATACTGCAAAATTAACAATTAACATATTGCCTTTATTCTGAAGCCAAATAAACTGTTTTCTTTCGAGATTATCGGATACGACTGAAAATGTCTCAATGTTATTTATAGTTCCTTTTTTATCTTCAAAAACGCAAGTGTTTTTCTCATGAAAGAATGAATCGATAGTATAAATCATTGGAACTGGCAATATTAAACGTAAATAGTTGACTTGTCTAATTTTCAAATTACACGGTAAATGATGAGTATTTTTATAAATCATTTTATCAATCATATTCATATGTGGTAAGGATTCGTGAAAATAGATGTAAATATAGTCAGATTGGCAGTTTTCCAAGTACAAATTACCCTTTTAAAGAAATTTTTTGTTAATTAGTTAGATAACTGTCTAATTAATAAATTTCTATTGACCTTTTCTGAGAATAGAGAATCAAATACTAATTCAATTACAACATCTGTAGTTTTTACTGTTGGCATCTGTGACCGTTTACAAATGATAGTAACGTTGGTCTTTTTTCTCAAAATGCCATATGTTGTATCGCATCTATTTTCTTGATTGCCATTACAAATAAAAGTAACATTTTCAACGGAAACATTTATATCATTACAAGAGCAGCCCGGTAAAGCAGTTAATGTTTCTGTATCTTTAAAACCACTATGAAATTCATTGGGATAAGATATTGCATGATACGATTCTAATAAAATCAGAAATAAAATTATCATATTTCATTTAAATATTCGTTAATAAATATTTAAATTTGAAATAGATTTTATACCATTTTTAAAGGTTTTATAGGTAATACACCTTGAATTTTTCTTAATTCCGCCATTTTTTTTACTTGATACTTGCCATACAAATGTTGAGAACATCTTTCAGTCTAACGTTTGGAGAAATGAATTTTTTACATCAATTGGCGAAGAGATATATAGCAGACGTTTTTCTTTGATTTACTCTTGAAAGAGTGTTAAATGTCATGTCAAACAAAATTTAGAATCAAATTGGATAAATTAACTTTGGCATTATCTTTCTAGTAAATTTCATAAGAGACTACAGCAATAGAAATAAATAAGAGTTAATAATTGCTAAAACCATCTAATAAACTCTCTCTCTCTCTCTCTCTCTCTATATATATATATATATATATATATATGTATACTGTATATAGATCTATAAAGCGATACTATTGCTATCTATCCTCCCAAGAGAAATTTATTATACGATTCGCTAAATTGGTTTTAACGATGGTACTATAATGAAAAAAAAAGAAAAATACTCATCGTTCACATTTAATCAAAAAGAACAATGTAGCAAAATTGTTCAGCCTTGACTTATCGATTATGATAAAGTAATAGATAAAAAATGCGCTTTCATGTTTTAATAATAAAAGAAAAACAATCTGTTACCTACTAAATAGTAGAATAAATGATGTTGAATTTTTTATTACGAACATAGGAAGATTGTATCTTTTTTATTTTTTTAGTTTATTCTCTGATTTATTTTCTCTCTTGTTATAGTTTTAAAAATTCATATTATTAATATATTAAAGGTGTTATTATCACTTTGAACAAAGTACAGATTATTATCTTCATTTCATTGTAAAAACAAACGTAAAATTTAAACAAAAGAAGGGAAGGCTAGATAGACTTTGTCAATTTTGTTAAAAGAAATAAGATATACACATATATATATATAAATTATATATATATATATATATGTGTATCATAATGTACGTCTTGTACAATTATACCTAAAAAACTGGAATGACAATAGAGCAAATGATTTAAAAACAGAGACATAAAAAGTATACACAAGAAAATTGTATAAATATACGTATGTATATATATATATATATATATATATATTTATATAATATATATATATGTATAAGGGAATGTTTGAAAAATGGCTAAGTGTTAAAAAAGTATAAGCCTATAAATAAATTTTTTCATTTTTCATATAAATTGAAAAGAGATGGGAATGTTTCATTTTTTTCCAAATAATTTTGATCCTGAACGATCTTTGAGGTCTTTAAAAGTGTTAAACATTTTTGATGTAACGCCCATATCACCAAAGGATGTAGATGTTGCAAAACGCCTGAATGAAAATTCACGAGGGAGGAAAAAGTAATAAATTAGAATCTAGCTTTCATGTCAATAATGCATATACTTACGGATCAGACGTGGATAACCGATCTTGCACGTCGCGGAGCAAGGACTGAACAATATCTACTCGATCTGGAGCTAATTGCGCGATATCACGCTGAACGCAAACTAATCCAGGTAGCAAAAATTCTCCCGCGACTTGTTCGTTCATGACTAAACGTAAAAAATAAGTAAGTATAAAACACAATTACTTTTCCTGGATTCATTTCAAACTTAAAATAAAGAAAAAAACAAAAATAAATCTTATTGGCTGTAATTACCACAACATGATAGCGAGCTATAGGCTTCAAATAATTGCATTGCTATTTCAAATCGTTTTGCCTCATCTGCATTATGGTTATTTGTCGCTGCCATTACTGCCATTCTCGGTAGTACAACTAAAAAGCAATAAAAATATCATTCATTAACTTTGTAAATTAAAAAAACACCTGTTGTACCATTGTACAACACGTTTTTTTTTATTTATTTTAATCTTTAAAACACTTGAAATTGTTTCTGGTAGTTTCACAACAACTAAAGAGGAGTAAAAAGCATATAGAGCGGAGTTTAAATGGTAGGCGATAGCTTTTCTCTGCCTGGATTTTGTCCAGGGTTACGTATTAAAGATTATTCCTGTTTTCTATGGGCAACACTGCCTGATTTATCATCAATAAATACCTCCATAGAAGATTCGGAACTAGAGGATTTTTTCGACGAACCAATCGAACAAACTATTTCTTCAGTGTGTTATACCTATTTACTACCATTTATAGCGATTATTGGAATACTCACTAACCTCTTACTTTTAATAACTTCGTTTAGTTTGCACAATATAGTTTCACCAACATACATTTATCTTACAACAACGTGTTTTATGGATATTGGTGTTATAATTATTCGAATAGTCAACGAATGGGTAACTACTACATTTTATTTGGATGTTAACGTTTTAGTTCTTGTCAAGACGGATTTATCTTGTAAAATATATCCATTAATATTTAATTTCTTCTTTTATCTGGGTCGTTGGGCTCTCGTACTTGCAGTTTTGGATTGCGCATTGAGGTCCAGGAGAAGGGTTCCCATTGCCAATACAGTCGAAGGCTGCAAAGCGATTGTCCACCTACTTATGGTTGTTATCATTTTTTTAAATGCTCACTACTTTTGGTCCTTTGAACTGTTCGTTAATCGCTCTTGTACTCAATTTATTTGCCGTTTCAAGCAAAATTATTCCACAAATCAACATCTAAGTAACTTCCCACATATTATCTGGCCAATAATCGACTTTACAGTCGGCGATGTGATCCCACTTCTAATCATTTTAGCCGGGACAATAATCACTTTGCACGGAAGGCTAACAAAATGGGACAAACCGTTGGCTGACTACAAATTTAGCATTAGACCATTAGGTGTCTACGAACTTCAAGGTTCTTTAATAGCTATTGGTCTTGCCTATACTCTTTTAATTACCCCTAAAGTAACTTATTCGCTCTTCAAGTATTATGTGGAACATTACAATATGCAAGAGTATGATTCGGCCGTTCTTTTTCATTCCTTAACAATGACAAGTGAAGGAGTATTTTTTGGGTTAAAATTCGTATTACTTCTAACTACAAGCGGAGTATTTAGAGCAACTTTCCGTCAGATGGCGATCGTCACGACAATCTTAAAAATGATAAGTCAATGGAAGAATACTAGGCCTCAAATACCAGGAGAGCAAACAGTTTTCAGCTCTGAAACAGATGTTAAAAGATGTCCAACTCACAAAGTTCATTCAAATTGCAAAATATCAAGTGATATTTTTATCTAATATAATTATTTTACTTTCTTTCCAAACTTGTTTTTATTAATAATGTCGTCTCTTTATAAATACTATTAGTTTTTTGGCTATTTTATTAAAATTACGTATTTATTCATAATATACTTTCCTTTCTTTTCTACCATGAATCTTTTTTTTATCTAAAAGATAGTATAATGGAATAAAGAAAAAAAAAATGTAAAAACCTATATTAAATTGTTCTTCATTATCTTCATCGCCATCCGTATTATTGACATGTGATATCTCATCATGATAATTAGAAGCTAACCGATCGCGAATTGATATAAAGTAAAAATTCTAATTCTGGGAAAAAATCAATTATGAAGTAGAATTGAAATATTTTTCGAAAAAATAATAATTGTACTAGATAACTACTATATCTATTTCTTTATAGAAACTTATTATTTATACGATATACTATATAAAATTTATTATATTGTATATAATTATATAATAATACAATACAGTATACTGTATGAATACTATTGTAATGGAAAATTATCTATGGAAATTGCCTAATTAGTTCTACATCTTCCTTATAAATCACCTTGAAATGATAAACAGTTAATAAGTGGCATGGGAATTGCTAAAATTCAGGCCACGATTTAAGTAAACAAAAAGGCATCCGTAATTACGATGCATTACAGAGCTATCCTTCCAGCTGGCGAAGTATAAATGAGGAAAAATCTATAAAGAGAGGTCGCTCCTGTCATTCGCTCATTTTTCGTGAAGGCGTTAGATGAAATGCTTAACTTAAGTAAAATTTTCCCCGATGCTAACGCCATAGACTCTCTGAGTGAGGAAGACTTATTAAGACTTTATCATAATTACTATTCAGCCGAGGAGGAAGGCATTGTGTTTCTTATATATAAGTACGTTTTTCCATGTCTATTATTTATAGGCTGCATAACTTGTTTCCTGGGAGTTTTGGCACTCATCAAACTAATCAATTTAGTTTCGGCAACTTACGTTTATTTGGTTTTTCTGGGTTCGTATTAATAACGATTTAGTTAGCATGTTTTTTCTATAGCTGTTCAATTATAGTTATCAGATATTCTGTTTATCTCTCTAACATAAAAACTTTTACTACTTCTACAGCTGCAATCGATAGCGTTGTACTCATTCTAGAATTTGGTAATAAATGGTTAGCTAATACCATTCACTCGGACCTTTCTACAAAACTTACAAATAGCAATGCTGCTGTATGTAAAATATATCCGTTCATTTTAAATTTAACCTTTCATATGAGTAAGTGGTTGGCGATTTGTTTCGTTGTGCACGCAACTATTATTGGAAGATGTCCAAGCAAAAATAAATTAAAGTTGGAGCAATGTCGAACTGTAATATTATTTTTAATAGTTATACTTATTCTATTGAATTCCCAATACTTTTGGCTATTTGAACTACAATTAATTAAGAATACCAAAAACGAGAAAAGTTACGTTTGTCTTATTACAAATACTGGACATCATCATAGTGAATATTTTCAAAAATTCATTTCACCACTTTTGGCCATTCTTATACAAGATATTTTACCTTTTTTTGTTACAATCTGTTCGCTTACTGTTTGCTGTAGAAATTTAAGGAACAAAAGAAAATTAAATAGCCAGATAAAATATTTACTTCTACCGAGTGGATTGCATAACCTCGAGACCACTGCATTATCTTTATGTATCTTTTTTCTTTTATTTGTTACTCCGAGATTGGGATTTCGAATGCTAATGAATGTTATGGAAAGACTGAAATCTACTTCATGGTCGGAAAATGAAGATAAAAATATTTTAATTGCTGATGCGATAACCCAAACACTTGAGGGTATATACGTAAGTGGAAAATTTTTCATCTACCTTGTCGCAAATAGTAATTTCCGGAGGCAATTTCTCCGTTATATTATACTAATCCGATCTACAAGACAGAATCGTGCAGTTAGCATTTTTAGGACATCTAATCCTATTCTACCTTTCCGAGAAACTGAACTCTCCTAATTAGCGCAATATCTTTATAATGAAAAAAGCCTGAATAGCTTTCAGCGCTATCTCTTGTCAGTTGACATTTACAATAATTATTGAGTACTTACACTCATCCCGAAAATTTGCGTCAGCGTTTGGTACAACACGAGCCAGTGAATGGATCAGCTCTAGTTGTAATAGATGCTCTCCTTCGTAAAGATTATCATCCATAAAAGATTGAAGTTGTAGACGAACCTTATCTAAAACCTTTAATAAAGTTCATATGAGAAAAAAATATCTTTTCTTATTAATACCCATTACCTCTCTAGATGATACAGTTTCTATTATGGATGTCAAAGGTGATATTGTAGCTCTCCTTACAGACCTGTTTTGAAAACATGTTTTGTATGTATTACGTGTAAGTCAAGAAGAAAATTATTCATGGGTGAAATAGATACATCTCTGGATCCGAGGATAAAGTGACCAGTGCTGGAATGATACGATTAGATATATTTGCCGGAGACATTCTTTTCAATAAACCCTTAAGGGATAAAAAGGAAAACTTTTAGATTTTAAATTCTGAGGTGGAAAATTGTTTAAATCAAGAAATTAATTTGAAAAAACGACTTACTTCGAAGACTTTAGCAGACAATGAGCGAACTTTAAGTGATGAATGAACAACGGCTTCCCAGAGAACAATTAAAAGCAAATCATGTACGTTTGAGTCGTGTCTATATAAAATGACAATTGTTAAATAAATTTTATGGTAATAACTCTCATAATAAACTTGATTAATTTAATACTATAGTTTTTTTTATATTAATATGTATATAAAAATCTATAAATAATTAATTGAAATTATCAATATTGACATCGTAGTAAATAAAATACTAACGATAACTGAGCGAAAGTTGAAAGTAGTGATTGAGGATTGGCACCATTCTCCGCAACCATTTCTAAGGTTCGGCTTAAGAATTTTGATAACTTATTCTCGTATTTCTATTAAAAAGAATCATGGGATTAAAGAATTAGAGAAGATTAATGAATTTTTTTAATACATTAAGTATTAATTGATTAAAATATATATTAAAATTTTTCTAATTAAAACTTATACTAACTGATAAGAATGTGCATAGAATTGAATAAGTATATACAGGTAGGGCACATTTGTGATAAACACTATGATTATTGCATATTATTGATTCTGTAATATTTAAATGTTAATATAAGTTATATTAATTGAATTCTATCCTAACAAACCAATTTGATCATTGGGAATACTAAACATCATTTCAAATTTAGGTAATATCTGTAGGGTAAAAACAAATTTATATTGTTTATATAGAAAAATAAAAAAAAAACTATTAATATGTCGGTAACCTTCGTGTTAACAAAAGTAAAGCCAAAATTTTTGCATAGAGTACGGCAATATGAGCAAAAAGAATCGACAACAAAATCCACCTCATCACTCACAGTTTTTACGACATTGATTAATTGCGGTAAACTGTAAGGTTAAATTGTCAATAGTTAGAATCGAAAAACGAGAAATTTTACTATTTTCTTACAGATCATCAACTACCCATGAAAATTCTTTCCAACTATCGTACCACTCTTCTGATATATACTCTTCATATTTTGCTAATAGCTTAACTGTTCGAGATTTGCTACCAATAATTGTGTCTAATTGCAATAATTGACAATTAGATGTGGATCTATCGTCTAGAAGGTGATATTCGTTGTCGTTCTCTGGCTCGTCAGATATTTTATCTAAGAAGGGAGCGGAAGTTATAACTAATGAGAACAGGAGTGGTATATATTCTTCCAAAGCATCTATCCATCTACCAAATTTTCCGGTATCGATTGGTAGAGTTTGACTATTCGACGCCACTTGGGTAGCCAGCGCAGTCTGTAAAATGATATAATATTACTGGAGGAAAAACAGTTGGTAATTTTATTTCAGCTAAAGCGTGCTTTATATTACTGAAACTTTCAAAATTAAAGCAGAAGCTTTTATAAATTTGATTTATAGATGCACGCTACCTTACCTTAGTTCTATTTAAAGAATATTCTACTCTCTAGTTAATTATATATAAAAAGCAAAAAAAAAAAGTACAGATAAATTTTTTTTTGGTTTTTTGTAGAATTGAATGTAAATAAAAAGAATAAAAAAGAAAATATTATCTAAAATCAATTAAGAATTTATAAATTACTATTTTGATTCAACTCACTCGGATAACATCTTGTAAATAATCAAAATAGGTTTGAATAACTTCGGATAGTTTATTGAGGGAAATAGCCCAGAGGCCGTAAGTTGGCAGCATCAGCTCTTTTGAAACTTTAACAACATTTTCACTTTTATCGAGTAAACCTCTTCGAAGCATTTCGCCAGCCTGTGTGCAATAAGTATAACTGTATTCTCAGTGGAATTCTAAAAAGTTAGCGCATAAAGTAAACCTGTCCAAATTTTCCTTCATCTTGAATGAAAGCGAAAAGTAATGATAAACTTCGAACGCTCGTTTCTCTTACTTCGTCACTCTTGTCATCTAACATTTGTTGCAAAATCGATAAAACTAAAGAGCTTCGTAATTCGTTCTAAAAAATAATAGATTTCCAATATTTATGATTGCACTTGTTGGGAAAACGATGTTTTATAATTTCATACCGAAAAATACGGAACCAACGCTCCACATGCTTCGGCAACTAGCATCCTGCGTTCGAAGTATTTATGACCGATCTACAAATGAACAGACGTTTTTAAACTATTTACATATTTAATGAATTTATAAAATGCCTTACTTGCTCCCAACACTGTGGTAGCAGCTCGTTCTCTAATCTTGAATAGGCAACATTTTTGGCAAAGGCAATACATCCAGTTAGAATGATCTGCCTTTGTTGACTATCAGGCTTTTTAATAAGATTAAAAAGAATATTTAATAATTTATCTCTTTCTTTAGAATCCGAATGGAGACTGGCAGCAGCTAAGATAACAGGAATAAGTTCCTATAAAAGAAAATGATAAATTATAGTCATCCTATTGCGATTTATTGACAAAGATTTACTTCTCTCTTATTGAGTAATACATTTGGGACTATGTGTGGCAAGCATCGACCTAGCATAGGGATAACATCATCATTATCCCTTACAGCTGTAACTTCATTCACAATACGATTGTCGTGAGGTGAGTAGAAAGCTGATTGAAATAATATTTTAGAGAATGACTCTGGTATAGTTTGATTGATAGCTTCCCAAGAGTCATTTTTACTATAACTTGAATCAGGTGTTTGTTCAATTGTTTCTTTTGCAGAATTTTCAAATTGTATATCGCTTCCAGCGTTTGCTACTATTGAGTCGGTTTTGGTCTGATTAATGGACGGTTTAATTGGACTAACAGCAGGTGTTGATGTAGCAGAAAATTTAGTTATTTGATTATCTCTGTGAATTATATAAATAATAGTAATCCTTCAATTTCAAATAAATTTAAAATTAAATTACTTTTCAGATGATTTTAATCGGTGACTGAGAAATTCATTTTCTGTTTGCATTGTTTCTATTCTCTCTTCATAATTAGTTATTCTATCATTCTTTATAAAGGAATAATTATTAAAAATTTGATATATAGTCGAACCAGTATCGATTCGAAAAAGTAACTTACTAGATGCGTAATTATTTCGTCTTTTTTCAAAATTTCCTCGCTATCAAGATCCGCTGTAGTGCTATTATCAATCTTTTCCACAACTTCTATTGCATGATGCCCGTAATCACGATATAAGTGTAATAAATTTGGTGGCTTCGAAACATTTAGGCCAACATCATCCCAATCGTCAAAATCTTGATTTTCATTTTCTTCACAAAAAGTAACAGAACTTATTTTATAATCGTGACTTAATAAATATTCATTAACAAGAAAATTGATAGCACGTTTTTCGTAAGGTTTAATGCACTCCTCATCTTCAATTGCTGCTTCAGTGATTTTATTGTTTGAAGCGTCAGGAGATGTTAACAATTCTGTTTCTGTTTCAGCAGTTTTTGTCAAGGCTGCTCTTAACGATCGAATAGTTTCCTGGGCTTTTCTTAACTCAAATTCTAAGACGGCTACTTTATCACTTTCTTGACGCTCACCATCATCCGAGTATCGGGCGAAATCCAAAGAATCAAATGTCTGACAACTTGATGTCCTGGCTGCAATTAATTATACATAGAGATAATCAAGATTCGCGATCTAACTCACGTAACGTTGTATTAGGAAAGTCCGTTTGTCTTGTTCTCTCGAAATTAGCTGGATTTGAGAAAAAATCTCTCAGCTTTGAATTTTCTCTACCCGCCTCAATCAATTCTGTATGTAACTCTAAAGCAGTCAGAAGGTATTGTTCCTCTAGCAATTTCCGTGCAATATGATCCCAGCTTATTCGTTCATTTATTGGACTAGATTCATGAGATGAGTTTTCTTGTACTTCTTCCTCCTGAGTCGATAAATCTTCTTCACTAAAAGGGTTGGTGTTCGCCATTTGTGAGTCAGGCGGCTAGGGGCTAGCCCGGAGAATCCCTATATCAGCGGATATGACGTAGACAAATTTCGTTTTCTTGAACGCCGGAATCATGACGAGCAATAAGGTAAGCACAATATTTCTCTTTAATTTCATTATATACTAATGAATTTTATATAAAAACGACATATGTTTACGTCATATATTACGATTGACCGTAGAGAAATAATTTAATTTACATTGATGCTTCTCATCAGAGAGTGGTTTTCTTTGTTTCGTACAAAACCTTAATTCGTTTTATCATAGATGGAAGTTGATGATGTTCCGGCCACAGACGGTCTAAAAAAGTACTATATCTCCAAAATGGATGAGATGAACAGAGAACTATCAGATAGAACACACAATGTTAGAAGATTGGAGGCTCAAAGGAATGAATTAAACGCTAGAGTTCGTTTGCTTAGGGAAGAATTAGGTCTTTTACACGAACAAGGATCTTACGTAGGAGAAGTTGTTAGGCCAATGGATAAAAGTAAAGTACTTGTAAAGGTTCATCCTGAGGGAAAATTTGTCGTCGATGTTGATAAGTCAATCAACATACCCTCATTGACGGCTGGTGCTCGCGTAGCCCTCCGCAACGACTCTTATACTTTACACAAAGTATTACCAAGCAAAGTTGATCCTCTTGTAAGCTTAATGATGGTGGAAAAAGTTCCTGACTCTACTTATGAACTTGTTGGTGGTTTGGATAAACAAATAAAAGAAATAAAAGAAGTTATTGAATTGCCCGTAAAACATCCAGAGTTATTTGAAGCTCTGGGTATAGCTCAGCCTAAAGGTGTTTTACTTTACGGTCCTCCTGGAACTGGTAAAACCCTGCTGGCCAGAGCTGTAGCTCATCACACCGATTGTACATTCATTAGGGTTTCGGGTTCTGAACTCGTTCAAAAGTTTATTGGTGAAGGATCGAGGATGGTTCGAGAACTCTTTGTAATGGCCAGAGAACATGCGCCCTCAATCATTTTTATGGACGAAATCGATTCCATAGGCTCCACGAGAATCGAGAGTGGCAGTTCAGGCGGTGGTGATAGTGAAGTTCAAAGAACCATGCTTGAACTTCTTAATCAGTTAGATGGTTTTGAACCAAAACAAAATATCAAGGTTATAATGGCAACAAACAGAATTGATATATTAGATTCAGCTTTACTTCGTCCAGGAAGAATTGACAGAAAGATCGAGTTTCCTGCTCCAAACGAACAGGCTAGATTAGATATTCTACGAATTCATTCAAGACGAATGAATTTGACACGAGGTATAAATTTACGAAGAATCGCAGAACTCATGCCGGGAGCATCAGGAGCTGAGGTTAAGGGTGTATGTACTGAAGCTGGAATGTATGCCCTTAGAGAGAGACGGGTACACGTGACCCAGGATGACTTTGAGCTAGCCGTAGCTAAGATTATGCAAAAAGACTCGGAGAAAAATATGTCCATCAAGAAACTGTGGAAGTAACTTGTGTATTTGTATATATATATATTTTTAGGGAGCGGGATAAATATTGTGTTACTGACAATCGTAATTGTACTATCCCTCTGTGTAGCTACCCTAGGTAATATATTATGAAAAAGAAATACCAAGAGTTACAAAAAATTCAGATTTTTATTCATAAAGTAAATAAATTTAACGGGAAAATTGTTTTCGACCTACGTTTCTTTTACCCGAAACAGCTTTATAAATCTTTGCTTTTTTTTGTTCCTTATCTTTTTTATATCCAAATCCACCACCACCTCCACGCTTACGAACCCTTCCGGCAGATTTACTTGCATGTACATCTGAACAAAATATTTTTAATTTATTCAATTTTAACAGTGAAAAAATTACACTTACTTAAATCAACGTAGGGAGGAACACTAAATCCAAAACTCTTAGCTACCAACTGTAGATCCAGCTCATTTATGTCAAATATATTTTTCAAACTGTGTGAAGCATATGCTCTAACATAGCTCTTATAGGCTTCTTGTGCGCTTTTGTGTAGAAAATAATTTTTTTCTATAAGTTTTTCTAGTTGTGGTTGAATGTTAGACACTTTAGCCCAAGAAAACTCAAATTCACTAACAGGAACTTTAGCTTTCTTCAAGTAACGAAGAAAGCCAACTTCTTCTGGTTGGAGAATTAAAAGAGCATGACCTTTGCCACCTTCACCTCTGGCAGTTCTGCCTACTCGATGAATGTATTCTGAAGGATCATCTGGTGGGTCAAATTGAATTATCCAATCAACCATAGGGATATCCAATCCTCTGGCTGCAACATCTGTACAGAGGAGAATTGCTTCCTTTGCGTTGCAAAATTCGAAAAAAGTATGAGTTCTCTTGGTCTGCTTTTGTTTTCCCTGAAGGAGAGATAAAACTTTTTATTTAGATTTCTAATAGCGATAACTACTTACGTGAATGCAAGTAACTGGTAAATCAATATAGTTCAATAGTTCATTGTAGAATTTAACACTCATACAAGAACTTAAAAATACCATAATTTTCTTTTTCTTATTCTTCTTAAGGAAAGTAAAGAGCAATAGAAATCGCTTATCAGTAGGACATATAACGTAGCCCTGTAAACAATTATGCTTAGCAATCATATCCAAATTCGTATCATTAACAAACCTGTTCCAAACCATCAACTGTAGCCGTTTCTTTACTGTCGTCAACGCCAATATATAATGGTTCTTTCTTTAGAGAAATTCTTGCTAAATCCTCAGTTTTACGCGTTTGTGTAGCAGAAAACAGCATCGTTTGTCTTTTTTCTACAACGATTAGTATTATTACAAATTTTGCTCACTAAGAGAATTAGATAACCTACTGGGTAATAACTTAACAATTTGTTTCATTTCTTCTTCAAAACCAATATCCAAAATACGATCAGCCTCATCGATAATCAAACATTGCAAATTTTTATACATAAAATGATTAGTATTTTGTAAATGATCCAGAAGTCTGAAAAAAAAATATTCTCAACTCTAAATAATATTTAAAAAAAATAGAAATAACAACCTTCCTGGGGTGGCGACTATAAGATTTACGCCTTTAGCAATCTTTTTCGCTTCCTCTTGTCTGTTGGTTCCACCCATTATCAAACCGTACGTATGAGGATGGTGATTCATCAATTCCTTCACAACTCCAAAAATTTGCATAGCTAATTCTCTAGTTGGCGATATAATGATAACGCCAGTGCCTTATAAAATACCAAAATAAAAAACTAATATAATTAAACCAAAGTAACCAACCGTTTCTGGGCATAAATTTTAGTTTATGCAATAGCTCTACGGCTGGAATTAAGAATGCCAACGTTTTGCCACTTCCCGTTTTAGCGGCACCCATCAAGTCACTAAAATGAGATGCTATTATAGAACAGAAAATTATAAAACCTATTCAACTTACTGTCCCTCTAATAGAGGTGGAATAGTTTTAGCTTGAATTTCTGTCATATTTTCGAATCCCATGTCCTTTATAGCTTTTAATGTTTCCTCACAAACAACATCCTTTAAGTTTACAAATGATTTGTCAGTAAGAATCGAAAATGCTACGCTGCTACCAGGAACTGTTAAAGTAACATGGAAGATTTAGCAATGATACTGCGTAAATTTTGTATATACGAACGTTTGACATCACCATTTTCTTGGTCTTTTGAAGAGTCACCAGAATCTATGTCAACCTCATCCTGACTTTGTTCGATATCAGATTCTTCACTATCGGTCTCATGTTTCTCTATAATTTCTCTTGACAGCTTTGGCTGCTTTACTTTCTTTGGACCTGAAGAAGGGAACACATGTGATTTAGCACGGATTTAAATATAGTTTACAATTTCAAGGTGATCTAACCTTCAGTATGCTTTTCTTTTGATTTAGCTTCCAACTGTCGCTTCTTCGCTTTCTTATTCTGAACGCCTTTCTTTGCTATTGCCGAATTTTTAGGCATAACGCGTGGTAACACTATATCGCTCACACAATCAATCGAGTAATTAAACTGGTAGACATTTATGTGGTTACCAGTTCCAAAACGCCTCACGTTCGCATAAAATGAGGTCCATTACTGAACCTGCAGACTTCCACTTCCGGAACTTTCGTGAACTAAAGCAGAATTGGCGGAAAGTCGATATTTTCTTAACATTTTGGCTTTACGCTTAAAGTAAATTTTACTAAGCATACTAACAGGAGAAGTAGTGCAAGAACATAATAAAGTCTATTCTGATAGCACAAATCACACTTGTGTTGTAATCTATAACCGACAAAATATCAAAAATAGTAAGTTGCATTGTTTTTAATTGTTTTCGTTTTATATTTATTTCAAACTAAAAGTAATACAAATGCAGTCAATAGACAATTTATATTAATAATATAATTATTAGTTTTCAAGAAATGTCTCTTTGATAAAATAACTAATTATATGTCTATTTTGTAAACTAAATAGATGATCGTGCTCGATTTCAAACAATAACAAGTTACGTTCATTTGCCATGTTACGAGTTTTGGATTGCTTTATTGCTGGTGATATAACAGCTAATGTTGTTATAGAATGGTTAAAGAGTGGTGATAAGCAAATTGTAAGTTGATTAGTTTTCTACTTTTTTTCAAATTAAAACTAGTTTTTGTGTTTTTTGGGTTTATAGTTCGAAAAGGTGCCAGAAATTAATGAAAAAAGTAATAGGGGAGAATTCATAGAAATTTTCCTTGACTTTCTGCGTTATCAAACGGCAAAAGCTTTAGAGTCATTAGAATCTGTCAATCCGTCGCCGATTAAACCAACCAAAACATTCATACATTCGACTAGGAGTCTTGATAATAAAGATATAAGACCGAGGAAGCCTTCTGCAAGAAGAGGAAAGTTATTTTCTGATGTTGCAGCGTCAAATGACAGTGAATCAAAGTTTGGCGAAAACTCAAAGTATACAATAAGGAAGAGAAGTGGTTTAAAGAATACAATGTTGATAGGAGATTTCCTAAATCTAGAAAATAGAATAAAGGGAAACCAAGCGAAGGTCAAAGAAGAAAATACTTTTACTGATAAGCAGACGCAGGATCATGATGGATTGAGTATGAAAACGCCTACAAAACAATTTGTAAGCCCAAAATCAAGTACTCCACGAAATCCTCGCAGAATTATTCCTACTCCAGTTAAAGCCAATTTAAGTCCAATTCTAAATCAATGGTTCCCAATATTCCAATATTATAAACATTTTTTCATTGTATTAGTTTATATATTAGTATTTAATAAGTTAAAGAAAAAATTAATTTTTGGATTAGTGGGAACATTTCTAATAAGTCATTCTCTCCTGTAGCATCAGGACAAGTTGGAAATATTTCGTCAATTAGCGGTAGTACATTTAATACACCATTTAAAAGCAGCAATACCTCTATGACAGAAAACGAACGAGACAATTCTAGTAGCTTTGATATAGCTGATGATAAGTTGGTTGAAAATGATACTCAAAAAAATATACAAACTCCAGTTGTAATTGATTTGAAATTGGTTACATTTAAAGAAATATTGGAGAGATTTTCAGATCTATATTCGGCAATTATATTAGGTTAGAAAGATTAATCGATTCTTTGAATGAAATTGAATTTATAGCCTATTTTTTTTTCATAGAATTTTTAGTCCCAAGTATACTGACCGAAATTTATTTCACAATACAATTATTGACTGTAAAGCATGTAAATGAAGTGTCAAATAGCCGAAAAAGTAAGTTTATGAAGCAAATTTACATTTTATTAGTAAATTTAAAATTCTTTTTATAGGGGAAATATGTTATTTCAATTCCAGTCATAATTGTGTATTCTTCGCTCTGGAAACGTTAAAAAAAATATATAGGTATTTGTAATAAAAAAAAAGAAGATATTTTAAAATTCTATTATTTTTTCTATTTTTCACTTTTAATTTCCGTTTTTAAAAAGTTTTTTAGAATTTTATGATAAGCAATTCGTAAATCTTTTGGCAAAAAATCAACGAATAGTTGAATCGAGTCCAGAATTTTCCAAACTTCTACAGAGTATTAGTGAAAAATGCGCCGGCATGGTAGGTTTAATTAGATTGATTTTTTTTCCTTTGAGGTCAACCCTTATTTTATAATATATTTCAGATGAATCTTACAGAACAAAAAGCTTTCTTCAGTGTTGCATTTCAAGCTGATACTGATAATCAACAAAATTTCCCGACTACTTCACATTTTCACTTGTTCAAAAATCATAGGTGTGATTAATCAATATTCTCGTATAAGAGCGTACTTATTTTTTTTATTATTATGTATGAACAGAGATAGCTTCTATTCGTTTTTACGAGAATGGAAGAATCAGCATACTCGAAATGATTGGGCTGTAGGAACGGCAATGGGAAATCGCATTTTTACATTAGTTTCTTCACTTAGCGATTCGACCGTCTGTTATCATTTTTGTAGACTATTTGTTTGTCAATTACTACAAGTAATAATTTAATGGAATCTATTCAATGTTTTATTGTTATGAAGCAATTTTATGATTAGATGAGCGATGGGGATATCGAAAATGACAATGAACAACAAATGCTAGCTGAAAATCTAAAGACAAATGTTGAAAAGTTAAGACGGTAATTATATTTCTGTATCTTTCTTATATTATTCTTTAATTACGATACTTATATTAAAATAATAGTTTACAAGAGAGATTAGTCAAGCCGGCAAAGATTAATGGACCTGCTCCCCCACCCTCATTTCCAGGCTTCCAGCTATTCTTTAAAGAGTTTATTATTTACGGTAGCCACGCAGCATTCCATAATCAATTAGAGCTATTTCTTTGCTCAAAACTTCAGGAAGTGCGTACTTTATTCCCTTGTTTCAATTTTTAGTGAACTAATTACATTTTCTATTAAAATAGTTCACAATAGAATCGGAAAAATGTACTGATATACATGTACTTAGAAAACTATTACAAACATCGCAATTATTGGCTAAATATATTGGATTTATTCATTTTTTCCCATTATCTGGCTCTACGATACCCGATAAAGTTTTACCTTCAATTCTTAAAATGAGATCAAACATTTCACCTCCTCACTTGAATTTAAAAACAATATTAAAATCATCATGCACAACAGGAAATCTATTATATAATGTTACTTGGATTACAACGTAAGTTAATAGTAATGTTATTTAATAGTTTATTCAAGAGTTAATTTTTTATTATCATTTCAGCTATTTGGCTATGGCTGATGTATATGCATTTAAAGTACAATATACTATCGATCTATGCATTCTTCTTCTGGCTGTATTTAGAGAATGTATAAAAGAGTTGAAAAACGATAAAAACTCGGAAAAATTTCTTATTGTCACATGTTTATCGTGGTTCTTTCAGCAACCTTTCTTTCCCCGTCATTTGCTTTATTCGAATTTATGCGAAAAGAAAAGAAATGACAAGATAGTTATTAAATCTTCTCGATACGCTGGTAAAAGATTAAATGTGTCTTTCTTCCATCAAACATTTCCATTTATAGGTTAGTATAGCTCAATTCTCAACGAAATAATAATTGGTTTTATTAAAAATTGAAAGCCGAATTGTCTGCTTTGCTCTTGTCGTTTTCTGAGGGAACGTGTAATACTCGTGGTAAACATAGAAAAATAACGCCATTATCTTATCAGAATACTGGTATTGAAGTTAAACGTCTTGAAACTACCTCGTTACAGGTTTTTTGTTTCCTTCAACATAACTTTTATACTATTTAATATTGTTTCTTATTAATCTTTTTTAGAATGAGTTAGAAGATAGCTTTTTCAATAATCAACCTGCATCGTTGAAAAAAACAACAATCTTCGTTGCGGAGAGATTAGCATCAAATACTATAAAAACTTTTAAATTAAGTCAATTTGAGGAGATATTAAAAGAATGTTACGAGTTTGGTAGAAATAGCGCTGTAGAAGACAATCACGATAGATTAATATCAACTTTAAGATTAAGTAAGAAAATGCAGGAAAAAGCACAACAATTATCTAGAGATTGCCAACATAACGTGTCGAAGAAGGCTGAAATGTAAAAAGCATTTTTGTTTTTTTCCATTGAGATTCTTTACTAAAAATTAATTGCGTTCGTATCATTTAGGTTGACAGATCAGCAGGCTTATAACATTCTTAAGGCTTTACTGCACGATTCTACAAATGATCAAATTATTGTGGTTGCAAGTAGAATATGCAAGAGAATGTCCATAAGTAAAGTTCAAACTTGGATGGAACAATACGTTAATTCAGGTATCTTAACTGAAAATACTATCCTACATGATAATTATATATTTTATATATATTATCAGATACACTATTCAAGGAAATAAGCTCTCATTATGAAAAAATTGTATCTAAACCGCAAAATCATAATTTAATGGACGAAACAAAGATTGAAGAAGATAGTTTAAAAAATCTTGATGATCTTAATTGTAAAATTAATGAAGCTGATGATGGATTTTTCTTACCATCTAAAGTTCTTAATTCTTTTTTGGATTTGTTACAATTAAGTGTAATTTCAACAACAAGCCCGAATATAAACTCAATTAAACAAACAATATCGCAAGCCATTTATCTTATACAAGAAAATGAGGTAAAATAAATTTTTATTCAATAAGATATAGTATTTAGTACAATTTGAAAATAAATATAATATTATTAGAACGAACTTATTGTCGATTGGGACAAAGCTCTTATGTCGTGTAGTTTAGAATTGGCTGTACAATTAGGTAAGTTATATTTTGTTTAGTATGAAATAAAATTCCCTTTATATTTTGGCTTTTTAATAGCCATTAGCTATCCTCATACTTGGAGTGAAGAAGTACAGATGTTGTTTATATTTTTATGGAGTAGAAGCTATTTGAAAAAATGTAGAAGTTCATATCTTCAAGGTATACTTAGTCCGAAAAATGTATTACTCTTTGAAGAAACTCTAGATATAGAAGTAAGTTTGAGTCTATACGTTCCCTCCTTTCACCTTCATTTCATTCATTCAGTCTCTATTAAATCGAATGTGAATTTTATTATTTTATTAGGTTTCTTGGGAGAATTTCGAAGCCTTGTTAAAACGCCTTTTGTGGCATAATTTTATCAATAAAACAACCTTACAAAGGATTCTTCAAAATTCCATTACAAATGTTAAGAACGAGGTTTGTTGGAAATATTTGTTAGATTACATATTTTTGTTTTTTTCTAACATTACTGTTATTATATTTATAATATTTAGAAACTTGTTCAAAAGCTACAAACATTACATTGTTGGAATGAGGAAAATAGCCCTTCGTAAGGAAACAATTATAATATATTTTCCATTTCAACAGTTGAAAAACTTGTTAAAGAAAAGCCTAAGAGATTATATTTATATTATTATTTTCATTCTCTACAGTCTATCTTCTTAACACTTCAAACTTTGACAATGAAATAATATAAACTATTACAGTTTTATAAAATGTTTGTCATTTATTTCTGTTATTTATTTATACATTATTCTTCTACTGTTTATTCTAAAATTATAAGAATAAATACTTGTAATACTACAAATTGTAATGCTATTGAATACTAAATAATAGATAGTTATGGTAAGTATATATACTGTATATACTGTGTTTTGTATATTGTTTCTATAAATCTTTTCAGACTACGTAATTTGTATTTAGACTACGTGATGACGTAGAATTGTCAATACTATCGGAAGAGGAAGCTATTTGGGGATATTTTTCCTTATCTTTTAAAGTAAAATCTCTACTGTACGCAAAATCAACTAGAATGTTTCCGACTATTACAAACATCACCGATAAATATCAAAGAAACCTTCAACTAGGCTCATTTGATATACGATACTAGAATAAAAGAATCAGATCTTTTTCGACGTTCTACTAACATAACCTCTTTTGATAAGCTGTTTAGAAAGAAAAGATGTTTTTTTTATTATCTATGTATACAATTTCTATAATTTTGCCAACAAGGTTTCCATTCTTGTGAAGTTTTTTGTAATTTCTTTTCTTGTCTTATTTATTTGTATAATAGATATACAAGTATTATTAATTTTCTCTATGTTTACTTGATACTTTGTATATTCATAATTTTTTAAGAATTATAATACGAAAATAGATTAAAAGAGATCTTTTTTTTTGAATAAATAGTTAAAAATCATTTCTGCATCTATTTCACAACTTCTTCGCCATCTATCGATGAAAAAAGTATCCAACTGTACTGCAGACTCATTTCTTTCTTCAAGTGAAGAATATGAGTTTGATGAAATTTTGTAAATCAACCTTATGTAACATTTTCAGTTATATATATAGAACTTTTACAATTTTAACAGCAATAGGTAAAGTTTATTTTGAATTATCTATTTATATTTATTTACTATAAACATCATTATCAAGAGAAAAATTTGTAAGGGCCTAATACAAATTCCTTGTTATTTCTTATCGTTTTTTCTTTCTTTTTTCCTTTCCATCTCCCTTGTCTTCATTAATCGAAAAAAATAGCTTTATACGGCGTTGGAGCAGAACAAATTAATAACGGATACTATCTTCTTCTAGGCTACTATCTGCTGTAAGTAATTTTATTTTTAAAAATATCATGCTTTATTAACAATAAAGAATTATTGGAATATCTATAATACGCATGCGTAAAATTTTAATTGAATTTATACAATTGTTGTAGCTTCAATTATTGATTATAACTGGAAATAAATCAGGAAGTTATTATCGAACAGCCTTTGCTGATTATACCATTTATATTAATTGTAAAATAACGATATATAAAATTTTGAGATATGAAAAAAATCTTTTCTCTTTCCTTTTCTCTTCCTCTCTTTTCTTCTTACGTAATATGCTAATATAAAGAAACGGGTTTATATATACTGTATATATATTTTTAGATGCAGCGCATTAATAGTAACGATATTGGAAAGTTTTTTTGTTATTGACTTTTGTTGTACATCTTTCTTAAGGTTTGTATATATTTGACATGTTTCTACTTATCTAAAACGTTGATCAAACGGGAAGGATGCTTATAGGCGTTTGATACAATATAACTAAAGCCATTTTAGACGTCCTTATCGTTAGATCATGAAATATTTTCCTCTTGATTCATTTACGCCTTATATAGTAAAAAATCCTAGTTTTTTCCCTCAGAAGAGAACAGCGTCGTTGTTCGGATTGTTGGGCTATGCTATTATATTTTGACGACTGGAAAAGGGGATTATTTTATTTACTACTGGGGATTGGTTGTATGGTCAAAGTTCGACATGCTTGGTTGACAGCTATTCCCGGTAATATTAATTCTAAACAGTAGTTAACAATTTTTATTCATTTATCTTCCTTATCAATAAAAAAAATCAGGTTCAATGTTATTCGTTTCGTCGCTTTTGTACATTTTTAAAACTTTTCAAGTTGAAAATGAGGAATTTATTGAGGATTCAACGAGAATTTGTGAATTGGATTATGACGAAGATGATCTTGATGATAATTTAATAGCTACAGCACCTGAAGTACCATAGGCCTACCGAGAATAACGATCTTTATCGATTCTCTACTCCCTTCTCCCATTTTCTCTTTCTCTCCACCCCCCGCCCTCCCCTTCATTTTCTAAAAATATACAATATATCGTATTTATATTTTGTATATAGTTTTTAACTTAAACATTTTTTAAAGTTTTTTTTAAATATAAACAAAAAAAAAGTAAATAAACAAATAAGAATTCGGATGATTTCGTTGAACTTTATCAATGTACTCTGTGGTGTATTTATTAGAATAGTGCTCTTTCATAGATTCTGTCTAATGGAGAAGAGTGAGTGGAAAGATGCTTTCTACAAGCATAAATCAGATGTAAAGAATTCACTAGTATCAAGGGATTATATATGGATTAATAAGACTAACAGGCGACATATAAAATCAATTAAAAATGTCCTACAACCAAGAGGAAATGATAAAAGACTATCTAAAGATAGAATTGAGTTTATAGCATACAACTCAAACAGTCCAATCGATTCGAGTCGTTCCATAACTGTTACTAAAGAACTAAATTTCTTCATAACCATCTATCTAAGAGCGTCTAAGTGCACTACTTTCCGGTCTCGGCTAAAAATCCTGGACGGTGCGGCGAAAGAAAATCAAAAATTGGCTTTAAAATGCTGGAACAAAGCCAAACTTTCCTATTTAACTGATTCGGATATAAACTATTTAAAAATGCAGAATATAAACAAAACTATATGCGGAAGTTCGAAAGAAGACGCTAAATATCTAGGTTGCCGAAAAGCCAACTTTACCTTAATTAACTATCAACCTGTCTGTTCTGGTACAATAAGCATATCAGTTAAGATGGCGAAAAGTTCAAATTGCCCAAACCTATTTCCCATGATAAGAAGAGGACCAACAGTTATTGTTGCTAGTAACTTTCTTTTTTCTATTTCTTCAATAGAAACAATTATTTGTAAATTATATAGAAAAAGCCTTGGTTAATACATTTCTCTATATCTTTACAGGCAAGCCTCGTAAGACTCCCAGAGTGAATATCGTAAATAAAGGGAAATATTCTTCGGTAACGATACAAGTAATTATAGAAAATTAATTAATTTGTCTTAAAACAAACTAAAATAAAACAAACACGCATCTCTGATGAATATCATTTTCGATAGATGAAAGGAGTTTATCCCCTACAAAATTATAGAATAGAAGTATTACATAGGAATAATCTTGTAGCTTTTGACAAAAATACCCTACCTCTTTCTTTTAGTTTGTCTCCTTTTATTCCATTAAAAGCTTTTATTGTTTTTCGAAAATACTAATTTATTTTAGATCCGCATCAATCTAAGGATAGTTTGTCAAATTTATACGAACCTTATTCGTACGGAGAAGATGGTTTCGTTTCGTGGCTTCCAAAGACTGAAAGATATCAAGATGAATTCTCTCTTGAATTCGGTCATTTTAAAAACGATGTTCAAACTGTGTATACAAAAACAAAGGGAGCAGGTATACTCGTTAAGATTTTTGGACCGGAGAGAAATCATATGGTAACTATTTATTTGAAGAGTCACGTGATTAGAGCTTTTTTTTTATCGTTAAAAAATTTATTACCTTCCAAATGGATAAGTTAGAAATTTATTAATAATTCCCTTAGTGCAGACAAACTTACATTTGAAAATATGTTTTCAAAGATATGTTTAACCGATTTTCTTAGGTTGCTGCTTTTAGGCTAAAAATTGAAGATTGCGCAGACGGTTTTAATTCAACTTTATGCCAATGCAGTCCGAATTGCAGTCCAATGTTAGTCTAATGTTTTTTTACCTTTCTATAGAGATTACGGTTTAAATTTAAAAAACATTTCAAATAGAAAATTAACCGATTCTTGCGATATTTACTCGAAAGCATGTCTTGAGGGATGCAAATCAGGATATTTGACTCCGTCTTGTAACAGAACTTGTGACCCGGGGTCATGGGGCTTGGAATGCAGTTAATGCAGTATATGTACTTAGCGTGCATTTTATAAATTACCTCTTTTAAATATTGTAGAGAAATCGTGTAAGGATCACAAATGTGCTGAGGGTAAAATTTGTTACCCTGACAATGGACAATGTCCAAATGAACTCTGTCAACCGGGATATGTCGGTAACTAACAACATAAATAGAACAAACCAAATGTTTCAAATCGTGCCCTCATTGGTGACTCTTTTCAGGAGTTTATTGTAAACAACCTGCTTCGGATATAGTTTGTCAGCCTAATTATTGGGGCTCAGCATGCCTAAATAAGTGTGGTCACTGTGACGGAGAAGCTATTTGTGATTCGAAATCTGGCTATTGTCCTGGAAATCGTTGTGCCGTAGGCTTCCAGGGACCTTATTGCAATCAAACATGTTTAATCGGCTATTACGGACCAAATTGCGAATATGAATGCAAAAGTGTTTGTCGCTATGGTTGTGATTCTTCAACCGGATTGTGTAAAGTCGATGAAAAAAGAAGTAAATTAAATGATAGCCAATCAACTTGCAGACAAGGTTTTTGGGGTAAAACATGCGAGACTCGATGTCATCCCTACTGCAAGTATACACTAGCCATCTCCATTTGTAAAGTGATCTTTATTTATATTTTTCATCGTTCTATTCTTGTTAGGAAATGCAACTCTAAAACCGGTAAATGTCAAGCCTGCACTCATCAACGTTGGGGGAAAAACTGTAATAAAATTTGTAAACTAACTTGTATTTGTAATCAAAAAACTGGTACTTGCGAAAAATGCAAAAGAGGTTACTTTGGACTTGCATGTGAATACAAATGCGCCGCCAATTGTAAATTTAAAACGTGCTCGAAGCACAGTGGATATTGTATAACGATCCCAGCTACTACAACCGCAGAGAGTGTCTATTATCCGAAAGAGAACGCGGCTATATTAGACTGTAAAGGAAAATGGGGTATAGATTGTAGCAGAAAATGTGGACATTGTGACGGCAATAAACCGTGCGACAATGATAGTGGAAAGTGTCTAAATGGTTGCAAAACAGGTATGGAAATGTTCCTCATCATCCAGTTTGTTACCAATCGCTCTCTGTCTTTTAGGTTTTAAAGGGCAATTGTGCAACGAACGCTGCTCCGATGGTTATTTTGGTAAAGATTGTCAACAAAATTGCGGTCGTTGCCTTCCAAATACCTGTAGTATTTTCGATGGAAAATGTCTTGGAAAATGCTGGACTGGATTTGCAGGCGACTATTGTAATGTTTCGCAAGAAATTTGTGGTCACTGTCTAGGTGAAGGATCGTGTTCAACGAAACAATGTTCAAATAATTGTCAGCCAGGCTGGAAAGGTAGATTTTGCAGGACGCCATGTTCTATAGGATCTTATGGAATAAATTGCGAATTAGCGTGTGGCTACTGTTCAAATATATCAAGTTGTAATCGTTTCACAGGCAAATGTGAGACAGGCTGTTCTCAAGGATACTATGGAGAATTTTGTTTCGATAAATGTCCAATTGGAAAATATGGAAAAGATTGTCAAAATATTTGTGGAAAGTGTGCCTATTCCGCTTGCGATCATAGAACAGGAAATTGTCCTGCAGGTTGTAAAAGAGGTTACAGAAAACCTTATTGTAAAGAATCGTTACTTTTTTTAAAATCAAAGCTATTGGGCGCTAAAGACAAAGAGGAATATTTTGTTATAGCAAATAAGACTGCTTTTCTACTTGTTGGAACTTTGATCTTATTCATGATTATTTTACTTTTTATATTATGTTCCATTAAAACTAAAAACTGTACCAAAATTAAAAATCAATATAAACCTATTCCTATTACAAAAGAAGAGGAAAAATCTATAGCAGAGTATGAAAGAGAAGGTAGTTGGAATGATAGTGGAGAAGACGATCCAAGTACATGTGAAGGAGATAAAGAGTCGACGCAAAGAACAAAACCTTCAAGTACTGTTTTGAGAAAACTGGATCTATTTCAAGAGAAAACATGTAGATCGACACGTCTGCAAACGCCTCATCTTACAGAATATACCATGAATATTGTAAGGGAAAGGTCTCCAATCTTGCAGTACGGTCACGCGTCTGGTTATGATCCTCAAGCAAATTATTACGACGATACATGATTCAAAAAGAGTTATTCAAAACCTCAATTGATACTCTCAGTAAAGATGTTTGTTGGTATTTAAAGTTAAAACTTTTTAAAACGATAATAATATTTCATGAAAAACATTCTTTCTATATTCTTTCTATATTTCAAGTTATTATTGAAAATTTTCCGAACCATTCAGAAGTAACACTTTCACATTCAATTCAAAGAGGACGCTAATTTATTTGAAATTATAATTAATTAAACTTTTAACTCCTTCTAAGCACCTCCATATATCCGGCATGTAAAATGGTTCAAAAATATGAGGGAAAGGTGTATCGTAACCGGTAATCCTTAAGATAGGAGCTTCCAAATGTAAGAAACATTGTTGCTGTTAATATTAGAATATCTTATTAATATACAGTATATATGATAATTATTATTACTATTGATTGTAACTATACATTTCATACGACGCTTAATAATATGCACGAGTTATAAGACTTACTTGAATTGAAGCAGCAATTTCCGCTCCAAAACCTCCTGTTAAGGGAGCTTCGTGAGCTATAAGAAGTCTACCTGTTTTAGCAACAGATTTAGCTATTGTTTCTTCGTCCCAGGGTAGAATTGTTCTCAAATCAATTAATTCGCAATTAACTTTTAGTTTCTCTTGAGCTAACTTTACGACTTCTCTCAGAACGTGCACTTGAGTGCCCCAACCAACAAGAGTTATATCAGAGCCTTCCACTAAAACCTCAGCTTGAGATAGAGGAAGACTATAATCGCCTACTGGCACTTCTTCGATTGCAGATCTATACAGGATTTTTGGTTCAAAAAAAATACATGGATTTGGGTCATTGATGCATGCTGTCAATAAGCCTTTAGCGTTAAAAGGCCCTCTTGGTATGACCACTTTTAAACCGGGAGTATGTGCAAAATAAGCTTCCGGGCTTTGGGAATGGTACAGAGCTCCATGACCGACGGCACCACACGGTGCTCTGATTGTTAGCTTACCGCAGTCGAACAAATTTCCTGATCGGTAGCGAAATTTAGCGGCTTCATTAACAATTTGATCAAAAGCGGGAAAGATATAATCTGCAAACTGCATTTCTGCTATTGGAGTTGCACCAGCAACAGCTAATCCAATTGCAAAGCCAGCTATTCCTTGTTCACTAAGTGGCGTATTGAACACTCGATCAGCTCCATATTTTTCTTGTAATCCAACAGTACATCGGAAAACACCCCCAAAGCCGACATCTTCGCCGAACACACAAGCACTAGGATCTCGTTTTAGTGCACAGTCCAGTGCTGAGGTGATTGATTCGAATAAATTCATTCTAGTTGTTTCACCTATATCATAACATAATTTTTAGTTTATAAAGCCGTCCTTGACATCATGAGCGATAATTAAAGTATTTGAAAAGTAAATAAGATTTTACATACCATAACTACTTGGCACATTGTCTGGAACATATGAAAAGGTTGATGTATTTCTTGACGTCTTTTTGGTAATAAAGGATGCCGCAAAAAGACGTCTGCAACCAAGATATAGAGTGTTTGATTGCCTTGATAACGCCATGTCTGTAGAATGACTGAGCTGTCCTATTTTGCCAAACCAGCACCTGGTTTTGACAAAACCTATATCTAGCACTTTAATGTACAAACAAATCACCGAATCTAGGAATTATATTCTAAAAGTCTCTTTCAGGTGCTACTTTCATAAATAAATTGTAATATTGCAGTATTGTATTTAATGTCAAACATGTATTCCATCGATGGATCAAATGGTTGTAGGCAATGGCAACAAATAAATAATTATAAAGCACATATTTATGATGACTATGGAACTATAGCTTTAATAACTTTTTGTGGCTCTTATTTCCTGGCTCTTTTTTTGCACCATTTCTGCTAAATGCTCTTGACAAGTTTCTTTTAAAGCAGTTTGGAAAACCTCCCAAGCTGAATTAGGGCGAATTTGTAACTTATGAAGAAAGAGTGAATTTCGTTTAGCTGATATAGTTTCATTCATTATTTCTTCTAAATTAGTAACGGTAAAATCTCCACTTTCATAAAAATAGCCTATAAGTTCCGTTGTAACTGTAAGATTATTTATCAGAATTACCCAACAGCTTCTTAATGCTGCTTTATATTCATCATCCATTTCCCTTTCACGAAGAAAAATAGCTTAATAATTTAAAATTCCCAGATAATTTTTCAATGATTGTCCGGCAAAAACGATTCGAAAAAGTTGTTTATCATATAGACTTTAAAAAGAAAACTGGTAGATGTCTGCAGTTTAAGATTGCAATCATAAACTTTTGAAGGTCGCAGCCAAAAACTATTTACGATTGCAATCTTAAACTACAGACAGGTACAGATTTCATTATCTCACCTGATATTTTGGATATGTTAGATGTAATTTAATTTGATACGAAAAATGCACAAATATATATTAATTTTACTTATTGTGATAATCTCTTCTCTATATGGTGAGGTAGTAGATTTACGGAAAGGTAAGAGTAAAATTATAATTCATTTAAAACTCAATAGTAATAGTATCTCACAACTTATAAATAATACCTTTTAAATAGAGGCAAGATGGTGTGTAAAAAGTGATGCCGAAGAGGCAAAATGTAATAAATTAGTTCAAGTGATCAGCAGAGCCCCATTGGTTGACAAGTATGCAAAACTACCAAAACTGGAGTGTATTAGGGGGACAACATCCTTCGATTGTATGAGTATGATCGGGCAGAATGACGCTGATCTTGTAACTCTTGATGCAGGTATATATCAAATATCTTAATTGTTAGGGATCTCTCTATCTGATCCAAATTTATTTATTTGAAAGGAATGGGCTACACTGCTGGAGAATATTTTTCTATGATGCCACTCATGAACGAAAATTACGATTCGTCTGGTGATCCGAAAGGAAGAGAATCAAAAGTTGTAGCTGTTGTTCGAAAGGACAATTCTGATATAACGTACAAGACTCTGAAGGGAAAAAAAGCATGCTCTCCGGGAGTTGGGCATGCCGTTGGCTGGGTTCACCCAATTTCAACTTTGATACAAGATACTAACTCTGAATTCGAAATTAAAGAATGTAATGTTCCTGTTAAGTCCGCAGCTGCCTTCTTTGGACCAATGTGCGCACCGAATGGTCTTGCAAAATTTTACAATCCGTTTGGAAATAATCCTGTATCTATTTGTAAGAATTGCGACGAAAGCAATAAAGTAACATATTGTACAGACAATGACAAGTACGCTAATTACCATGGAGCATTCGAATGCATGTCAAGTAAAAGAGGAGATGTCGCGTTTGTAAGAGACACAACAATTACTATGGCTACTGGTAACGGGACAAGCTCCAATGATTTTGAATTATTATGCGTTGGAGAGGGAAGAAAAAGCTGGAATGAATTTGAAAATTGTAATTGGGGTACTGTTAAATCCCATATTGTTATGACATCAGCCGTGAATGACGCCGATACGAGGAATGAGTATAAAAAGTTGTTGCAAACTCTCTCGGATGATTTCAAACCAAATGGAGCAAATGAAAATTTATTTGAATTGTTCGAATCCAGAACTTACGGAGGAAGAGATTTATTGTTTTCGGATGAGACAAAACTTTTGGAAGATGTCAAAGATAAAGATTCTTATTATACTTGGGTTGGAAAAGATTACAGAAATATTCTTTTGAGATTGAATGATTGCCCGGTAAAGCAGACAAGATGGTGCGTTATTTCGCCGTTCGAGATGAAGAAATGTGAAAGCATGATCATGGCCCTATCAGCGAAAAATTTAAAGCCTGACTTTAACTGCATCTTAGGTGAGAATGGAAGAGATTGTATGGCCAAGCTGAGAGATGGCGACGCTGATCTTATGTCTCTCGATCCTGCGGATATTTACGTTGGGGGAAAATACTATGGCCTTGTACCAATAGCTAGAGAAGATTACAGTGGTTACGAAGAAGCACCTTATTACGCTGTTGCTGTTGCTAGAAAAATAGGTTCATATCTAACGATTTTTAATTTGAAAGGAAGACGAGCTTGCCATGCTGCTGTCTACACTGCGGCTGGCTGGGTATCTCCTATTGATACATTAGTTGAAACCGGTCAAATACGTGTAGAAGAGTGTAACGCGTATAGGGCGATGGGTGAATTCTTCTCAAAAAGTTGCGCTCCGGGAGTCTTAAATAGCCAATATAACACGGATAATACGAATCCTATAAATCTGTGCGAGGCATGTGCCAGCGGTGGTCTTGATAGATGCTTGAGAAATGATCGAGAATTATATTACGGAAACTCAGGGGCTTTTCGATGTCTTACCGAATTCGGTGGAGACGTTGCTTTTATAAAGCATACAACTGTTAGAGAGAACACAGACGGACGAAATAGAGCAGAATGGGCGAGAAATAGAAGATCGGACGACTACGAACTTTTATGTAAAGATGGTATATAGAATTCTTTTATCGAGTTTTTCAAAAATATCTCACAATTTTATTTCTTTACTCAGGAACAAGAAAACCGATCGATAATTGGAAAGATTGCCATCTTACAGAAATTCCAGCATCAGCCGTTGTTACAGCTTCCTTTAAAACTACGAAACAAAGGGAAATCTATTGGACTCTACTTAACTATGCTCAGCAATTTTTCGCTAGTGACGAGTAAGTTTTTTTAATAGATTGTATTTTATATAATAAAGTTGATAAAATATTTTCCAAACAGAAATAAGGATTTTCAAATGTTTGATTCCTTCCTTGATCACAAAGATTTAATGTTTGAAGATTCAACTGTTAGATTAGCTTTAGTACCACCGGAGAGACAAAATTATAAAGACTATCTCAAACCAGCTTTTGTACGAGCTATGGAACGCCTTCAAGAAATTGATTGTGTTACAGCTTCCTCTTCTACATTTCACTTAAACTCAATCGTTGCATTGTTATGTCTTTTGATTATGAAATTTATTTTTAGTTAATTTTTTTTGTACTGTAGTTTTAACTATGGTTTTTAAAATTCAGTTTTTATGCTTTTATTTCTTTTTTATAACAAATAAACTATTAATATATGAGTATTGTTTATTAATAAAGTGTTACTTTTTTTAATTAACTAGAGACATCTTAAGGTTGTACCTTTATTTTTTTTTAATATTTACTCTGAGAATAAAGAGAGGGAGTTTCTTGGTGAAAAACGTGATATAAACACGTCTAAACTGGGACAAAGATAACTGACAAACGAAATGTAAATAAATGCTCTTGAAAAGAAACAGGGCGAGAGATGAATGCAATGAGAAGCATATTTATTATTGATGTTTGTCTACTGCCACTCTTAATTGTAAATAAATTTCTTGATATGAATATACCATGATCTCTATATTTGAATTCGAGCGGGAATAATAACTGGTTGTTGGGTTACTAATTCCAAAGATAAAAATGGATTTTATAAATAAACCGGAGCTCTGTTTATTACTTCATACTAAGCTGTATGTTTCCAAATTTTTCTGGTCAAGTCCGAGCAAGTTGCGAAATTTCTCATTTTTATGCTGACTATTCAATCAGTGAAGTTAGTTCATAAACCATCATGGAACTGCAGCTGAAAGGTACAATAAATGGCGTGGACTTAAGTCATACGATTGATGTTGACTTATCAACAAATGAATTCAGCATAGGACGATCAGAGAGTAAATTGGCATTTTTTTAAAGTTTAATACTACTTTGTTCATATTTTGTCCACTTATAGATAATAGTTATGCTTTCCCCTCTAATGTGAAGTTTGTGTCAAGGGTTCAGTTCATACTGAAGAAAAAGGAAAATAAATACATCATAACAGATAAGAGGTATTGAATATTAAAAGGAAACTAGATATTGTATACAATTTTTTAAGCAACAAGTTTTAGAAAAATTCTTCTGCTTTGCAGTCGGAATGGAACATTCGTTAACAGAAAGAGATTAGCTCATGATGAGACAATAGAATTGAAAAATGGAGACGTTATATCCATGAATGCATCGATTTCGTTCGTTGTTCGCCTCCCAAATGAAAATTTAAAAAGGGGAAGCAGTACTTTAGATAGTCCTTTTAAAGTGGGCGAAGGGCAAGAGGAAGAGAAAAATGAAGGTGAAAGCGCTCACTCTAAAAAGCTGAAGTTGGACAAAGCCGAAGATCTTTCAGAAGAAAAGGATAAAATTATTGTTGTGAAAGATAATGACAAAAGTAAGATAAAGTAATTTTCCTGGATATTTTTAACAAACGGCTTTCGTATCGTATTTCATAGCATCAGCAGAAATAAACGAAAAGATTGAAAACGTTGATGAAGCTGAGTGTCAAACTGGCTTCGAAGGTAATTTTAGTATTTTACTACCCTTTGGCCAAGGAAAAAAATAACTTGTTACTTTACAGATGACAGAAAAGACGAAAAAAAGCGTACGTGTAAAATTGAAAAACAGACTTCATCTGTAAAAGAGAGTACAGTCAAAGTAAGCTCATTGTTCTTAAAGTATTTCATGTCAGACTAAAAGACTATACAGCATATAAAAGTGAAATTACCCTAAATATTTTAGCTTTTATTCAACTTATATAGTTAAAAATAACGTTTCATCTTTGTAAATTTTTAGAATGATGAGGATATTATGAGTTGTATTATATGTCAAGAATTATTATACGATTGTGTAAGGTAATCTTGTAAAAATTTCAAATCAAACTGTATATTTATTGTGTTTGTGACACTTGCAGTGTGATGCCTTGTTTACACGTCTTCTGCGGAGGTTGTATAAGTCTATGGTTGGAGAGAAATAATACTTGTCCCCAATGTAGAGTAACAATAAATCGAGCGTCTCGTTTTCACTTTCTTAGAGACTGTATAGAAATGTACTTGAAAACTCATCCAGGTTAGAAAAGATTCTTCAACCGTTAAATAAATTTGCTGAGGAAAGCCGTTGAGTAAATTCTATAAAAATAATTTTCGTACTTTCCAACAGAACGGGAGAGAAGTGATGAAGATAAGAAACATTTAGATAGTCTAAATACAATTGGAAATGATAAAATTATCGTAAGCTTTGAAATAAGTCATTAGTTCAAATTCAAAAGAAAAATCTCTCTTAAAATAAATAACAGACTGATGAGAAGGTACCATCACCAGCTTCACCAGATTCTTCGGGTTCTTCTTCTTCTTCAAGCAACACCAACGCTTTGCCAGAATCTCATGCAGCAAGCGGTGTTAGTTACTATCCCGCTGCACTTAAACCTTCCCGTTGTCGTCAGTGCCCTGGAGCCAGACCAGATTCCCTAATGGATGTACCTGGCTGTTCTAAGAGTAAGTAAACTTTAGAAGCTGATAAAATATTATGTTTCTTTTTAGCTTTTCTTTAAAGACTGTATAAGTTTAGAGTAAGAATGAAATTATATACAGGTAAATACCCGAACTCTGGCACAAGATTGAAAATCTTGGCCTCTAGTCTTACCGAATTTTCAATTGACGAGAGCTTACTGAAAGAACAATTAAAAGATACAGGTGTACATAAATATACAATCTAAATATATATAAAATTTGCTAATATAAACTATACATGTTCTCTTAAATAGTATTTATGAATATTCAATGATTTAAATTATAATAATTAGATGATTTGTAAGTAAAACATTATATACTTAATATTTTATTAGGTGATGAAGATGAAGAGGATAGCTTCTCTTGTTCAAATGACCAAGTGCACACGCTGTGTCAATGTTGTTTGCAATTGTTCCCTAAGCGAAGCAGTGACGTTCAACCTATTGTTTCCTGTAAGCTAGAAACAATGATAATCGTCTATTAATAATGCTAATATACTCTCTTTTATCGGATTTCAATAGGTAGTATTTGTTATAATTCATTTTGCCACGCCTATTGGGGATGTAAGAAAGCAGGCTGTAACGGTTGTATAGGCAGGTTGAAAGATTTAAAATTTCAAACATCTGCTTTGGATAAAATCATATTAAATAACGGATTTGAATCAAACATACTAAAAAATTATTTAGAACAAGAGAATAAAAGTGTTGAAGAGCTATGGTTGGAATTAATGGAAATTCTTGGAAATGGTGTATTAACTCTAAACAGAAGTTTATGCGGCCGTAAGTATATCTTATTGATAGAATAATTGAGATAAACGATATTTAAATTGAAATGATCTTCTCTCTCCCCAATAAAAAAGCGTCAAGAACCACATTTCATTTGAATGGCCTAACCATAAAAACTGATTCGCCTTGCTGCTACAAATGTGGTCTACTAGTTTTCCGTCAGCTTGCTTACGAATATCGCCTAAAAATACCACATAATGCATTAGATGGTTTGTTAAATATTTTAACGGTTGTCATCTATTACTTTATATGAACTATATGAATATTTAAATAGGCGATATAACAAGAAGACCAAACTGTTGGTACGGAAGTGAATGCAGAACTCAGGGACATAATGTGCCTCATGCTAAAGCCTATAATCACGTCTGCAGTCGGTCCAAATGAATTCGCACAGTGCGTTGATCTACTTTCAAGTTGTGAAAAGTGATGAAAGAGACAATCAAAATAACAAAAACAAAAGAAACATAATTTTAGTTAAATTTTATGTTTGATATCATCTTCTTTGTCTAATAAAACGATAATGAACTTTCATCAGTTAAATATAACAGCGCCATCTTGTTGAATTTTTACTGACTTTGTCAGTTGATTCTGATGGATGATTGGGGAAAGGTACAGATCGCGGCCGAGGTCCTTATAGCGGTTTTAGCCATTTTTGGTAATGGATTAGTCGTATTAGCCATCTACAGAGAAAGAACCCTTCAGACGGTAACAAATTACCTTATAGCATCTTTGGCAGCTGCCGATTTTGCCGTTGGGATGATTGGTATTCCTTGTGTTATTGTTAATAATTATGGCTTACCAAGACATTATTATGCTTGCTTACTAATGAACTCAACTATCGTTGTATGTACTCAAATATCTATCTTTAGCCTAGTAGCGATAGCAATAGAAAGATTCTTGGCTATAAAGTTTCCCGTTATTCACCGTCAAAAAATAGGAACGAAGGCGGCTGGTTTGTTGATAGCTTGCTCATGGATATTTGGAGCTATTGTTGGATTTGTACCACTTTTCGGTTGGAATCTTGGATGGTCTGGAACGTGTGCATTCGTTCTACTTATTGATATGAACTATATGGTTTACTTTAACTTTTTTGGTTTTTATTTAATTCCTCTAGTTTTCCTCTTCATTGTGTATGGGTATATGTTTCACGTTGTTAGATTAAAATGTTCAAAGGGTGATAAGAAGTCTGTTATTACACTGAAAAAAGAGTCAAGAGCGGCAAAACGTATCTTTATTGTCTTGTTACTTTTCGCATCTTGTTGGTTACCAATTAATATACTAAACTCTGTTACACTATTCACTGGTAAGGTTTACATTCAGCTATTAATAATCTCCATTCTGTTATCTCACGCAAACAGCTGTATGAATCCTTTTGTTTATGCACTTATAAATACTAAATTTAATATCGCCTTTAAAAAGGCGTTGGGTATAAGAAAAAATAGCGTTTCCCCCACTGTAGTGTCAACTGTCTCCTAACTGTAGTGGTTTTCAAAGAATACAAATCTAAACTCAATAAAGAGAAAAGGGAACATTAGTTTAACTAAAGAAGCAATTGAATCCATCTAATAGAGACACTTTATTCTGTGTCTTTTTACAAAGCAGGGGTATTTCTTTTATCATTTTATTAACTTGATCCTTATTTCAATACAGACAAACAACTAAACTAAACTTCAATAATGACTTCTCTTTTTTGCCTTATTATTCAATCTGTTTGCTAGAGTCATTTCTTAACTATAGAAAGAAGAAACAAACTAACAAATAAGAGAGAAATAAAGAAAACAGGGAGATTTCTTCTCTTGTAACAACTATTACTCTTGCATATAAGAAATGAAATGATGTTAATAAAAGACTATGCAGGTTACATTTTTCTTCTCGGAAGGAGCCTTTATCGTAAAAGACATCATAAAAGAATCATTGATAAACTCTTTGCAGTCGAGCGATCAAAGAAAAGTCCTAATCGTTTCAGTTTTATTAAATGATAGTTATAATTGAGTTATTGAGAGTGCTATTTGATATCTCTTTACAATTGATACTGTACACTGAAGTAATTAAACTTTTTCTTCTTGCAATCTTTATGAAAAGGAGGATAAATATAATTGAAGGGAATAATAGGAAAAGCTAATTAAGACAGAATATTTACTCTGATTTTGTTGTGACAAACTTAAAAAAAGATATTTTATTAAAATGACGGTAAAAAGACAGAAAAAAAAGATAGGACGGTTAAAAGACGTTTTTATAACTCGTAATCTAGCGATTGTTTTAATTCGTGTATATGAGTATCCAACTTGTTCTCTAATTGTTTAGTACGATTTCGGTGATCTTCTATAAAGGATTCTACGGCCTGCTCCTCCAAGAGAGATACGTCGTCATCGTCAGGCATGAACCAAGATTTGTTTGTTGCCTCGTATTGCATATGATCCTCATATTTGTTTAGAAACGAAGACATGGCACTATTTTCTTCGTGTAATCGCTTAGCTTCGGTTTCTTGTTGTTCTAATTTGTGTTTGTACAAAGCTACTTCCATTTTTAGGGAGTCGATAGTTGCCTCGTAAGCTTTAGAATTTGATAAATAACGTTGTTTGTAATGTTCAACTCGTTCATCCGCTAACTTTTCGACTGTTGCTAAATGTTTCGTATCTTGTAACTTAACCAATTCTAACTTTTTATTCATTTCTTCTTTAGCAACAAGAATTTGCTCTGCCTCATTTTCTCTATTTTGTAAATCGTTTATTTGTGATTCTAAATCTCTTATTTTGGTTCTCAGAGTCCTATTCTGCTCCTCTAAGGACGTTACGCTGGATTCGTAGGTAATCTTTAACTCTTTAAGTTTATCCTGAGTTTCATCTTTTATGGACGGTATTATTTTCTCCTCTTCTAAACTCTGTAATTCTCTTGTTCTCTTTTCCAGTTCACTTTCACTTTCTTCCTTTCTCGCTTGGAAAAATTGAACTTGAGTAGATAAATATGTATTTGTCTTTTCAACCCTTTCGAAATCTGCCGTTAACAAGGTTATCTTATCTTCTAGAATCTTTATTTCATTCTCGTATTTCTCTCTTGTCAGATAAAGGCTTTGTTCATATTGCTTTCTAATATTGCTTCTCATTTGATCGCATTCTAAACTTTTATCATTAATTAGTTTTTTAGCGGCAGATAGCTCTTCTTGCGCTTCTTTTTCTCTTAGCTTATTCTGTTTGGTTTCGGATTTCAAAGCTTTCAATTTATTTTGTAAGCTATGTATCTGAGATGATACGTCTGATTCGTTACTTTCCCTTAAGCTATGCAACAAATTATCTTTCTCTTCTACGGCTGAGCTAAGCTCTTGAATATTCTCCTCCAGCTGTTTAATATGATAATCGTTCTTAACAAGTTGCTCATCTTTCAGTTTAAGTACAGATTCCAATTCTAATTTTATTATCTGCAGTTTCTGTTTTGATTGTTGGGTTTCGTACAGATCCATAAGAATTTTATCCTGATTATCGCTAGTGGACTTTTGACGTCCATTTGCATCTTCCAATATTGTTCTTAGTTTAGATATTTCAACTTCTTGGCAATTGATTGTGTCCCTTGCTCCATCTAGTTGAATTTCCAACTGGCATAATTGATTCTTAAAGTTTGATTCTGATTTTTCAATAATTTCCCTCCGCTTTTCCAATTCATTTTGATAGTTTGCGATCTGTCCTTGAAGTAACTCACTCGTGTCTCTTAGAGTTTTATTATCAGATAGTAAAGTTTGGAATTCGTTTTCCATCTTCTGTTTTTCCTCTTCAATTGATTTATTACGAGTTCGCATATCTGAGGTTTTATTTGTGAGACGACTAACTTCATTCTTACTGCTTTCTAGTTCGGTTTTAAGCCGGGTTACCTCTCTTTTCATTTCTTTTGTATGCTTTTCGTGCTTTCTATGTAATTTATCGTACTCTTTTTTCATAGTATCTACTTCCGCTCTTAACGATCCTAATTGCCTTTCGCAACTGTATGATAATTGCCGTTTCGATCTTTCAACTTCAGCAGATGATCTTTTAAATTCTGTTAGTTCCTTTAGTGAACGCTCTAATTCGTTTTGTAGTTGGGAACACTTAGCGGTTAATTTGGTTTTCTCAGCATTCCACTTTTGACGTTCGTGCTCAACCATTATGTCAACTTGCCTTATTAATTCACGAATTTCCGCTTCACAATCACTAATATATTTCTTTGAGCCATGTCTCTGTAGTTTTTCCCACATACTTGATACGTCGGACATTTCGGCACGAGCGAAAAAAACGATCCACTCAAAAACAGGCACAGTTCATACAATCTTTAAGAATATTGTCGATTATAAACCCAAACGAATTAAATAACCAAATGCTGATTATGTACGAGATCCTTTAATTTATAAATCAATAATTTTTAAACACTGGACGAAACAATAATCGCCTTCGGATTTCGAACGAAACGAGTTTCATCACGTCCAACCGCCAAAGCGACATCTGCTGTATACTCCAAAGCAAAGAAACGATAAAACTAGTTGTTCAATAGTTAAGTTTAAAACAGTAACCTACCAAAGAAGAGCTACTCAAGTATTAAAATAATAACGAAAAACGCAAAAAAAACCCCTCCCCATAAGTAAATGCTTAAATTAAGTAGTTAAAAAAATATTATAATAGTATTAAAACAAAAAAGAGAGGAATACTTTAACACCGCCAAAGAGGTTTCTCTTGCCGACCAGCTATCATATAAAACATCTTTTCTACTTAAAATGTAAGTAAATAATGGTAGTATTTTAAAAGGGTTTACACTACTTAAAATAGTTAATCATCGTTGTATTTAAATTTATTATATAAAATATCTAGAGTATAGAAATTTGTATATATTAAAAGTGTTTTTTAATGTTTTGAAGATGGCCCTGTTAATGGAAAAAAGTTAAATTCTTAAATAATTGAAATATTTTCAACTGTAAAGACTAACAGAAATAAAAATAAGGAAATAATAGAAGAAACAACATTAAAGATGGTAATAAATGAATTTAATAAATAAAGTACCAATTTAATAAAAACTTTATAAATATTTAAAGGATAAATGTAGCGAGTCTGTTAATATTACTAGAAAATTATTTCGATTTATTGAAGAAGGAGATATTTGTCAAGTTAAAAAGCTATTATTAAAGAAATTGAAGAAATTGAATGATTCAAAATTTCTTCAAGGTCTTTTACAAACTGTTAAAGAGGATAGGAAAGAAATTTTTGAGCTTCTCATTAGATTTAAAGTACTAGCTGGTCGGCCTTATCCGAGAGACGAGAAAGAAGAATTAAAATCAATTAAATATATATTGAATAATGTTATTACTTATTTAATTCAATACGATAAACCTGATTGGTTAGATGTTACTTTACGTATATCAATTAAAATTCCTAAGGATAGAAGAGAATTGGAAAATGTTAATAGATATTTAAGAATGGCAATTAATTTAAATAACAGACAATGCTTTGTTATTATATTAAAATTTATTAGATTTTCAAAGAATCGAGAAGCAGCCGCTCTTATTTTGCTTAGTAATTTTGAAGATAAGGTTGATTTATTTCTAAAATCTATTTCTCATTTGCTAAATAAGGAATGTCTCATACTACCCATTTTGAAAACTTGTATTATGCATAAAGTTAAAAAGGACGACTTAAAATCTATTATACCATTTATTAATCTGGGAGATAAAGCAAAAAGTCAATTATGTCATACGACTTTAATGAATGATCATATGGAATTCTTTAGATACGCTATGGAGAGTAAATTTTTTGAATTTCTCGGCGAGCATGTCTACGGTACAGTCTTCTACGATTGTACTTTCCTACAAGAGTTATTAGACTGGTATGGTGAACTGTTCAAACTTCATCTGAATAGATTAATAATTGATGAAAGAAATACATCGTGGATTATGTATCGTTGGGAGAAAATGCTTATTATATTTAAACATCCTAAAATTGGAATAAGTCAAGATTATATTAATATTCTATTTGAGTCGTTCATTTTAAAAACAAACGACTTTTTAGGTAGTCTTCCTTCAAAGAATATAAGACAAATGTGGTTATCGTCATTCTGCGTTTTGTTACATTGTAGTGAAAATAAGTTTGGTTTATCGCAGCACGTTGTAAATGTATTATTTTCATATTTGATAAACAATACCGCTGGCGTTACCCATTCTTTAGCATTTTTCTATGGTACTTTAATAGTTACTCTCATTTCGTATGGATACACATTTACCGAATTGGACATTTCCGATTTATTTTTCAATGTTATGGTAGAGGATAGCATTCAAAAGAGAGTTTATACTTTAATTATGGAAAATTGTAATCAAATTCATCATAATATACTATTCAAACATGTTAATTGCCAACCGACCGTTATGTCTCTGAAAGGAATGGCCAGATGGGCTGTCAGAACTTCCCTTAAGAGACCATTCCAAGATAATTTAAAGTTGTTGATAAAAAAGTACAACCTCCCACTCAATTTCGAAAAGATTATCAATCTACAAACAGAGATGGAAGTTGTTAAATTGCAACCTGTGAATTTTTTTATCACTGATAATCAAGTTGTATACGAGTCGGAGTTAAATACCGAATCCCCATATTACGAATCATTAGCTATTCTGTCTTCATACAGAAATGCAGCTTATTTTTGATTAATAAAATCTTTACGAAATTCATTTATATTGTTATTTCACTTTTTATCTTGTCACTTTCCAATGAAAATGCTTTAACAACTTTGTTAACAAAACTGAGTAATGAGTACTTTCGGCGGCAAGCAGAGCTCAAAACGAGGCAACTTCCGAAGCGCGAAGGTAGCCATTTTAACATAGTCATAGTTGCCCAAGGCATTAGAGACAAACTCGCTCACCCTTCAGAATGTTGTTGAAGTTTCGCAATTTCTCGCAAGCAGATGAACAGTATACTCTTACAAATGTTTCCAAAAAGTGTACCATTAAGGATATTAAAAAGATGCTGAAAAGTATTCCTGCTTTTAAAACGAATAAGTTCACTCTGTATTACGCTGGAAAAGCGGTAAGAGCGATTTTATAATTATTTGGGTACATTTATAAATTTATAAATTATATACTATCAAGGAAGAAAAAGTCCAACATTTATAATGACGTACTTAATAGGTTTTTTTTTAAGGTTATACTTTCCATAAGTCTTTCGAGAATATTCTTAAAAGCATAGATGTTGATTCACATACTCTTTCTTAATTCCTAGATTGATGTGACTCTTGATTAGAAATTCTATTAGTCAAATGTAAACTAATTTAATTTTGGGTACAGCTACACGATGATCACATGGTCGTTGAATACAAACTTCAAGAGGGCAGCGTTGTCAACTTCCGGATTTTAAATAATAATAGTAAACAAGAAATAGTACCGAAGAAAGAAACTGAAGATAACGTAAAAACTAAGGCAATAGATAGTAAAGAGGTTGAACCGTTTTATAGGGTGAGTTAAGACAGTTTATCCAACAATTTCTTTATGATGTAATAGACAAGTATAAATGAAGTATCTTGAAATTTTAGATAGAAGATTTACTTGTATATAATGCTGCTAATAAAGGAATATGGTATCCTGTTCGTATTACCGGAGTGAAAAAGGCAGAATCTTCTGATATTAACTACTGCTATTCTGAAATACCAGAAGAATTTAAGCCAAGACCTAATGATAATTACATTTACGACGCCAAGAGCTATTGCAGTGACTGTTATGGAGGAAAGAATTGTAAAGCTAAGGGTGAAAGACATGTACAAAACTTTTCCGACTTGAATTGTCAATTGCTGAAACCTCATCCTAGAAGAAAGTATGATGTGAACAGTTTAAATCCAAAAGATCCTGTAGTATGTCAACTAGCAGATATTAAAAAAACAACTGATCATGGATATGTGGAATGTATTGTCAAAAAGGTCCAAAAGAAAGTTATAACCGTTGAAGTTTTATCTACCACAGCAGAGTTTGTATTATTGAGATATTATTGTTTTAATTGTGTTGTTTAGATTAATGTATTTTCTGATTTAATTTATTAATATATTTGCTTCTTTAAAAAAAGTTCTTATTTTTTATTTTATTTATTTTTAAGCTTACCTAAACTGGTTCAATTGAATTCTAAAATGATATTCTATCTACCTGAAGTAGCTGGCTTTCAGTGCAATCTTGGAAATGCAGAGGATATGGTTTCATTTTACGGTAAGTTATATTATATTCATTTATTATGTAACCCATTTATTATTTCTCTCGAAATAGACGGGACATTTGAGTGTGATGTTTGCTCTGATCATCCAAGAAATAATTGTAAATCCTGCCACTGTTGCGTTTGTGGTTCTAAGAAAGATCTACATGTTCAAGTGATGTGTGATGAATGTGGAGATTCATACCACTTTTATTGCTTGGATAGTCCAATAACATCAGTTCCTGAGGATGACTATTGGTACTTAAATTCCATCTGTTATATCGTGATGTTGTACTAGTTATTAATTTTAAAAAAATAGGTACTGTCCTCACTGTAAGAACGATTCCTCAGCTATTGTTCAGGAAGGGGAAAAGTTAAAATCCTCTGCAAAAAGACAAAATACGGCTGCATTAAAATCCAAATCAAACAGAGACTGGGGTAAAGGTTTCGCTACTGCTGGAAGATCAAAAACGTGCACAATAGTACCCAAAAATCATTTTGGTCCTATTCCTGGCATTCCAGTTGGCTCATGTTGGGAATATAGATTACAGGCTTCGGAAGAGGGAGTACACAGGCCTCCAGTGGGAGGGATATCTGGTATATTTAAACAATAATTATTAAAATGTTAATTTTTTAACAATTTATCCGTTCATTTTTAGGTAAGGGAAAAGAAGGCTCTTACTCAATAGTTTTAGCAGGCGGTTATGAAGATGATATTGATCATGGAAACGAATTTTATTATACTGGAAGTGGAGGGAAAGATTTAAAATCTGGAAATAAGAGGCTAGGTGCACAAACTTGTGAACAAACCCTCAAATCATACAATCTTGCATTAGCAAGAAATTGTAATGCAGAAGTGAATGAAAATGGAGCGTCTGCCGGTGACAAATGGCGTGAAGGACTTCCTGTGCGCGTGTGTCGATCCTTTAAGCTTCGTAAACACTCTAAATATGCACCAACAGAGGGCTATCGTTATGACGGAATTTATAAGGTATGAATATATCGAAATTTCATGAATATGTTATATATGATGCCAATTATTCAGGTTGTTAGCTATTGGAGGGAGGTTGGCAAGTCAGGATTTATCATTTATAGGTATTTGCTGAGAAGAGATGACATTGAACCAGCCCCGTGGACAGAAGAAGGAAAGAAACGAATTAAAGAGCTAGGTTTGAAGATGGTTAGACCAGTAAATAGGGAAGCATATTGTGGTCCTTCGAAGAAAGGAGAGACTTACAATATCTCTGAAAAAACTAAAACAACTTCAAAGAGAAAAAAGAAATTCAATTATATTGATACTTCAGAAAGCGATGATAATACTGATGGAGATTCTAAAATTTGTTCTGATGATGATGATGATGAAGAAAGTAATTTATTCTTATACTATATTATTATTTAAAATGGTTGTTAAAAAGATAATTGTATTAATTTTCTTAGAATCAACTGGCTTATCTCTTAAATTTTCGACCTGGAAAAGGCCAGCCAGACGAACAAATGCCAAAAAAAGTGCAATTATCGAATCGGCTTCAGATATATCATGTTCCGGTAATGAATGTTATATTTTTTGCATAGAACAGGTACTAATTATAAAATTATTTCTATGAGTAGACGAGGACGAGAATTGGGCTGAAGCGCCCATACCAAAGAAGACTGGTAGAAGAATAATGAAAAGGAAAACTGCACAAACAATCAATACTGATAATTCACCAAGTAAGAAAGTTAAAATTGAGAAAATTGAGGAATCACAAGGTTTTTTTTCATGAAAATATGTTTAGTTATAACGCGTCTATTGATAAACTTGTAATCACACAGATAACAAGGAAAATGCTAAAAATAAAGTGACAACAATTAAGGAAGCTCTTGAAAAGACCTATATATCAGAAGAGATATTGGAACATATGAAAAATGATAAAACAAACTGGCACATGTGGGAAGAATGCATACAGCAATCTAGCGATAAATCTGTCAGTATATTTAAATTTCATATTGTCGTTTTAATGAAAATTTTTTTGCCTAAAAAATATTGCAGAAATTTTTGGAAAAAGCCGTCTCAGTATTCACATGCGTAATTTGTCAAAATTTACTATACGCACCTATAACCTCCAATTGCTCTCATAATTTTTGCGCTGTTTGTATTCCAGTTTAATAATTATACAGAAACTTAATTGAATTAAACTTTTCAGAACTGTATTAAAAGATCTTTTAAGGTGGGCATTAAAACGTGCGCAATTTGTAGAAAAGTGCTCGATCCCAACACTGAAGAAAATAAAACGTTAGCAACTGTTTTAAAGCAACTCTTCCCTGTCTATGGGAAATGAAATGGGAGGTTGGACTTTTTAGTTAGTTGTTATTAAGCATTTATTTGTTTATGGAAAAGAAATAATACACAATGCAGATTCTTGCATTGAAAGAAATCGTATGTTTTCTATTGTTTGATATATCGTTTTTTGAATAGTTCTAAAGAAAGCGTCTTTTTAGTTAAATCTGTTTCTAATTTAATCTTTAACTTTTACTCTACTGCTGCTGTTACAGACCGAAAGTTCATCATTAATATATGACCCCTTTTCATGCATCTCTATGAAAAGTAATATATGTTTTGGTATTGTAGTGTATTGGAGAAGTGTAGTTTTACGTTAAGGAAAGCAACAAAAACGAAGGAACTTTCTTTTATTTGTATTGAAATCTTTTAAAATTGTTGTATTAACTTTTGGCGGATGAAGAGTCTTTTACCAAAGGAAAAGAACATGCTTTTTCCTGGCAAAAATGTATGAATACTGTGAGAAAGAACTAACAATACATGATTTTCTTTCTCACTGATATCCGATATGAAAACTCGTTGCCTCATTGACATTGATGCTATAATACCTCTGATTTTGAAATGAGGGACTTACTAAGATATTATCGAGTCCAATAAAAATATAAACAAAGTGCAATCATTTAGTTTCTATATAGACATATATGTATAAAAAGAACATTTAAAAGCAAAACTATAAAATCGGCTGCAGCTATCTTAAACAGTTGAGGAATCACAATGTACTTCGTGTGTATCTAATGACGAAACTTCACGATATCTGATTTGCCATTTACTTTGCAAAATACGAACTTTTTCACCAATATTACAAAATCTAACAACCAATAATAAAAACAAAGAGAAAGATACGAAACAAATTACTGATATTATTGTCGTTTTAATAATGGTTTTGGATTTTTTTACGTCGCAATTCAACTCTTTGAGATTGATGTTCTTGAGAGGAATTCGATAAAGTTCATAAGGTTGTTGACAAATATATCTTTGCGAATTCTTTGAATAAAATTCTATTGAAACACTCGTCTTATTCAACCATTTAATAAATGATTGAATATTGCATAAGCAATTCCAAGGATTAAATGATAAGTCTATACTTTCCAAAAATGCTATATCTTTTAAATCTTTTGGATTAACATTTTCTAATTGATTTTTAGTTAGATTTAAATTTAATAAATGTTTTAAATTATTTAAATGCAAATCTTGAAGATTACTGATAATGTTATTACTTAATGAAAGTGTTGTTAAAAAGTTGAATTTCTTCGTAACGCTATCCGGAATAATATCAATTTCACAAGAGTCCATTAAGAGCTCTTGAACGTAATTGAATACATTCAATATTGTTTTCCTATTAGCAGTCTTAACTAGATGTTTTCCAATAGGATTATAACTTAAGTCAACTTGAGCTAATTCTTTCAAGTTAACAGCTGCATATTTTGGTATTTTAGCAAGATTATTATTGGATAGATTCAATTTTTGTAAACTAGAATCCAGATTTTTCCAGAGATCGATTGAAATAGATTTAATTTCATTAAAAGAAGAATCTATATGCTTTATTGATGAGGCACCGAAAGAATTCAAAACTTTTAACTTGTTATGTGAAACATCGATAAATTCAATATTTGATCTTCTTAATGATTTTTCGCTTATCTTCGAAATCTTGTTGTTCCTAAGATTTAATTTTTTCAACATCTTATTATCCGTAAGCCAATTTGCAGGAACAGTCTTTACCCTATTATAGCTAAGGTCAAAATATTTAAGACTCCTTAATGAGATGTAAGATAAATCTTCAATTCTGTTACTTCGCAAATTGAGATATGATAATGAATGATTTCTTAGATAATCAATTCCTTTAAGTCTTGATAGTTTATTATTAGCCATATTTATCGTTTTTATCTTGAGGATTGTCTTAAAAATTTGAGGTTCAACTGCTATTAAATTTCCATTTGACATATCCAACACCTCAAGATTCTTTATATGTCTGAATATCTCGTATGTTACAGTTATGCTCTTCTTCATTCCCTGAATATGCAGAGATGTAAGATTATTATTCAAAGATACATTTTGAAACATTCTCTCCATAGCATCTTCGTTTAGCTCGTTGTTTTTCATATGTAAATACTTGATGTTGGAGAATGTAGAAAGGAAGTTTGGATGAATCGAATTTGTATTGCAATTGTCCAGTTTTAATGTTTTAATTACGGTATTGCCTAAATATTTTACATCATTTCCCATTATTTCTTTGATATTATTGTTGCTTATATCCAAATATGTTAATGATTTCATAATATTGTATGAAATGTCAAAATTGATTGTTTTAATTAGGTTTGATGATAAATCCAATGTTTGTAGGTTAGGAGCGAAACTGGAGAGATTTTGTGGAATGACAGTTAATAGATTACTCGATAAATCGAGAGTAGTAAGCTTTAGAATGGGAGATGAATAATGAATAATTAATTCTTCAATAGAATTACATGAAAAGTTCAACAATTGTAGTTTATTCGCACCAGTAAATGATAGTTGGTTAATTGTTTCCAATAGATTATTATCTAAATGAATAGATTTTAAATTTGTAGCATTTTCCAGCCAGTTTTCGGGTAAATCATGAATTCTGTTATAAGAATAGTAAACTTTTACAGCCAAATCAACTTTTGGAATAATATGAATTAATCTTGATGTACAATTGTAGATTCGTTCTTTACAATCACAATTAGTAGGGCAATTCTCCAAAGAAGGTCTTAAAATTGCGTAAGTTGTACAAAAAATATGCAGGATGATAATGTTTAATTTTCTCATATCTGTGTTCAAACAAAAATTAATAAATAAGAGCTAAACAGAGAGAGAGAGAGAGAGAGAGAGAGAGAAAGAGAGAAAGAATGAGAAAACATCATTATTTAGAATAATAAAATATAAAATAAAATAGTAATTGATTAATTTATTAATTAATTAATCAATCTAACAAATCTATTGAATATATAGTTAATTCATTAAACTAATAAATTTCTATAAAATTGATCATTTATTATTAATATCTTTCTTTTGGACTTTAAAAAGTACTTAATTATAGCACTTTACAAATCAATTACAAGGGTCAACCGAGTATTTTGTAATTAGGTAGAAAGTAAATTTTCAATTTGCTCCTTTACGCTTTTCTCTAGCTATTCTGAAAATTACATAAACACTCTATATATATACACTATCCTGCATATAAACAAAAGCATGCAAAATAGGAAATACATGATATACACAGTACTGTTTTTAATAATAATCATTTCTCTCTCTTCTGGACAGATAGTATCCTTGTAAAAGATATATTTATTCATGAATACTGTATATATATATATATATATATATATATATAGAGAGAGAGAGAGAGAGAGAGAGAGAGAAATTAAAGTCCATATTCACACCTTTTTCTTATTACTGGTTACTTACATAAAATAGATGAGGTATCTAGCGAGAGAACTTAGCAGCTTTAAGGGCACAGAAAGAGGGCTACCACCGTAACATGCTATAAGTTTAGAAGAAAGAAAATTTGCTTCAGGGGGCTTAGAAAAGCGCCACCTATCGTTGGAAAACTAATACCTCTAAGCCAACAAGAAAATTATTAGATTTAATAGAATAGAGTCCATTTTCCAACATATATAGGAAGAGAACAATCTAAGAAAGATATATCCATAGTTTTGTATTACCTATACGAAAAAGTTCTCTATTGATTGATCATTTAAAGAGAAGAAAATATCGGGATAAGACAACTGAATAAAGAGCAGTAAAATAAATTATATTATAATTTTATAACTATAAATGAAAATATTCATATTTTAATCATTGTAAAATACCATTTTAGACTTTTATGAGCAATTTTCATATACTATGCATTTATATATAAATTATACAAAATATCTCTATCCCCTGTCTCTCTCTGCCTCTCTCTGAAAACGTACATAGACACTCTTTCTCTCATCTCTTTCAATACGATTTTTCAATTAATTAATACTTCAATTTGAATAACTATGCTAATGTTTATAAAAGAAAACTCTTTAATAACGCAACCCATAACTATGGAATATACACGTAATGAGTATACATATGCCTAACTAAAACGCTTAGAAATATATATTATATATAATATTACAAAATTTAATTATATCATTGTATTTTGCATTCTACTACATATTTGAACCATTTAAACCATAATAGTGTACATTCTACAGATTTTATCATATGTATCACTTTATGATTGATTTTTTCTCCCTTAAAATGCATTATATGTATAAATAAAGAACTATACACTTATACGTTTATATATTCATATAGCATAAAGCTTAATATTTATATGCAAATAATGCAAAAATCAATTATCATTTTATAAGTTTTTTATTCAGTTGCTTTTTTTTTATTATAAAAAATTGAACAAACAACAAAAACAACAACAACATCAACAAACAAACTATGATATAAGCTTTATATAATAATCTATCATACTTCTTTTTATGGTAATTGAGTTATAGTAATTCTATTTTCTCATCTCTTATCTCTTAAATATACTTTTCTTCAATTAGTCATTGTCTCTCCAAGTAACAACTATTATTGTTTCTTGTTACAAAAGATAAACAAATAGTGATGGTCATTGAATAATTCTAAATGAAAATAGTAAATCTATTACAGCATGTAGTAGGGGAACATTTGAATATTCAATAATGATATTCTATTTAATCGTCTAACACGTGCAACATCTGTTTCAGTTTGGGCGCAGATGCTGAATACATAAACAATGCTACAATGAACTATCGATGCTGTATTTTTTATTACTAAATATGATTTTAACTCTTAAAGCTATAATTGATTAGTAAAAATACAGTTTAACAGTCATTCAGGATTTACCTATGCTATGCATAAGACCATTTTTCTCTTCTCTTTCTTAGCATATTTAACTCAAGTATCTCGGTGCAAATGGTTCATAGATGCTCACACATATGCCTTGTGGAATAGAAAGACTCTAAGCGGATTAGAAAGAAGTATTTCATTCTCCTTTGTTTATTGTAATGATCAAGGAGGCTTGCTATTATATACTGAAGGTGGTGAAGATTTCTTTTTTGCTGCAGGAATTGTTTCAGGTAAAGAAGATATACTTTTTTTTATGACAACACCATCGTTTCTCGTATTATATACAAACTGTATATTCTATATCGTACTTCCTCTCTAGGCAACTTTTACTTGGAATGGAAGACTTCAAATACTGTTATAGAATTATTAATAAAGGCGAATCTTTCACCTAATACAACTAATACTGTCAATGTATACAATCTTGACTCTAGAGTACGAACAATAGCAAACGTAAATGGTCAAGTTGCTACTGTTGAATATTTAGTTTCTATTGGTCTGGGATTAGATGTAAATAAACTACAGAATGGTCTAGTTTTAGTAGGTTTGTCACTTAAACTTTATTTAATTATGTTATCTTCATTATTGATTCAGTTTTGTTACATATTTTACAGGTGGCTATAAAAGTGCCAGTAATTTACGTTTATATACTGAAAGACTTACAGCCTTTCCTATAGTTTGTCTAACTAGTTTGTCAACATCGGCAATTAGCCTGAATATTGACGATGCTGATGAAAAGAATGCTATTATCTCTCCCTGTCCAAAGCATATATGCATTAAACCGTCAATAGCAACAATCAAATCAACTCTATCGTACGCGACATTAGACGTTCCTGTAGAGACAACAACGAGAACTATTTTATCCGTAAAGTTCAGAACGAAAGCTCCGGATGGACTTATTGGTTTATTGGAAGGGCCAGCTTACTTGGCCATTTACCTATCCAATGGAAGAATAGCTATTGCATTAAACACAAGAGGAACAGGTGTACCTGCTGTTGGTTTAACATCCAGGAATGACTTTAACGACGGAAATTGGAAGTCAGTTCGCATTGTACGTACTGGAAACATAGCGGAATTAACAGATGAAGCAGCTAGGTTTCTACTGCGTGTCACTTATGGTAAGTTTTACTTCTACAGCAAGTCTATATTTCAAAATATAAACTGCGTTGTGTTCTTAAAGGAAGCCAAACAGCAGCTTTTACCCTTAACGCCAATTCTTTACACATTGGAGGAGCTCCCCCTTCAAAACTTCCTTCAACTCTTCCTATTGAAGCTAAAACAGCTTTGCCTAGTTGTCAGGAAGCACCAAAATTTGTGACTTATAATCAAATCATTGAACCGGCCCCAACTGTTAACTTGCAAACACAAACTAAACAGTCCAATGAAATTGTTTTTGGTAATTAAATTATTTTTGTCAAAAGCTTTTTATTCATCTTCGTCTTTGATACAATCAGGACAATGCTCGCCTAGTTTATCTTGCCAAACAAAGTGCCAATCTCCTTCTCAAACATGCAATTTTGTTTGCGAATGTTCTAGTGGTTTTAGGAGAGTAGATAATTTTAACCCATTACGTTGCTTGAATATTGATGACTGTTCTCCATCTCCCTGTCTCAATGGAGGAAAATGTCAGGATCTTATTAATGACTACAAGTGCCAATGTTTAACCGGATATACGGATAAAAATTGCTCGAAGAGAGATCCTTGTTTACCCAATCCTTGCGACAACGATGGAACATGTTCTGAAATTGACGGTACTCTATCTTGTACTTGTAAAGAAGGGTGGTCTGGCAAAAACTGTACAATTGATAAAGGTTTGAGCGTTTTAATCTAACCGAATAATCATAATTTACTTTTCGTTTGTGGAAATTTATAGACGAGTGCCTATTACCGACTTCATGCTCAAAAAATTCACAATGCATTAACTCCCCAGGGAGTTATTCCTGCAGTTGTTTTGCTGGCTTCACTGGCCAGAAATGTTCAACAGAAATTGACGAATGCATTTCAAATCCTTGCTCCAACAATGGAACATGCTTAAATTTAGTGAACGCTTTCACTTGTTCATGCTCAAACGGTTGGCAAGGTAGGAACACTTTTTGTTTCTTTTTTTAAGAGCAAAGCAGCTGCCATAACAACATCAGGCAAACATCAATTTCTTTCATTTATCGATTTTAATCCCTTCCGTAGCTAATCGCCTATTTCAATACACGCCGCTGATCTGTTACTTCTGTTCTTTCATTACTAGAATGTTAATTGTTCTTTCCGTAATTTTTCTATCATTTCCTAATGGTTTGTACATCCTTTTAGTTACAGCATCATCTCATATAAAGCTTTCCAAATTACCTATTATTTGTTATTGTTGTTTTTTATATTATTATTATTAATAATATTATTATTCATTCAAACAGGTGTCCGATGTCAGACTGACGTAAATGAATGTGCCTCTACACCTTGCAAGCATAATTCTAAGTGTAACAATCTTCAAAATGCATTTTCATGCGAATGTAGTCCTGGATGGACAGGACGCACTTGCGAAGAGGATATTGACGAGTGCCTTACGAAACCTTGTAAAAATGGAGGTACTTGTGTAAACGGACCAAATAAATATACCTGTGTATGTACCGACGGTTGGATTGGAAAGAATTGCGACGAAGATAAGAAGGAATGCCTTAGTAATCCTTGCGGTAAAAACGGCGAATGCTTAGAAGGTACGAATTCCTTTACCTGTTCTTGTAAACCAGGGTGAGTTTTCTAAAACTTAATACCGTAAAATTTTCGAGCGAGAGTTAAAGAGTTTCTTCTCTAATTAGTTTTACAGGAAGTAGATGCGAAACTGATATAGACGACTGCCTACCAAATCCATGTGCTAACTCTGGAACATGTACAGATCTAGTTAACTCATTTAAATGTCAGTGCTCTCCAGCATGGACTGGGAAACGCTGTACGGTTGATATTAATGAGTGCTCAAGTGCACCTTGTGTACACGGGACGTGCAATAATCTAATTGCTCAATATTCTTGTACGTGTGAACCAGGTAACATTTAGATTGGTTGTTAAATAAATTTTATGAAAGTTGATCCTATATTACGTAATCGTTAAAGGGTGGACAGCCAGAAATTGTGATCAAGACTATAATGAGTGCCTATCTAATCCATGTTTAAATAATTCAACATGCATTAATGGAGGAAATAAATGGTCTTGTAAATGTGTAGATGGTTGGACTGGATTAAAATGCGACGAGGATGTGAAAGAGTGTCATTCTCAACCTTGTCAACATAACGGTACGTGCATTGAAGGAACAAATTCATTCAAATGTAGTTGTAAGGATGGATGGACTGGAAACGATTGTTCTATTGATGTAAATGAATGTGCTAGTAGTCCTTGCTACAATGGTGGTTCATGTACACATGGAACCAATGTCTACAAGTGTGACTGCAAAACCGGATGGACGGGTAAAAGGTGTAATGAGAGTATCGACGACTGTCTCATTAATGGCGGAAATCAACAATGCCGTAATGGAGCTAGATGTGCAGATGGTTTAAATTCATTTTCTTGCATATGTAGATCGGGTTGGAAGGGAAAATTTTGTACAGAGGACGTAAACGAATGCGCTTCTAATCCTTGCTTGAATGGTGGAACATGCCAAAACGAGTTAGCAGCTTTTAAGTGTTCCTGTCTACCTGGATGGACAGGTTCCAGATGTGAAGTAGATATTGACGAATGTGCTATTTCGTTGCCTTGTAGAAATCATATTCAATGTAAAAATACACCAGGCAGCTACAGTTGTATATGCGCTTCCGGATGGACAGGAAAAAATTGCGAACAGGACTTAGACGAATGTGCTTCTAATCCTTGTTTCTTTGAGGGAACTTGTACAAATCAACGAAATGCATTTAGTTGTAAATGTAAAGATGGTTTTATTGGTGATAGATGCGAAGCTGTTGTAAGGAGATGTAAATTTTTTAATCCTTGTAAGAATGGAATTTGTTTAGAAGAACAAAAGGGCGGTTATAAGTGCCTATGTAAACCTGGATATCAACACAGTAATTGTGAAGATGAAATAGATGAATGCGCATCCTCTCCTTGCTACAATGGTGGAACTTGCCACAATTTAATTAATGCCTTCAATTGTAGCTGTAAAGCCGGTTATTCAGGGACAAATTGTCTTATAGACTTTAATGAATGTTCATCAACTCCTTGTAAGAATGGGGGAACTTGTACAGAACCTTCTATAGGAGTTTTTAATTGTACATGTCCATCCGGATTCTCAGGTGCATTATGTGAAATTGACGAAGACGAATGCAAATCTCAACCCTGTCTACCTTTTCAAGTATGCATCGATAAAGTCAACGGATATAGTTGTAATTGTCCTGAAGGCAAAACGGGTAAAAATTGCTCCGAATTAGCCGATAAATGTTCTTCTTCTCCTTGTTTAAATTCCGGTACTTGCACGAGTACAAATGAAAAATATTCATGCAGTTGTGTTTATCCTTTCGAAGGATTAAGGTGCGAAATTGATACAGACGTTTGTTTCCCAAATCCATGTTTACACGGAGGCAATTGTACTCGTGATGCAAGAGTTTCAATTGGTTTCAAGTGTTCTTGTCAAGATGGTTTTATCGGCGAAAGGTGTGAAGGAGATGTATACGATTGTAGATCAAATCCGTGCAAAAACTCTGGTACTTGCCACGAGTGGACAGACGGAAGGAGAGGATTCACTTGTACATGTCCACCCAAATGGACGGGGAAGTATTGTGAATTCGACTCAAATGGTTGTGATATTAATCCATGCAATAATAATGGAACATGTTCAAAGACTACTTCGACTTTTAGCTGTCAATGTGCGTCAGGATGGGCTGGTAGAACTTGCCTTGTAAATGTCGACGAATGCTCCGTTGCGAAACCGTGTCAAAATGGAGGTCTATGTGTTGACGAAATGGGTGACTACAAATGCATTTGCAATCCATTTTGGACAGGAAAAAATTGCGAAATTGATATTAAGGAGTGCGCTATTAATCCTTGCCTGAACAATGGACAATGTGAAGAGAGAATTGGGTCTCAATTTTTATGCCGCTGTAAAACTGGTTTTAGTGGTTCGAGATGCGAGGAACAAACGAACGCCTGCGAACCGAATCCATGTAATAATAATGGAACTTGCAGAAACGAATCTTCAACGATTAAATGCGAATGCAGTAGCTTTTATACAGGAAATAGATGTGAAAATCAAATAAGACCTTGTCAATTACAACCTTGTAAAAACAATTCGACATGCACTGAAGAAAATGGATCGTATAAATGTTCCTGCTTGCCCAATTATATAGGACGAGACTGTGATACGAGAGTTACGGATTGCTCTGATAATCCTTGCCAAAATAATGCTACATGTAAAAACTTGATAACAGGTACAGTTTATAGCCTTTAAGGTTAAATTGTCTCACTAATCCTTGTTTTCATTTTAGGATATCAATGCTCCTGCCCTCCTGGATTTGCTGGAAAAAATTGTAGTATTGACATAGACGAATGCAAGAGTTTTAACCCTTGCGCTAATGGGGCAACTTGCACAGATTATGTTAATTCTTTCAGATGTACATGTCCTCAAGGTTATAGCGGTGTTACTTGCTCAATTCCAATTGACAACTGTCAGTCACAGCCTTGTTTCAATAATGGTACTTGCGTTAATCAAGTGAATGGTTATAGTTGTAATTGCTCAATTAGTTTTACTGGATCGAATTGCGAATTAAATATATCAGAGTGCTCATCTGGACCATGTTTAAATGGTGGCGAGTGTATGGAAAGGGGTAAGTCGTGGTCGTGTAAATGCCCTCAAGGAATAAGTGGAAATCGTTGTGAAGTTGTCACCACAGCAACTTTCGATGGGAAATCGTTCACAATTTTGCAATTTCCTGATAAAACTCGCAAAAAAAGAGCTATTAATCCTATAGTAACCATAGAGTTTAATTTAAAGACATCTGTATTAAGTGGCTTTATTCTTGGTCTCTTCGGATCAAACCAAAACATCATAATCGAGTTATACAACGAATATATAATTGTTTCTTTATCCTCTAATCAAGCATTGATTCGTCTTCAAATTAATCTTGTCAAATTAAATGGGATTGTGGATATCGATTGTTCAGTTAAAATTTACGAGAATTCCATAAGTTTAACTACTCAACCAGTAACTTGTAATGGCGGTCCGCATTGTTTCCAGCAGAGTAAATCTTTCAAAGTAGAGAGGAAATTTGATAATATTTACGTTGGTGGACTTCCAACAATTGATGCTTACATAAGAAGCATTTTACGATCTTCGAATCAGTTTAAGGGTTGTTTATCAGTAAGTTATTATCATTAATATAATCAAAGACTATATATATATATATATATTTCAGAATTTGAAAATAGATGGCATTAACCTCAACTTAATTCCGCCCAATTCTACTGAGTCAAACCTGAAGCCTGGATGTCCCAATCCGGTTGTATGTACTGATGATTATTGTCAAAATGATGGAATTTGCATTGATAATTGGACTGAGATCAGTTGCAAATGTTCGAAAGGATTCGGGTAATTTTTCATTACACTTATTTGGTTTTACATTAAATTTTAATCCTTTTCGCCTAAAATAGGGGTAAAACATGTCAGAATAAATATTCAACGAACCTTAAGAATGGTGAATTTATTTTTCTGCCTGGCTCTACAGCAATTACTAAATTGAGTATGGAAGTTTCGACTATTACCGAAGGCTTAGCTTTATACACTCTCACCTCAGAGCCTTTAGCCATATCGTGTCCCGATAATAAAACTGTACGAATTCACGTAATAGCACGAGGAGGAGATTTAGTATCAACGATTATTCACGATACTAAAACTGGATGGATTAAAATTGATTTAACAATAACAAGAAATCAGCTGGCTGTTAGAATAAATAATGGTGAAAAATTCTTAGATGATGTCAAGTACAGTATTAGTAATCTTCAAATTCAAATGCCAATCTATTTAGGAGATCTCCACTCTCATTCAAGCACAAATATATGGAAAACTAGAAATCCCCCACTGATTACAAAATCTATCAATGGTTGCGTAAAAAATTTAAAATATAACGAAATAGATGTTGCACTTAATGGTAATTATAGCTCCAATTTTGGAAACGATCCGCCAAATCCCATAGGATCATGCGATTCAGCATGTTTCCCTTCACCTTGCTCTAATGGTTTATGCGAAATAGAGTGGTTGAATCCTAAATGTTTTTGTCGAGCTGGTTGGTCGGGTATTAATTGTACCAAGAGTTTACCGATTTCCTTTAATGGAGTAAATAACTACTTATTATTCACGGTTAATGCAACCACCTTCTCGTTTGATGATTATGGATCTGTTAGTTTTAGAATGTTAAATTCCTCTGGTACTCTATTGAGCATGATTTTTCCAATAAGAAACAAATCTCCAGATTATCTAAGACTCTTTTCTTCCTCGGGAATATTAAATATTCAAGTGTACTTTAATAGTTTAAGTTATCAGCAAGACGTAGGAAACTACGGAAGAGGAAGCTGGCATAAAGTTGATTGGAAATTTGTTAATTCTACTTTTCAATTATCTTTAGATAATAAGGTGATTACTCTTGGAGAAAATATTGTTATCTGGAAAAAGGATAGATTTGAAGAATTACAAATATTTTTGGGAGGAGAGGAAATTAGCCAAGCAACCAGCGCAAATCACTTCTCTGGTTGTTTGCAAGATTTTCGAATTGGCGAAAAAATTATTCCTTTCTCTGTAGATAATCAGCAAGATGGTATAAAAGCTCAAATAAATGGGCCATATAATACGGGATGCGAATCAACTGATAGTTGTAGGGCGAAGCCTTGTAATCTAGATGAAGATTGTGTGAATATATGGCGCACTTATCAATGTATATCGAAAAGAGATCCCTGCCTGGAATCACCTTGTTTCAATAATGGAACTTGCAAAACAGTAAACTCTACTTGGGTGTGCGACTGTCCCATTAATACAGACGGAAAACTGTGTGAAATACTATTACCATGCGCCAGCAAGCCCTGTATGAATAGCGCTATTTGCTCAAATATCGATTCTAAGACATTTAAATGCAATTGTAAGGGACCCTGGTACGGAGATACTTGCGAATTACAGGATAAATGTTTACAGAATCCATGTAAAAACAATGGCACTTGCTCAAGATCAGGAAATGATTTTATTTGCAGTTGTACCTCTGACTGGAAAGGTGAGCAATGCGAACTGTTAGCCGATGTTTGTAAATCATTTCCTTGTCAAAACAATGCAACCTGTACAACTATTGGACAAAATTATCAGTGTTCCTGCCTGCCAGGTTGGACAGCAAAAGATTGTAATCAAGATATTGTTGACTGTAAACCAAATATATGCAAAAATGGAGGAAATTGCATAGAAGGTGTAAACTCATATTCTTGCAATTGTCAAAGGGGCTATGAAGGTGTCCACTGTGAAATGGACAGAAGAGGATGCCCTTCGAATCCATGTCGAAATTCTGGTAAATGTATACCTTCCCAAAAGGAATTTGAATATAGTTGTCAATGTTCAAGTTTCTATTCTGGGAAGACATGCGAAGAGAATATTAACGATTGCTTAACATCAGTATGCGAGAACGGTTCAACGTGCGTTGATGGTTTAGGAAATTATACATGTAAATGTTTGCCCGGTTACGGAGGTCAATTTTGTAATGAAATCATAGATTCCTGCTTTACTCAGCCTTGTCACAATAAGGGTAAATGTTTATACACGGGAAGATGCTCTTGTTCGTCCATAGTTAAATCGTGTGGCTGGCACGATGAACCTTGCCAACTAAGAGAATGCGTCGGTAATTGCTCCAGAATATCTCCATCTTATTATTGCGATTGTACTGGCAGTGGATATCAGGGTTTAACTTGCCAAGAGGATATTAACGAATGCGCTAGAAGTCCGTGCCTAAATAGCGGTACTTGTATAAATACTATTGGATCATTTAGATGCTCCTGTGGTGATGGATGGACTGGCAGTTTGTGTGAAAATGATATAGATGAATGTAACTTAGAATCAACCAAGTGTTTGAACGGAGGGACTTGTTTAAATTCCATTGGCAGTTTTAAATGCATTTGCCCTAAGTCTTGGACTGGAACAGATTGCAAAGATGCGAATAATCCATGCGCATCCAATCCCTGTGGATCTGGTTCAACGTGTGTAGTGTTATCAAATTCTTTTAAATGTAATTGTAATGAAAAAATGACTGGAGTCCAATGTCAAACATTTATTGACTTCTGCGATAGTGTACCATGTAAGAATGGTGGAACGTGTTTGTCTCTATTGGGTGATTGGAACTGTACTTGCCCCAATAATTGGACTGGAAAAACATGCGATGTTACTATTGCTGAATCATCCACATCTGTAGGACTTATTGTTGCCTTAACCTTAATTTTATTGCTAATTCTAATTGCACTCTTAGTGCTCTATCTTTGGTATCGTAAAAGAAATCAGACAAAAGATTATAAAGGACGTTATTTACCAAGAAATACAGAAGAAATTTTAACTGCACCAGTTCCTCTACATACTCTACTAGATCCAAGACCAAAAGAGATACTTGTATAGACTTGTAATTTACTATTACTTTCAAAATGAAGAGTGCTATTTTATACAAAAAACAAATCAATCTAACGAAACTAATCACATAACTATGCTGTTTCTTAACGTTTATTGCATTTAGCAATTGTAAATACAGTACTTTTTTTTACGTTTTGTAGCAATTGCATCACTAATTGTTATTTATAATCGGTGATATACACCCCCTCTCTCCCCAATATGTAAATTAGTTTTGACTGGAAAAGGCTGGATGAATAAGAAAAGTACCAATGTCCTAAATAAGTAAAGATGAGAGCTTTCAACGATACAGTCTAGCCCTATTAAGGTCTATGTTAATTGTATTTGAATGTTTATTAACCCTTTTCTTGATAGTTTTTGTCAATATTATCTCAATTCTTACATTTTCCCAAGGAGCAACATGATAAAGATTTATTATATTATACAAGAATTAATACGAAAGATTTATCCTAAACAGACCTGAAGATTACATTTTATGCAAGCTAATGTTATTAAAAGCCTATATATCAAATCCAATAATTTCCATGTGTCAACAAAAAATATGATGCATATAAATGACCCGATGGTAACAAACAAGCCAACCTTAATAATAGCCTGGAACGAGAATAATGCATTCCAAAAATTTTGTATTTGTATGCAGGATAGATTTAGCATCATTTAGAGAGAGAGAGACGAGAGAGAGAGAGACATTAGATGGAATGAAAGTAATTTATGATTAAAAAAATGTAATATAAATGAATAACGTATACTCTCAATTTGATGAAGCTGTAGAGGAATACTCTCTTTTATTTAAATAAGGCTAAAAAGGGAAAGACACGCATCATGAAAATTTTGCCTCTAGTAACGATTTTGGCTTGTATTGCAACATTTTACTATAGGTTTATAAGGGAAAAAAAACAGCCTATCTATTTATAGTTTAAAGCAAAGTTTCTCTTATGTTTCTTCTTAATCTTACTTGCAAAGATAAAAAAAATTATATTCAGATGTTTCTTCCCTAAACTACTGTTATCTGTCACTTATACTACTTACTTAATATCTGATTTTTATCTTGTCTATTTATAATTTTCTTACAACAAAATTGATCTATTATAGGATCAATACTGGATGAAAGAACGTTTAAAATCTATTTATGTTTGTCAATAAACTAAATATGATAACTATAAGAAATGTTTATTATTAAATAGATTGTTAACAATGTTTTATAAATACAAATCAATTTGTTAAAAGTTATTTATTGCTATAGTTTAGATATTTAAAGTGTATTTCTGTAATAAAACATGTTTTTGTTCAATTGAACATTTATATTATCAAAGTAAACGGTCTATTTATTGATAAGTTTGATACGACAGCCTTTTCATACGCCTGCTTTCCTCTCTTAAATTGACTATATAATCAAGTCTGGCGTAATGAATTAGAGAGATAAAATATGTTTGATATTGGAATTATTCATACAAGATAATCCTCCTATATTTTTCAAAGAAGAAAAAAAGAAAGAGAGAGAGAGAGAGAGAGAGGAGAGAAACAACGATATAATGAAAACAAAAATTGTTACTCTTGCCTACGAAACGAACATATAAAAACTTAAATAATTTCATAGCAGAGGGTGTCAATAAGGCTAATTAGGATAATAAACTGTTACAGTACCTTATAATGATGATAATAGAGTAGAAAAGGTGAAAATTCCCACAATTTTGGATTATTCTTGCCAATCTTACTTTCAAAAGAAATATCTTAGTTATTCAGTTATTTTTCTTTTACTCTCTGTGTGAGTAGCGATTGAAGAAGAGCATAGAAGGTCGTTGTTTGTCAGGCGACGCACGATTAACTGCGTAGCTGACGAACGCGACGTCTATGAAAAAGGAAGAGAAATAGTAGTTTTTTCTTGTAGAAGAAAAGTAAAGAATAAAAAAAAGAAGAGAACTTTTTTTTAATAAAAAAAAACCAAACAAACAAACAAACAACCGAACAAGACATTTAATCAATTTGTAAATAAGGAAGAGAATCAGATGAAACATAATAAAAAATTTAGGTAAATGAGGGTAAAAAAGTATTTTTGATGATGATAACAAACAATTATAACAGAGATTGTAAATAAGAATATCAAAAATAGCGCACTTATCCAATTGCTAAATTGTATTATGACCAACATCAACAACTTCAAAGAGCCTTTACCAATCGAAGCTTTTTTTTTGTTGCCCGAGGCCTAGAGTTATATATCTTCTTTAATATTCTAACAGTATTTTTGCCAAAGAGTTAATAGCTCCAAATTTCACCAATTTCCTCTCAAGGAACAAATATACGTGACAAACTCATTCCTTTGCCGGGATCTGTGCAAACTCTATGAATAAGAAAGCTCATGGTAGAATAAGAAAAATTTACTATCGTCTTATGTCATGTTTATATGAGAGATTTAGCTGGAAATTTACATCTGCAAAGTAATTTTATCCAGTAAATTGATTAATTAAAATGTATAAGAAGGAGAGATAAGATTACAGGTTTAGCAGCTACCTTAAAGAGTAATAAACTAGTTTTTTTTTTTATAAAAAAAGAAGATTCTTTATTAGTCCCCGATACTGAATTCCCAAGCCAAGATAATTGGGAATCGTTTTTTCTCCTTAGTATGATATATAGGTACATTAAAATGATTTTTCTTTGCATTATTCCTGTGCGGTAGGGCAAATGGGCTGTAAGAGGATAGTCTAAGGAGTTATTTGATATATTTGTGAGCTTTACAACACCCACCCATAATTGTTATCTTTTGTATTAAAACTAATTATTGGTATACTTATTAAACTTTACACCGTGGAATATGTTTTTCACTTTTCAAAAGATAACTCACTTCTCTCCTCTTTCCCTTCTTCTCTTCCCCCCCTCGCTGACTCTCCTCTTTCTGGCGTCTTTGTAAAATCCATTTTAGAATCTAATCCTATGTAATTCTTTGATCAGTTGTTCCGGGAAAATAGGGAAGAAAAGATAAATAGAAACAGTTCCTTTACAATTTCAGTCCCAAAATAAGAGTTCTTTTTCTATTCTACACTACTCGTTTTAGCCTATTCCTTTATCAACTAACCACTTTACTCCATTCACTCTAACCCTATAAGAAAGCTGTTAGGCCTAGAAAAATTTCATGACACTGGATTTTCAATCTACAGTAATAATTACCTAATATTCCTTCACGATATATAGTATATTCTGATTTTTTGTACTTAATTTAACATGATGCCTAATGAAGCTTTGTAATAGGCTCCTAAAATAACCAATAAACTGTAATGTTTGTCATAAAGATGGTCTAAAAAATAAAATTTGTTGAGTTTCCCTGGAAGAGATAAAAAGCTGATATCTGTCAGTATTTCCGTACAATTTGTTGATAACACTAATCGATTATAGTGTGTTTGGTCGGTATGACAAACAACAACCCACAAGAGTTGTATTGATTAACAGTAAAAATTTTGTCTGTAGAATATATACAGTTCGGGAATTTTATTTGGCCATTTTGTACTGCAAGAAGAAGAAGAAAAAAAAAACACATCTCCCTTTCTCAAAGAAAACCATTTCTATAAATTAGGCGTATAAACTAGTACCGAAGCGTTATAACGTCACGATTTTCGCCAATATATTTTGAATGCGAAAGCCATTTAGTATATACTTTAATTGATATAATTGAAATTATCTTTTCAATAACAAATTCCTTGTGTATTTTCTTTAGTAAGTAAGTTAAAAGGGAAAAAAGAAGAAAAATCAATGCAAAAAGCTACTTACGGCAAGCTTTTTACATTTTCAATCTAATTTTTGGCAAACTTTTATATAAAAGTAAGTTATTGATTCACATGTCAAAAAAGATGTGAAGTAATATGAATAGAATGATAGGAAAATAAGAGAGTATCATAACTCTCTCTCTCTCTCTCTCTCTCTCTCTCTAATTAGTACTTTTGAGTGCTTATCATTAAATCAAGTAACAGAATATTTTTGAATGAAGCTACTTAGGCATGCTTCATTAGCTAGTTATTTTTTAATTTTATGATAACTTACAAGCACTAGCACCTTCCTTTTTCTTTGTTTTTTAAAGGATTATGCAACTTTGATCAGAGTAACGTAAAAGCACTTTTGAGGTATCTCTCCAAGGAGAAAAGATTATTTATATGATAATATTTACTAGCGAAAGGTGTATATTATAATTGTAATATTTTATACGTTTATAATTTAGTCTATATATATACAAGAACTTTTAGGAGATTAGGAAGAGAATACTTTAGAATATAGGTCAAGGTATTACTTACTGAAAGGGTAATGGCCCCTAATAATTTATAAATAGCTCAAATTAAATTGAAATCGAGAGTCCATTAGTTAAAAACAATTTTTTTTTAGAATATACCTAAAAAAGAAATCAATTACTCACTTTAATTCCTTATTTATGCTCTATAAACTTTATATCATTGGATTTAATTTGGTTCATATTAAATTTCTCTTGTTTGAGTGTTTTCTCCCTATTTTTCTATTAGTTTTAAAGGTTAAAATATACTTTTTATCCCGCCAAAATAATAAAAACACAATCTTTTTTAATATTAAAATTAATTTCAAATGTTAAACTTAACATTGTATTTATCTTGTTTGTTTGAGACAATAAGAAACTATCATAAAAGAAAGGGATGGATAAGAGAATTCTAATGTTTTAATATGGTTGTGATTGTTTCTTTTTTTTTCAGTTTCAAAAAAAAAGGATACCTAACCTTAAATGTTGAAAGTACTCTATTCAATAATGTACAGAAAAAAGAGAATCAAAGAAAAGTTCATTCTATATCATCATTTCGTTTAGAAAACTGGTTTTGTTTGATGGTTGAACGTTTTAAGGAAAAGAAAAACATACGTACATATATATATATATATATATATATATATATATATATAATATATAGGCTTATATTCTGACCATCTTCTTCTCCTCCTCCTCCTTCTTCTTCTTCTTCTTCTTCTTCTTCTTCTTCTTCATCTCCTTCATCATCATCTTCTTCCTCTTCCTTTGGTTTTAATAATATTGTTAAGGAGTAATAATTATGGGAGGAATTTCAAGCATCGTAAGATCAACTGTAAGATTTTTTTTTCTTATATTAAGTTTGTTTATGTTCTAAAATCAAGTAGAACTTTGCAATAAGATAAACTTTGATACTGTTATTATACATTAAATGATATGACTTGTAAAAATATTACAAACAACAGAGAAATCGTGATAGTGTGCCAACTGATGATATGCTCTTTCCGTCATTAAGGAACAATGTGAGTGCTTGAGTTATTTTTTTTTTTGTTGAGAAAAAGAGAATGACAGGAAGAGAGATAGAGAGAGAGAGAGAGAGAGATTAGTGTAGTTAAGATATAATATTGATTATTTTCTCGTACAGCTTGATAATGTCTTTGAGGGAGGATTAGTTGACGAATTGATTTTTGAGAGATATTTAAAAGAGGCTATTAGAGATAATCGTCCTAAAGTATTTGAATTTTTGGTAATTGAATGTTTATTTCATCTACATAAAACTGGGATTAACTTTTTGCGATCGTCCTTGAAATTATTTTACATAAATATAGGACATGATATAATTGAATTTGATAGACCAAAAATGCTAGAGATTTGGGAAGAAAGAACGCAAAATTTACTATTTAAAGAGAGATTCCTTGTCGAAAAGCTTTTAAGAATTGCTGCTCAGTTGAATAGAAGGGAATGCTTTGAGATTTTGGTAAATTTTACTGGACTGGAGAGAAATTATATGGTATTCTCTCTCATTATGAATAGTAAGTTTGAAGGAAAAATTCAATTTATGGATGAATTGTTATCAAGATTCGAAGATGAGGATCAACTTAACCAGCATATAGTTATGGCTTGTCTTAATACCGAGGCTAGCATTAATGACATCAAACAAGCTCTACAACTACTAAGAATGGAAAAATTGGACAAAAAATACCTTAGTTACTATGTTATGCGATGCGATCGACACGATTTACTCCAGCATGTCTTGGACATCGGCTTAATAGATTTCTCTGAGGAAGATGCAAGGCAGTCAATATGTTTTCCTTGTAAATTTCTTGATTATCTGTTAAGCCGTTTCCCCGACATTTACAAGTCGTACTTTACTACGATTTTATCTTGCCACGTGATGAAGAATATTCTTCCCGAATCGTCAAGTCTGCTAGCTATCTCTCAACATCCCCAATTTAGTGGCAATCAATTTCATAGAAATCTATTTTTTGAACTATTATTTCGTCATGCATCTATATCTCTATTACGTCCAAATGAGAGGTTAAACAGTCCAAAATGGCTCCACTCCTTTTGCGTGTTGTTGGATAAATCCGAAGAATTCGGTGGATTTCCCCGTCGAATTATTGATTTCGCGTTTAACTCTCTAATGATGGCGTCTCTATGTTTACACGAACGTTTTAGGTTGTATTTCTCAAGGTTAATCTCAACATTGGTCTATTACGGTTATACTTTTACGTTTCTCGAGCTTCCAAGACGTTTCTTTGATTTAATAAAAGAGGATGAAATATACGGGAAGACGTTGGAATTACTAATTGAAACTTCAGGACAATTTAATTTCAACTATCTTTTAAAAGAATCAACCGGAAGATGCCGTCTAATGACCCTTCGAGCAATGGCTATAAGAACAATCCGAGAGAAGATAAAAAGGCCATTTCAAAAAAATTTGAAAAACCTTGTTAAAATTTGTAATATTCCCTTCTCAGTTGAAAATCTTATTAATCCGGCAAAACAGGTAGAAAGAGTTGATATCCCTAAAATTGACTTTGAAATTATTAACAATAAATTATGTATTGAAAATGATTCCGATATATTTGCTAAATCTCCTGAATTTATTGGATTATCCTATATTTGAATTATTGTTTATTAATATATCAAATAATGTCAAAATGTTAAGTAAAACCTTTTTATTTCTTGTTTTCTTTTTAGTTTAACGTTTATTCTTGTCTGTATAAAACTTTAAATTAAAAATAAAAATAGTTAATGAAGTATTTTATTTTTTTGACCCATTTTTTTTTTCGTATCTACACAATCAATCTACTTCTCTTCCTCGCGCGCTCTCTCTCTTCCTCCTTATGCCTTTCTTATCCATTTAGATTTTTTGATAAGCAAAGGGAGTTATCCAGTGGTGCAACTGCAGGAGATACTATCGTGACAAGTATAATAATTGTAGACGCATCACTGTTTAGATTACTGGCAAAACCATCTCTACTTTTCTAATAGATGCTAAAATCACTAAAAATATCTTCTTATAAATGGCGTTAACAATCACTAATTGTCTTTAACAAGATATATAATTAAAACTAATTTGTTATGCTGTTTTATAATAACCTAGCTGAAAAAGACTTATTCGAGTTGTTTTTTTTATCAATACTGCAATTATTCATACTATATTGCAGTAGATTTATATTATATTTCTCTTTGCACAGTCGGCGCTAATTCCTATAATACTATCAAAGTTAACCTTTAAAGAAGATACTTGTATATCTTATGTTGGACACAGCTCACCTAATTGAAAACGGTAAATCTTTATTTAATGAGATTTGTTACCAGAAAGGTTAACGATAGCGCTTCATTGTACAAAATAAAATTAACTTTGACCTTCTTCTTCCACGACATAATCATAGAATTTATGAGATCTCTAATGTTTCTTTTATCTAGATGAAAAACCTTGTTATTCTCGTCACGAATAGGTAAAAGTATATATGGTGTCGTTCAAATAATTTATTTATTCTTCCATCAAAACAGAGAGTAGAGGCGAAAGATAAAAGATTTGAAGAGAGAGAGAGAGAAACGTCTATGTAAATAGTCACGAAGAAGGTAAAAGAGAAATCGCCAACTAAAAATAGAAAGTATAGATAATGTAAAAGTACATTATATTTTAACATAGACAACAAATTCACCATTTGAAACTTGGAATTGTTTCCAACAAAGTCCATGAATTTGCATAATTTCTCGCAAGTTAAGCATTTTTTCAACTAAAAATGGTAATTTCAAGTCATTTATCATTTTCATTAGATTATCATGAAATGGTTTTCTTATATTTCTTCTTAAAGTCCATCTTGCCATCTCTTTTAATGACATTAGACGTGCTTCTTTACGAATTTTAACTAATTTATTAAAGTAGGATTGATCACTGGCTAACATTAATATTTCGAATGGAAAATTTTGCTCTTTCAAAAAATCAAAGCATTCGTTAGTCTCATCGTGTAAAAATAGGAAATAATCAGTTGAGAAAGCGTGCCATATCATTGTTGCAATAAACGTAGTAATCCTTTTCGATTCGGAAACTGGATAATTTAGTCTATCTTCAGCCTTTTTCTTTAAAAAGAGATATACGTAATTCCGTATCAATTCGGAAAATATTGCACCATCTTGACTAAATCTAATAAGAACGAAGAGAGAATACCAGCAATCGGGTCCTGAAGAAAGCTCTTGTTCATTTTGATAACAAGGTATAATATTTGTAACGAAATAATCAAAAACTATATTCTTATGCATCTGACTTTTAAAAGTTTCTTTAAATATTGTATATAAATTGTATGAAAGTGGTTCTGGTTTAGTACCGAATAATCCATGGTTTATATTCTCTATTACTTCAAGATAAAGTGAACCATAATGTTTTAATAATTCCTTTAAAAATGTACATTGACACTCGAGGGATGCCAAAGCAACTGTTTCGTTAAATTCGAATACTTTATGATTCATTAACTCCAAAAAATATTCAAAATCTAGTTTTGGCAATAATAATTTGATAAAATTTCTAAATTGATTTGTTGTCTTTTTATGACAAGCCATTAATTTTCTTAAATCGTATAGATCTATCCTTTTTTCAAAACAATTAGCTAGCATTCGAAGTTGTTTCTGAGAATTGGGTGGATCATTTATTTCGTAAATCAGATATAACCAAGAATCTTCATCATTCCAATTGTAACTTTTAAAAAATAATTTAGCGATTTTTATTTTATCATCAAACTTACTTTTTAATATCATAACTGGTGTATCTTCGTTCATTCTTATTATTTTTAAACGCATAAATATGTCGAAATAGTCACGATTCTCTTGCTGAATTACTTTTTGAAACAGCAAACCAAATATATCTTCGCATTTTTTTATAGTTTTTAACTTTCTCCAAAATTCTAAAAGTTCTTTGTTATTGTGATTTTGTAAGCATCCCTCAACAGTATCGTAAAATCCTCTTAGTTCCTTACGACTGTATTCGCCATAGACACTTTCCTCTATTAACCAATCTTGATAAATAGTCAATTTACATAACCATTGAACTATTATACAGATAAAAAATTCGTCTTTATTAAGCCTCAATGCTTCATATAGACATTTTTCTAGTAGATCACCGTCGATCTCCGAACAATAGGCAACTAATCTTCCGTGCAAACATCTTATATCTTCTTCTCTAATTGCTTGTAACAAATCCAAAGCGATTTTCTCTTTCTCCGTCATATATCATAAATCAATATGTAACTATTTCCTATTCCTAGCCTAACTATACATAGAAAACTGTGCAATTGGTTAAATTTTATATGATAAAACTTAGAAGTAAATAAAAAAGGATATGGAAAAAAGCAGGTTAGTTTCGCAGAAAATATAAATTGTTTAGTAGCGACATCTGACTTATTTTACCCGCAGCTGCTAAGTTAGTCTATGAAATTTGACTACCAAATTCCGAAACTATGCTTAATTTATTGAAAAAAAAATATTTAAAACCAAAACTTTTCTTTTCTTCCTTTCTTTTTGTTTTAAATACAAAATATCTGTGAACATTTCATTCCTTCTTTATTAATTGTTACGCAATCATCAACAATTGCAAAACTCATCCAGGGTATATCTAAATTTTCGATTGACGTTTTTAAACTTATAATATTTTCCATAATTTGTGGTAGACCCTTTAATAGTTGCTTTAAATTCGAATGAAACGGTCTCTTAAGATTATGTCTAATCGACCATTTAGCCATATTAGTTAATGGCATGATACTATTTACTCCATCTCTCTTTCTAGTAAAACGATTAAAGTGCCTTTGTCCACTAGCTTCCATTAATAGGGATATTAAACGTGAATAGATATTATTCGATTTTACCTGGCAATAGAAAAATACCGATACGTTAATATCGGTAAACAAGTAACCGTACCACAAAACACAAGATACTAAACTTGCATAGAAGGTTACTAAAGAATTTCCTACAGGTTTATAATTAAATATAAATGCAAACATATCATTTATAGCGTATTGAGATAATCCCCCGTAATTTTCACTATAATGGATTAGTACACAAAATGATGAAACCCAATTCCAAAATTGTTTTCGTTCCCTTCTATAAAATCCTGGAAGTCTTCCATTTTGAAATAACAATTGGAATGTCGTATTTCTAAAATATTGACAATCTTTGAATTTTTTATGATTGAAAATTGCTATTAGTTGAGATGGACAATCCAATAGATCCGATTTTAAATGGCATAATAAAAATGGCCATATATGGCGTTCAAAGAATTCTTCGTGACTATTTAATATTTCTTTCAAAAATGAAAATTCAATGGAAAATTGAACGTGCTCCTTTGTCAGCTTGAACAATCCACTCTCCAATCCGTAATTAAGGAATGAAAAATTATGACTAACTAACGAATATCTACACAATATATTCCTAGCTTCATTCGATAGTTCCATAAATGTTACAACTTCTTTTAAATCTTCCAAATAAACCTTTTGTATGAGGCAATTTCTGATAATTGCAAGATTTAAATATTCATCGTTTACAATTCGGGATAGCATCCTTAAAAATATTGTCTTTTTATTCTTTAATTTACTATTGAGAACTTGAGCAAAAGCCGATTCGTGATCTCTTAAAACTGAACTGTCTAGAAGAATCTCTAGACATTCTTCCCTTCCAAGTTCAAGTATTGTAAATAAAAGGTCATCGAAAATTGGTATTTCACGATTTGAATGAAGATAATGAATTTGTTTTTGAAGTATAAATTTAAATAAGCATGCTTTATCCATTTCAATAAGACATATTGCCGTTTTATCATATAGAGCATTCAATAGTTTCTTCCCTTCAGGATTTGTTATATCGTAAAAATCAAGGATATAATTAGTAAGCAAATTTTTAAGGGTATCGTCCTTTTCGTATCTAATACACGTATGAATACATTTTACAATTACATGATAATCAACGTGATCGTTATTCAATAATGCTAGTTTAAATGCGTTATCATCTCCTTCCATGATAATTGCCTTTAGCTTGTTAAAAGCATCTTTCTGAGCGTCATTTAAGGGATAATCTTCATTCATAACATCAATTGGACCAGGTTTGAATTCATCCTATACTTATATAAATATATATTATAATATATAATAAAACGGTAAAAGAAATGTAAATGAACTATTTTCGTACCTTCTCCGCAACAATTTTCTCTATTGGAGTATTGAAAAATAGTTTTATTTTACGATAGATTAGTTGTAGATGTTGCATAATTCCTTTTGAAGAATAAATTAAATGTCTCTCTCTTCCCTGCTTTTTCGAATTGTAGAAAAGGTAAATTGTTTCAAGCTGACAATAGTAAACCAAATTTTATTGACAGTCACTCATATTTCTTTAGTTTATTACTACTCAGGCTAATTATATAATATACATGCAGTATCATATAAAGATACTCATGATCTAATTAATATTTATTATTAATTATCAATTAAAAAAAGGAATAGACGAATAAACAAAAAAATATTAATAAATCTTCTTTTCTTGTTTGTCAACTTGTGTTCATTTGTTTGTTTGTTTGTTTGTTATTGTTGTTAATTGATTTTTCTTTTTAATAATCAGAATGGAAGATTAAAGTGGGGATAGTTTTTAAAGAATTTGAAAATTTTTGTCTTAACTGATTGAATCCATTCAAATTGACATTCAAGACTTAACAAATTATAGAAATATGGTGGTAGATAGGAAGATTGAATAAGATGTTGTAGATTATATCTAAATGGCTTATTTATTTGATGTTTAATTGTAATCATTGTTAAATCTTGTAAGGATAGAATATAAGATTTACGATAAATTTTAAAAAAGTACTTATTATACACTTTCTGATTGGATAATTTAAGGAGAATATTTAAAAAATGATTCATATATTTAGTATTTTTCATTAATTCAATTGATTCATCATCCAATTCAATCTTATAAATTCTATGACCAAACCATATTAACGTTGCAAGTATTTCGTTAATTGTATAAAAGCAATAATTACTTAAACGTTTAACATTACCAAATATAAATTTATAAGCAATATCAATATCATCTTGATTAATTACCGATGAATATTCATTAACAACTAATATAATATATAATAACTCTTGAAAATTTTTACCAAATCTAAGAACGTCTACAGAGAGATTCAATTGATTAACGTCAAATAATAGATTGAATATTAACTTGAAGAAATTTCTTTCATACTTGAATCTTTTACGAAGACATGCAATTGTAATTAAAGTATGAGATCTTGGTAAAAATATTAACTCTTCTCTATAACAATATATATTTTTGAATAATGATTCATAGATATCGGAGAAATCCTTTAAAAGATCCTCGAAGAATACGCAATCTCCAAGTAACGAATAGCATGCGTTATATTCTATAAACGGTAATATTTTACTTTTAATTGCCGCTTCGTAGATTTCTTTATGAGGATTTCTTAAACAATTATTACATAAGATATTCGAATAGTTCTTTGTCTGATCGTATTCTTTTAGAAAATCGAATAATTCGCTAAATGGCTTCTCGATTGCTAAGATATCGCTAACAACACTTAGTGTTAATGGAGCATTTCTTATCATTTTTACAACTATTTTATATCTATCTTCAAAATTACTTTTAATCACAAGGCTTAACGAGTAAATCGTTTTTGAAACGTCTCTACTATTTGTTATAATATCGAAATTGAATCGATCATTTTCCTCAATTGCATTCTTTAATAGTAAAATATTAATTGGCGAAAAATCAGCAAAACATAATTCAATCGTATCGTTTAAATTATCAAATATTATCATATTCGATTCAATCGTTCCCTGATTGGTTGATCCAATTTGTTTCTTAACTTTACTTTTAACGAGTTTAAACCATAATTTCAAACGTTTTTTAATATCTTCTCCGGTAATTTGAGGAAAGCTTTCATCAGTATATACATCTTCGTTATTATACGGTACCATATCAACAATCCTACAGATGTAGGCTACGCATAACGATTTAAAAGTATCGTATTTCTTAGTACTTAACGCCGTATTTAAGCATCTTATAAAAATTATATCAGGTATTTTATCCTTTTCCCTAATTAAACACTTGCGAAGTGATTCAATATCCTCCAATCTAATATATTCTAGTATTTCGTTCATAATTCTATCTATAAAAAAAAAGTACACGTTATATTGCACACTTCTTCACCTTATTCTTTTTTCTAATTAATTAATAACTAATTGTTACTTACAACTTTTAATCAACAAATCTATATTTATACAAAATTGTTAACATTGAAGAAGGAGCCAACGTGTCTAAAGATGTAAAACAATCGTTAGTCAATTGAGAGTAGTGTCAACTCACTAACGGACTATTTAAACCCAACACAAATTTTTTTAGACACATTAACGATTTTTTTTTTTTAAAAAAAAATTAAATAATAATAATAATAATAAATTAAAGAGGTTTTGTATTAAAAAAACGAAGAGAAAAAAATAAGAACCAAAAAAACAATTAGCACAAATGTTTAAAAATATTTCCTATAGTCTTTTAAAGTCAATTTCGTCGTCCATTTTTAAAAAAATTCGAATAGAATGGGGTAAATTGTTTTCTTTTAGAAATTTATCAAGATTAGCTTGAAATGGTTGCTTTAAAGATTTTCTTAGTTGATATCTAGTTATAGATTTTAAAGATGCAATAGTTCCATAGCCAAATGCTTTCAATGTGAAAAGATGATAATGCCTGACGTCCGAATTAGTTAATAGACTATTAAAAATTCGATAACAGTATTCATTTTTATCGATAAGTTTATAAAAAGAATCTGGAATGTTCAAAGAATCAAATGTATAGCCATGATAAGTAAGAGACGCAATAAATTGACCATGATTTAAGTCTGTACTATCGGGATGACAACGACTGTACTGATGGCAATTCCTATACAAAAGAATACTCGATATACTTGTTAAATGACTAATCATCGATAGATAGGCATTATTAATAAGGTTTTGAGATATTCCACTCAATTCTTCGCTGTTATTAAGTACAATATTGAATAGGTTAATTAGCTTTTCCTGACGGCAAGAGGTAAAATTTGCCGCCGTATAAAAGATATTCAAATGAAATATGAATTCAAATATAAAATTGCGGCAACTCTGATTATTCTTAAATGTTGGATGATTAAATATGATTTGTAAACTTTGCGGTTCAGGTAAGAATGGTATTGATGCAGCGTAGTTTAAAATATTCTTAAAGAAATTTTCATAAATATCAGTAAAATGATATAATAGTATATCCAAAAATTGATAATTGAATAATATCGTATACCAGGCGTGATGAATAGTAAAATTATACCATTCTTTTAAATTATTCCATATTTCCGTTGATAAATTTAAATAATTCTTATCTTTTTTCAATTCTTCCGCAATATCGACTAGTATGGTTATCTTTTCAATATCATTTAAACCTGGATACATTCTCCTCATTAGCCGTTGAATTAGGGTTTTACCCTTCGTTAATCTTCCTCGAACTGATAAAATTTTTCTGATTAGATCCATCTTGTTATGCAATTTACTTTTGAGTATCATAGTACAGATTTGCTTTAGATAAGAGAGCATATTATGATTAATAAGGATATCAAAATATTCCCAATAGTCCAATTGAATAGATTCGTTAAGAAAGTTTAAAAGGTGATCCCAGGATTTGTTATTCTTTTCACTCTCCGTCAAACTACTATTAGATAAAGTATTTATTACAAAATGATTTAACTTGCTCCTTAGGTCATTGATTTCCGAATATCGAACCATAATTATACCGTTGACCGCATCATTACGTTTCTTTACGACGAAGCAATAGTGAGAGAGAGAAGAGTAGGAACAGAAGGAGAAGAGAGAATAAAATATATTTTTACCAGATTCAAATTCCTCTTTCAATTCTAAACTTTAACAATAATAATAATAATAATAATAATTATGAATAAAACAGTTTATTTAAAAACATTAGCCTACTGTACATAAACAAAATACGGCCTATATTATATATATATATATTTACTATATTTATAAACTGTATATATTGTATATACTGATATGACATAAATTTTTACAATACACTAGATATAAAAAATATAATAACAATACAATAAAAAACTCTATACAGTATACTACTGTACAATACGCAGTACTCTCTGTATTTATAGAATTAAAAACTAAAAAATTGAATATATTTTCCAATAAGTTTTAATACGTACCTGAATAGAGATTGTTTCTTTTTTGTTATATACAGTATATAGATATATAGTATGTTTATTAATAGTATTTAATAAACTATTATCATGTTTAGAAACTAATGGAATAGTTTTTTAAACTTTCCATTTTTTTCCTCTCTAAAATTGATGTAGTAAACCGATCTTTGTTCTAAGGCCAACTGTACTAAAATATATAACATTCTGTTGACCTAAATATAAAATTAAATACAAATGTTTTTTAAGAATACAGGAAGAGATTATTTTTAATGAAAACACAAAATATAACACATGACATCAATAATTCTTAAATATATAAAAAAATGTCTCTAAAACTTGATAATTTAAGTGAGAAGAAAGATTTTCTGATACAAAAAAAGTGTAAAACAAATAAAACAATAACCTGAAATACCAATTGTATCATTTCTAGTATCTTTAACAAATCATATGAAACAAATTGATAAAGTAAGTTATTAATAATTAGTCAAGGAAGCTAGTTTGGAGAGTAACAGCTGTTACAAATTGATTTCTATTTACTGTTTTTTTCTTATTATAAAAAAAAGAAAAAATTTAATTTATTATAATATTTGTATATAAAAAAAATAACTGTAATATATTTACAAAATTCTTCTTTCCTATTGGAAATATAGGCTTAATTATTAATAATTATTTTCTATAATATGTACAGTATAAATTTATATATATATATATATTTACCATTTATCTATAGTATACAATGTATAAACAGCATATTTGTATTCTGTATATATTTGCTTTCCTCCTTTATTATTTTTTTATCAATGCATATTAAATCAATTATGATAATAATATTAAATTTAATGTATTTAATTCAAGATATAGGTCAATAATTAACATTAATAAACTGATACTATGTATGCTACCGCATGTAACAGAGGTTTTTTACTTAAGTAAACTTTCGATGAATATTTTTCACTACTTTTTATTTCTTTTCATCATTAAATTTAATGATATTTAACAAGTCATTTTCTTTTCAAAGTGAATAAATAATATACAGTACTTTCTTAACTAATAGAAAGAAAATAGACGAACTGTTGATAATAATTAAAAAGAAAAAAAAACACACACACACAACTAACTAATAGACTAATTAATTAATCAGTTAGTTAATTAGATATTTGAAAGAATGTAATAAGTTTTTTAGATATATTTTTTTTTAATCTACAGTAAGTTGAATGACCTAGTTTTTTGTAAACAAAAATATAAACTTTTTTAATTTGTATGTCGTTTTTTTTTTTTAAATTTATTGTTAATTGTACAATTAGAACCATTGTGATAATATTAATATTTATCTTATATTCCTCTCTTTTCTCGTCAATCATTCAATATTCCATACACTGGAAACATGCAAATATTCTTACCCGTTACTTTTCTCTCACTCAGACATTGACTATATGCATTCGTAGCTTGATTTTTATAATATATGGGTATATATATTAATATGTATGTACTAAAAAAAAAAAGATATCACGTGACTAGTATTAATCCTTTCGTATTTGGTTGTTACACGTACTCTGTTAAGCGATTATTAGTTGGTTCTAAGCCACGAAATAAAATGGCGATAGAATATTATATTATTAGAAAGCTTATTAATAAACAAAGAATTCAATTGTAAGTACAAATTTTTTAAAATCAAAATATCCCCGCCAAAAATTAAAAACCCTTAGTAATTATGCATATATTAAAAATATATTTTTAAAATTAATTTCTTCTTTCCTCCTCCAAGGAAAAAGAATGAAATATTAAATATTAAAAAAAAAGAACATTTCATAGAAATATTTAGCTAAGTGTTCTTTATTCTGGTAATATCGTTTATTTAAAAAAAAAAAAAAAAAAAAGAGTCTTTTTTTACAAAACTTTTGACAATATCTAAGAAGCAATAGAAGAATTAAAAAAAATTGTTAATAATATATTTTACCTTTGATTCATGTTCATTCTCTTGGGCTTGTTTGTTTTTTTTTATTATGTGGATATCATTTTTTTTTTTTTAAAAAAATTCTTTTTCATTTTTTAAACAGTATGTTTTGTAAAGATTCAAAGATTCAATCTATAAAATAATGTAATAGATTATTCTTACATTCATTCGTATCGAGCCAACTTATTTCGCTTCCTAGTTCAAGTATGTTGAACATATTGGATTTTGATAGATTATAATGATTAATAAAAGCTCTCAAATTAAGTTTGAAAGGTTTAGGTATATTTTTTCTAATTATAAACCTCGCCATTGACTTTAGTGGTTGAATTTTAGACTTTCCAAAGAATACTCTAAATATATTGAAATGTTGAATTTGATTTGAAATTTCTATTAACATTGAAAAGAGATGGCGCTGCAAGGGATTTGTCTCTAATTTTTTTATAAATCCATGAGTTAGGTTTAATACTGAGTATGTATAGCCGTAAGATATAAGTGTAGCTAGTATTCTACCTCTGAAATAAAAACTCGAATTCAAATCTTCGAAACTCAGCAAAAAAGTTAATTCAAAGTCCAGATTTCTAGAATCGTTTACAATATAATAAAATGCCATGTCGACCATAGATTGAGAGATGCCAATGGTTTCGCTATGAGCTAATACAAGATCCAATAGATTCAATAATTCATTACCATTATCGCCAATCCTCTTAATCGACGGTAGAAAGACGTTAGGTTGAAATAGAAGATCGAAAAAGAAATTACGGCATCTGCGACTTTTCTTGAATAGTTTATGCTCAAATAATATTTTCAAACTAGAAGAATAGGGAAATAGGTTAACTTTGTTTATAAAATAGTGGGCTTGATCGAAAAAATTAACAAATTCCTTTGGAAAATAGTCCAAGAAATAGGAGAGAATATCAAATTGTCGAAATATAATATAAAATGCGCAAGCCTTTGTAAAAATAAACAAATTACTTTTAACGGCAAGTTTAATAAATTCTATATTTGGATTGATAATTGCCGTTTCGCATAATTCCATTTTTTGTTTTGCTGGTATTTTTATACAGTAAAAGATTTTCTGTATTTCAATTTCTTTTATAATCGTCTTATCAGATGAAATTTCTTTAAGAACTTCGTAATAACTATTATCGTAAATACTTCGAAAAGATACCATTTTATTTATAAGCTCTTCTTTATTTGTAAAATTACTTTTAATAAGTAAATAATAGCTGTCCGTAACGAATGTTAATCGTTTAGATTTCGTTGTTATAAGGAGACATATTTGATCGTTTGTTTGAAGGGCTTCGTTCATTAACCAAAATATATATTTAACATAATCATAATTATTAATTCTATTCTCATGAAAAATATTTGAATATTCTTCATCTAATAGATTCTCTAATATTTTCCATATTTCATCCTCTTTCGATTTATGCTCATTATAAATTTCATCTTTTGTACAATTTGTAAATCTTATTCTTCTCATTATACTTCTATAAATTGAAATTAACCAACTATTTACCCTTGCTTTACTAAATTTATATTCGGATTTATCTCTAGAAACTATCGGATCAATATCTTCGCTATCAATCATTTGCGTTACGAAGGCAACTCCGAGAATTTTGAATATATATGTTTTCCTTAATAGCAGAGCCTCAGTTAAACAACTCAAATAGATCGAAGCGCTAAGTCTCTTACCGTCCAAAAGAATTGACTTTATTGAAAATATATCATCAAATTTAATGCAATTTGACAAATTATCCATATCCATAAGGATTTTAGCCTATTAAAATAAAATAATTATTTATTCCCACAAGATGTCATTCGATATTTATTATTCAAGATAAATCTGTATATGTTTTTATCATGATGACGATGATGACGATGATGATGATGATAGTGATGATGAAATGTATTAATTAACTTACATTTCTTTTCGTCCGTTTAATCAATTCGAATAAGCTAAAACCTTAAGAATTGTAACAGCGGTTTTAAAATACTTATATCACCTCTATCTTGTTGATGAGCAGCTCGAATATAAAAAAGACAATTCAATATTATATAGGTTTATAAAAATCAATTCAGCAATGAAATTAAGTGAGAACTAATTAAAATTAATGAGCACATTCTCAAAAGCAGTTTAATCTCTTATCTCGTTTTTGGATACGGAATGAGACGCTTGAATAAAATATTATTCTATTCGTTCAACAAGCGAAAATAATCTAGCTAACCTTCTCTACAAGTCTCTTAAACAATATTATCAAGAACTTCATGTATTCAAGTATCAATTTACATTTAACTACACAAATAACACAAATGCAAAATAGGTCAGTATGAAAGTTTAATTACAAAAGTCTTTTGCCAATCCAATAGGTGTTTAACTCGGTGAGAATTGTTTCATCTTACAAGGTATCAAAATTGGCTCGTAGATTGTCTTAAGCGAAATTAGATCTTGAGCATAGGGTGGTAAGTTGAACTGTTCCCCGATTAGTTTCAAATTGTCCATAAATGGTTTTCTAATCGTACGACGAATAACGTTTCTACTCATTCCAACAAGTGGCATAGGGAAGATATAAGAACTTGATTTTATTTTATGAAACGTTTTTTGAGAACAAACTTCCCAAAGTTCGCATCCCAAATGAAGGTACAACCTAAGATATTTATCTGGTTGTAAAATTAAATTATCCAAGAGGTATCCACTTTTAATGAAAAGAGCCAAAAGTTTTGTGCATGCAACAGTTACTTTATCCCATGAATAGCTTAAATCTTTCATAAGAAACGATATTACTATTGAAATACATTTCATTGATACGAAACTAAGATCGTAATTTGCGTTTAGCGTTCCGATTATACCAATCAAATATCTCTCCCATTCGTCCATGCTGAATATATTATTATAGAAGAGATTCAAAATTTTGTCGACGTAGTCAATTGGAAGAATTCTGATAATATTTACGAGCGTATTCATTCGACTTCTTTCTCTATTTGCCAAAGTTCTGCATAGGGTTACACGAGTGTTGGACGATTCTCTTTTCCTTTCTAGGAACTGATTAAATGGACTATTTACAACCTTTGATAAAAATAAAAGGTCCGATACACCTTCGGCGTTAAGCGTTTCAGCAAAAGTAACGTGATTCATCCATTCTACAATTGGTACAACTGACAGCGCAAAATTATCATTTAACCAGATATCAGCATTATTACTAACTATATTGTTTACGACAACTTTTTGCAGAAAGCGCTCGTTCCTCTCCATAATCGTTACAAGCATTTGATCGTGATCATTGAAAGCCTTCTCTCGAATTTTCATTAGTAATGCTCCACTTGCGAACAATTTTGGCCAAACAGTTATAGCGTTTATACAGGGAACTGGTGAAGGAGGCTGCATAAATTTGCACATAAGGTCAAAGAAGAGGGTGTGCTCTTCTGAACTATGCCTGTGAACTCTTTCATAAACAGAAGTAAACCAATCGTCAATATGTTGGAATATAGTCTCATCGTGAACATGTAAATTTTTAAATTCGTTGGGAACCATAATCTCAGCCTGATGTTGAACATACTTTTCTCGAAATATTCTAGCTATCCAACTTATTGATAAAGCGAGGAACATCTTCTCTTTCCTCTCAATATCAAACCTTTTCATTATTTTATCAATAATCATGCTATTTCCTCCCAAAATTAGTCTTCTAATACAAACTGCTAGACTATACACGGAAATGTCTAATTCTTTATCTTCTATAAGACAAAAAAGTTGCTCAAAATCTCTTTTCTCAACTATTGGCCATAGTACATCCTCCTCAATGATTTTTAGTTGTGTTTCTCTTTGGTAAGCCTCCATATTAACTTTTTTGGCATAGAATAAATTTAATTAGCAAAACACTCAAGTTATAAACAGTGTATAGTTTATATTTATATGTATAAATATCTGCTGTTTATGCAATAATATATAATGTTTAACTATAATCTAAATTTAACATATAAACTAAGTTTTACCGTTCGTTTAATAAATTATTGAGAAGCAAAACGACAAATATCTCAAGTTGATACTACATATATTTTGAAATACCGTTTTTCTTATTGTACAACTCTATACTAGAGCTTGAGTGGTTGTAATTGAAAGTACTCAATAGTATAATAGGAAGTGGTTGTAGGCATGTAACGGTCACGAGTACTAATCGGTTATTTTCAAATGATAAGATTTGTTGCTGGCTCCCGTGCAAAATTTTCATTAAATTAAGATTTAAAACGATTATATATATAATTGTTATATAATTACTTTGTTAAGAATCAGTCATGTTGAAAAGGGAAATGTTTAGACTTTTCTATACTAATGTACGGTTCACTTATTTCGTATATTAATGAAACATTTTTTAACTTAACTTTTCCATTGCAGAGTTACAATGAAGATATCAAGAAGGAGACTCTCACCGACCAAGAACAAAAGGATTTAAATACTTTTACGGAATGTATAGATTTAAATGATGAGAAAGCCATATCAGAAATTTTAACTACGAGACGTGATGATATTAGTGACTGGGTTTTCTTTATATCGACAAGGGAATCGTTCTTGAAGTCTAACAAAAGAATATTCAATTTATTATCTGTCGCGTATATTTGTCGAATAATTGACTTAAGTGGAAACGATATTTATGATACTTCGAGGTATCTTCAAAGGAACATTGATATACTAAGGGAGATAACTGACAATTGGTTGAATAATTGGTTTGGGAAAGTCATTAAGACTATTCACACGTATCAAACTTCCAATTCAAAGGAAAAGGATAAACGAAACCGATTTTACCAACCAACTAGATCAGCGAATATATCTATATGGAATAAATCTCCCGAATGGTTCAGTAGATTATTCTTAACTACAATTGTTGGAGATATTGATAATCAATGGTCTAAAAATCATAAAGATGCTGTTAGGATTTTACTATCTTTCCTAACCTATGCTTTGGTTGCAAAGAATCGATATCTATTGGAAGTGATCGCGACTTCAAAGAAACTACAACATGTTAGATATAGCTTTTATTTGGTGTTATCATGCAATTATCCAGATAAGTTTAGCTTTTTTCAAAATCTTACAACTAGAAAAGCAAGTAGAATAGAGCCTTCGTATAAATATCAGGATGACGTATCTAATCATTACAACGAAATAGTGCATATAGCTATAATTGGTGAAAAATTTCGAAAGATTTATCCTACTGAAAATCAATCGAGAACCGTCTGGAATTTTCTGAAAGAAAATTATCAATTTACCGTAAATTTAGCTCTGCAAAGTATTATCAACGACGAAGAAGTATTGTGCTCTTTGCTTAGCTGCTACGGTGAAGTTTATCAGAAATTATTTCAGTCTAATGATTTTGAAGCGAAAGGTTTTCCCTCGTTGAAAAGTGTCAAAGTTGTCTTCTATCATAAAAGATTTTATCATAATGCAAATGTTAAAAACTTTTTTTTTAGACTTCTCATGTCGTCGGCTAATATCTCATCGTCTGTTAATGAATTTCTAAAGGCCTTTCGTTATATTATCTCTCGTAGTGATAATGCCGTGGGACTCTCGCAGGATGTCGTTGATTACGCTATAAATCGTATTATAAACAACGGGAAATTTACATCTGAGAATGTCAATATGAAATCTCTTGTCAAAACTTCATTGACATTTTTGTCAATGTTGACTTGGTATGGGTATACTTTCAAAAATCTCGACTTATCGAATACGTTTTTGAATGCTTTGAGGAAGGAAAATGTTATTTCCTACGTAATAAATTCAATATTAGTTATGTCCGATCAAAAGAACTACAATGAAATCACTCTGAAGCTATACGAACAAAAGTCAGTTAAGCCATTAAAAGATATGGCAATAATAGCTATTAGACGTAATATTAAGAAGCCTTTCCGGAAGAATCTTACACAATTGACAAGCGTTTTCAAACTTCCGCAACAAATTGAAAGATGTATAAATTTCAGCGATTATCTTGAACCGCAAGAATTATTTCCACTATAAATATTATTGATATCTTGAAGATTTACATAATTATCTGTAACATTACTATCATTTTGTTTTTTGCTCTATTTTCCGTGTTGGTTATTAATAATTTAAGCTTATTATGAGTTGTTTGAATTTGAATATACAGTATATATATATATTAGTTTAATATGTTTAAAAACTATAAAAGTTAGCTTTATTGAAATAAAGAAGATTGTTTTGTATACAAACTAATGTTTTCCGTTAGTAATTGGACGATATCTTCATCGTTGTTTTTCATTGCAATATAAAGCAAATAAGATAAGATTTTGCCATTTTTGTAGAGTTCCGGCCAATCAAGATTTTCTCCGAAAGGTTCTAGCATAATTTTAATAATATCGTTAAAAATAGTATCCGTAATTTCCAGATTGGCAACTTTCTCAAAAACATATAAAAACCAATTTCTGATATCGACCGAAATATTCTGGAAACGATATTCAACTTCCTCTTGTATAGGATGAAATCTCAAAGTTTTATAATTACAATCAATCATTTGCAAAGAATGTTCAGTGTACTTTTTATTCCATATTTTAATAATGAGAGAAGTCAGTAAAATCTTACAAGAGTGATAATCCATCTCCCGTAAGGCAAAAGAATCTGCTTCACAGTTCTCTTTATCATTCCTGGTTGAAACTTCGGTTAAAACCTCTTTTAGATTAATCGCTACATCATATTCATGAATAGACGCTAAATTGCTGCAACATTCCTCGAAAGTTAAATTCTCTTCGTGACAACGAAAGGAAAGCTTCGTATTCTGCATGACACAAACTGTGACTATTGGCTCTGTAATTCTACTTTTGTATATAAAAAAATTTTTTTCCTACTTTCATTTTCGATTGGAATTTACACTTTCAGTTTCTCAAATAATCGTAAAAATTTTATTAGTTTTGTTTCTCAAACAATCAAAATTATTCACAACATCGTTTCGTGTTTTGGAGTTCTGTGTATCATCTTCTATGTCAATAATTTTTAGAAGGTCAAATATTCCTGGAGAGATATCATAACCTCCTAAACGTTCAAAATTTATAGAGAAAGGCGGTTTTATGCTCTTTCTGATAGAATAAATTGCTATAGTTTTTAAAGATAAAGGAGATACAACATTTCCCAATTTTTTCATGAGTCTATAATAAGAACGATCACTTAACAGCATTTCAATGGAGCATTGAAAATGACTAGCTATTCCTTGTAAATTCTCTTCTGGAATTTGCAATTCATCAAGATAGAATCCACACCTAACTGCTAAGAATAGAAGATTTTGATAAGTAGAGTACCATAATTTTTTGCTTTGAAAATAAAGTAGAGTTTCAGTAATGACTCTGAGTGAAATTATTGATAAATCAACTTTTATTTTCCTAACTTTTAGGCATGCTTTTATTAATTGAATTTCCCAAAGATGATTGTAGATTTTCTCCCGATGAATCCAAGTGATGAACTTTTTTAAAAAGTCTGGATGAAGAATTCCTATCAGCAGTGTAGTTATTTTAACAATAGATCTAAAACAGTTGACTTCAATTTCTCTTTCGTTTTCAGATTTTAAAACTGCATTAAAATATTTTGCCTTAAACATTTTAATACTATCTTTTAAACATAAATTCCCATTGGCTGATCTTTTCCATCCTCTTCTGCTGTCATCCGACTGAGTATCTTTGGAAATTGCTGTTGAAAGCACGGCATACGAATGAAATATTTTCTCGTCATATTTACTAATAATCATTAAGATAACTTGATCGTTCTCCTTTAACGCCTTATCTCTAATACCATACAGGAGTGTCCCATTTGCAAAATACAAGGGCCAAAGTTTCCTGATCGTCTCATTAGTCACCTGTTTAGGTGCTATTGCTAATAAATTAAGCAGATTTTTAAATAGAGGTTTCTCTTCTCTGAAATGTTCTTTTATTTCCTTAAAAGCAGAATGAAACCAAGCAGCTATAAAATCTCTGACTTTAAATGGTACAGGTATTTTGATTCCTTTTTCGTTTTCTTTAAAACTATTCTGAACGTAAGGATCTTTAATAACTAATAGAATCCATGTTGTACAGAGTAAATAGAAAATTCTCTCTATTTCGCTGTCTATATAATCATCAGAATCGGCTTTCAACGCTAATTTTATTATACAGGTTGCTAAATCGTATGATTTAATTTTATTAGGATGATAACATAGAATACTCTCCAATGAACATGTCTTCCCATTTTCAATATAATACCAAATCGTTGATAATTTTACGTTCTTATCAGGATACCCAATCTCTGCTGCCATTTCAACGGATATGTTTCTTCACGATTAACTAACGTATGTATATGAGTTCCCCTTTTCGTTACGACAATGACAACAATGTACCACAAACCAGTTTATGGACTTTAGAGTTCAAGAATATCAATCCATTTCTGCAAAACCATTGCTATTTTTTTATCTCGTTTTCGTCTAGGAACGATTTCATATAACAAATAGTTCAGGGTAATACTATATTGAAAATATAATATTTAAAATAATTTCGGAAATTTGATATCAGCTGGCACAGAAACGAAAGTAGGATTCGTAATTTGTTTTCTAATTTCGTTTTCAGTTTTAAAACACATAAAAATTATAATTAAAATATATTTGAATAAATGTGTATACATTATACTCTGAAAACATATATGCAATAAAAAAAAAGAACAACAGTAATTACAAAATTAACATATACAATAAATGCAATGTTTCCGTTAAATTATAATAGTCTTTTGTTGTTTTTACTTGCTTTTATATGAATCTGAACAAATTGTAATTGTACGAAAAGGGAAAGTGAATAAAATTAGATGATTATGAATGACTATATATTTTACTTTTCCCTTCTTTTTCTCTTTCTTTCTTATCATAATTTTGGATGAATAAGGCGGAATTTATTGTTAAGTATTCGGAATTTAATTCTTTCCAATTTTAAATCCACTATTTCATTTTCCAAATTAATAAAGTCCGACTGTACATGTGGATATTTATCCAACAAAATCGCCAAATTTCTTCTAAATGGTTTAGTTAATTCTGATCTGATTGTCGATCTTGCCATTGATTTTAGAGTCATTATTTCGTGATTTCTATTAGCAATTCGCATAAGGAAACTAAATTGTTTTTGACTAGAATTGGCAATAAAATGCAAGAGGCGATCAAATGTATCACTACCTGAGCAGTTACTTTTTGTTTTTTCGTAAAGATTCTTCAAGTTATTCGTATCTGACAATGTATATCCACACCAGATTATTGTAACAAGCAGTCTACAACACCAGAAAACTTCTTGAGAAGTATAATCAATTGAGTTCCACGCAGTATGATGTTTAGATCGTAGAGACGAACCGTTTAACAATTGAGTGAATGCGAAATCTATGACACCCTGCGACAGTCGAAGTCCCATATCATAGCCGATAGTTACGGCAAAAAGAGCTGTAAACCATTCGTTACCGTGTCGAATTGAATCTACAAGACCATTCGAAAGATTTTGATCTTGGAAAAGATTTTTAAAAAAGAAACTTTTAATTTGTTGACAATCTTGAAATCGGCGATGATTGAAAGCTTTCAGAATAGCATTTGGATTAGGAATATCATAATCTTTCATTATAAATAACTTATTGTTGTTAAAAAGTTCTCTATAGATTGAGAAATGATCATCAATAAAATTGTTTAATATTCTATTGCTCCACGTTAACGACGTAAGTGCTGCTCTTATTGTAAAAGGAAAAATATTTTTCTTAACTCCATATTGGAATAGTTCTTCCGCTCTATTCCTTAGAAATATTTCGCCAATCTTTTCCTTCTCTTCCACGTTAAAAGTCATTAATTTTAGCATAGTCGCAACTGAATACAATGGTGCTTTAAATCTCGATAAACTTTCAATTAAACTTGAATCGTTAATATCATTCTTCCTTCTATTTTCAAGCATTTTCTTAATAACTGCAAATTTGGCTTTTAAATTACTATTCAAAAGCAACTCATATATTTCAGGATTCTTTTGAACACTAAGCTTATTTGTCAATTCGTTGATCTTTTCCATATTATTATCACAATTCGTACACCTCAAAAGCAAACGCAAAGAGTTGACAACAAGACAATTTTGCTCTTCGCCATTCTCAGATCCAATTAATTTTTGATTTGTAGAATGATTACTTATCTTGATAATCATTTCCAATTTGGGTAGAATACTTTCTTTCAAAATAATAAGTTCTTCATCGGCTTGATTCAATTCTGAATTATCTAAGAGTTTGTCATAAAAGTTTTTCAATACCAACCAAAGTTCGTCAACACTTTTATCGTATTCATAGGCTTTTTGGACAATAAAAAAATGTTGTTATTTTGGTTTATTATTAATTTTCGAACGGATTAGAAACTATTTGTTAAAACTAATAGAAATTCTAACCTGTTGAATAATCCCCTTGAACCTGGAAGAACTCTCTACGTATTCTGGTCACGCTGAATATTTGATAAATCCACGATGACGAGAATAATTCAAATATCTCCCATTTATTCTCGATAACCGATTTTTCCATACATTTCAATAATGTAATATCGTTGATACTACCTCTTCCTTCTATTAAATTTGATTGTAAAGTTCTAATATCATTATTATCTATTAAATTGAATAGTATTTCTTCAACTTCTTTTTGAATCTCCATTTTTTAGTTTAACAGAGAATGCTAAAGTCAAGACGGTTCATAAATATTTTAAACAGTAAAAAACAGACAGTAGCACCCCTGGTGGATAAAAAATATTTCAAACCAAACATTTCCACACATTTTAGTATATGATTGTTTAATCTCCGTGGTTTACAATGGAAACACAAGGTGTCGCTATTTTCGATCTACTGTTATTTTTTTTTTCAATTTAGCTGTTTCAAAAGTAAAAACAAACGGCACTTTTGTTCTCTTCTTCCTTTACATAATATCAAGTTGACTAAAATCGTTCCTAAGCTATTTTGATTGAAAAAAAGAAACCGCATGGATAATATCTATATTTGATAACAAAATGCAGAATATAAATCAAATATCTACAATTTGAAAGGTAGGAAATATGTATTTATTGTATATTTAGATATCAGACTAATATAAAACAATAAAATAATAGCTACGAATTATTTTTACTTCTGGTTGAAGGTCGTATTAAATACAATTTAAGAAAAATGTATAAAAAGTATTGTATTACCAATCACTGATCGAAGTCGATCTTATTGGTTAAACTATTTATTTTAATATATTAGATCAAAATATGAAATGGTTACTTTGTTAAAACGAAGAAGAGGAAGGAGAAGGAGAATGAGCAGAAGAGGAGGAGGAGGAGGAGGAGGAGGAGGAGGATAATAATGATGATAAGAAATTTATAAATATTACAATCGTAGGTTTTGTTCTTTAGACTTTTTAACTAATAAAATCAAAGTAGACACTATTCCGTAGTTTTTACTCTTAATTCTCTTAAGTGTTTATTATTATTCATAATAAGCAAACGTTTTTCCGGTTCTGTTTCGGTAGGGGATGGAAGAGGCAGGGAGAAGAAAAAAAAGTATAATGCAGATTCGAAAATCTACCCACGCTTCCTGTATTACTGAGAGCAGGAGGCTGTTATGATGTATCATATAGTTAGTTGTTACTATGGATACAATAATGTTCTTTGGATTTTGCAATTTCATCCTACCATCCAGAATATAGTAATTTATTAGCTATTAGTAAATAATCTTAGCTTTTAAAGGAATGAAATAGCAATTGTTCAAATCAATAAATTACCTGATATAGATATACAAGAGGGATAAATTACTCATATTTTCTATAATAGACACTTTTCTTAAAAGAGACGTAGGATATCATCTTTACAATCTTGTAAAGATAGTACAAAACAGTTTTTAATGTTCAAACTAGTATTCTGTAAGAAAATCTATAGAAGGTACAATGAAAATTGTACATAAAAAATACATATGTATGTATAAAGATGTCTATATAGCCTAGTTAATGGAAAAAAGATCAATCATGGCTTATACGATAAGAAATAAAACATCATTAGAAAAAAAAAAGAGTATTGTTTCGTATTATTACTCTCTTTAGCTGTTCAATATGATTTACTATATATACATGGAAATATATACATATTTAACTATAAATACATCTATCCGAAGACGAAGTTTTTTCATACATGTTATAGACTATAGAAAAAAAAACAAGAACAAATTTTTGAGTACATTCTTTTTCGAGCTATTCTCTTTTTACGTTCTAAAAAAATAGATCGTAACAGCTATACTTTTTAAATAAATTAAACTGGTAATAAAACTAAATAGTTGTTAAGAATATTAACCAACACGTATTATCTATTTTTGTCATTTTTTTAAAATGTTATTTTTCTTATAGGATAGGAAAAATGGACGTTAAAAGGGAGCTTATCGATAGGCTATATTCTTCGATTAAGCTTGGGGATGATAAAAAAGTAACTGAGAGTTTAATCGAAAGTAATAATATTATTGATAAATTTATGCTTTTAAATGGTATGCAAGAGGCAATAAAGCGAAATAAATGGAACCTATTTAAATTGTTCTATACGGCGTGGGCGTGCCAATTATGTGACGTTGAAGAATTCCAATATCAAACTGCCCGGTGGTTTTTGTTTTTCTATAAAGAAGCTAACGAAGGCGACGCTGTGGAGTTGTCCCTAAAATTCATATACGACAGATTGCAAGAGCTAAGATTCGCTGAAATGGACTCGAATAACCTATCAGTCGAGGATACTCCAAGACGATTGGAACGATACCTACTTTCGATTACTAAAACTCGATTTCAAATAAGAAACTTTCTAAATGTTCGGAAGACTAGTAATGACCTACTTATTTTACTATTAGATAATGCGGTAGAGAGGAACAATAGATGTTGCTTAGACATTTTAACTAGGAGTTTGAACATTCAAAAAATTTATGAAAGTTTTAATATCATTTTGAATAGCTTCATTAAAGATAAATTTGATATAATTAAACGAATGATTAACAATAGGAGATTAAATAATGCAAAGGACTTGGATTTACTTGTCTATTTAGTTAATCATAATGTCTCTATGGAGAATTTAAAGAATTTATTAAGTTTTATGGATTTCACAGGTGAAGACAAACAGAATTTAACGGTAAAAATATTTAGCTGTCACGAATTTGAATTTTTTCAATACGGTATGAAATTGAAATTGTTCGATTTTGACGAAGATACCGCACTATGTTCAATTCTACTTTGGAAATGTTATATATTAAATGACTTATTAACTTATTATCCAAATGTTTATCAAAGTTTGTTCGAAGATGCTGATCTTTTTAAATTTGAGAATTTTGAATTTCCAAAAGCGTCTACAATGCTTACTATATTTAGTCATCCAAACTTTCAACAAAAGCAGAATTATCGTAATACTTTCTTAAAACTCTTATGCGGAAGGGAAGTCTTTTCAAAAATTGTTAACGGACCATTTGTTGATGAAAATAATTGGCTTTGCCTATTTTGTGTAACTCTTCACTGCAGTGAAAATAGCTCCGGACTATCTCAGGATATTGTTAATTACGCATTCAACAAACTATTACAAAGTTCTATTAAAGCTTCCGAATCTGGTATGATTATATGCTATAGATTAATTGTCACTCTCATTTGGTACGGATATTCTGTTGATGACTTAAAACTACCAGAAGTGTTTTATAGAATAATAAGGGAAGATAATATTCATAATTATTTATTTACCTTTTTATTACACGCCGTTGATCAAAGAAGTTTTAATTTTATGGTAAAGAAAAAAGAGAAGAGAATTTCTGTCATGTCTTTAAAAGGAATGGTCAGATCTTTCATAAGAAAACATATAAGGAGACCATTTCGTAAAAATCTGGATATTTTGGGTGAAGACTTGCCAATTTTAACAAAACGCCAACTCGGTTTAGATGCTGAAATAGAGGGAATTGATATACAAAGATTTAAGTATAAAGTATTAGAAAATGAACTTTTAATCGATGGTCAGGATAACTTTTTCAAATTATGTTCCTTACAAAACAAACATAAGTTATTATTTTCTAAAAAACGAAAATTGGATTGGATTATGATTTAGCATATGAAGAAGTCAAAAGCTCTTTTTACTGATTTCTATATTTATCATTATCTTCTTCCACGTGCTGCCTCTTTCTCCACGTTTGCCCTCTAATTTTCTTATTATGTTCATTATTTCATCTTCTCCCTTTATACTAGAATATTATAAAGCTTTTACTAATGATACCTTATCTAATCATATCATTTTTTTTGACAGGGATTATGTTTATTATTCTTATTACATTTTGGGAAAAGAATTACTTTATTTTGTTTATTTATTTTAATAAATACATATTGTTAGGGATTTTAAACAAACGACGAAAAAATTATCTTCACACACACATACTCTCTCTCTCTCTCTCTCTCTCTGTAATAATATAAAATTATGTAATAATTATTCGTGTTTTCCAATCAAATATCAAAGTTTATTGCAAAAAGAAGGTCTACATTGCTACACAGGGATAGTGTTTCACCGAGTCCGAGTTTACTTTCTTCTGACATTTACTCAAATAAAAACACTTTCTGTTGCTAAATGTTCATATAAAAAGTTCGTATATCCACACAGAATATATCTAAATATCTGAATATATGTATATGTACCATATACAGTATATTTAATGTATATAGACATATACTGTATGTGTAATTAACTAGAACTGCTGACCCAGACGATTCTGAACGAAAGTCGTTGACACCTTTTTTATATGGTGAATAATCTTTTTTTATACAATATATACGATATATAAACAAAGGTTACTTATACAGTTGTTATATATACTTTGTAATTGCATATGTAATCAACTATTCATCTTTATATTCCTTTTGACTTTTTGGTTATTCTCGTTTACAAGCATCAATTCCCTTTTTAAGTTTATATAGTTTAAAGAATATCTTTATCACTTAATTAGAATATGAATAAATTAGCAAAACCGATAACAAAATATTTAGAAAATTGTTTTGGGAGTAAATTAAATGAAGAGGATGATATGGACAATATAAATTTACAAAAGATCTGCAATGCAGAAAACGTGCGTATATATTTCCTTTCTTATTTTTTTCCATATTTTTTATATATCGTCCCTAAATTTCTTAGAAATACAAAAAGTATAGTATTTTTTTATTTTTCTAGGAAGAGGATACTCTCCGGAGTATAATTCAACCTAGGAATGAAAGTGATAAATTCTTATTTATACTTTTTAAGAAAAAAAATTCACTATCTGTATCTTATCTTCGATATTTAATATCTCAATTGCATATATTCCAACCTAAAATAATAATTGGTATTATATTATTAACGGTCTATAAAAGAATTATTGATGAGGAACCTAAACAAGCTAAAATTAATCAATCAAATCAGTTCGTTATGGAAAGCTATAACAAACTATTCAGTCTGACCGATTGGTACGAGAGACCTTCGACCAAAACCAAAAGGAGAAAACTTCTAAAGAGTAGCCCTTCAACAACTTTCGATCATATTGACAAACTTGATCACAAGAAGAATATAAATCAATATGTTGCAGTTGCAGTATTAGAAGAAAGCCTATATATTCTAGATAATATGTATACGGTAGATTGGAGAAGAACTCTAATTCAGGATGTTGTAGTGAGAGATGAAGAGAATAGTTACGATATTTCAACAAAAGCGGAGAGGTTGGTTGGCATAGCGTCTTGTTTAATTCAGAAATATCGTAAAATTGCAAATGCCGAAGTTCTAGCTGATGAACTTTTAGATGATGAAATATTTCATTGGATGAAAGATATTATGTATACGACTAAACCTCTCAAATTGAGGCGTCTAAAGGAAGTGTTAAACAAAGATAGTACTGTAGATCAATTTACTTTACTAGTTATTCAATTATTATTAGACGGAGGAAGGGAATTTAACGTTCGTTTGCTTTTGAAAATGGAGGAATCATCAGTGAGAATAAACCTTACGGAAAAGCAAGCTTTTGATCTTCTCATAAAAGGGAGCAACGTTATTGATCACTTAATGAACATATACTTTGACGCTTTTGAGAAGATCTTTGAGAATATCTATGTTATAAAATTTGATTCGGGTTCCGCTTTACCGGAATTACCAATTTTTCGAAATATCTTACAATGCCCAAGATTCAAACCCCGTCAAGATTTATGGGATTCTTTCGTTTCTCCACTACTAGAACCGGAGATATTTCCTTCCTGGACAAATAATTCAAAGTATACACCTAATATTATTTTGGATATGTTTGATGTAATATTTAAAGAAAGCGAATCTGCAGCGGGACCCTCTCAGAGAATGATTAACTTTATCTTTCAAATTCTTAGTCGCAATGTTTCCTCATTAGTTGATCTAAAAATTGTCGGTCGAACTGAAGCTTATCAGTACTACGCCAGTTTTTATTGTAAGTTTTTTGCTCAGCTAGTCTTTTACGGCTTTCTGTTCGATGATTTCCGTTTAAGCCTAACATTCCATAGACATGCAAGAAAACACAATTTACACATGAACTTCTTATACGCCTATTTAGAAATGTGCAATGATAAGACATTTCATCAAATCATTAAGCAACATAATGGAAAATGTTCAATACGATCTCTCTTCTCAATAGCCAGATGGAAAACTTTAAGAGCTATTAAAAAACCTATAAGGAGGAATTTAAGAACTTATCTACAAAGTTACGGTCTGTGGAGGAGTAAACTTTGTAATATACTCTGCTTTAGAACAGAATTAGATAATATAAAGAACAGTATATAAAAACACAAAGAATTCTTATAATCGCCATTTTTATTATGTAGATATGACCTTAAACTTACAAAAATCTTTATTCTTTCAATAAAATCAATTATCAATTTATGTTAATTTAATAAAAATGTTCATATATATATATGTATTATAATATATTTTAATATGTATAAGTAATATAAGGACTCAATGGAATTATATGATTTTTAAGGAATAGTACTACTCCTCTCTAGATTTATCTATAAATGTACTCAATTCTGAAATTGTGGTTACATATTATTAAATACTATTTTTTTTTGAGGTCATTTGCTGGTCATAAAAATTTTCAGTTAGACGAATTAAGCCGATTTTTAAGGCTTTAAAATAATGTCTGAAGTGAAAATTTTGATGAATTTAATAAAAAGTAACGATATAAAAACCTTACATTCCTTAATTTGCGAGAAAATTGATATAATCGATACGGAATTATTAATTAGTTGTTTGGAAGAGGCGGCTAAAGATGGGAGGGAAAATATATTTTATTATCTATTTGTGAGCTGGATGATTCACATATGTCTTGTTGGATGGATAAAGAGCCCATTTTTTTATTCTTTCCCCGATGAATATCTTGAGGAATACGCAACAGAATTAACTAATAAATTAGGAGATTGGTTTCGTGTACTCTACGTAAATTTGGGTGAAATATGCCGAATTAAGGAAAAGATGAAGGTTAAGAGCCATTTTACAAAAGAGCAAATATTATTTATTTTTAAAAGAGCAATTAATGACCAGACCGCCAATCATTTAGAAGAATTGATTTATAGAGAAAGATTACTTCTTATCCTTTTAAAGAATATCGTCAAACGAAAAGATAAAGAATGCTTAGAAATTATGATAAACTCAAAAAAGATAATCTGTACTGGAGAAGCTCTTTTTATTATCATAAATAGCGAATTAGAAGATAGATATGACATTATAAAAAAGATAATTATTAATCAAAACATTAAAAAAGTAAGCGTGTTAAATATTCTACGTAACGTTATTTTTAGAAGCATTTCTCCTGAAAATCTTACCAAAATTCTACCTTATTATCAATATACTGATAGGGATACACGAACAGAATTGCGCAATATTATATTAACTTGCGCACCATTTCAAGTTTTCCGATTAGGTATTGAATTGGCGTTATTTGAACTTCCCGAAAATGTAACAATGTCTTCTCTAAGCGCATATCATCAATCATTAAATATAATGATGGCTTCCTACGAAAACATTCATAACGCGTCGATTGAGGAGGAAAGCAATTCACAACTTCAAAAACCTCGCCTCTTATCGCCCGCCAATTTAAAGATAATATTTAGCTATATAAGAGGCGAGAAAAATTATTTAAACTCCTTCCTAATAATCATATTCGAAGGGAAATATTATACAACTTTGGTAAACGATTACAAAGAAGAATTTAGAGAATTTCTACAATTACTCTTAAACAAATTGGAAAATAATAAAAATCTACTGGAACTCTCTCAAGAAGTACTTAATTCAATAACATCAGCCATATTAGAAGATCCATTTTCAACCTATTTGAATATATATATAAGATTAATATATATATTAATCTGTAGAGGATATATAATAAATGACTTTGAAATTACCGATGAATTTCTAAGGCTTAATCCGAAAAATAATTTTCAACTTAATCTCATTAAATTATTATTGGAAATTTCCAGTCAAAGACAATTCAATAATCTCTATATGAAAATTATCGGTAGTAATAGAATAATGCCATTGAAACTTATGTCGAGGTGGACTGTGAAAAGTACGCTTGGTAGACCGTTTCAGAAGAATTTAAATGATTTAATGGAGAAAGAACACCTACCATTCTCTTTTAGAGAAATTCTCTCTGTGCAAAAGGAACTTGATAACTTTATTTCAATATTTTAAATATAAGGAAGAAAGAAAAAAAAAAGAAAGAAAGAAAAAAACAATCATATATTATATAATGTATATTTTCAAATTGTAAATAATTTGCCAAGTTGTTTTCTAACAAATCTGCAAAAGTTAATTAGAAAGGAAACTTTTTTTTTTTTCACTCTTTCTCATTCTTTTTCTTAATTATCTTATCTTTTCTTTTTTCTATAGGAAAAAAAGAAAAAGAACCTATTTGTACAAATATAAAAATTTCCATAACGAAAACAATTGTTTCTCTTCTTTTATCTTTTTTCAAGTTTTAATTAAATTATATTCTCCAAAAATAACAGGGACAGAGAGAGCTAGATAAAAAGATAGATAGATAGTTTCTTTTGTTTTTAACTGAAGATTTAATATGATAAAATCAAGGAAAAATAAAACAACAAAACAATGAAAATGATAAGAGTGAGTGCTGTTTATCTCTAATCTGTTTTCTTTTCTTTTTTTGTTAAGTTTCAGCAGAAATTTCACTATTTTAACAAGGAAATAAATGGTCCTATATTAATATTTATACTAATTTTGTGAAACCAAACTTTCAAAACAGTTTGCCTCTTTTTCCAATGCAATAATAGATTCAAGAGAAAAAGGGAGGTGACGACTTTTAATCATTCGCTTCAGATTGACTTTGAACGGTCTTTTTATTAAGTTTCTAAGTAGCCATCTGGTCATCGATTTTAAAGACATAATGGTATTGATTCCGTCAGATTTAAGCATAAATTCATTATATTGTCTTTGATCGGCGCTTTCCAGTAAAAGGTTCAGTAACGATTGTTGAATTTTACTCTTCTCGTTATTACGATCTAGATACTCTTTGGGAATACTAAAACCATTTAGCAAATAGCCATTTTGTAGGAAAACACTAATTATTCTACTATAGGTAATAGCATTTGGACATGAAAAATCTTTCAATAAGCATAAGACGGCGGAGTTTAATACTTCTTGAGAGAGGCCAAGTAGATCTGAACTGTTTTCTAATTCAATCCAAAACGCTTCCAGTAGGGCAATTAGCCTAGATGAACTATAAATAGCCAGATTGAAGAAATTCCTAGGTTTGAAGAAAATTAAGAAGAACATGTTCAAATATCTCCTGTCGTCTTGAAAGAGTGGATGACTACAAATGACACCCAAGTGCTGTGGTGAGATTAGGCCATAAGTAACTCTAAAACTAATAGTAAATGGTAGTTTCTCCAGAGCAGTCTTATAAACGTTTGTAAATTTATACATTAAACCTTTTAAATACGGAAGATTTGGCGTTTTAATAGAGAAAATTGCACTCTCTTCGGTAAACTCATACAAATTTAGGCCTACTCCGTAGAGGAAAAGATCAAGAGACGAATTCAACAGCATTGCATTGCACAATTCAACTCTTTTTTCAGGTGCCGAAAATCTATAAAGTGGTAAAATCTTCTTCAAAACATCAATTTTAACCTGTCTATAAATAGCATTTCTTAAAATTGCAAGGACGTTAATGTGCTTAAATTGCTGAATATCTGTCATTCTCTTAAAAATATCGAATTTATCTTCTAAATCGCTCTTAAGTATGATTGGAAAAATCTCTGCAATATAAACAACTCTTTTTGAATTGATCATTATCTCTAAGCAGCCTCTATCATTTCGTTTAACAACATTTTTAAAGAGAATCAATATCAATTGCTCATTCCCGAATGAATTTTCCAAATTATCCGAATTCTTATCGTGAATAGCATCTTTTAAAAGACTTTTCAACAATTCTTGCGAGATATTAGACGAATTTGGCTCTTTGGTCATCAAAGTCTTTTGTACAATTCTATAAAAAAAGAATAACCTTTCTTGAAAGTTATTGATCAATTGTTCAGCAAACTCGCTTAAATATGCTGGTTGATTATCAGGAGAATGAGGTATAAACGGATCCTCGTCGCATAAATTTCGACTTATCTGGATAATCCAACTGACAGATAATAGATAAAAAATTTTTTCTCTTTTTTCCCTAGCAGATTCCTGTAGACATTTTCCTAAAATGTCGCTACTGGTGTCTTCTAACCCATTACACAATATCAAATGCAACGATTCTATATTATCTTCTTTAATAAGGTTTAATAAATAATCTAGTTTTATCATTCCTTACTGATGTACTGAACTGTAAATTTCTTGCCCATGAAGGTAAAAAACACAGCCGCTTTATTAATGATTCACTTTTATAATCAATAATCTAGAGATATTCCGTATGGCCGTTGCTAATAATATAGATGAACTCTATAGGCCGAAAACAAAAGGCAAGACGACTTCATAGAATCATAGTAAAATCTTCAAAAATTGTAAATTTTCTAACAGATTTCAAAGGATTCTTTATTTTCAAATAATATTATATATATCATGTGACATCCTAAGTATTGCTTTTCCAATTGCAACTCTCTGTGATTTCAATTAAGGAATTTATCTTACGTTTTATTATTATTGTTCAATCACAAATTTCGTTAAACTGATTTAAAATGTATCAATTGGTTATGAAAGTATATTTTATAAATACGAAAATATTCCTTCGTATACGAAATATCACAAGAATAAATTTCCTCTTTCTAATCAAGGAATAACATGATTATTATTTAACATTAAGTTCTTAAATAGTGAAAATATTATTTTGAAAACACATTGTTATCGATCTTTAAATCTTCTTATATAAGTTATCATATCATATTTTGGCAGATAACACTTAAACAGTGTAAAACAGCCAATGAAATGTAGGAGTAAAGTTATATAGTAAATGTGTTTGATAATTTGTAGACATATTATTGAGAGATATTTATAACGAACGAATTTCCATTATTATATTGCTGAGAAAGCAGAATTAAATCTCTCCAGAGTACACTTCCCCCCAATATAAAGCTCTAGTTTATGATATTAGTTATTTTATTAATATAAAGAATAACGTAATATACAAAAAAACAGAACATAATAACGGAAATTGTATGTTTTAATTCAAGTGGGAATTTTTTGTAAAGTATATTATTGAATAAAAAACTAAAGGAAAGAAACATTCATTTAGTACAATGCATCCCTGAATAATTATTATAGAAAATACAGAGAGAGAGAGAGAGAGAGAGAGAGAGAGAAAGAGAAAGAGTGAAAGACTGACAATTCATTTAAAACTCTTCTTCGCTAGTTAAAGTACTTGTTGAATCGTAAGATTCATCACCAATATCTGTTTCGTTATCAAAACTCTCGTAACAATTCTTTTCAAAGATTACTTCGCCATCTTTAACTGTGAATACAATCCTGTGAAAACCTAAGCTTTCCATTTCCTTTTCGAGATTGAGAAGACTAGTAACAACGAAAGGTAATTTACTATCTTCCACCAATTTTTTAGCTCTAAGAGGAAAAGGTCTCCCTATTTGCTTTCTTACACACCATTTAGCCATAGACTTGAGTGGCATAACAAAAACAGGACCATTTCTGCTTTTTACCAAATGATTGAAAGACTTTTGATCGGATATGCATAATAACAATTCGTAAAAATATGCATAGCTACTTTTCTCATCAATTGCCCAAAAGAAACTATTATTTAAAGTTAAGTTATCGTATGTATAACCATACCAAACGACAGTTGCTATAAGTGATCCAAAAAATGTTAAAGTTTCAACATCATCTAGAAAGAACGTAATCAAGCAAGCAAACATGCGATTAATAGCGTCTGTAGATAAACCAATTGGATTATGGCTAAAATGAATTAATAAACAAAATGATGTCAACCACATTTGACGAATATTCCATACTCTACAAGCCAAATCTGCCGAAAATGAATTGTTTAAATTAAATAATCCTCCAAATAGAGCATTTATATGATTTTGACACTGATTAACAAATTTATCGTGTGTGAAGATTGTATATAGTTTTGATGGTCGACGAAGAATATAGAATTTTTGTACAGGGAGGAAGAATTTATCTAAATAGTCTTTATAATATGTTGTATAATCTTCCAACAACTCATCCAGAAAAGAACACTCGTAAAAGAGAGTATCGTACACGTGCTCCTTTCGAAAAGAGAAAATTTTCTCTTTTACAGCGAATTTAAAGAAATCTTTATGATTACTTAGTAAGGTAGAATGACAAAGATGATTTCTTCCTCTTCTTGATAATGAGAAAAATGGTAGAACGGATTTCAAGTTCTCTGTACTAATATTTTCCAACAGACAATATTTTAGAATTGCTTGATCTCTATCTTCATCCTTAATCATTCTTGAAAGCATATTTTTAAACAATTCAACTTTGTCTTCCAATGGGCTATTTAGTACTATGACAAAAGCTTCTTTATTCTCTGTAACTTGTACATGGTTTAGAAGAATTCGAAAACAATCGTGCCTGCCCAAAGTTAATGTTGTTCTCAAAAGCTTATTTGTTGATGGTGGTTCTCTGTTCGGATTAATAACTCCTTCTGTAAATTCAAGCAGCTTTTTCAAAAGGTATTTTCTGCCTAATCTGATCAAGTGCAGAGCTATGCATCTATAAAGGCATTTAAATGAGCGATTTCCTCTTTTTCCACGAAGATTAGAGCCTACTTCGCATCTCAAGAGGAGCGTAAAAATTTCTTCATTATCTTGTTCGGCTGCCTCTTTTAAACATCTGAGAAGAACGGAATTATCGATTATCTTCAGAGTTTTCTTGTTGTTGTTATAATCCTTTATCGTTTGTTTGATGGTTTGCAAATCACGTTTTCTAATTCCTTCTAACAAAGTGCCGATTGCAATATTACGAAGCACATCCTTTGCTAGATCAGAGAGGCTCAGAATCTTTGGACGATCTGACTGAAATAAGTATAAGTCAGTAACGAGTTGCATTCGTTGCGATTCTAACAACTTACCATTGTTAAGTATTACAATATGAGCGAAGAAGACTACTTGGGCGACAATACTTGACGGTTAAACAAAATTACCAGTTATCATTCGACAAAACACTATACTTTCCCACCCAATAGACAGAGCCATCTAGTGTCCATTATAAAAACTTAAAAGTATGTAAACTAAATAGTAACTAGATGCTCCACCGTTCTATAAAATACAGATTACCTTTCACATAATACAATAAATAAAAATTGAAACATTCTAGTAATAACATTCAGCAAAAAGTATCTATTTTTGTTCTACCATATTTTAGAATAAAAGCATCAAAATTTCTCAGATATATATTGAAGTTATTGTTTTAAGTAGATAATAATAACAAACAGATTGCCTAAATCTACGAAAATCATCGTTCATTTGTTTTTGATTCTCAAAAAAATTCTAAACATTTTTTTGTTTTTAATATTTTGTTGCTGAGAAGAAATGTTGCAAAATTGCAATGATTCAAGGCCACCAATTACAAAGAGAGAGATAGAGAGAGAGAGAGCAAAAGGGAACATATGAGTGAGTGAGTGAGAGAGAGAGAGAGAGAGAGAGAGAGAGAGAGGAGCTTAGATTTTTTTTCTTATTAATCAAGATTCTAGTAATCCTAGCAAAGAGACATTAATCCCTATTTACTTATGAGGAGAAATTCCATGCAGGCTCTAAACGATACGTTTCGTCAGAAAGAAAATATATTATATCAAATTGGTTTCATTTACAAATATGGACCAAAGACATACATACAAAAAGAAATACAGAGGGAAAAAACAACATATAATTAGGTCACTTGGACCATTAATCATATGATTAATGGAATAGAATGATATTAAATTTATGCAGGCACCGTTAGGCATCTTAATAAGATGCATAGGTCACCGAAAATAGAGGGTTCAGACTAGTTTTATGACAACTTAAAATAGCTTGAATGTTTTCCAATTATTTCATCAATCATACGTGATAAATGAGACATGAATGGTGGTAATAATGGAAAACGTATCAACATTTATATTTATATATATATGTATATAAATGAGTCTTTCTTTCAATATTAAATAAGAAATATTACTATCCTTTTATAATTTGTACAAAGTTTTGCATAATTGCCATTGCAAACTAGCCAGCACCATGGAGATTTACCTAATAAATGCCTTGCGTCTATAAATGGACGTTTACTATTCATTTTCAATAGATTGTATTCATTCATATAGAAAAAAAACCTACGATATAGACTATCATTGTCTCTAATAAAATTTTTCAAATTCTTCATTCATAATTCTATAGATTAACTGAAGATATAAATAAATGCATCGTTTTCGCCTATAAAACTAAAGTTTTTAACAAGTACCTGGGGAAATAGTGAAACAATACTTTCACTTTGGTGACAGTAGTATCTGTATTGAAAAATAGGTAACAATTATAAACATGAACAAGCTAAGATCATCTTTGTTTGACTAATTAAAGAAATCAATGGATAATGAATGATTTATTGATGATTTGTTGATTAATCTCATCTCAATTTATGTTTAACAAGTGAAGATTTGTTTTTTAGAAAAAACAAAAAAGTTCGATGTGTGAAAAAGTTAAATATCATTGACAGTTAAAAGAATTTGTATTGCCTTATTAATAGGCCTTAATAAATAAAGATTATGATATATCTAGATTGCCCCTTTTTGTAAGTTACTGTCATTTTAGTTATTAAAATTATTGATTGATTTGCTACGATGTTATGGAGCGGAGAGCCATCTATAATGTTAAGAGTAAGTAATTATTATTTCTATTACAGTTGAAAGCAGTGCACCAAACTCCTAAGTCAGCATAGAGTAGCTCTCTCTCTCTCTCTTCTCTCTCAATTCGTAAAATGAAAGAATAATTTCTATAGAAGGAAATGACAATTATCCCTACTCCTAATAGGAATCATACAAGAGATAATAAAAATCAAGAGAAATCATGTAATTAATCTAATTCTGAAACAATATCAAAAGATGTATTTACTTTTCGTGCACAACTGCAAATGGATAAATTTGAGTTTGTCGATAGTTTGCTGTTAGGTTAAAGGTTCTTTCGGCAAATAGTTGATTTAATTATGTTACTTTGTTAGTTTATCATTTAGTTGATATCTTTCCATTTCATATACAAACTTCATAAATTATTATACAAATGCTTCGCAAAATTTTGTAAGATCTTCTTGTTCGATTTCCTGAACTGCAGGCGCAACAACCTCCGGTTCAATTGGATATGGCGGGAATTCTTCAACAATGATATTATTATTATTATTAACGCAATAACAATTTATATCTCTAAAAAAACTAAAGTTCTCTATAAGAATAAAGTCGGGAGAAGCGATAGCCTCATCTTCGTCGACAAACGTTACTCCCTCCTGATCGTCTATTTCGAATTTGATTGGATGTGCATCCAATTCAGCAAATTCATTGTGTAGATTTAACAGCTGCTCTATAATAAACGGTAAACAATATTGTCTAATCAAACGTTTTAAATTTCTTCGAAATGGTATTTTCACATGCCGTCTTATAGTTCGTCTCGCCATTCCCTTTAAAGTCATGATAGTATTGTTGCCTTTAATTTTCCTATTGAAGATATTGAAATGGGTTTGATCCGATATTTCGATTAGTAGATCTAATAAGTTGGAAAGTTTTTTACTTCCTTTTAAGCCATCTAAAAATTCTTGAGACAATTCCAATTCGGTAAAAGTATAACCGTGTGATGTCATAGTTGTGGTGACGTATATTTGAAAGTTTACTAAAGATTCTTCGAATTTTGTACCATTAGCGAAAACTATCGTAGAAAAGGCGGTATTGATAACATCCTGAGAGAGTCCGCCAATGTTTTTACTATAATCAAGCAATATACAAAAAGCTGAAACAGCCGTATAACGATTTTCCATACAAGTGAATGGGGATAGTAAATTTTCGCAAGAAACAAATAAGAATCTAAACATTTCATCTTTATAGATTCGGTTATTATCGAATTCTTTGTGCTTGAAAAGTATCTGTAAAGTTCTTGGATCAACTAGATAATGTAAAGCCCTACTGTCCGAGCAACACCCAAAACGACCAGTTAATAGTTGATGTATATAATTTCTGTATATATCGAAATAGCTGTTTAGTAATTCTTCAAAGCATTCAGAAGAGAAAGTTAAAACTAGTAAATCTCCTTGCAACTTGAATAAATTTTCTTTTATGCCAAAATGAATAACTTCTGGTCGATTTTCACTCAAAGCTGAGCAAAATAGTTTCCTCCTACTCTCCGTATCCAATAGGTCAAAGCGAATAATTTTAACAAGAGCTTTAAGTGTTACTTTGTTCTCTAGACACTTGCGTATAACGTTTGACATTATATCATATTCTGTTTGGATTTCTGCTATAATTCTTTCACATAAGCTGATTTTTTCTCTAAAGTTGGATCTTAAAATAAGAGAAATTGCTCCCCAATCTTTGCTTTCTATGAAACATTTTACTGCAGCAGAAAAACAATGTTTCATCTTGCACGCAATTGCCTTATGTAATTCCCAATTTATACTAGGTAGTTTTTTTCCAGGCTTGACAAGTTTTAAGGCTTCCTCTTTGATTATATTCAAAAATGACGACCTATCTATGTAAATTACATCGACAGATACGGTTTCATAAAAAGCTTTAAGAAGTTTTATTGCTGCAAGAACATCATACTTTGCCTCTAGATTCGCACGAAATTCGCCAAATGTCCTCTTGATTAGGAGTCGGTAGGTAATTTCATTACCCCTCTCGGCTAGCTCTCTCAAACACACTGTGATGTATCTCGCTCTAGTTGAACTAGGCGAATTAGCAACGAAAGTCATAATAGAATTTAAATCGCCTTCTTCGGCAAGTTGACTTAATTTTTCTTGAATACTGCTTTGTGACCTTGTTTTCTCACCCTTTTGGTTTTCTCTAGCCTTTTCCTAATTAATGAATGTATTAGACTCTCTTGACTTCAATTATGTTAACAAATTCAAATTTACTTACCATATTGGAGTTGATAATTTGAGATGGAAAGTCAAATTTAATCACAATTCCTCTACTTTTAAAGAGAGTAAAGCGTTAGTCAAGGTTTCGTTGAAAACTTAACTGCATATGTCAGGCTAACTAAAATCCGTTTGTAAATAATATGAAAAACATGAGAAAATGATGATTAAGTAATTTTTTTTTTGTATATTTTCCCAAAGTAAATAAAGTCTTAATGAAAATATATTTCTATTTATATATGGCGTCTCGTCCAACTACTTAGAGTAAAATTTTACGGAAATTAAATGAGATAGGAGTGGGAATATCTACGAAACAATTACTTTTTAATAAGTAGAGAAAATAAATATTTCACTAAACTTTTCGTCAAAAATGTGATAAAAATAATAACAAGTTAATTTATTAACTATTATGTTAATTTATTCTAAAATAACAATTGGTAGTACTAAATTAAGGTTATAATACTACATCCGGTTATATAATTAAAAAAAAAACACATGTATAGGCCAAAATACTTATCTATATTGTATATATAAGAATTAACGCCCTTTAATTAACATTATTTTCATATATTTTTAGCTTAATAACAGTTTCAATAAGAATTTAATCAACTGTAAGACTCTTCACGCTTAATCGAAATAATAAGAGAATTTCTAGAACAAATGGAAACACAAGCTCTTTACGGTTGTTTACTTGTTTGTATAGAATAATATAGAAATAATCTTCATTCAAAAAAATTTTACAAGTTATAAATGTGAACAATATCGTTGATAATTGAAAAATCTATAATTTGAATGTCTATACTTTCCATTTCCTTTTCAAAGTTCATGAGTTTTTCAATAAAAAATGGTAGATTCTCCATTTTCATCATATGATTTAGATTTTTAGTATAAGGCTTACGAATTGCATTCCTAACTACTATTCTGCACATTTTCCACAATGGCATAACCGTAAAACAAGTGGTATGAGATTCCATTAATAAATTGTAATTCTTTTGGGAGCATCCCGCAAGAACTGTCTTGAATAGTAGCTGATGTGCATCTTCAATTAGGAAATAGTACCTATAGACGAAACTATTGGCTATTTCGTGTAAGCCGTAACCATACCGATATAGCGTTGCAATTAATCTTGCACAATACTTTACAAATGATCTCCTGTATGAATTATTCGAGGCTTGAATGATCGAGTTGATTGCCGAATCAACGTCCTGTTGTTGTAATCCCTGTTTGTTTTCACTATAATGGATCAATATGCAAAATATTTCCAAACTCTGCCGTTTCCTTTCCCAAGACACCTTCGAATCTAAGATTATTCCTTCCCTGACAAACAAATATTTGAAGATAATATTTTTTAAATATTGCCAATCATCAAATTCTTTAGTTTTCATAAGAGAAAGTAAAATAGGTGGATTTGTTAGAATTTTTAGCTCTTCTAATCCTAGTGTATCTTTCTTCAAAATCAATTTTCTTTCAAAGTACTTTTTGTATCTTCTCGGGAAACGATCGAAAAATTGCAATTCGCTTGATAGATTTAACGTATTGTGGATTAAATCGTCGGATAGATCGCATTTTTTCTCAATTATGCAATATTTGAAAAAATCGAATCTATTCAAAGATATTGCAATACAACATAGGCTTTGAACGGTTTCGTTGCTCAATCTATCGAATGGTATAATTGATTTTATGTCATCCAAACAAGTGTTTGCTTTAAGGCATAAATAGACTATTTTAGAGATAACTTTAGAATGATAAAACAATACGGAAGATATGATATCTTTTAAAATTTTAAGCTTATCGCAGAATCCACTTCTTAAAATGATACCGTAAGTATCTTTCCCAAATATTCCGTTACATTCATTCAATAGCAAATCAAAACAGGATCTTTGGTTATTAGAGACGGCGATTTGTAGTTGTTTTTCTAAATTTTCGGGATTACGTCTACTAAGATGTTGTCCCAGAGCAACACGTAAAAATTTTAACCATGATGCCTTCCCTCTCTCTATCAGTTCGGAAGCCATTTTGTCAAAGAAATGATCAAGACTATCGATATGTTTTCTAAATCGGCGTTGTCTTTCGAAAAGTGAAACCCTTTTATGTACGTAGAAAATAAACATGTCTTTTTGATTTGACGTAATTGCTTCTTCACTACATACAAGATATAAATCTTCTTTATTATTTATAGTTTCATTACTCAAAAGATGCTTTGACGTTGCCAAATCGCCAATTTTTACAAGCTCTATCAATGTACAAAAAATTGGCTGGCATTCAACTATCTCAATATTACTTTTTATTGAATAGAAATTGAATTCATTAACTTCGTCAGATAGATCGCGTCGCTGTAGAAATAGATATCGTATTAGTATATGGGTTATAACATGAAGGTGTCGTTTCTAATTATCTTACCATATTCAATAATTTATATTTGCCTCTGTCATAAAAATCGATACAGTAGTAACCTTTTTTATTTGTTAAAATTTTACCAAATGAAGTTGATTATACTTTAAAGAGTCAATTGTTACCTTACTGGTTCAAGAAACAAAATGGCTTCCCAATTAACTCATGCTTTTCAAAAAGTACCATTCTTTGAAAAATATATACATATATATAAATATATATATATATATACCGAGTAGTATTTAAATAATAGATAAATTTATATATAGATACTTTTTTTTAACAATATTTATATTGTGAAAGGCACTACAGAAGATGGGTAATTTATTTAAAAATTTTCTTTAAGTAGATCTCTTCCCCTAATTGCGTAAAACATGTGTTTAGGCAATAATTTACATTTTGGAGTAAACACTTAAAAATAATTATTTACTTTTCATATCAATTTACTGAAGGGAAAGAATATTTTAATATAAGAATAACAAAATAGAATATAATATTCGATAAATAATAAAATTATTATTTTTAATAATAGAACCGACTGATAGGTGGCATTAACAGTCTCTTTAGGCGTAAAAAGGAGCAGTAAAATCCACATTAACATATTTTTATGTTATCCTATATAGTCCAGAAAATATAGCAGCATGCTCTTTTTTGATCATTAAACAAGTATAATGTACTTTGATGTACAAAGTTCATTTAGTGTAAAAAATAACGTTAATTTAATCGTTTGAATGCTTTCTTTTCTTTTTCTTTCCTAAATTAGCAATGGCATTATTGGAGGTTAGCTTTTTCGTAATATTCCCTTTGTCTGTTATTTAGAACAATACAATAATAATAATAATAAAACCCAGAAAAATAATAAGATTATTATAAATAGCAAACTGACTATCCCATTAAATCGTTATTTATTACGTTAGATTACATCCGCAATGATCCTTTAGTCTGAAGTAAATTCTTTGTAAACCTTCTAAATTCAATAGAAAAAAAATATGTGAGAATATTCTATTTTTCTTCTAAAATACCATTAAAATGGAGAACTAATCATCTATCCATCATTTATTATTGTTTAATTATTTAGTAAAAATATTCAATTATATTATTTCTATATAAATTATAAATTAAGTTTAAATTCTGTGGGAAAACGTTCATTATTTTTATGTATAATTTATGTAATTTAAGTATTTATATAATATCGTTTGACCATTAAGTAATAAGTGCTTAAATTTAATTTTATAGCATTTTTTTTCATAAGTTATAAATAAGTAATTAAAAGAAATTAAGCTTATTTGTTGATTTTATAGTAAACATTATACACATAGTTGCTTTATACACTTTCAACTTTTTATATACGTAATGAAAGTAACAGTGAGTGAATATTTGATTGAAATAAATAATACGAAGGTACTAATTGACAAATAGGCCTTATTTGCTTTTTTGTTGTTATTAGCGAATGATATACGAATGAATAGTAAATGTTTATATTATTTGGTTCTTGTTTTGCTTTTTCACTTTTTTAGTCAACACCTGAGAATAATCAATTATTCATATATTGTGCTAATTAAAGGAAATGACGAAATCGGTTATGTCTGTTTGCTATTTATTGATAAACTATTAATTGCTGTTAAAGAGTATTGAGGCCTATAATTACTGTTACAATTCTGCCTACATTCTTTCCCCATTTTTTCAGTATCGTCTAGTTGCCAACAGTTAAAGTCTCATAAATCAAACTAGGTTAAATAATTTCTTCAGTAACACGTTTAGACTAATAGACAGTGAAAAGTTTAATATATACTCACGTAAACGCATCATTTGTTCAAATCATTTTTTGTTAATAGCTCTTTGTATTTCCCGCAAATGGCAGCCTAAAAGATGCTAATTGCCACTTTTTTTTCTTCTAAAAGCGTAGTTTTTTAAAAAAAATATAAATCATTAATCAAAAAATAATTATATAAACCAATAGGGGTCTATCGAAAATATTTTATCTATTCAATTGCTTAAGTATCTAAGTTGGTAGCTTTCGAGTCCAAGACTCTACCAAGTAAGCTTACAGTAGTCAGTAAGTCATGACGGAACAATATCCTCAAAATAACACGAATAATTACTTTCCCTTCCTTATACAGTATGAGTGTAGTTCCCTTACGATTTACGTAATATTCTTCTAATGTATTCGTTGAATAATTAATCATTATTACTATAATATTACAATATCTTCCAATAATTAGTTAAATTCTATGTTCATTTATGTATTAAATACTATATTCTACAAGCCATTTAGCTTTACAGGAGTCTACTTATTTCGAGTAGGTTTTATTTCTTTGAACCTTTTTGGTATGAAGGAGTTTCGGCTATTATGTATATATATATATACTGTATATACTAAAATATATAAAAATGTATAGAAAAATATAATTTGTATCACTTTATAAATGTAACATTCTAAAGGCTAAGCTGAATTGCGGTACTATAGATAAAAATTCGATTGCGGCCTAGAAAAGAGCGTATTGTGGCAAGTGCAGAATAAATTGTTCTTATGAGGTGTTTTGAATATTGAGAGGTTGCTAATAATAAATGAATTCTTTTTAGACAAATTCTTGTAGTACGTATTAATTTTAAGGGCTTTGTCCCGAATGATTTAAAGCGAAACATGCTTATAGATAAATGAATAAGGTAGAAACATGAATTAAAGAGGAATTATAGAAAAAGAAACAATAGAAGGAGCCTATCAAGTGCTGCGTTCAATGAAAAGCAAGCATTTAATGACTATAGAGGGCGAGCTTTCACCGCCATAAATAAAGATTGCTTAGAACTGTGATATAGACAGAAATACAAGTATATAGTTATGTATAAAAATAAAAATATAACTATATTTAAATATTCAGTCGTATATAAAATCTGTTAGAGAAGAGAGAGTAACTAAGTGAGAGCCAGCGCGAGAGAGTTGCTAAAGAGACCAGGAAATCAGGGATTGGTGGCTGGCTTGTAATGCCGATTATGAAACGAGCGTCAGACGATTCGAAACTTCCTTCTCTCGCTTCTTTGGAGTCTATAGGGAAGAGAATAGCTGTTCATAGAAGTGAAGGTTCTATCTCCCCAAATGCAACAGATCTTCCAAAATTGCCTATAAATTCATTTGATAAGGGCGTAACGGAAAAGAGAAGTTTTTTCCCCCTCTCTCGTCCAATCGATAAGGTAACGCCTTTTATAAGTATATCTTTAGCTAGAGTAAGAAGAGAGCATAATAGCTTTATTGTCTAACTGCGCGAAACAAAGACAGAAAAGAATCCTAGCTAAATTCAATATTCTTTGACTAGTTTTAATATCGAAATAAAACAGATTAAAATAATTGTTGCATTCGGATTTTCGGCCAAGTTAAAGCAGGCGTGACGATTGCACAGCCAAACATTTAAGAATAAAACACTCTACACCCAAGCAATTACCAGAAAAATTATTTCCAACATTGATTAACCTAGGAAATGTTTCCATTGGCTCTGCGGTCGTCGAAATCGCCAATTTACAATGGTCTAGCAGATAAGTCACATATATCCAACCTAATCGAGGTTAGATATAAATCACAGATTTATTATATATAATTCAAGACATATAATAAAATATTATAATGCGTTAAATATATAAATATATTTATATAGATATAAAGTTCTATTATTTTGAATAAAGATATCTAAATATACTATCTATACTGTATAAATTAATATATATATATATATATATATAACTTATGAACGCATATACTTTAATATATATATATATGTATAATATATTAGATATATTACTTTCTTGCCGTTAAATATTGATCTCTTTTTCTGAATGATCAGAAGTTGTAAGAAGAAAAAAAAAAGGCTTTGGCTGCCTTATTAAAACCTAATACTTTTTAAGCGCTGTTGTTAGCAGGTGCAAAATGGTGAACGGGAATTTAATTCAATAGCCCTACCCTTCCACTCTCAATCCTTCAAGTTAGTAAATATTTTGCCCTTAATAATTCAAATTAATAACTCTTCCTTTTTTTCTAAATAATATAAATGATTAAAGAAGCAGGGAAATATGTAGAATCTCTCTTTCTTTCTCTCTCTATCTCTCTCTCGCTCTTCCAATAAAGTTGCTTTTAATTTTTGTTTTATATCTTGTTTTTTTGTTTTTTCAATTTCTTTTTCTAAAATTGAAACGAATAAATAGGCCTAAGACTTTGGAAAATGTTCGAGTGGTTGGTACCCCAATGAATCTTCCGACCGTCAAAAAGGAGACGAATAATAGTAATTTGGAGTTAGATGAGAAAAAGAACAGGTATCCAACCTGTCGAAGAGCTTTTCCACGATTTTTTTTATGAGCACTATTTTTTATTGAGGAGGAAAGTTATGTACTAACGATAAGGCTAGTGCCTGTAATAAATTGCGTTAGAGGGTTCCTTTTTTTTCAATTTTTTCTCCACTCTTTTATTCTCTCTCTATGAGCTTCAAAAGTCTATCGACGAGTTACACTAATGCCTTTTTTTTCTAATTGTTAATAAAGTTTTTAATACGCTTGATACTGAATTAAACAAGAATATATCGTTATTAGGTCGTCGACTGTCGTTAAAAAGGTACCTTTAATGAATGCTCGACATGGCGATATGTGGACTCATCAGTTCGACGGAAGTAGCTTTGGCTCAAAAAATCGGGATATGTTCCTATTCAGAGATAGGCAAGAAGTAATATCAATGGTGGATAATTTATTTTATTAATAAATAAAAAGAATCTGTCCAACAGATGGAAGATAAATGGAGCTATCCAGAAGGGCTGTGAGTATTCTGGTTCTAAAAACAACATGTTAATGGCAGCGAAAATGTAATATCTTTTATTAATAATTCAGTAATTTTAGTCAACGAGACAGAATTGAAGCTGAAAAGGAGTATAAAGAAAAGATGAAGCTGTGGAGAAGGAGGAGGGAGATGATGTTGCATAGGTTGCCAATTGATATGTTACTTGGGGGTACTAAAGTGGTTATGACAGAGAGGTAAAGTAATATATTTTCGCATCGTTTCATTTGTATCGTTGATAAAGCAATTTTGATAAAAGGATGGATATTTTGGGGGAAATTCGCCGTCTGAAGCAGGTAGAATTACCTACAAGAGCGAAAGATTTATACGTTGGTCGCGGTATTAGACTCCCACCGTACGTTTGATTAGTTGTTTACTAAATAATTTTAGATATTAATAAATAATTACGTTGATTTTTCTTTCTTCAACATAGTGATCACACTATTAATAGACCTAAACATAAACTACCAATTGCCAATTCTTATGGTAAACAATACTTTAATATTATGAATATTTTTGAACACATAAACACGATTCTAAATGGAAATAATCAAGTTCAATGTGGTTTTTAACTTAACGTTTTATTCGTTAGAGAATTTCTTGCTTTTATCCTGGTTATGTGTTTGTTTGTTTTTTGCTGTGACCCTAACCAAGATTGTGTTAATCATTCCCATCAGATTTATCATCAATTAACAAGACAACTACAACGGAAAGAGCGCCTAATATACAACGCTCAAAGACAGACGTCTCTAGAATACATAGAAACAAAACTAAGGTGACTTTACGTATGCCGGCTAAGGCGAAGACCCAATTAAGTTCTCATCCGAAGCGACTGGCGGCACCTAGCGACAGTCCTGAACAAATTCCATCGGTCGCCGGTGCGTCAGAGCGTGCAGTGATGCTGTGCAACTAACGCATAAAAAGAAAATAACACTTTTTTTATGCCTTAAACAAAATCAGCACAGCTATAAAAAAAAACTATATTTAGTTTAATTCAATTTAGTTTGCATTCAGTTTTTAATTTACTCATAATTTTCATAGTTTTCTTTCAACTGAAAAAATATTTAATAATGTAAAATAAGTAAAAGAGTTTTTCTCTTTAAATATCTAACAGCAAAGCCTTCGCCCGCTCCCTTAAAGTTTCCAGAGCCATCACCCCCAACTGAAAAAGTGGAAGAGTTTACTAGAGAGTTGGTTTTCTTTTTTTTTTTTATTTTCATTAAATTTTATACTATTTAAATAAACATTAAAATTCTTTTATACTATATAAACATGCTATAAAAATTTTACAGGAAAAAAAGGTCCCAAATTGCAAATAGTAATAAATCATTGTGTATTTTTTATTAGACAGGGAACTAAGGAAGAGGAACAAGTATCTCAAAACGATCACTATCCCAAGTAAAATACTTATGATAAATTAATATCAATCTTCCATAATTTTAACATTTTTTACTATTATAATAGTCAGAAAAAGGGTACACTTTTTCCAAATCCTACCCCTTCTCCACCATCTCCTCCTCCTCCTGTTGAAAAAGTACCGAAACCTTTAAAAGGCTTTGCGGATTATACAAAATTAGTGGATGCAGAGCAATTGATTCAGCTACAAAAGACTTTTAAGCGTCTAGACTCAGATGCCGACGGGTGAGAGAAACACGATTTTTTTGTTACACACGAAAAGAATACTAAAATAGTTGTTCTTAATTCTCTAAAGTTTATTAATCTTTATACAAAAAAGAACATTTTCTCTCGTTTTAACAGCCACGTTCAATTTGACAAAATTGAGAAGGAATATTTAAATGATATGACAAAGCAACAAATTAAATATCTTCGACATATTTATCAAGTAGAATCTGAAACGACCTTTTTCGGCGAAAAGGAATTCGTTCCATTCTTTAAACTAATTGAGACAATTAGAAACCTGGAAAAAACATTCTCTAATTCATTCGACACCGTAAACTTTGATCAATTAGAGGAGGAAATCTCAAAATACATGGTACTTAGCCATAACAAACACATAATCATTTAATACTTCAATTAATTATTTATCTAAGATGGCTTCTATTTCTATTGTTAGGCTTTATTCTTAAAAGTCGATGTTGAAGGAAAAGGTGAGGGAAAACTGGATGATTTATGCAGATTGTTAGCAGAATTAGACAGACTAGAAATGGATTCTGAAGGTTTACAATTATTGAAGACTTCGTTCAAGGTGATAGAACTGTTTAATTAACAAAAGTAAACTGGTCGGAAAGAAACAATTGAGATGATAAAAAATATTTTTTTTACAGAATACCAATATATTGAAAACTGAATGGTTGGCCGTAATTCCGTTCATCATTACACTCCGTTCTTCTTGATTGACAACTTCCGTTGTTTTTATGTTCCCTTCGCAGTATTTTATCCTCATTAGAGTTTAAGGAGCTATAAAAATAAAATACAAACAAATTTTTTATCGTTTATCCTTTGGCCTATATACTAATCCGTACAATCTATACCACAAATACCTATTTAATTCTTGCCAACTTTAAAATATAATCTAAGGGTATACCATATCAAAAATTCAGCCTAGTCTACTTCCGTTTCTCGACCTTTCTCAACTTTACCATTAAACAAACTTCCTCCTTCGCTACGACGTCGGAAATCTCTTTTTCTTATTATTTTGGTGCTTTAAAGGTATTATTTATTATAAAAACTATGCAACAAATTGCAGCAAGTTGCTTGCTACTTGTGTGTGACCTATGCTAAGGTCATTCACAAGTTAAAATGAGTAACCGATCGGAACGTAGGTAAGAAAAATAAAGCTATAGGAAATGATTTGACCTATCCTCTCCTTCCAATTCTTTTCCCTCCAACGTTAGTAATAGCTTTACGTCCGACGATAGCGTACAATGTCTCTTATTACAAATAACAAATAATAGAAAACAACTTACAAATAGGCCTAAAAAATCGAATTCTCTGCTTTTTCCAAGCAAATAGGAAAGACGGCAGAAATGTAGCTCGAAAAAGAGAGAAATATAAACTGGATTGTTTCAGAAGTTTGTTTTCTTCTATTTTTTTTATTACATAACTAAGGAAGAGAAGAGTAAGGAATGATAGGGAACATAAGAGGAAGAGATAAAGAAAATAGAATTGAATAGAAGATTAAAAAATTCGAGGGTTATAATCTTAAAACTCTATTCTTTCGATATAATGTGTACCTTTAGTACTTATAGAATAGTAGGCCTATAAAATTCAATAATACGATATGTTTGTATACGTAGATATTTATTAATATTGTTCAAAAAACATTGATATAAAATTTAACCTTTATTATTACTAAAGAATTTTTAATGTAGGCCTATATATCTTTTTACAGCGTAAACGTAAAACAGTGGCCTTCTCTCTGTACCTATTATGAGTTATGTAGAAAATATATAAATATGGGAAATAACGAGTCTACACTACTTTATGCCAACTATGCTATTTGCCAAACTATCCGGAATTGTTTGAACATGCAGAAGCATTCAAGGAAGATAGTGTCGTTTTCTACTGATGACGACAGTGACGAAGATACAAATAAAATTGCAAGAGAGGAGGATCATGAAGAAGAGGCTAGAAGACTTATTGATCCACATAGGTTACGTATGCGACCAGTGGAACAGAGTATAATTGGTCGGAAACCTGCAATAAGGAGAAAAGAGCCTCACGTTGGACCAAAACCATCATTAAAGAACGCTAAATTGTATAGGATACTAGGGGAGGAAACTTTTACCACCTCCAGATTGTTACACGCGTCCGCATTGAGAAACGACGAATCGGAAACGGAAACAGCCAAGGACTCAGTCAATCGCAGTTTATTACCCAAGTTTTTTAGTAAATCAAAACCTGTCAAACAAGAGGTTCATCAATGGGAAGTTGACGTACAATTAGCAGATGATAATCAAGAAACAAGAGAAGAATACGATGAATGCGAAAGTAATTTGATGCAAGATATTTCATCCGAATTGGCAATTATACGCATTCAAAACGGAAAATTCGTCGCCTCACTCGATATGAGAAAGATTCCTAAGGGATATATAACTCTGGAATTAAGAGAAATTTTCAGGATAGATATACTGTTAGGAAAGAACAGTGAATCTACAGATCAGCATACCGTCACTAGACGGCGTCCTTTTGCATTTTTTCTTTTACCAAACTATATTGATATGCAAACTGTCGGCTTTGCTTTGAAGGACGAAAAGGAGGTTTTAATCATTTTTGGATATCTTTTTAACGCACTTCTCGATACTGGCCCGAAGGAGACACAATCAGTTTTTAGCCATTTTTTCAATACCGACTCTCCTAAGGCTAGGAGGAAAAAGTTGAAAGCGGACGAAACTACTCATGAAGTTCAATCAGACCTTGATTTCGTTGTTAGGCGTCAAAAAATGTGCTGAACGCCATCTGTATTCTAATATTCAAATTATATTTAAAAAGTGACGTGTTCACTTGACGTCTTTAGCATAGGTAAAATTTTAAAGAATATATTTACATGCCTTCCTTAGTCAATTCTTTATACAATATACACATACAATTATATATAAACTATATATGTAAAACGTTTGTAAGGCATAAACTAGGATGACAAAATGGCAGACAAATTTCCTTTAAATAATCTTTCCTTATCATTCCAAAATGTAAATTAAGTGATAAAGATATATTAACACACACACAAATTTATGTATAATATACATATATATATATATATATATATATATATATATAGGCAGTATATCAGCTTACTACAGGCAGCAAAAATTTTCCAGAAAGTCTACGGAATACGAAACAATTACAACTGTTCATAGTTTTTATCAGATAGAGTAGAGGTCTGTCTACATGGATATTCATTAATAATTCGGATGGTTCATTGTAGACTTTAAAAGTATACTTTTATAGTTTGTACAGGAAGAAAAAAATTATGCATATTCGTAGATACAGGTGTATATAAATAAAAAATACGAGTAGTTTTATACGCCAGGAACGCTACTTTGTCTTCTAACGAAGTAGGGTGCCATCGATGCGGCTTGTCCGGGCGTCTTCTGTCTGGACGCCACTGTTGGGTGAGATCAATTATGCAATTAGGTTAATTAGGGTATAAACAAAATCTTTTCAGCTAAGAATGTATAAAGCTGTATGGAGAAATACGGTGCTATATGTCATGCATTTTTTATACGCTCATCTGGAGTAAAACGCTTGATTTAATTCATTAAGTCCTAGGAAATCCGTCGAATCCCGGAAAAAGACGTCTCTACTACTTATGGGAGGGAGAACATACTCTCGTCAATAAACGTCGGAATATTCATTTTCTTTATTAATAAGTAATAACTCACAATAGACCCATAAATAGCTGACTGCGTCCGTATAAGTATACATAATTGATTACGATCTTTGAGTAGATACAACCACATTCTATAGATTTAGGGAATATATTTTTGAAAAAACAGGAAAAAACTATGTAAACATCTATGGAAAATTTCACTAGATAACCTATGCAATTACAAGTCAGTATGTACAGTTGGTTGAAGGTAGAAAAAGAAGCGCTGGTATAGTCGTATATATCGATTTCCGCGTTGCAGATACGTTCAGAAAATTAGGTAAAGTACAAAAAAAAAGTAGATGTTACATAAAAAAACCCCAAATAAACAACCGAAAGAATGGGGGGGGGGGAAAAAGAATAAAATACAGATCTTAAATATATGCAAATAGCTTTAACTAATTTTTTTCGTGAAAAAAAAATCTGTTTGCTTTCAAAACGTGATTTTGTGTCGGTATAAAAAAAAGGGACAGAAGCGGCTGTAAATGATGGATAGAGGCAAATGCAGTACCATTCGAAAAACTGCCTTGCCTACTCGTCCGACAATACTTCAGGCTACGAATTTAACCGGTTTTTCTTCTTACCTCTTTCTCTTTATCTCTTTCTTTCAAAACATTCGATTTGAGTTGAAGAAAGAGATGAATGAAGTGGAAAAACCATAGAAAACAAGATAAAGGAAACATATGGAAAAAGACAAGATGAGGATACGGCGAAAAAATTGCAAATTGGAAAATCCTTACGGTTAAAAGTCAACAGCTATGGCTTTATAGGCCCACAATCTAAGCACACAACTAAAAGTAGATGCAAGCACATTGATAATTCTCCCTCCTACTTACACTAAAAACGTGTACTGTATTATATATATATATATATATATATATACTGTAGGTGTTTTTTATGAGGCCATGTATATACTATATGTCGAATATATATACTGTATATATATACATATATATATATGTACATTTATTAGGTATACTGTAGACCAACAAATAGTAAAGTACATGCGGCGTATATAGTAGATAAACATATATACGTATATATATATACATACTATATATATATATATATGTAAGATATGTGTAGATCCTATACAAATATCATATAGCAACAGCGCAAATTGATTTCTAAACTTTTTCGATTTCGGTTTATACAAATAGTTGATCGATATCATTAACGGTACGATAGACGCAACTTAATTAGATTGTTTGTATCCAAAATTTACTCTACTCTTTTAGTTGGCGTCAAAAAAATAAAAACATATTTCTTTACAGGATTATTATATAAAGCCAACTAATAAATATATGCAAAGTCTAAAATAGGTCGATTAATCTTAAGCAATGGTAAAAGTCAAATCGAAAAATATCTAGAAAGCAAAATAAAAAAGAGAAAATGCCAGACCATGCATGCTTTTAATCAGGATTTGCTAGAGTATTCTGGATCAACGCTGCTTTGTCGTCTAACGTAGTAAGGAATGTTCCTGCTCGGTGTTTCTGATAAGGCGTTTCTTTTCGTTCTTTGAACTGCAATAGAAGAGGGAACGGAAAAGAAAGAGAGAACTAAGGTGCAGAGGTATTTATCTAAGTGCTTCCAAGTAAGTGTGAGAACGGTGTATATAATGTAAAGCTATCATTTTGTACTACGTTTCTATATATATACTAATATACACAAGAATATATCTCACATAAAAAATATCAAGAGATTTAGAGTGAAGAGAGCAAGAGAGATATTTATTGAAAGAGAAAGACGGAGAGGGAGAGAAAAAGTGTATGTGTAGATGTGGATACTATGAGGAGACTACTACATAACATAAACGTATCAGATAGAATATAAGCAAGCGACCTGAATATCTAGAACATGCTGCCTTGAACGAACATTTACAGAAGGCTACATTGCAAAAATATACTTACTGGAGAATTGTACAAATGTCATTCCCCATAAGATACTCCATATCCAGCCGACTATCACGATAAATGTCAAGGCTTGTAGTATTCCAGCAAGAATATTTAAACCAAAGGCGTGTATGGGTTTTTCTATTCTAGTCGAAGCACAACAGAATACTGAGAAGGCAGAAATTAGCGTACCTAACCAAGGAAATATGAATGATAATATAATATATATAATATATCTGTTAATAAATATAAATATCTACTCAGCTTTTTCCTATACAAACTATCACTGATAGGTAACAAAAACTAAGTAAACTATAAAAGATGGCGCAACACAAATCATCAAAAGAGATGAAATATTGGCTGTGGAAAAAAAATGATAATAATAACAAAAAAGGAGACGAACTAATAGAAAAGGAAAATAGAGAAGGGAATGAGAAAGAAGAGAGAGAGTGAGAGAGAGGGGAGAAAAAAAACAAGAAATAAAAGCAAACATCTCCAAATTATTTATTGCCTTTACAAAATTTTCAATTCTATTTAAACAGATTTTCAATAGCGATAAGACTAGGGAAAAAAAAACATTAACTACTTCAATAGCTACTGCAATTATTAGATAGAAATGATTCTACTAACCTAAACCTGGACATCCTATATTTAATAAACAGCAAAGAGCGGCAAATGGTAAAGGCATGATTGGAATAGCTTTATGGAGCGGGCCATGTTTTTCTTCAATTTTAACAACTTCATAAGTAGTTCTTTCCGGTTCTTTAATCACAACACTGGGTTTTTTGCTACCAAGAGACGGTCCTGCCTTATGGCCGGCTAAAGGTACTGTTGTTTCTAAAGTGTCGTCCATAGCGTTAAAAATGCAACTGCAATGATAGCCGCCGCTGCTGTTTGCTACAGTACTGCTGGCAATCGCCCAATTGCATTCCAAGCGCGTATCTGCCGCCCTCTGTCATTTCTAAGTAAAAGACGTAGGGAGTTATTCAATAATGTAGGTTTATTTCCAAAATGAGAAACTATATCTCACCTATTCGTCTCAACTCTTTAGTGAATAAAATTCAATTTCATGTTTTATATAAAAATCTATGAAGAGAGATGGAAACTTAAAGGGTCTTAAGTAATACCTTCCAACCATACATATCTTTTTGGTTCTCTTCATCCCTAAATGAAATTGTAGTCTTTCCTTGTTGTTTATATGTTTGTTTGTTTGTTTGTTTATGTGTTACAATTAATAATCGTTAAAAATGGCGTTTAAATATGATTTTTATTCAAAATCTTAACATTGTGAAATATCGATGAATATATATTATACTTCTATCTTTGTATAAAATGTTGTTTTTGTTATATCATCATTTGCACTCTCTTCCTCTCTCTCTCTCTCTCTCTCTCCCTCCCTCTATCTCTCTCGCTATACTCTTCCTCTCTTATCTCAATTCTTTTCTTCTTCACTTTCTCTCTGTCTACCTCTTTTTCCTTCTCACTACTTATCTTTATCTCGGAATCTATACTTTGTGGTGCAGAAAGAAGCTTTTGCTGAAAAACTAAAGAGCCGAGAGCGTTGAATAAGTGACGCCTTGGAGGCCATTTATAAAAATAGAACAAGTGATTTAAAGCGTTTGTGATAGGAGCAGCTACAGCAGTTAAACGTCTTTGATTAGGTGGGGCCGCTAGTGAGGTCAAATTATTAGCTAAGAATGAACGAATGAAACTTGTTATTGTAATACCGCTCTTAGGCCTAAAATCATTCATTAACTCGGCTTCTTCCAATTGAAGTTGAGCAATTCTGGGTACTTTGCCCATCGACCTGCCTTTGTCACTTGTACTCTGTTGAAATTCGCTAACAAAGCAAGATCCTTTCCTGGTTTGTTGATGACATCGTCGATTTCTCCGAATCGGCAAATCGGAAGTAGAATTCATTGAGCGAGTTTCGAATAGCCGTTTATGATTCTAAATAGATTTTTCCGTTATCCATTAAATGTATATGAATAGATGAAAAAGATATAGAAAATAAATATTGTGTCTCTTTCTTTTCTATCATGTCTCTCTCTCTCTCTCTCTCTCTCTCTCTCTATCACTTCGTGTCTCTTTTTTTCAGAAGAGGCAGCCGCTTTCTCGAGATTAAAGACAAAACAAAAAGGATAATTCCTTACCTGAGCATTTGCGTTAGTAGAGAACAATTGGATACGACGGTCAATGACATTATTATTTAGCGTAAAGTCGCCTCTTTCCTTTTGCAATTCGCAACCTGCCTCGCCGTTTCCTAACCCAAACGATATAGTGCTCAAATTGTCGTTCATTCGTCGCTTTCTTGATTGTCTACTCAGATAGGTAAAGGAACTTGAAGAGATTCTCTTATGAATTGTACTGTTTTCAGTTCCTTCCTGCTTAAGGAATCTCTCTATCATTATGATTTTATCGACAATTTGATCTAGATTCGATATAATTTAGATTCAAATATGAATAATCTTTTTAATGATAGATATTAGATATTACACGTAGTAAAAAGTAGAAATTTAACCTGAAAACGTCAATTATAAGCATTTGATAAATATTTCAGGTGTGTAGGCTTAGGATGATGATTAATTAAAAAGTCTTAATGCATATCTAATTTATTTGCCTATAATTTAAAAAATAAATGAACGTTGCAATTAGTCATTTTGTCATTTGAAGAGAATGTTATAGGAATATATTCGAAAAGAGACAGAAGACAAAATGGACGGAAGTGAAGCGCTGTATTGATTTTTTTTTCAAGTTTAGCCATTGTTTTATTATTTATAAATCTATAAAATATTCATTAGACTTTTAATGATAATCTAGATAATCTGGTTATAATCTTATAATTTATTTAAGGTTGAAAAGAGGGGGTATCTTGTATAGATTATAATTACATGATAACGTGTAAAATGGATTGAGAAGATATTGAAAGAGAAATGAAAAAATCTTGTTTTCTGTGAAAGGAAAATCAAATTTTTTAAAAAGATACAAAATGAATTGAAATTTTCTTCTCTACTTTTTTCCCTTTCAAAAGATCATTTCATTTGTAGTGTGGAAAGAAAGAAACTCCTTTGTATGAAAAACTGATGTGAAGAGCAAAAGAATGAGCTAAAAAATAGTGACTATCTCTTAATCATTTTCTTCTTTTTCTCTTTATTAAATCTATAATTGTATAAATGTTTTTGAATTGAAAGTATTCATGTTCTTCTCTTTGTTCCTCTGTAGACAAGAAGTGTTCTTCTCAATAAATAAATGTCTCGATGAAGAAAAGAGCATCATTTCGAATTTTTCTAGTGAAGTACCAATTCTTTCATCTTTCGTTTCATGTTGGTCAAATCTTTCATCGTCTTCTCTTAATTTTCTTATATGACTTCCATTTCATGGTATAGAGGAACAAGTTTTTCAAAACAATGTAATTAACCTTCTCCAGAATATAGTAGGAGTTGGAAGAGTGCTAGAGCCCTTTTCTTAATGTTTGCTTTATTGCATACGGTTATTTGTCAAGTTCTTAGGGCAATGAAGGGATCTAAGCTTTTTTTGAGAGGTAAATTTATTCTCCTCAAATGTCAGAAACTAAGTATTTAACGCTCAAAAGTCAACGATATAGGAAAGACTCTTCAGGACAGCCTCTTCTTATACGGCTTTAATAACATTAACAGCCAAACCAACGAGTAAATTAACGATGATAACACTCATTAGGATTAAGAAGGAAGATGGATAGGACATTAGATACTCCGCGGTAGTATGGGCATGATTCATAAAATATCTCATTTTTGTTTAAAAAAAAAAGAAAATAGAGAAAAAACAATATTGTATGTCAGCGTCTCATGACCCCAAAAATATTTTACTGAAACCTAAATCTTCCGATCATCGTGACAGACGTTTTAATTAGCGACGCTCCAAAGGATTTAAACGCTCTCTGATTTTGAATTGGGAAATACAAAATTAAATTCTCTTTTTTTTATAAATGAATTTTTAAAGAAAAATAAAATCTATGCTAAACATCCTTTTACTTCCGGTATTCTTATCGCTTATCTCTTATTTAATATATATATATATATATATATATACATTATTATCCAATTACCAGTTTACTGTGTTATCTTTAGATTATTAGTAAAGATGTTTTTAATCCTATATATAACTATTAAGTAATGAAAACGGTTTCTTTATGATGGTTACCACCATTTTTATTAAAGTGAAGATATCAAAAAATATCAAAACAAGCAAAAGGTATAAATTACTTTTTTAATTAAAAATTACATGCAAGAGAAACGCTGAAAGAACGCTTACAAGTATATATATATATATTGAGAATGGAGGCAGAGGGGATAGGTGGAAGGGGTAGGGGGATGGGGGATGATTTACCGAGGATAATGTAACTAGTAAAGAAAAGGAGGAAAACGCTATATAAGATTAAGATGAAAAATGTTGATATTTTTAGCCAAAGGAATTCCATTTGCGATGTAATAAACTTTTTACCAAAAAAAAGATTATCCACTAGATCTTCCTGTTTTGATTCTACCATTATCATTAAGTAAAGATTGGTTTTCAACAAGTTGAGTGCTTCAGAAAGGAGTTGAATGGTTTTTTCTGTCTCTCTCTCTCTCTCTCTCTCTTTTTATAGTAGTATACAAAAAAGTAATATTAGTTATTTGATAGGAAAAAAGTTTATGTTCCCTTCCATACATAGAACTCTTAATTTGATACTTAACTATGGGAGGAGACTTGAAGGGTTTCAATTCTTTTTACAATAATCAAACGGTGTCCACTGGCTAATGATCTTTTTTTTAAAAAAGACCCTCAAACTATCTTCAATTAAAAGAACATTTTATTGTTAAAATGTAAAGGTGCGGATTGGAATCCTCCATCAATGTCGTTTGTTTCCATCTATAAGCTCACTCTGACTATTTCTCTGAAAATTTTATTTTGCCAACCTTTACTGCTAAGTGATATGGCGCCTGCTTTTCTAAAGTCATCTTATTAACCATGGAAATGTTACTCAATAATCGTTAAAAAGAGAAAAAGATGAATAATAAAGAAGCTTTCTAAGACCTAGCGTTACAGTAATCATCGTTTGCTATTAAACATTATCCATTTTCGTTAAGCGTTAAACCGACCCAGTTATTCAGTAAGGAAATATTCCGTATAGATAGCTATATACAGCATCCTTTATGGTTTTCTATTTCAGAATTCTCCTGTGAGTTTCATCAGTAGATACTCCTCTTTGCTACAAATAAATATAAAATTCCAAATTGTTCTACAAGAATCTATACGTATCTTGGGAATTCTGATAGCTTTCGTTAACGTTTTCGAAGAAGCGTTCCGATGATCTTTCAACAGTTTTCTTAATATTTAATAATATTTTAAGTTTTTATAATAAGGTTTCGAAACAACCTTATAAATTAATCTCAATTTCTCTTGATAAAACTATCATTTTAAACCTTCTTAGATAGGTTGAAAATTAATTACCCTTATATTACCATCATCAAAATATATTGCTGAAAGAGAAATTACTTTAACAAAAGCTGTTGAAATTGAAAAAAATACCTTAAAAACTTCTTTTTTATACTCATTTAAAAGCTATAATTGAATTTGATGATATATCATTTAACAAGAGGTAGGAAATGAAAACTATAATTAAATGTATATATTGATCAAAATAGAGAGGAGAACAGGAAAGAGTTAGCAAGATAGAGAGTAAGAGTAGAGTAGTAAAAGGAACAGAGAGAGAAAGAGAGAATTAGTGAGCTAGCGAGCGAGCGAGAGAGTGAGTGAGTGACTGAGTGAGTGTGTATGTGTATGTGAGAGACAGAAAAGAAAATATCCTGTTTCTATCATTCAAACAAAAATATATTTTCCAATTAAAAAACAGAGCGAAAACTTAAAGATAAACCGCCGTATCATATCAAAAAATATTGAATATTCCAAAAAGAAAATGAAATAATGACAAAAAATGCTTCTATACATTCTATTACATAAATTGTTAAATACTTAAACGACAAACTAATATATTCGTAATCTTATAAAAATTTTACACAAAACATCTCTTTAATTTTTCTTTATATTTCATTCGATCACATCTTCTCTTTCCCTTTCGGAGTCAAAATTTTCACTATTTTCTATCTTCCTTTCTAAATTGACTTCTATGGAGTTAACATTGCAGTACCAATAATGTCTAATGTTATTGTTTTACTGGGAAATAATCCAATTGCATGCCGAGCGAATATTTTGTCATTTTAAGTAAAAGACGTAGGGAGTTATTCAATAATGTAGGTTTATTTCCAAAATGAGAAACTATATCTCACCTATTCGTCTCAACTCTTTAGTGAATAAAATTCAATTTCATGTTTTATATAAAAATCTATGAAGAGAGATGGAAACTTAAAGGGTCTTAAGTAATACCTTCCAACCATACATATCTTTTTGGTTCTCTTCATCTCTAAATGAAATTGTGGTCTTTCCTTGTTGTTTATATGTTTGTTTGTTTGTTTGTTTATGTGTTACAATTAATAATCGTTAAAAATGGCGTTTAAATATGATTTTTATTCAAAATCTTAACATTGTGAAATATCGATGAATATATATTATACTTCTATCTTTGTATAAAATGTTGTTTTTGTTATATCATCATTTGCACTCTCTTCCTCTCTCTCTCTCTCTATCTCTCTCTCTCTCCCTCCCTCTATCTCTCTCGCTATACTCTTCCTCTCTTATCTCAATTCTTTTCTTCTTCACTTTCTCTCTGTCTACCTCTTTTTCCTTCTCACTACTTATCTTTATCTCGGAATCTATACTTTGTGGTGCAGAAAGAAGCTTTTGCTGAAAAACTAAAGAGCCGAGAGCGTTGAATAAGTGACGCCTTGGAGGCCATTTATAAAAATAGAACAAGTGATTTAAAGCGTTTGTGATAGGAGCAGCTACAGCAGTTAAACGTCTTTGATTAGGTGGGGCCGCTAGTGAGGTCAAATTATTAGCTAAGAATGAACGAATGAAACTTGTTATTGTAATACCGCTCTTAGGCCTAAAATCATTCATTAACTCGGCTTCTTCCAATTGAAGTTGAGCAATTCTGGGTACTTTGCCCATCGACCTGCCTTTGTCACTTGTACTCTGTTGAAATTCGCTAACAAAGCAAGATCCTTTCCTGGTTTGTTGATGACATCGTCGATTTCTCCGAATCGGCAAATCGGAAGTAGAATTCATTGAGCGAGTTTCGAATAGCCGTTTATGATTCTAAATAGATTTTTCCGTTATCCATTAAATGTATATGAATAGATGAAAAAGATATAGAAAATAAATATTGTGTCTCTTTCTTTTCTATCATGTCTCTCTCTCTCTCTCTCTCTCTCTCTCTATCACTTCGTGTCTCTTTTTTTCAGAAGAGGCAGCCGCTTTCTCGAGATTAAAGACAAAACAAAAAGGATAATTCCTTACCTGAGCATTTGCGTTAGTAGAGAACAATTGGATACGACGGTCAATGACATTATTATTTAGCGTAAAGTCGCCTCTTTCCTTTTGCAGTTCGCAACCTGCCTCGCCGTTTCCTAACCCAAACGATATAGTGCTCAAATTGTCGTTCATTCGTCGCTTTCTTGATTGTCTACTCAGATAGGTAAAGGAACTTGAAGAGATTCTCTTATGAATTGTACTGTTTTCAGTTCCTTCCTGCTTAAGGAATCTCTCTATCATTATGATTTTATCGACAATTTGATCTAGATTCGTTATAATTTAGATTCAATGTAGAAGAATCTTTTTAATGATTGATGTAATAGATAGAGAAGAGAAAGGTCTAACCTGAAAATGTCACTTATGCGCATTTGATGTATATTTCAAGAGTTTAGACTTAAGAGAATGATTAATTAAAGTAAAGTTATGAAGCATGTTTTGACAATTCGTCTATAATTTCGACTATGTGATGTATTAATATAATTAATTGAATATAGAATTAGAATAGAAACAAAATAAGCGTTTTATTTATGAACTTAGAGATTCAGATTGACGTTAGGTGTTGCATAATTATAATAAATCATAAGAAAAATTTCAAAATATAGAACAATATCACAGGTATCGTAGTACCCTAGTAACAAATTTCAATATGTTAGCTTTGTTACAATGAACTATGTGAAGCAGTGAATTAACTTTGAAAAACATGAATAGAAGCAGAGTATTTTAATATATTGAATAACGTATTCAAAATAGAGTTTTGTGTACAATTTATAAAAATCTGCTTATATAGAAAAGAGTTAATAAGCAAAATAATAGAAATATACATAGTTTACTTAATAAAAAGAAGAAAAAATAGAAAATACTGTTTAAGAGGAGTATGGAAAATAAAAATGTAAAATAAAAATAGAGACTGACAAAAAGAATAGTATTTTAGTAAGATCAGATTCATTTTTTGTAACTCTGTTTAAAGGATAGATAAAAAGATCTTCTTCCGGAAAAGGTCTAGAAAATATTTTGAAAACTGTTCAAATATATAAAGCTTCAATCATAATGATTTTTTCTTTTGTTACTTGGCTAGATCTTTAGGTTTTTGAAATCATGTTTATATATCTTCATCCGCACATACATCTTCCTCAAGATAATCAACATTTTGAGCCTTTAGCAAAGCCCCCAACATCATTTCCAGTTTTTCCGTCTGAGCTGTGAATTCTTTCATCTTTCGTTTCATGTTGGTCAGATCTTTCATCATTTTCTGCTGATTTTCTTGTACGACTTCGATTTCATCCTAAGGAAGAATAATTTTTGAAACGATATTTAGGAATTTCATCAATTCATTTTTTCAAGAAGATATCGTCAAGAGCAAATGACAAACTTACCAAATCAGCATCTAATGCCTTAGATATTTCCTCAGGTGACAGAAAATTTTCATTTAAATTAAGGAGTTGATTGAAGGCTTTTTTACTAGAGGATACTTGAGGTTTGATTGTTTTCTTTTTTACCACAAAACGTCTTCGTATAAACTCTGGCAGTATCCGTTCAACGTCCAAAGCCAACTCGACTTGCATAGCAAGACGCTTCAAGACGGCCTGATCTTGTACGGCTTTAATGTCATCAACAGCCAAACCAACGAGTAAATTCATGATGATAACGCTCATGAGAATTAGAAAGAAGACGAAAAGCACATAGGAAATTCCAGGGTAATATAGATAGGACTTGTGGTTGTCCGCTGTTATTACTTTATTGATATTTTGTGGCCCTAGAAATAATTGCTCAAACTCAAATTCTCCTATCATCATGACAGATGTTTTAATCAGTGACGCTCCAAAGCTTTGAAACGGCACCTGATTTTGAAAGAGGCAAAAGAAGCCTAGCGCAAACGCTACAATAAAGAGAAAAAACACTGGAAAGAATTGAGTGAAAGTGCGAAGTACATCGGTAAACATCACAACGTATATGCCGAATCGAGGTAGTTTCCGGATGAACAACACCAATTCCATCCATGCCAGAAAAATTGCCACAGTGAGTAGTTGCCACTGCCAACTCTAAAGAGAACAAGAAAATAAGGCAAACATTCGTTAATGGTAAAGAAAAAGGTTTTTAGTCGGACCTCTCTAATTTCCGTTCCCTCCTGACAGCTTGATACGTCGATTACAGCTAAAATAGCTGTAATACCTGTTCCCCATTCCAAGAGATTCTCCCAAACAAGCAGATATTGCCATCTACTATGATAAATTTGTATCATCTGTTTGTAACAATGATTAAATTATTATTAAAATATTATGTCGTTTTACTATTCTAACGTCAACTTACTTCTCTTACAAGACTAAAAGCTGATAGACCTATTATTATCCATTTGCCAGCTTTTACGAATATTTTATAAGCAACGTCATCCTTGTTGTTCTTCCAGCTGTTGTACGCGAGAGAACTTTTAAGAACTGTACATCCTTTTCCATGCAAATCTCCGTCAGTTTCGTTACTAAATAAACAAATATATATATATATATATATATATATATATATATATACAGTATATAGTATATAGTATATATACGATTTTTAATTGAAATCTATTTATAATAAGTTCTTAAAGAATACTTACAAGTACCAATACGGAGGTTTAGCAACAACAACATATCCAGTAAGGAATACTAAGAAAACACAATAGAGCAACAAGTTCAGATAGTACACAATCCGACCAAAGGAATTCCATTTGTGACGTAATAAGCTTGTTACTAGTGGATGACCTAGTAGATCTTCTTGTTTTGATTCTACCATTATCATCAATGGATGATTTACTTTTAACATGTTCGAGTCTTCACTGTAAGGTTTTACACCTGGACGTATTTTAAAGTCGTGGTCCCAAATTTCTTCATCCATTCGTGAACTATTTCCGCTTAATATACTAACAGTATCGTCCTTAGTATTAACATTTTCGCTCCATCGCGAGTACATATCATCAAGATATTCCCAATTGAATGTTAAACTATATTCAGGACTTTCAGGGTTTCCATTCTTTTCTACGCACTTGGAAAATACTTTTTCTGCTACTTCAGGCATTTTTCGAATAAGTTTTCTCATGGGAGTTGTTCTTCTACCCATCGAATCTGTAGTATCATTCTTTAAAGCCTCTTCCCAATTATCAGAACCGATTATCGCCAATGCGACGTCCTTGTGACCATTATCTATTGCTAAATCTAGACAGTTGTCACCCTCACCGCTATCATCATTTTGACCCTCCTAAATGAGATGAAAATAATAAGTGTTACATATTAAATAGAAAAAAACAGAAACACTACTTTTCTCTGTCGTTCCTGGATATCGGCTTTCCATTTTAACAAAACATGTACAACTTGACAATGACCTTTTGCTGAAGCAAGATGAAGGGGTGTGCTCTTAATTCGATCTTTTGGATCGACAGGGGCGTCATTTTCCAATAAAACTGTGCAAGTTTTAGGCCATCCTTTAGCGGCTGCGCAATCTAGCGGTGTCCACTGGCTAGTATTTCTTGCGCTTATATTAGCATTAGCTTCAATTAACACCTGAGCAACCTTACTATTACCTGCTAAGGCTGCTAGATGTAACGGAGTATTTGAATCCTCGTCTTCGTCATCTACAACTCTCTTTCCGCCCACTCTGACCAATTCTCTGACAACATTCGTTTTACCAGCCTTAGCAGCCAAGTGAAGAGGCGTTTGTTCTTCCTCATTTTTAGCATCAATATCCGCGTTATTTTCCAATAATAACTAATATTGAAAAGAAAATAATAAGCCTATTATAATTGCCCAATAAGTTCTTCCCTCTATAAACTTACTTTAACACATCTCAAAAAACCCTTTTCAGCTGCTGCATGTAGAGCAGTATTACTGTAGCGATCACCATCATCGATAACATTTTCTTCGTCCAAGTAATTCATCAATGCTTTTAAAGCGTCCATCTGATCCTCTTGAGCGGCAAGGAATATTGCATTACGATCGTTCTTTTCCGTATCCTTCAAACTGGCTCCCCTTCTCATTAATGTATGTATAACTTCTGCATGACCAAATTCGGCAGCAAATAGCAGAGGACTGTAACCGTCCCTATCTCGTCTCGAAATCTGTGATCTCCTTAAATTTCGGCTCGCATGGGGATAGGACTCTTTTTCATGGTCTAGTAGCAATTCAACAATATTTGAACGGTTATGAGAAGCAGCTATATGCAATGGTGTTTGGGCATTAGAATTCAGGGAATCTGGTTTGGCATTTTTTGTCAAGAGCAATTTTACAATATCATCATTTCCAGATTGAGCTGCTAGATGCAAAGCGGATGTTGCTTGTTTACACAATAGATTAACATCGGCACTTCTGTTCTATAATTGTTTGAAGGAAATTTTAAAGAATAAACTATAAAATATTATAGTAAAATAGACTGTTACCAATAACAGTTGAGTAACTTCCAGCGAACCATTTTCAACGGCCAAATGAAGTGGAGTGTTTTGTTCCATATCCGTATCTTGTATTAACTATTAAGAAAAATTATCAAAAATATAGAAAATACGACAATAAATGCGTTTTTCTTCTCTCTTTTACGCTAACCTGTAAAGCAATAGGCCAGCCAAATGTATTGTTCGCTTTATTAATAATCTAAAATAAGAAGGAGAGAAAGTATAAGTTTAAAAGGTTTGCCCTTAGTTTAATGTCAATGATCAACAAACCATTTCAGCAATTTCACAATTGCCTTCCATGCAAGCCAGGTGAAGAGGTGTACCTTCATCCTCATCCTTACAACCCAATTGTGCACCACTCTCAATGAGCAATTCTACTATGTACTTTTCCGAGTGAGCAACGGCTAAATGTAAAGCTCTAACTTTTTGTTTGTCCTCAATCTATTACAAACGTTTCTATTGATTAGATATAAATTAGAGGAAGAAGGAATCATACCTCAATATCAATTGATGGACAACTCAATAATTCAACTGTAGCAACTTCATTTCCTCTCATAGCCGCAAAATGTAACGGAGTACAACCGTACCTATCTGCAATTAATGAGGAAAATTATAAGATTTCTTTATGTTGTAATCTTCTTATCAATTCATTCTCCCTTACCTTGGGCATTAACGTTAGCTCCTTTTGAAATTAAAAACAGGATAACGCTATTATCAATTGATGATTCATCTTTCACCTTTTTTGATAAATAGGAAAATAAATAGAAAGTCTATTATTTTAGTTAAAAGAACTAAAAAACAAATAATATGCAATAAGGTTTAACGAGTATTTAAAAATATGAAATAACTTAATATTAACAGAACTAAATCAATAACAACAGATAGTACCAAATACCAAGACAACATAAATTAATTCAAAATCTCTATAGTTTCTGACATTCTGTTTTGCAGTTTTTTAGTTTTTCTTTTTTTTTTAATAAAAAAAATAAATGGAGAATGGAAAAAAAAAAAACAGTAAGAATTTTAATTGGTTAATCCTTGAAACTTACGATTATTGTGCGAAAGTGTTCGGCTGATGACTATAATATAATATAATGATACTATTATTTATCTTATGCGAAATAAAGGGATTTTTAGGCCTAACTTGTTATAAATTTTTATTTCAATATATCAGATAAACTTTTTTTATATTAATATATACAGTATAGGCATTAACTTACATTCTCTGTAGATTGATCAGCAATATTATCATCGCTCGAAGTAAGCGTTCCAGACTCGGATTGCTTTATTCGTTGTCTTTTATATCTTGCTGCATAATGAAGCGGAGTAGCCAAATCCTCATCAACAGAATTCGCATCTTTATTTAAGAAAGGAGAAAAGGGGACAAAGAAAGAAAACTACTTTAGTTGATTAATTTTAATTTGTTGATAAATTATAAAAACTTAAAAGAAAGCTAACCAGCCTGATATTTGATAAGAACTTTGCAGGATTCGGCATGATTGTAACGAGCTGCATAATGGAGGGGAGATATTTTCTCCTCGTCTTTCGTATTAACAAACTTTTTAAGTCTGTTCATTTGCCCTGAATGCTTTTCTAAAACTGTTGATAAACCCTGAAACAAAATAGTTTTGTTTTTATATTCATAATACTATTTGTTCATTATTATTACAGCAGAGTCTCCATCACGAGCTAATTGATGCAAAGTCATATATTTTAGGGCTTCAGAACTTTCTGTCCTTCTCATTCCTGGTTGATCAATCGCCATAGCTGGTTCAAGTGTACTTTTTACAGCACCCTTCATGAATTCGGAGATGCCTCCCTTTTCGCCCTCCTCATCACTTCCATTTACAATTATGGACGTCATTTTTCTAGTAAATTAAAATAGATTCTCTATTCTCTTTCAGTTCTCCTCTCCGTAAAATTATTCGACTAAAACTGGACCGGACATTCGAAAAGTGGCCAAATTGTAACCTTATCTCCCTAAATTGTTTGAATACAGTGTCTATTATTAGAACAATGTTGAAAATATAATATAAAATAAAATAAATTCTCTTAACATCTCTCTTTCTTTTACAACAAATGATTTATTAAGAATAATAAGATATACAATAATTTTCTGTGTAAATCATTTGTTTACCTTGTGAAGTGACCAAGTTTTAAAGTTTTTTTTTAATGCCAATAAATAAACACGTTGCTTACCTAAAAAGCTTGTTAAATTAACTAATGTTTAGGTTACGGAGTATGACAGAAGATTGATAATAGATTCTCTGCTTTACCTATATAATATTAATTTTATAAGTATCTAAAAAAAGGTGGGGCTACGGTAGATTTGACTCACAAAATAATCATTCTTTATTTCTTTAAAATATACCATTTTATTCATAATAAAAAGTAACAATAAAACGTAATTTGATAAGTCTAATTATAAATACGTGTTAAGCAACAATGTTAGATGTTTTTATTGTATTAAACTGTGAAAACTTTGTGTTTACCTTTTGTTTGCGATATTCTAGGATTAATAGAAGACGGAAGTAACGACGGAGCATGCGTGAAAATACCGTCATATTTAAATTAGGTACAAAACTTCTTAAGATGTATAATTTTCTTGTCTTATTGCAATTAAAATTCACTTAAAAATAATTTTATAACATAAAAAATATTATTGTTGTAATACATGATAATAATCAATCTTTTCTTTTTACATAATTACTTGGAAACAAGCCAGTCTTTCCGCGGCATTGGCCCTGCCACCAGCCGTCTGCTACCTGTTTGTTTACATTTATTATTTTTACGGTTTAGTTAAAAGCAAATTAATAATAATAATAAAATTTACCTCGATAATATCGATAATTTCTTCACCCGGATCAAAGCTTATTTCATCCGAGTCGCCAGCTTGGTAATCAAACATGGCAATTGCCCTGAAAGTTGCTGATCCAGAGGTTTCTTGTTTTGGTTGTGACTGTGGCTGCATTTGACCTTGATTGATCTCTTCATATAATTCTTCATTAATTGCTTCTTGGTTGCTTTGCGGGATAGCCTCATCATATATTGCCGAATTCCGTTCTGGTGCAATATCGGAGTACTCTTCTTCCGGTGCTTGAACTGCTTGAGCGTCTTCATATATTTCTTCCTGCTGTTCAATTTTTAGTTTTTCTTCCAATTCATTCTGTATAGACCTTTTATGCACAGGCATAACTGGCTGTCCTATCCTTGCTTGAGACACTCTAGGCGGAGGTTGATTAATTGATTTTGCAGCATTTTCAAATTGAGCTCGAATAGAACTTGTGTTACTTGAGGCTGTTATAAGGCATCCAATCAACCTATTTAAAGATATAAATATTTTACTGACTTTCTATTATTCTCTTCGGTGCTTCTCTTTCTTCTCTATCATCATATCCTCTTGCTGACTAAAAGTAAAAATCATTCATAATTAGATAAAATAATTGTATTCAAAAATGAGACAGAGCAAACCTCATCCGTTGCTGCTTCCACTCCATATTTTCCTCCAAATCCTTTACTATAATCTTTTTGAGAAGGATGAGCTTCAGTTTTATTCTGTTCTCCCCAACCTTGTGCAGATTTATCGACGCGATCTGATTCAACTCCGTATTTGCCTCCAAAACCTTTACTATGATCTATCTGAGAAGGATGGGCTTCAGTTTTATTCTGTTCTCCCCAACCTTGTGCAGATTGATCGACGCGATCCGTTTCAACGCCATATTTGCCTCCAAAGCCTTTACTATGGTCTATCTGAGAAGAATGGGCCTCAGTTTTGTTCTGCTCTCCCCAGCCTTGAGCAGATTTGTCCATCTTATCTTTTTCGACACCATATTTACCTCCAAATCCTTTACTGTAATCTTTTTGAGAAGGATGAGCTTCAGTCTTATTCTGTTCTCCCCAACCTTGTGCAGATTTATCGACGCGATCCGTTTCAACGCCATATTTGCCTCCAAAGCCTTTACTATGGTCTATCTGAGAAGAATGGGCCTCAGTTTTGTTCTGCTCTCCCCAGCCTTGAGCAGATTTGTCCATTTTGTCTTTTTCAACACCATATTTACCTCCAAATCCTTTACTGTAATCTTTTTGAGAAGGGTGAGCTTCAGTTTTATTCTGTTCTCCCCAACCCTGAGCAGACTTATCCATCTTATCTTTTTCGACACCGTATTTTCCTCCAAAACCATGAGCATAATCTGAATAAAGAATTATTTGAGATAAAGACTTTTGCTGTTGATCTCTAAAGAACTGTTATAACCTTTCTGCGAGGCATGTTTCTCAACTTTTTCTTGATATCCCCAACCAACAGCACTTTTATCGAAGTTTTCTTTCTGAACGCCGTATTTACCACCGAAGCCTTTTGCGTAGTCTAAAGAAGAGGCGGATGGAAGGATTATTCTAAGTTTTCTATTATGAGAAAAATAGTCTTATTCGGTTACTGACCTTTTTGCGATTCGTGCTTCTGTAGTTGCTCTCGAAACTCCCAAGTTTTGGCAGACTTTGTAATTTTAGAAGAAATATTATTAATCAATTTGTAAGGAGATAATTTTTATATTTTACTTTATCAATTCGATCCTTTTCCACCCCGTATTTTCCACCAAATCCTCTAGCAGCATCTGTTTGTGACGAGTGCTTGGATAATTGCTCCTTGTGATCGTGAGTCAGTGCACACGAGTCCATTCGGTCTTTTTCTACTCCAAACTTTCCTCCGTATCCGTAGGATGCTTTTGGTCCGTCTTTCATTTCCTTCTCCTTCATTTTGGCGTGCTCTTGTACAACTGTTTTATTTAGTTCATTCAAACTGTAGGGCGTAATTGTTTTGGTTTTTGTATATCATGGAAAATGTGCAAAACAAGAAATATTTTAAAAGGAAAATAATAAAATAATCATACTTTACACTGTCAATATGACCAGACCCAGCTACAGTCGTAGATCCCCAACGCTGAGCCTTTTCATCAACCGTATTCTGTTAAGTTAAGATAATTCTGTGGAGTAGTTTTAAGGAAATAGGTATAATATAAACAGATTCAAACCTCAAAATCCGCCTCCGTCTCCCAATCATCATCATCCGCATTTGCATTTGCATTAACCTGATGACCAACTTGAGCTTTCCACATCTTTTAATTTTCTTCCAATTACTTTTATTATAACTTTGAATAGTAAGGAAGTTGAAGTGACTCAATTCGTAAACGAATGACACACCATGATCTGGTTTCGTGCTCCTGATCGATTATTTTCAAGTTTCATTTAAACCTTTCACTTTGGATCCCAGTCACCGGTTAATACTTAACAATTGACCGTTTCGTCGATAGTATAGCGTGATACGATACTCGATAAACACATGGGTAGAAAATTGCATAAAAGACCAGCAAAAAGGCTAAAAGCCAAAAGGATTACTAAACAATTGGATGAAATATTTGAAGATGTTAAAGAAGAAAATCGTCAGAAGCTTGAAAATCAGGCAGTTGATTACGACTTGCCGGGAAATGCGCAATTTTATTGCGTAGAGTGTGCGTAAGTATAAAACTAGCCTCTCTCAGTTTTACATTATATCTTACTTTTCGAAAATTCTTATCTATTTAATCTCAACAGGAAATATTGTATATCTGAAAAAGCACTTGAGGATCATAAGAAATCGAGACCGCATCGCAGAAAGGTAAAACAGTTGGAAAGCGGTGAAAAACCCTATACCATAGAAGAATCTGAGAGAGCAGGTAATATGGGTAGTTACACATAATAATAAAATTACCAACCAAATATATTTTCATCTAACAAAAAAAACGAAAGAAATTTACACTATGTAAAACTGTTTGTATAAGTTTTATGCTAAAAACTGTTGACATTGATTGATGTATACAACGGTTATCTTTTGGATTATAAGTTAATGCATTTTGTAAATAAGTAACGGATATTTATTAATAAAATAAAGATATAAGCTTATTATGATCTACAGCGTATTATTTTAAATTTCTTGGAAATTGATAATTACGGAAAAATCCTTCAGTATTTTTTTTATTAAATACTTAAAAATTGATATAAGGTTTTAAAGACGATATTACTAGTTTGTAATATTATGGATACATATTTATCAATTGATAAGTATTTAATGTTAGTGTTTTGAACAAAACTTTTACATCAAGCATAATAATATTTCGAGAAAAGGTGCATTCAAAAGTTGTTTTGTAAATGTTTAACAATTGCGTCGAAGCTTGCACGTTGCTTCTCTTCCACTTTGAAGCACTTGTCCAGTAAATTCTTAAATCTATCTTCAAATTTATAAATCTCAGTTAAGTAAAATGTACCTGGATTGTTTAAAAGGTATTCTCCAACATTTTCGCGTGTGATGTGACTTCTAAATCTGCTGTCCATTTCCACTATATGTGTTTTAGGCGCTTTCTGACAATCGATCATAATTTCCCAACTAAATACACCGTATGACCAAACATCTCCTTCAGTACTATACTTGCGATTTAATAGCACCTCAGGAGAGTAATAGAACATTGGAATCTCGTTATTTACCATTTGATAGCATCCATCTTCTGTGCATCTAGCAAGGCCAAAGTCTGTTATCTTTGCAGTGAAATTCTCGTTCAAAAGCACATTACGAGCAGCTAAATCTCGATGAACAATTCCTTCACTTGATAGATATGCCATACCCTGTGCAACTTCTTTCAACCATTTGTACTTCATATCCAAAGCAATTTCTGATTTTCTTGACTTAAGATACTTTTCTAAAGATCCTAGTTTTTGAAACTCCACAACAATTTTTAGATTGGACATACCTTTTAAGACATTTGAAAGAGTGAATATTTGAAACCAAATTGAAAAGAAAAGACGTTACAAACCTTCATCATCATCGGACATAAATCCAATAGCTTTCACAATATTCTCGTGATGTAGCTCTGACATAATCAAAAACTCTTTTTGGAAATCGTGGATGCTTCTTTCTAAATTCCTAAAACAAAAAAAGAATTGTTGCTTATTATTATTAGAAAAAAAAAACGAAAGCAAGTATTAACTCATACTCATTTCTGTCAATCCTAATCTGTTTAACGGCAACACTTTTGTCTTTGGCAGCCATAAAAGCCTCATTTACTTCTCCAAAATGACCCTATTAAATTGAAAAAGAGAAGAAAATATTAGAATTAAAGCATTTTTTTTGATGAAATATAAATATATTAACGTTTCCGAGTTTCCCTTTTATGACGATATCACTTTTGTCTATCCGTAAACTATTTAGATAGTCCTGTGGAACTTCCGAAAAAGTCATTTTAACTCCCCTAACTTCAAATTTTTTCGCCACTACCCATACTTTTTGGAGGTTTTCTTGTGAAAAAGTTGATAAAACTTCCGCAAAATAGTTTACTGCTTTTTCAGCAGGTAATCTTTTGTAAATATCAAAATCACAACACTTCGAAACAACATCATCATAGATATGTTTAGGGCATTTTCCCATTTCGCTCCACATGTTATATTTTCCAAGATTAAACAATTCGACCAGAAAAGTACCGTAAGCGAATATATCTGAATAGTGAGATATGATGCTTTCTGGTGGCTTTCTCTCACTATTATTTTGATAAACTTCGCCGCATCCACTATCGGCTAATTTGAATGTAAAAGTAGAGTTTTCTTCGAAAACCAAAACATTACGTAATCGTATATTGCCATGAACTCGTAGAAAAGAATCTTCTATGTTCGACTAAATAAAATAAAGTTAGTTAATCATTTGAATTTATAAATACTTATAGATTTACAAGATATTCTAGAGCTCGTGCAACTTGCTCAGCAGCGCTAACCAAAAAAGAAAATGTTACATCTTTAGGTGGTCTTGCCAAATAACTACATAAACTTCCAAGTTCGGAATATTCCAAAAAGATTTTGAACGGATAAAGTTGAACACCATATATCTGACAGATGTTATCGTGTTTCCAAGCAGCAAGCTTTTGAGCGGCTTTACTTAGTGCAATAGAAACTTGATGAGGATGCTGAGATATTTTGCTATCCCTGATACGTTTTACAGCAAATACAAATTCTCCGTCGGGTTTGTCCTCTTTGTCTTCCGAAGCTTTACAAACATTCGTATAAAATCCCAAACGTAAACTGTCCAGTGCTATTTAAAAAGAAGGAAGAGAATTTGTTCAATATATTCCAAAATATAATACAAAACTTACGATAAAGTTTTATTTCCGAATTAACAATTGCTATCTCAGACTGATTATTAACACCTCTTTTGTTAATGAACGTTTCAGGCACAAACATATCATCCGACTGACAGATGTATAATTCTACAGCTAATTTTAGAAAAAGTTCAGTTAGATTTATATATGATTTCTTTAAGAAAATAAATAAATGATTTTGTTACTATTCGCATTGACTGGTGCTGATTTTTTCAATATTATGTTAATATCTCCTGGTAGCCTTTCAATATTATGATCTTGGTAATATTTAATAAGGTCTGCCAAAGAATCGAACCGAATATCACCCTGTAAATTATAAATAGAGAGTACAGTCTACAAATTAATAATATATTTAAACAACAAGATATTACATCTTCGAGTTGATATTGTCTTTCTTTCCATACGATATTTTTCTTATAGATTTTAGGATCTACGGCGCTATCAATATACAAAAGCTTAAAGCCACTTGGGGTGCTAACTCTATGTTTTATGAGGAAGTTGGGGTCTCTTAGCTCTGTTGCCATTGAGTTAAGACGTTCGCAAGCCTTTTCATCTTTAATCGGTCCAAATATTTGGACGTTTTCAATAGAAAATAATTTATCGACATTCGTATGGTTGTCGATGTTAACATAAAAGTTGCATGTGAGTCGTATATAACCTTGCAGGCAGTAAATAAATTGATATCCTTCCTCCTTACTGTCAAAATAAACATTCTGAAAAGGAAAATTAACCACATATATTATTAAATATAACTAAAAAAAGGAGTTTTTACGGTTATTCGTGTTGGTATCCAAACCAATTTCCATTTTTTTCGTATGACATCTTCCACTAATGAACAATTTTGGACAATGTGCAATTTACATATTTCTGATTTGCCTTTTAGATTACTCGATTCCAATCGATTTTTATTTATAAAATAAACTCCTCTATACTTTATATCTTTATTATAAGGAGAAATAATAAGATCCACTTTATCAACTCCAGTTTCGCTTTCTATTTGTGCAATGTAACCTGGAAATTTATCTTCTAATCCTAGGTCGAAGTATTCGTAAAAAAAATCTAACAGATTGTAAACGAATTCAAATGGATCAGATAATAAAGGATTATTCTCATTCTTTAAATGTTTCTTAAGAGCTTTAGGTAAGCATATGATCGTTCTTAACCATTCCGTAATTTTAACCTCATGCGAATTTGGATAAAAATTTTTGGCCTTTATTTTTTTATGAACATTATTGCATGTTATTTTGTCCGAGCTGTCTTCCGGTAGTTCCGAATTATACCATATAATACAATGATCGATACTGTAAAAAACAATGGTATTATATAACGTTTCTTTTCTCTCTTTAGCAATAACGTCATGCTGCTGTAATTTTAGATTATTGTTCCTAAAATCATTATAAAACTGTAAATGTAGATATCTACATCCGTTCACATCATCTCGAATCTTAGACGGTTCAGGAGGTAACCATCTAAATCTTAAATAGAGTTTTTGTGATATATTAGGAGTTATTGTGCTTTTGAAAAAGATCCATTCCTTTTTGTTCTCGTCAAACAAAGACAACAAATACATTGTAATGGTTCTGATATTTAATTTTTCTGCTGCAAACATGATAGCTTCTTCCGCCTTTATTTCAGAAAAATCTAATTCCAGCGGCTCAAATACTTTTAATTGGGGGTAGGAATAAAAGTGAATAACAATTTTTTTTGATTCTTCCATATTTTCAAATCTTTTCCTAAAACGGAGAAAAATGTTGACAATTAAATAAATAAATAAATAAAAGACTCCTTCTATAAACATACTCTATGCCTACATAATTGTAGCATTTGCAAAATTCTCTGACACTATTGTTGACTAGACAGGAATCATGTTATCTACGAACATTTGGTATGACACATAAACACATTTTTCAACAATAAAAAAAGTTTACTCTTTCTCCGTTGAAGATCAACAAAAATGAGTTACGAATAACAAGCATACGAAAAATAGGCATAAAACGAAACTTGGAACATAATAAGAAATTACGTATATGTCAAGAAGTTTACGCAAAAAATTTTAATATTATACGAATAATTAATAATAATAACATACCAATTCGTTTAGTAGATTTTCGAATTATTAAAAATTTAAGATAGATTTCACATTTATTCGAAACTGAAAACAGGAAAGAAATGTATCTGGCAAGTCTTGTAGAGAATGATAAAAGTAGCCGTGAAAGAATGAGATACTATATGGATGCTATATATAGCGTTTTATATATAATACATTATAAAAATGTTAATGTATATTAAAATCAATTGAAAATATTGATATTAGATATTAATGTAGAATATATAATTGTTCCATAACGACTGTTATATTATAAACAATTTAACAGTAATGTAATCAAAACAACTATGTCTGTTTTAAAAAGGAATACTACTATTTTGTTCTCTAAGTCTTTAATCTATGGGTAATAGATCTTTCATATCAAACCATCTTTCTTATTTTAGAACTTTAAAAAGAATAAAAGAAATAACGACAATTTATTAATAAGTTTAATAATAAAATTATGAAGTTTTATATATTTCTGGTAAACGTCTTTTTCGATGTTAAATTATTATTATAAAAAGGAAAGCAGTTATTTTTAATATGGTCTAATTGTAGCGTGAAGTCCTCGGAGAGGCCATCTGGCGGACGGTATACCTTCCTTCCTGACATCAACGTGAAGGATCGGATTATTCCTTGCCAAACGAGAAGAATACACCGGACACGAATAAAGCTCATTAGCTTTGTTAGAATCTTGTAGTACAGGCTTGTCACTTTTATTCCAACAGGTAACATGTAAAACTGGTAGGGAGGAACACAAGTTTCTGGATGGTTGATCCACCATTTCAGCAGCTGTTTTATCGTAGTGACAACCCCACATATAAATTCCGTAGACAAATATTCCTTCTACTGGAGGTTCCCTAATATGTTCTTTATCTCTAGCGGTCACCTCGGTCTGCAAAATTACTTTATCTATATTGCCAGCTCTTTCATTACTAGTTTTCTTGTAGAAATCATGTTTGAGGACGGCAAAGAGCGAACTTGGCTGAAAGAAAGCACCTAACCAATATGCAGGCATTTTATCTCGTCCAAGAACCAATAATTTATCCAAATGCTGACATCGGTTATTTAAATCATTTATCCAAGAAAGTAATGAATGGTGGGGTGGTGGAGCGGTTTCATAGGCTAACTTTCTCCAAATAGCTGGTATGCATTGATTATATAAATCATATGCAATCTGAAGTTGATTTTCCTTTAGATTATCTCCAAAGCTAGATAATTCGCATGCCTGTTTTATAGCACTTAACGATACTTTCATCTCGGCTAATAGCTTGAACATTAACTCAACTTCGTTTATAATAAATAAATTAAATGGTGTAAAACCTCCAATTTTCTTTGCTCTTTCAATCACATAGTCCCTAGTATAACCCTTCGGTAATTTGTTTAGAGATGTATGACAAATCTCCCATAATTCAATCTCCTTTCGCATTTTTACGAGAGCCGCCGATGCTGATGCGAAAACTCCTGTTCTAGCTGCAACTGCTGGCTGTGCGGCACTTTGACTGATTGCTGCTATTGGCGCTCCCTCCAAAGGAGTTGGTGGACGGGGAAAGGCAAGGTGAGACAGAGTGCGACTGGACGGCATATGATCATAGATTAGATTAATACGAGTGAATACATATTGGTCGTTAGCCAGAACGAGTTCCGATGATGAGTAAATATTACATGCCTCCGGAGTTTCCAAGTGCTGAACATTTATTGCGTCTAGAGATTGAATTAATTGTTGCATTTTCGCAGTCGGATTAAAGAACATAGCAGGAGGTCTATACTTTATCCTAGGAGGCTCAAAGTCTTTTTTCGTTGCGTTAGGACTGATCCAATAATCAACCATTGACGATATCGCTGACAAATCCAAGGGATGCCCAATGGCACGACCAAATAGGCCATCACTGAGACCAAATCTTACACCAGACCAAGATGGTGACCGATTTAAGAGAGAACCATCCGGCAAGGGACACTGTAAACCATCATTAAACTCATTGATTGCATATAATAATAGTTCGTTCAAATCCCCGATATCGACAGACAGGGCTGAGGAAGCCTCAACAAAGCCCGCAACCCCGAATTGAGCTCTCAGTCTAACAGCAGCGTATAAATAAATAATATTGTGAAGGACAATGTTCAATTCTTGTCTTGTTTGATTTCGATTGATGCAGCTTTCGATGCTGGACAGGGCTCTTTGCATTGTTACTTTCGAATTTGTTGGAGTATCTAAAGTTACCCTTGTGGATGAGTGTAAGAAAGAAGTGGGTAATTGTTCCGTGTAGCGTGCAATTACGAAACAACGGAAACTTTCGGGCGGATTTTTTGATTGAAGGAAAGTTGCTAGATTATCTAATAGTTTTGGTCCATTTTGTGCTGAAAATAATAATATCCAACATTGTTCATTGACAGCTTTTTCTATTTGTTTCTTTATCGATTTATCTTGACCTTTTTCTAGACCGCAAATTGTCAATGTTGTTAGTTTTATATTCCTTTTCAAGGCTGATTCTCTGATTACTTTTTCTGCACTTTCGGCATCTTCATTTATATGAACAAAAGCTATCGGAGAGGCTGGTTTTGATGTCCTAAGAAGCGTTCCTATATCCGCTGGAGGTTCAGCTGTATAACGTTTTCCCAATACTGTGTTTACGTAAAGGGTAGTGAGTTGTAATAATCTATCCGATCGTACGGCCCTCACTATCAACATTTTCTGTAATGGAGTAAATTCATCATCCATTTTATCGGGCAACGGAACATTTTCCGCCATCTCATTTTCGCACAAGCTTCTCCATTGAGTTTCTCGCCCATCTCTAGGCATTCGCTCAAACATATCCCTGAACCAAGGAAAGTGGACTGCGAGTATTTGTAGATTATTGTACGCGTCGTCGTTCATCCAATCAAAAGGTTTTTTCATCTGACCAACTTTTGTATGTTCTCGAGTTTCTTCTTGACTAGCTATTTTTGCCATGGTAATTGACCCAAGGTGTGGAGATATTAGGAACTCTCTCTCCCCTAATCCAAGACGACCACAACTCTCTTCAACTTCTAAGGCTAAGATAACGCTAAAGATGTGTCTATCCTTTTCAAGCAACATCCTGCCCGTATAACTATAGCAACTCCACATTAATCGTTCAACAATTACGTTAACAGCCGATCTATCTGAATGAAGTATAGCACTATCGTATATCTCTACAAACTGATTCCAAGACATGCGATAAAACGCTTTCAAAACTGCCATGTGTTGGCCTACATCATAGCAAACAGCTGCTCGACGAGCAATAACCCTGTAAACTTCTCTACCTTTGTTAACGCCTTCATCGTTTTGATCAATCTTCGACATTGTTTCATTTGTTTCATCTAAATGTTTCTTTAATTCAGCAATTTTCCTAATATGATTTAGTTCGCTAAGTAGACGAGTACCAGACGCCAGATGACAGCTAATATCTTCTTCGAGTATCTTCTTTTTCTCTAGCTGTTCAAGACGTTCATCTAGTAATTGATTCCGTTCGGTCCACAATCTAGTTTTCTCCAAACGGGTGAATCTATCTAATAATTCTTCCTCAATGTTCATTCTAGTGTCGCTGACATTAACAACAGTAACATAAGCTGACAGTTCAGAGGGTAACTTTGAAGGTTCAGTTGTCGTGTGTAAGAAGAGGCGAAAAGAAGGACGGCATTCAACTTCATGTCGTCCAACTTGTAATTTAAATGGACTAGTTGATTCTGTAAAACGCTTTCTAGCTAATATTAACTTTGAAAACCTTTTATCCGATATAATCTCATCAGCATCTACATCTTTGATTAAAAGTGCCGAGCCATCCGTTAAACTTGTTTCCAACTGTGATTTAATATCGCAATACCGAACAGTTGTCAACTTTTGACCATTAGATTTGATAAAAGTTTCTAGCCAAGATGGTGATCTTGCAGATACATCGCACAGCATTGGCCACGAATTAGTTAAATGATCGTGAATTATAAGGCAACTACTGTCAAGAGCTGATGGCGAATAGGGTAATCCTGATCTTTTCCATTTAATATCAACGTAAGGTTCCAAAAGGAAGTTGTGTAAGCTGACATTTTCAAGTAGAACTCTACTTGAGGTTGGTAAATCATTGTGACGACATATTGTCATAAAGAATGTTCCCATTCTCGATCTACCATCAATGTCAAGAGGGGAACAATATACTAAGCAAGCTGCGGCTACTATACAATTGCAAAGGAGAATATCATTAGAGGAATATTCTTTTACGTATTGTTTCCAAGTTCGTTCAACATCTCTTATAGATTCAAGCAGATCAGTAGCAGCTTTTAAACGATCTTTCATTGAACTCAACTCTATTTCTAGACCATGCTTTTTCTCGATCGTTGAATCAAACTTCTCCTGCATTTCATCAACTTCACTTTGAACTCTGGCCAAAGCTTCTTCATTGTACACCTCCTCTGATGTCTTCTCTGTATCTCTTTCCTCAGATTCGTCCTTTTCTTTCCCATTTGCAGAATCTGACTTTTCCTTGGCAGCTCTTGCCATCTCCTCAATTTCCAATACTAATTCATTACGCTTATCTATAGCGGCTTTTAATGGTCCACATCTGACAAGAAAAAGCCTTTTAATATATTTTTTAATAAGATAACAATTTCCTTTTACCTTCTATTAAATTCGATAATTGCCAGAGTGTATTCAACTAGGGTGGCAGCATCTTCCGACGAATATTTAGCAGCGGCGACTGTAATCCCCTTTGGTTCTGGAGAGGTACTTCTCTGAGCGACAAACGTCTTATCTTTTGCATTTTCCAACATAGTGGAACCTTCACCACCTAATTTCCCATCAGCCGATTTAGCAAAATAGCTTTCAACAGCAGCAGCTACATCATCCGGTATGCCTTCCTCCCATCTGACGTTGTGGAGCATATCAACAAATTTCGGGGAATCATTCATAGCTTGTTGCAATTGTTTCCAAGTAGTCCTATCGTATCTGCCTCCCGTTCCACTTGAAGATTGTTCCAAATCAGGTTTCTTAACTAATTTCAAAGATAAAACAGGATAAAAGTTTATATAAATTGAGAGAGTATAAGAACAAAAAAAAAAGAGCAGAAAAACTATCATTAGGAACGTGCAAAAAAATAACAGAAGGAAATTAACTTTTGCAGTGAGAACTTTGTTCTTTTCTACGCATGCTTTTATAATCTTAAAATGCCGATAGTGACGCGTGACCTAAACAGGTTAATTTATTGTTCTCCTTAAATCAATATTCTCCTTTAAAAACTTCTAATGGGGAACATCATAAAAACAACTAAGGAGAAAATAGCTTGACATGCAATTAGTAAAGTGTATAGTTGATTGTTTCTACATAAACGATTCTAGTAATCTTCCTAGATACAAAAAAAAGAAGCTAAATAAAGGTTTTGAGGGATTTGGGAAGGCCTAGCCATGAATAAAAGTCATATTAGCTAGATATTAGTTAATTCTAATATCTTTCTAATATATGCACATGAATATATTGCGTAAGTGGGGTATAAATTTCGTTCTGTGTCTTACCACTGCTATCCGAATCAGTTGTATCGCTCAAAGCGGATAAAGGACGAGAGAAAGCTGTCGTTTGTAATAGTTTTAAAGAAAAGAAAATGAAAAGAAAGAAATAGATGATCACGTTTCAATCTTTTTCTTTTGATTAGAGTACAAAATAAAGTTTTAAAAGAATAGAATATTCTGGAACGACTTACGTTTTAATCTTTGAGGTGGATTTGTCATTTTTGTTGAACTAGAACTTGCTGAAAACCTAGTGGAAGATTCATCCTTTGGATAATCTGGTCTATCTCCTAATCTCATTGTTGGTGGTCTTTTGCCAATTAATATCATAACCATCTCGATAACTTGTCCAACAAGAATGGTTGGATTTTGAAAAGCTTTCAATCTGTCAATTGTACTTCTATCTACTTTACTACGCCAAACGTTTACTTGCTTTCTGGCATTTTCCAATTGTTCTTGACAAATTGCCAAATTCTTTTCAGCTACTTGTAATTCTTCGTGGGCCTTTACCTCCCTAGATCGTAGATTTGCTTCTCGAAGCTTTTCAAATTCTTCATCATAAGTATCTCTTTCGTCTTTGGATGCTTGTTCTAGTAATTCGTCCTCTTCAACTTCGCTATCGTGAACAGTTTCATCATCAGACATTTGTAAGAAAGCCAACAATGCGCTTGGTTTGAGAACTTTAGCTTTTATCTTTTCTAATAGGGTTGCTTTCCTAATTAAATTATTTAATAAATCAGTTGTTTCGACTTTAGCCGCTTCATATTGTTGAGATACTTGTTTAATATCAGCCTTAGTCTTTTTTACATCCTTTCTCGTTTGATCTAAAGTAGACAAAGCCTTTTCCAATTTAGCAACTTTTTCGGTTCTCTCTGTAGATTTAAGCTTCAATAACTGATGAAATGTATCCAAAAATCTACGGAAAGTTGTTGGGCCAACAAAGACGTGATGAGGTTGACTTTCGAAAGCTAATTTCTGCTTTCTCTTGATGGCGTCTATTAAAAGATATTTCGAGTATGGTTTATTAGAAACTTTCTTATCTGTAACTTTTATTTGTTCTTTCTTCTTTTCTTGAAACTTTATCTCTTTGACTTGTATTTGAGGATTTGTATTGCCCGCCCATTTCATTTGGCCACACTCTTCAAGGACAAACGAATGCATATTTGCTAAAGTTGTTACAACTCTACTTGTTAACTCTGATGAGCAATTTTCGCATACTTTATTCTTATGGATATAATAGTTGGCATCACCCAATAGAACAGCCTTAGGCCAATCGTTAAGCCATATTACTTGACAATGAGAGAATAGTCCAGGGAAATCATAAATCGCACTTGCCAATAAACTATGCGACGGTGGTAAACATAAAATAATATGTAAATTTGATTTAACTCTTGATACAAAATAATCGTGTAAGCTGGCGCTGGAATGAGGTAATTCTCTTTTCATAACGGGTTGCAAAGCCTGCAGCAAACCATCCATTTCATCATTAGAGAATAAGTGAGGATATTCCCCAGATATTAATACTGAATTTATAGCATCTAAATACTGATCATTTGTTAATTGTCTTCCATCTAAAAATATTGTTAGCACTTTACCCTCTGCGCCTGTCATTCTTATAGCACTTCTTAAGCCATCCATAAAGGTTGTAGATTTAGATGTATCCATCTGATGTATTTCTAACTCATTCATATGAAGTGCGAGTCGACATAGGGTACTTAGATGTGTTCCAATAGGTCCAACAAATACGATATTGGCATCTTTCTGATGCGATAGTACTCTATGCAACCTCACAACATGGGCAATTATGTTTTCCGATAGCATCATGTCCAATTGAACATTGCCCAGCTCTTCGTTATAACGATTTAAGTGAGTTTGAAGGCACGCGTGAACGTCAGTCAAATTTTGAATGGGTAGTAAACTACATCCCTATTAACGGATAATAATAGAAAGAATTATATTAACTCTCTTATTTAAATATTATAATTACCATTGCGGTAGATTGTTCCTTTCTGGCTGGAATTTGTTGAAAAGATCTACTTTCAATTGGGAAAGTAACAAAATGGGAATGTAAATCTTCTTCTTTTAATTCCGTCCAAACTTCGCTAAAAACTCTGCTCAAAACTTCATCAAACCAATTTATATCAGAAAATCGAGCTAAACTATCTTTTATAATCCTTTCTGTTTCGTGCCTCCATAGGCTAACAATGAATAATTCGTCCTCCCTACTTTCATCAGCCATTTTCTTCAGACTGGAGAATATTGCTGTCATGGTCTTTAGCGTAAAGAGATAATGGTTTCTTCCAGGCTGTGAAGATGGTCTTAGTACACTGCTTACTTCATTGTAAATTGTTAAAGAAGCTGAAAAGTTTACAGTTTTAGAGCAATATAAAAGAATACTTAAAAATTAACTAACCTTGAACAATCCTGTCGTAAACTTCGATATCAAGACCAGGCTTATCATTTTGAAGCATAACGCATTCTAATACTCCTCTGAAGATAGTTTTTAACGCTTCATCACCCATGTCTGGAAAGTTAAGTACACAAAAGTGACGCATTAGACGAGAGTCAAGGGGTTTATTTTTGAACGATGGCTGTTTAGATATTTTCATCGTTGCCAGCACACTTAAACCTTCCACGGTCCTCCATTCAAACGGGGAAGTTTGAGTAATCATGAGTTTTGAGTCGACAATTTGTCTTGTTAACTCTGAGAGACGAACAACGCCATATTCATCCGGGCGCGGTAGATTGATGTCGTCGATAAACAGTTTAAATAACTTATTATCTTTTGCACCATATACAAATCCTTGCCTATGTGTAATATTTGATTCGATAAATTGTTGGAATTGATAAGCTGTTGATGAGCCAGAAAAGACGATTCTTTTATTAATACTTTTAGCTGATTCAAGTGCTGATTGATAATCGTCCATCATTGTACTCTTGCCACAGCCTGGAGGTCCAATTAGGAGAACATTCTGACCATTTTGAGCAGCAAAATCAAGAAGCATTCGAGTTTGTATAGTTCCAATAGTGTCTATAAAAGGTTCTTGTAGTAAATTTACATGGTCTAATGGAGCTACTTCCGGTACTCTGGCAGTCCAAGGATCCCATTCACCGCTGTCATCTACGTAATAGTCGAAAACGCAGATATCTCTATCATCATCCGGAAGTGACGTTGTTAAGGTCGTTAATAGTTCGGAGAACTGCTTACGTTCTTTTTGATCGAGGAACGTTCCAAATGACCACATAAGGCAGAATATGAATAATCTTTCAATATGTAAGTCACCGCCAATTTCTATATTATCTGCCAGCATTGCAGAGAGTAGATGTAAGGTTGTTGCAAACATACCCGAATCGGTTAATCTAATGGGAGGTTTACAGTCATTACAAATGAAATTACAGACAGGATCGACAGTCTTGTTGAAAGCCTTCGATAAAACAGTCGATTCTTGAGGAGACCTGTTTTCAAGCCAGGCTTTAGCTAAAGGTTTCCAACCAACTGCTGCATGGTCTACGTAAACTATACCACACTTGGAAACAATAGCGGGAGCAGCATTGGACAGATCATCCGTTTCAAATATTACTCGAACGTTTGATGACATAAAAAGTTCATCTCCAGTTGGTAGAGTCATCCTTTGTGTACTATCTAGAACAGTATTAAAAATTCCTGCCCAATTTGATCTTATTGGCCCATCCAAGCATAACCATGTAGTTGATTGATTACGGTTTATTTTCTTCCAAGTGTTCGTTAAGACTCCATCAACCCATTCTCCATCCTTATTTAACGAGCCCAGTATCAGTTGTAACTGGTCTGTAACTAATGGATATAGCTGAATGAATTTATGACTGGTATCAACTGAATCTCCATCAGGTTTAGTTTGGGAAAGTGCGTTTATAACAGAGGATATGACTGTGGATTTACCATTACCCGCCGATCCACAAACAATTATGCCTTGTTGAACACAGGAAATTTGATAAAATTTAATGCACTTATCCAAGAAGATACCAGAAGCAACTTTTCCTTCCTCTCTTAAAACACTTTCAACTGCTTTCACAATAGGCTCACCTGCTGAATTCATTGGAATATTTTTAGGTGGTTCCGGTAGACCGCTAAATATATCTTTTATCAAAAACGAAACAACCCCTGCGTGCTCCGGTGAATATTTTCCAACTATTAATTCGTTCATACATTGACCGACAAGAGCATGATCTGCTTTGGCAGCCTGCGTAAGAGAATTAGGAGTACTTCTCCTCTTTTCTGAAAGGGCTGCCCCTGGTCTTCCCTGATTTATGGTTAACTGACTTGGTTGTGTTGTTTTTAGAGATGATTCTGATGAGAGAAAAAAATTATTAACCACATTAACTACACTAAAGAAATGATAAGATTAGAGATTATTAGGTCTTAATATTTTCTATAACAAACTCTGAGAAAGATAAATAGGTTTGTAAATTGGCTTTAAATAGTATCTATTTTCTGTTTTTGACCATTCGCACTCAAAAGGGGGCGGTATTTTTCTCTTCGGTGGTTCCCTAGGTTGAAATTCAAAAAACTGATTCGAGTATCCTAGAATTTTTAGGTGCTTCGGCAAATTAATAAAGGTTAACGCCTGTCTAATTGGTTTGGAGAGTTTAGGTTTATATTGATCCTCAACTACTTTTATCGTGTCGTAAGTTTCCTCAAACACGTTCGAAATACTCGTTAGATTAGTAGCGGATACGGAACGAGGAGTATTACCAGGAGGGATCGGAACTCTAAACGAACCTTGCTGATTTGGATTTGATAATTGAGAATTTGATCTTGAACCCATATCCAATCTTGCACTCTTCATATCATCCGTTGAGCGTTCCTTTTCCAATCTAAGAGTTTGTAAGCGTTGACCAGCGCACTGTAGAACTGATATAAGCGCAGACAAGCTCAAACGACTCTGAGGTTCATCGGGACTGAAAAAGAATCGAAATTATAACACACGCTAAGGTGTAATATAATTAGTAAAAGGCTTACAACTGTTCGGAACATATATCGTTGAAATAGGATAATCTCTGGGCTAATATAGACGGTGACTTTAATCCATAAGCTGATGCCTTTGCCTTTAGCACAACTATAGGATCTGGTTTTAGCATACTAATTGTCCTAAAGTAGGGTCTTAATTGATTTGGTACTCGTGAATCGAAAGGAGTTTCGACTGTAGAATAGGTTAGAAAGAAAGCAGTGCCTGGCTTTAAAGATACTTCTTGTCCATCTCCTAAATTACAGCAATTTGCAGCAGTTTTTAATGCCCTTTGAATACTTGAGACATGATCAAGAAGTACGTTGACAATTCCTGGTGAAGCGGACTGTATATCTTCAATTAAACCCCAACAGCCACAAACTGCTAAGCCTCTTAAAACTCTACAAAAAGCTGCTGTACTTGTTTTATTGCTCAGTTGAAACATTGCAAGAAAGTTTGCGGTAATTTGTGCAAAACCCCTGACAGTATCCGTTTTACCGTATGATGGTCCACCGCATAATAGAGACCCTTTATAGCGACTAAGGGCCTGCGACATGTTGAAAAATGCTTTATCTGTCGCAGGAGATAGACCAACAAACGACTCACAGCCATAAAATTCACAACCGTAGATTAGTCGGTCATCTAGAATATGAACGGATGGAGAACGCTGTTCTACATCTGTATAAGAGAGGTAAAATCGTACGGTCCTACGCCAATCAAAATCGGTAATGTCACGAATCTTTCTTCGAGCTATTTCATCAAACATATCTTTCAAAAAGAGTGCTTGAGAACAAAGAGCTTCCAATCTTCTTCTATGTACTACTCGAATTGGCTCATTACCGTAATTCCTCCAAAAACCTCTAATTAAAGTTGATGGTATTTTCGAAACTAATGAAGCAAACTTTTTAGTACCATTTGCCAATGATTTTCTGTCAATTTTCATATCAGTGATACTTTTCTCACAATTTAAAGTCCATAAGTAATGTAAACCTGCTTTACAGACTTGTACGGGATACTTATAAGCCCAATCAGCACATGAACCTTCACTTAGGGCATCTTCGCAGATATCTATTAGTAACTGCCTGATGAGACTAGAGCAAGATTTTTCGACTCCGTTTAACCATACTTCAACACCTTCTGCAAGTTGCACTCTGTCTCTTAATCTAAGATGTTCCCCATCTATACTTGTCACGGCGACTGCTTCGTAATTGACAATCTCATCTGCCATTAATTCGGATGGTAGAGCAGTAGGAACGTTTGCTGTTGAAGTATGACTAGCTGTATGTAAGGTGTGCAATCGTTTATCAATTTTTGGGGGAGTTTCTGAATGGGTCATTAAATATGGAGAAGTTGAAAGTCTACTATTCGAGCGCTCCGTCATGGAGGATCTTCTATCTTTTTCCGTTTCCTTCACTTGTTCTACAAGTATGTTGTTAATACCAGAGAATATCGACTTCAGATGTGGTCGAGCCGACTCAAGGTCATTGGGTTTGGATAATATAGCAAGCAATACTGAGTCACTAACGAAAAAGAATCTTGGGAAAATTTGACGCTTGGCATTTAAGTAATTCGTTAGAGATTTGAAGCATATTTCTAATTCTTCGTGAATGTTACGGAGAACTGCTGCTTTGGGAACATCGTCACCGTAGCAGCATTGCAAAACGCTACGAGTTTCGGCGGCTCTCTTCATCATTTTTGTCCATCCCTTATCTATTCTTGTGAATCTTTTAACTTCTTGCGGTAATTCTTTAGCAGCTTTTTCTTGACTGAAAACGGCTTCCAAGTATTGCCAAAGATCCTGAGTAGCAAGCCATTCTTCTAAAACAAGAGATACCTGCTTTAATTTCTCAGCCCAATTTGCGGCTTCATCTCTCATAGGACCAACATGGCGAGAGGTAAGCATATTAGCAAGCATAGCTTTGCTATCATCAAGTTGTTCTAACAATCTTTCTGTATGTTTCTTATCTAAATATATATTCCCGCGTTTCTTATAATGAGTGAAAATTAAAACTTGATCAGTCCATTCGTCCTCAGTTTGTTTTAATCTAATTTCCAACTGCTGTTCGTGGGCGGCATTGTAACAAATTTCCTCAATGGCATCCGAATGATTAATTAAATTAATATCTAAAAGATGGCATAATTTGAAAACATTTGCTTCCAATTGAAAAGCGGAACCAGTCACTTGCATGACCTGAAGCCAATGTCTATTACGGATTTCTCTTGTGGCTAACCGTTGAAGAAGCGGGAGAATATTTAAATAATTGTTAATAGCAGTTTTCATTTCGTGATAGGCGTCCCAATCCTTTAATTTACTTGGAAGGGCGAGGCATTCGTCCCAATACTCTTCAACAGTCGAGTAGGCCCCTTTTAAATCAACATCAGCCCATAGTGTATCCCGAAATTCTTCGTCAAACTTTATAAACTTTTGAAAGAGCCCATACAGCATACCAAGAAGATTTAATTCTTCACCCGTTCTGTCTAACTCTTCGAACGGTTTGCAAGGTATGCCAAATAATTTCGATACAGAATCTAAAGTTTTTCTTTTCGTCTCGTAGAGGGCATATCGATTTTGGAAATCCTTTAGTCGATTAACTGCCACCATTGGAGATATTCCAGGAACAGCCGGTCCTTGTGCATCAAAAGCATTTCGAAATTGCATTACTTCAACAACAAAATTCTACAAAAGGTAAAAAATATTTATTAATTAATTGAAAACTTATTTGTAAATGTTTGTTGTTCTCTTTTTAAAACTTACTTTGACTTGTTTGTCAAGTTCTTGTTCAAAGTTGTTTCGTCTCTCTTTTAGTAAACGATTTCTAACTTCTTCAGCTAAATTTAGCAAGTCGCTCCATTCAGAGCGAAGGGATGTTAGATCGTCAATTTCTCTCCTTGGTAATCTTAAGTTGAACTCCCTTAAGGTGAACAGTTTAAATGCATTAATACCTTTCTAAATTGAAAGCTTAAATTTTGACTTACTGTAGTTGAGTATACATCTTTTCTATTGGTCGATAAATAGCGTCTATTTTATTTTCCATATCTCTCAGCTCTTCTAGTAGACAGAGGGTGGTATTCAACTGATCTAGATTAATGACCTCTACATCTAATCTTCTCCTAACATTGTTTCTATAGAGCAAGGCTTCATCCAGTTTTGTCTAATAGAATAATAAAATTTTTTGCTTAAAGGGCAGACAAGTGTAGAAATTAAATTACCTTCGCTTGTTCATGAAGGGCAGATGCATATTTTTGTTTCCAAGTCATTGCAAATCCGTGGAGAGCATCCCTGACTGGATTAGTGGAGAGTAGGACACAACCAACTGGCAATCTCTCTGGGATAGATAATACCTGATTCTCAATACGTAATAGTCTTTCGACCTCTCTTTTCATTGCTTCATCTCCTGGATCGAATGACACAAACTCATTGTAATTGCCGACCATGTCGTCTTTCCATAAAAATTCATGCATTTGCAAATGCTGAATATGCTGTTGGACAGTGGGTTCTAAATGGCCCATAACACCTCCTAAATGAGCCAATATCTTTGAGACACAACTGTCATTTTGTAGACGTCTGAGCAACCTCTCTCCCAACATGTCTCCTCCTAACCAGACTATACCCGAAGCTACATTAACTATAGCCCGAGCAACGGTTATCAGACTCGATTGAATATATTCCAATCTAGGCTCAATAGATATTGTGGGAATATTGAAGTTAAGGGACACATTAAACCGCAAATAAGTTACGTTTGCGGCTTCTTCTGTAGTCCAAGTCATATTCGAGAGAACTGATAAAACCGATGTAGGTCTACTACAGCTTCTTGCGCTTTGAGCCCGTAATATTCGACTAGATAACGGTGAGTCAAACGAATCGGGTGTTTCAGATCTAAGTACATCTGGATCACAACCAGATGATTCGGCCAGTATAAGTAACGATCTCAATATCGCTTTTTCAACGACTATATATAATTCTTCAACATACGAATCTGTAAATAATTCATTATTAAAATTACTATGAACTTTTACAATAATTACTATATATTTGATTATTTTTACTTAATAATTCTTCTGCCGCTTGATCAGCTTTAGTTTGTTTTTGTACAGAAAATGGTATATCACCGCTAGATTGATGAGAAGATGTACTTCTTGCAGTATTAGGCTGTGTTTTGATATTAATAAACAATTAACATTTTTCAAATTATCAATATTAAGAATAGATAGAACAATAAAACGTATTAATAAAAATTCTCAACAAAAAAAAAAAAAAAACAACTAAAGTTGTGTTAAGTAGTTTGTTTTATCACACTTGTGTAATTGATATTTTTGTTTGTTTTGTTTGTTTTTTTCTTTTTTTAAGATTATAAATTAAAAAACCACAAAAAAGCCAAAAACTGAAACAAAAAAAGAAAAAAACAATAACAAAAAAAGTAAAAATAGGATAAAAGTTTTTGACAAACAAAAAGAAAACAAAATAGAGAAATGATATTTTTTTGTTTCTTTTTTTTTTTTTTAAAAAAATAAAATTAAATAATAAAATATCTTCTTCAAATAATTTTTTAATAAGATAGACGGTACACCATCATCCTAATTACCGGTTTTCGTTTAATAACGATTCGTTGACGCCATTTTTTAAGTGCTTTCAATGTTGCAAAGAGAGTATAGAATGTGTGACCCTGATTGTCCATGTATAAATAGTGAATATTAATAGAATATGGTTCAAAACTATTTAAAATGAATGAGATATTTGTTTTTTAAAAGTAGTAGTTTCGGAGAAGTGGGGTACGAAAAGTAAATAGGGAATGGGATTGTTTATTATATATTAGGTGATTTATTAGTGATAGGGAACAATGCAAGAAACAGCATAAGGGTAAAAAAAAACGAATTAATTGCTGATTAAGCCATTTCAATGTCAAGGCTAATATTTTTTTAATAATAATATATAGAGGAATGTTATTGATTCCAAAAGAAAGCTATATTAATTTTAGTTCATGTTTAAAGTATCTTCCTTTATCAATTTATCTTTCAAAGTAAAAAAAAACAGATATAAAAAAAGTTATACATACTTTACTCTTTGTTAATAGATTTGCGCATTCTTTTATTCCAGTTTCCATTGTCGTAACTAAATCGTGTAATCTGCATAAATATGTTTTTTTTATTATTATAGATTTAATAAACAGTGAATGTTCTTTTTATTAAAATTGTTTACCTTTGTCCCTTAGATTGTATAGAACTTACAATAGCAGCTGTAAATTCATTTGGTGGCCAACACCTTGAAAACAAGGAAAAATTAGTAAAGAATAAATAGATAAAAAGTGTTTAATTTAAATATTTTACCTGTCAAACGCTAATTTATAATCGAATAGAACCATTTGTTGAATTGTTTGCATGGCTCCGCCCACTTTTAGATCCATTATATCCTGAACTTTTTTACACAGGGCCTTTAATTTTTCTATAGCCCTATGAGTTTGATGTAGAAAAGCATCGATATTCATACTAGTCCAGGTAACTGTTGCGAAACCTGGTTGGAATGATGCTTTACATTCATCAATATGAGGCGTAAATAGTCCTAATAAATGATCCGGGATAAGACTCTTAACTGCATTAAAGTCTGATATGCATAATTCAAGCTGATCTCTATAATACTTAAATCGTTCTTCATACTCTAAAAGGTTTTTACTCTGATCAGTTAAAGGTATCTTGAGTCTTTTCAGGCATCTAACTTCCTGCATTGTTTGAAAGAGAGTTTGATCAAGGTTAACAGCAACTTCTCCATCTTCAACTTTATATAATGGAGAAGATATAAGACGTCTAGCGACTTCAACGTCACGCTTTAGACGCTGCAGCCATAAACTTTCAAAAGTTACTAGAGTTTCTGCTAATCTGTTGTAGGACCTGATTATCCTCCTAAATTCTCTTAATTGACTAACAGCACTTTTTGAACTTAAAATATTCATAGGCTGTTCAATTCTATTAAGCAGCTGTCTAACCCAGCTGACAGCTCCAGCAATGGGAGGAACATTTCTAACAATGGGTGGTTTTGATTTTTCTGCTTCATATATTTCTCCAATTCTATCCACATCATCTTCGTACCATGATAAAACCTGGGAATATTTATCCGATATAACTAGTCTGGTACTTATTCGATCTTGAACAGACTCAAATCTACAAAAAGCATAAAAATTAAATATATAATCGTTATTCTCTCTCCCCCTCTCTCTCTCTCTCTTCTAGAAAAAATATATCTTACTTTGACAATAGTTGTAATGCTTCCCTAGTTTCCATCTTCCTCATAAATATTGCTTTAAGATAAGCCGAAAGGAGAAGCTCTAACTTTTCTATATTAAAATTAAATTCGGAGTAGGCCGATTCAAATCTATCTTTATCCTTTTACAAAATAAGAGTAGAAGAGACAAAATTAGTTTATATTATAATCAATAGTGATTAGGAGAAACATTTACTTTGCTCTGTAAATCGAAAATAATTCGTGTGCTTAGACAATCAGCTAATTGCTTGGCTATCTTGCTAAATTGGTTATTTATGACATCGTTGAAACTGTCGCATAACTTTAAATCTTTAGTTGGCGGATAGAACTCATCTACAAACGAAGATAAATGTAAGGATAACATATTTCTCCTCATTTAAGAACTAACGTAGTAAATCGGCTTCATTTAGAGTTAGCCGAGTGGGTGATTGACGACGAAGGGCATCATAATATTCGTCAGCCTCGTTTCCTTGAGAATTCTCGCCCTCTTCTTTTTCATCGTCGTCTTCTACTATCGCTTTTAAAGAATTTGCCGGATTTGATGGTATAGTAATATCATCAATTGTCACAATATCCGCTCCTCCTTGTCTGTATCTATCGTATTCTTTTTCGTTTCCTTTCTCATCAATAACTACCTCGTCCATAGACGGTTTAGGTAAACCCATAGATGAAATTCTCAGCCTACAAATTATTGTATATTGAAATGAAACAAAGATTAATTGTTTTGTATACCTATGGAATTGGGACAATGTTCCCGTTAAATCATAAACTTTACGCAATCTCATACAGAAAAAGTCAAGATGAGCAAGAATATTTTGCTCATCCTGTATATTTATGCCGTTAGGATCAGCAAGTAATACATTTCGCTTATTAGGTGATGTTGTTACACTACTCCTCTGGCCAGTTTTTGCATCAGAAGCACTAGGCCTTGATTTTCTAAAAGCGGAAATAAATTATTAACAAATAAATAGCAGCTGACAAACGAAAAGATATATGAAAACTGCTTGTACCCTGTGGCCGAGTTCATAGCTAAACTGGACATTGATGTATAATTTGACATAGGCGCAGCAGTATAATTTATAGCCTGCGGAATTTTTTGCAGAAAATCTCTATAATATCTTTGCAATTGAAAGCAGATAGCCAATCTAACTAAAAATCCTTTTTTTTCCCCGTTAGTCTCCTTTGTCCTCGACTGTTTTTCCTTTTTAGTTATCTAAATAAAGAGGAATAACAAATCTATAGATTAAATGATTAAATATTAACTTTTAATATACTTTTTTTTCCGATGGTTCTAAATTTTCACCGTATTCACTTATAAGCTGTCTAACATCCTCCGGAATTGCTTGATTCGTTCCGAATATCTCTTTCTCTATAACTTTCCAGAAACAATCTACATCATCTGTCATGGTCCAATCACTGATGTAATTCTTGCATATTGTAACAATTTGATTCGTTATCTAGAAAAGAATTTCAAATTTCATTTGGTAAGGAAAAAAGTCAATTAAATCTTCTTAATCGGAAATTACTTTGCTCAAGAGTAGGCCTAGATATCCGGTTCTAGCATAATGCCTAGAAACGGATTCCATTTGCTTTAAGGTTGTCAAGAGAGCGGGTAGAACATTTGTCATTAGTGAATAAGGTGTACTGTCCGCATAGAATCCTTCTAGATGTTTTCTTAGAGATTCGAGAAATCTTACTTTATCTTTAGTTTCATTAACGGCGTCCGTAACCCTATAATAGTTGGCGATGAAATATTATACTATATATTCTATATATATTAATTTAATAAATACTCACGCGGCGTCAATTTGCTTCCATTTCTTCAACATTCTGGATTTGGCAGCAATCAGAACACTAAGAACTGATTTACATTCTTTACTTTTTAACTGTTCCGTTATACTTCCTACAAGTCTTTGTCGTCTTTGCCATCTTTCTAATTCAGCTAGAGGACCGGAAGTTGGGTCAAAATGCCTAGGTTATCAATGAAAAAGTATTTCAAAATAATTTGATTAATTAAGAGTAAAACCAAAGTATTTACTTATCAACTCTAGCGTCAGACAATACAGCTTCACTTGTGGCTATCCATTCGGCTAATAAGGCCTCGTAACTAGCAACAGCATTACTATCTTGAGCAATGGTTCTCTGCTGTTTAAAGTCCGTCGTTTCTATATTTTCAGGTCGTTTTAAAACCTATATGATATACAAAGATATATAACAACAATAACTATAATCAATTGACTTGTGTGTTTAAAGTGTTTAACTATTTACCATTTGCTTTGTAGTTTGAGAATGTACCGAACTGTCTCGAATTATGCCCATAACTCTATCTAAGTTGTGAAAAAGAACTGATTTGTTGTCGTTAGAACAATCGCTCCAATCCTTTTTCTCTTTTAATAATGGAAGAAATAATTCTCCCATCGAGTAATTTAAAGTTTCTAGTATGCTTCCCTTAATCTCTCCACAAAATATATCTTTTTGCATATAGCTCATATCTACATCATTATCTGTTCTACTTCTTAGAAAATAAATAATATTTGTTTCATTCATTGGAACTTGAATGATATCTTCTAGGCTGGTGGCAAGGTTAAGTTCTCTGGTTGTTCTTGTTCCTGACACTGGCTTTTCGCAGTAGAATATTAGAGTTGTCTCTCCACCAGCCCTTAGGAAATCATTGATAGTCTCCAAAGTTTTTGGTTGGCACAGAAAATCTTCTAACATAGTAGGATTATCGAATCCACCAATGTGGAAACTTTCCTGAATTTTACTAGCAATCCACCAATGTCTCTCATCCATCTTGTAAATTGGCACTTATTTTACGCATTCAATATAAAATTTGGCACTTGATAGCTAACAAAAGAGTTTGGCACAAAATTATGATTCGCGCTAAGAACACATTTTTGTAACTTATCCCATAATGCGGGTTCCTAGGCAACCGCTTTTTTCGCATAATATAAAAATATTAATTCGAAAAATAATTAACATGCAATTAACAACAGTAAAATTAAAAATTCTACAATTAAACTTTTTACGAAACTAACTTTAAGCGATAAACAAAAAAAGCGGCATAGCAGACGATTTTTACAATAGAAAAATCCATGAAATGGTATATTTTCTAAGAATTTTTCACGAATAAAGAAAGATAATCTTTATAACCTTTGAAAGAAATTAAAGAAAAGAATTAAAAAGAATAAAGGTCTTTTAAAAAAGAAAAATCCATTTGGTAAGCCTTAAAAAACTGAATGTTTATTATTTCTTAATAAGAGTATGATCATGAGCAGAGTAAACAACTAGAAAGCAGTTATAGTGTATAGTTTTATAGGAGATTATTAGTTATTACTATTGAAATGAACTATTATTCATTAAATTATATCTTATATATTTATATGACACTTGGTTTTTAAAATAGATTTCCCGAATGTAATTATTTTAATTATCATGTTTCTTTAAATTGACTTTTTGATTAATAATTAAAATATTAATGGATCAGTTACAATACACTCGCTATATAACGCACTTAGTAGATATCAATAATTAATTATGCGGATATTTAAAACACTGAATTTCCCGCCGAAAGACAAAATCAATATGGCGCTGCATCTTCCCCACTTCGCTGCAGTTGCAGTGAGTTTTCCGTGCACAACACAAACTCCGGTCAAGGCCACTAGAGTTCTAGTGTGGTTTGCTTATATATTCCTGATTCTTCCAAAACGAAAATTTATGACATAAAGCCAAGTCTGGAATCATCTCTTTGCTCTTGTACATATTCCGGATTACTGTAATCTATATAGATAAGAAGGAGCAATGGTAAATACATAAAGTTTTTGTTTAAAGGCACCTCTTTTAACGGCCATTTATTATCGATCAATCAATAGTCACCATATGAAATGATGTTTAAAATATTTTGAAACAATTTTTTCACAATAATTGCTAAGAATTAACTTGATTTTACGTTTTAGGCTGTAACTGAGTCATTTATCACAACAAAAGATCACAATATGGTCTTTACAACAACGGAATCTGTTGGAAACTCAAATATAACTTCTGCTCCCTATTTCGCAAAGAAAATCTTCCTTCAAACGACTGCAGCCCAAGCCATAGCTGGTGTATTTGCTTTTTGCGCATTTTTCATAACATGTCATCAGGTAAATATCTACGCTAGTCATTATTACCTTCTAGTTTATGATAATGAATCGTTATTTCGTAATCATTTAAGAAAAACTACTCATTAAAATGTTAATTTGTTGATTGCATCATAGAAAAAAAGAGAAAACATTAAATATTTTAAAGAATCTTATTAATTAAATGAAATCAATCTGAAAATTTTCCTTCTTTTTTCTTTCATTTCTTTTTTAAAGCATATGGAATAGAACAGATGTTTAATTTTTTTTCTAAAACTGGGTAGAATTTTTTTGTCATGTAGGCTATATTCTTAAAATTTTTACTATTTGTATTCGTTCACTATATATTTGCTCTAAATTTAGTTTTTCAATTAAATTTTCCATTCTTTTCTATCGTTTTGTTTTTTACAGAAAAATATTTCTAATTTTTAAAGAAATCTGGTAAAGATTATATTCACAATTAATATTTTATTTTACCCATTTTAGTCTTTCTCTTCCTGTTTCTCTCAATCTTTCTGTCTCTCTCTCTCTCTCTCTCTCCTACTTTTATTTTATTTTTATGACTTTTACCTAACCAGATTAAACATTAAAATATGTTAATTAAAAACAAAACCACCATAAAGAGACTGGAACGTCCGTATAAGTTATTTTACTTTGATAAACCATTAATCTACTTATAGTATTTATTAGAATTGTAATGTTTTAACTTGATTGCCTGATATAAAACAGCCCTTTTCTTATTTTTTTTACTAATTCATATATATATATATATATATATATATATAATGAAAATTTATCAAAGAGCACTTTGTGATTTCCTTTTTTTTTTCTTCTTTAAAATTAATGGGAGATATTCGATTTTCTGAAATGTGAATCTATTCAACTGTGTACTGCATTCTATATTAATAAGGCTTTACTTTTTATAAAACCATAGAATTGTTTCGTTTATTCTCAATATATTTTTTTGTTCCCTCTTTTAATCTTAATAGATTTATTTGCATCTTCGTTATTACACTTGCCCTTCGGAGCAACGATGGATTGTCAGAATTCTATTTATAGTTCCTATTTACGCCTTCGATTCTTGGCTGAGTTTAATGTTCTTCTCCAGAGAAAACTTTTATGTGTATTTCAATACTATCCGTGACTGCTACGAGGCATTCGTAATTTACAATTTTTTGAGCTTATGTTACGAGTATCTCGGAGGAGAGAGTGCAATTATGTCTGAAATAAGAGGAAAACCTATTAGGTAAGCCCTTTCTTTTAGTCTTTTATCATTTTATGTACTTGAAATATTTCTATTCTAGACTTTTTTTTATTATTTAGATCGAGTTGGTCTTTTTGCACTTGCTGCTTAGCAGGTCGTCAGTACACAATTGGATTTCTGAGATTCTGTAAACAAGTAAGTCAAAAGTTTTGCGCTTTGTAACTGGGTACCTAGATTTCTTTTATTAAGAATCTCACGATATATATCTATATATACTCCATATCTATTACCTTTTTTACTTTGTTCTTTAAATTAGGATTGTAACGTTTCCCATTTAAGATATTTAAGGAAAATTATTGTAATATATGCCTATTTTATTATTTTTTTAGGCTACTCTGCAATTCTGCTTTGTGAAACCGGTTATGGCTCTTCTTACCATTATTCTACAAAGTGTTGGATTATACAGGGATGGAGACTTTAACGCTAAATGGGGATATTTGTACATTAGCATCATTTACAATTTTTCCGTTACTTTGGCTCTTTACGCTCTATTCCTCTTCTATTTTGCAACTAAAGAGCTATTGCAAAGTTACGATCCGGTTTTAAAATTTCTAGTAGTTAAGAGTGTCATTTTCCTCTCATTTTGGCAAGGTAAGAATAATAATAATGATAATAAAAAACTAGGAATAAAGAATTATTAATTTGAAATTCTAATTGATTTTTTTAATATTCTCTCAACAGGGTTCCTGTTAGCTATTCTTGAAAAGGCCGGTGTAATTTATCCTCTCCATTTTGAAAATAATCAGAAAACTTCAATCAGATCCGGTAGCGTTGCTGCTGGCTATCAGAACTTTATAATTTGCATGGAGATGCTAGGAGCCGCTATAGCTTTGAGATTTGCCTTTCCCCATGATCTTTATGCTCAAGGAGAGGTTATAAGCCACGGCCGAACTGTTAGCTTGCAGAGCATTTCCAGTAATTTGAAAGTATGTTGCAAAGCATGTCTATCGAAATGATCTTTTTGTTATCAAATTCTTTTCCAGGAAACTATGAATCCCAAAGATATGGTTAACGATGCCATTCATAATTTCCACCCTCAATACCAACAATACACGCAACAAGGAACCAACGCCCCCAAAGAGGATATGGAGTACGAAAGAGATAGACAATACCAGCAGGTAGCCTAATTTATTTAAAAGCTGATCATTTATCATATTTTGTATTTTTTTCATTAGCCATAAAATATATATATTTTTAGAATTATCAACAAGACACTTCTCATCATTCTCATTCTGCCCGATCATTCAATGGGATTCATTCTGCAAATCAATCTGGCCTACCAGTAGCAAGACCCCCAATGCAGGGTGGGAAAAGAAAATTTAACGAGAAAACCACCTTATTGTCGTCCGACGACGAAATTCAGTAATGTCGTTTGCCCAATAATCTTCATGTGCTTACATACCTTCCTACTTGATTAAAAGAACGATTCCTCTTACCTTGACTGTCTCGTTTTTTTATGTGTTTTTCTTTTTGGAAATTTTTGGTGGTGCTTTGTTCTCTTTGTCACAGCACTGTTGTTTTTCTTTCAACTATCATTTTTTTTAACAACTTTAAATGTTTTACAAAAAAAAAACTCAACTGCACTGCAAGAAGAGAAAATAGAAAACTGTTTCAAGGAAAGAGCTACGTAGGTAAGAAATATTTAAAAAAAGACTGTCAGAAAAAACAAACAAATAAATAATTTACTTGAAACCTTTTCCCTAAAACTCTTCTCTTTAACCAAAAACTGGAGGAAAAGAAGAATCCAATTATGACTATGTTATGTCTTGAATAGTAGTCATTATAGTCCTCTCTATTGTAATTCAAAGTAATAAGTGTTTAATTGTTGTGAAAGAAACATAACTACAAAAAAAATTTATCTGTTTCTGCAGCGTTGTGTCAAGAATTTCTGTTGTAACAGAAAAACAAGTAAAAATTAACAAAAAACATCAAAAAAGCAAAAAACAATGAAAAAAAAATGGATAAAATAAACTACGCGAGAATTCCATTATAGTGTTTCCTTTTTCCGGCATCAATATTCCATTTCACTGGCAATATGTACAATATGAATATATGAATTAATGCAAAAATCAGTCAAATATTTCATTAGGAAAGCGAGACTGAGAAAGGTGTGAGGAAGTTGGAAAAATGACATCCGCATCGTACACAGGTCAATGTTACAACGTGTCGTACGATAGAGAAATAATAGAAAAAAATATCCTTCACTCGATAGATAGGACATATCTACTTGAGAGAGTAGGAAGCATCTAAACATCGTTAATTTACCAATAAGCCAAGTTGCTAAAATTGAAAGAAAACTTGAGAAAAATTACTAAAAATTGCTCATTTTCCCATGTTTAGAATAGGCTTATTCAAGTACTATAATTAAAAGGTCAGGCTTGCGGGGGGGCTCAGAGGGAGAGGAGACGAGGACACAAGAGAATGATTCTTTCGCTTAAAATTGAGGCTATAAATAGAGATTAGAGATTATATTACGATAAGGCACGTCATGAAATGGAATATACCTGTCACACCCAGATAATGATGAACACTAGTCAAATGTAGTAGTGTTGAGTAATAAAGTATGAACATTTTTGAAATAGTCATCTTATTAAGGTAAACTTTTAATATTCCAATTCTAAAAGTGTTTATAGTTAATTATTGAGTATATTTCTTTATTTTCTAGCTTTATCCCTTATGTTACTTTAAGCGAAAACAGGCATATATGTGATGACTTAGAATACTTGTGTTCTCACGGTGGAACTTGCGTTCCAGTTGGAAATGACTTTAAGTGCTTATGTCGCCCTGGTTGGTGCGGAAAGACCTGCTTCGACGTTTGTCTTGCAGATTCTACTACAGTATCCGATATTTCAACTACAAATGAGATTACAGAGAAACCTACAAAAGCAACTTCAAAACTTTCCACAACTGAGAAACTTGAAATCACTACTCTGACCAGTTTTTCCAATACTGTAACTACAGCTGCTCGAACCACTTCGGATAAAGGTAAGAGTTAAATCATAAAATCATAAATTATGATCATAAATAAAAAATATTCGACTTATTAAACTAACAGCATCAACTTTATCAACTGAAGCGGAGGATAAAACACTTTCGACAGTAATTTCAGATTCAACAACAAAGCTAACAACCTTTGCACAAAGTACGCATATAGATGAAAATACTTTATCAACAATTTCCGGTGAGACTTTGCCTGATTTAACGACAGAAAAAACTCTAGAAACAACTGTTGGGAGTGGAGATGGGACAACTTTGAAACCTACAGATGTTTCATCCCAAAAGACAAGCGAATCTACTGAACCTAGTACAATGGTTCACAGTGAGAGTAAAGCTACAATTTCCACAGTAGCTAACGGAGATCAGACTACGCACAGTGTAGATACAAGCACGGACTCTACCCACACAAGAACTTCATCACACTCAACTACGAATTTACCCCAAACTTCAATCGCCAATTCGCAACAAACCGTTGTACAAACATCAAAACACGAATCGACTTCAACTCCAGATATGTCAAATACATCCAATTTACCCAGTGGAACAGCTACGAATGATGACGGTTCTACTATAAAACATAGCGAACCGTTTACGCAAACATCAGAATCTGTTGTTCAAACCTCTTCAACAAATGATATAGATGAAACTATCCAAACAACAGAATCTGTACCGCAGAATGAAGCAACCTCTACAGAAACTTCGCATCCTAGTGACTCACCATCTAGAACTACAGATTCTATACAATCAACAACTTCTGGTGAGAATACCATCACAAAAGTCAAACTAATAATTATCAACATCAACCTTAATTTCAGATACGAAGCCAACAAGTATTGAAACCACAACTGCAGAACAAAATACAATAACCTTCGTTTCATCATCTAATTCTCAAAAAGTATCATCTGACTCCACAGAAGAAACAACTGCAACAAAGATAGATAGTTCATCAATGAGAACAGACGCAACTGAAGAGGTAACAGATACTACGAGTGACGAAACAGATCTGGAAATGAGTACACTGACAACAAATAAAGTTAGCAATCACCAGACAGAGAGTTCTGAAAAAACTACCTTTGCAAACTCTCAAACAACCTTTTCAGAACAGACAACTAGTCATTCAACCCCATCCAAATCAGTGGATCATACGCCTTCAACAATATCGTCCAACACTGGATCAGTAACTCCATCTTCAGGTCATGACAAAAGTACTAGTATAACGTCGTCAACTACTGAACTCTCAAGTGATTCAGCAGGAGATACCACTTCGACTAACGAACCTACAACAAAAGAAGTTACAAATTCTTCAACATCTGCTCCAGACATTACTGGTGGTACTGCAACAACACAGACTCAAACCCAAGAATCTGACAGCACTCGAACAGGTCCAACAGAAATATCATCGACCTTTGCTAGTGATGCAGCAACAGATACAACTGCAACAAAAGAAGCCACAGATTCTTCAACATCTTCTCCGGATATTTCTGCTGGAACTGCAACAATACAAACACAAACTCAAGAATCGGAAAGCACTCGAACAGATCCAACTGAGTCATCTTCGACCTTTGCTAGTGATACAGCAACAGCTTTCACTGCAACAAAAGAAGCCACAGATTCTTCAACATCTTCTCCAGACATTTCTGGTGCTACTGCAACAACACAAACTCAAACTCAAGCATCGGAAAGCACTCGAACAGATCCAACTGAGTCATCATCGACCTTTGCTAGTGATTCAGTAACAGATACAACTGCAACAAACGAAGCTACAGATTCTTCAACATCTTCTCCAGACATTTCTGGTAGTACTGCAACAACACAGACCCAAACCCAAGAATCTGACAGCACACGAACAGATCCAACTGAGTCATCTTCGACCTTTACTAGTGATTCAGTAACAGATACAACTGCAACAAAAGAAGTTATAGATTCTTCAACATCTGCTCCAGACATTTCTGGTGCTACTGCAACAACACAAACTCAAACCCAAGAATCTGACAGCACTCGAACAGGTCCAACAGAAATATCATCGACCTTTGCTAGTGATGCAGCAACAGCTTTCACTGCAACAAAAGAAGCCACAGATTCTTCAACATCTTCTCCAGACATTTCTGGTGCTACTGCAACAACACAAACTCAAACTCAAGCATCGGAAAGCACTCGAACAGATCCAACTGAGTCATCATCGACCTTTGCTAGTGATTCAGTAACAGATACAACTGCAACAAACGAAGCTACAGATTCTTCAACATCTTCTCCAGACATTTCTGGTAGTACTGCAACAACACAGACCCAAACCCAAGAATCTGACAGCACACGAACAGATCCAACTGAGTCATCTTCGACCTTTACTAGTGATTCAGTAACAGATACAACTGCAACAAAAGAAGTTATAGATTCTTCAACATCTGCTCCAGACATTTCTGGTGCTACTGCAACAACACAAACTCAAACCCAAGAATCTGACAGCACTCGAACAGGTCCAACAGAAATATCATCGACCTTTGCTAGTGATGCAGCAACAGATACAACTGCAACAAAAGAAGCCACAGATTCTTCAACATCTTCTCCAGACATTTCTGGTAGTACTGCAACAACACAGACCCAAACCCAAGAATCTGACAGCACACGAACAGATCCAACTGAGTCATCTTCGACCTTTGCTAGTGATACAGCAACGGCTTTCACTGCAACAAAAGAAGCCACAGATTCTTCAACATCTTCTCCAGACATTTCTGGTGCTACTGCAACAACACAAACTCAAACTCAAGCATCGGAAAGCACTCGAACAGATCCAACTGAGTCATCATCGACCTTTACTAGTGATTCAGTAACAGATACAACTGCAACAAAAGAAGTTATAGATTCTTCAACATCTGCTCCAGACATTTCTGGTGGTACTGCAACAACACAGACTCAAACCCAAGAATCCGACAGCACTCGAACAGGTCTAACAGAAATATCATCGACCTTTGCTAGTGATGCAGCAACAGATACAACTGCAACAAAAGAAGCTACAGATTCTTCAACATCTTCTCCGGATATTTCTGCTGGAACTGCAACAATACAAACACAAACTCAAGAATCTGACAGCACTCGAACAGGTCCAACTGAATCATCAACCAAAACTAGTATTTCAATAGGATCGAGTTCTTCTAACGATGCCTCTACCGTAACAGGAACAGGAGATATTCACACTGTTACTCCATCACCTGATGGTCTAAATATAACAACAGAACTTTTCACTAACTCTACTAATACGACGGAATCGTCAGATACTACAGGAAGAACAACACGTCCGATAGCTGAAACAACTTCATCCGGGAATGATATAACTGGAATTCATACAACTGAACCAGATTTAGGCTCAACAACAAATAGTGGAAGTGGGTCTTCGTTATCCGGAAGTAGTGATATAGTAACTACAGAGAAAATCCTTACCGTGTCATCTGTTGGCTACTCTAGTTCAAAGGGAGAAATATCCTCTTCGAATGGCGTTTCAACTTCACCATCTTTCATGTCCAGTTCATCAACAGAAGTTAATGAAGAAACGAGATCTACAGATTATTTCTCTAGTAAACAAACTGTAGAGATAGAAACACCTACGGCATCATCACAAAGTATAGCCACAGACGTGAATGTCCAAAGTACAGAGGCAATTTCTAAAGAAACGATGTCTACAATAACGAGTTTGCCGTTTTCTTCAACTTCAAACGGTAATGAGGAGAGTACAATTTCTGAAAAAACTGAATGGACAACTTCCACAGGAACATTATCCGAGAAAAGTACAACCATTTCCGATTCACCAATGACAGCAACGAAATCGTCTCATTCTACAGTTACGCAAAATTTCCAGTCAACTTTTGGAGTAACTCAAGATGAAAATAGCTCGCAAAGTTTTACAACGAGTAAACAAACTGGTAAAGTACCAACACTTAATACACAATTTTCAACATTAACTAACGATAATATAACAGAAACAACTTTAATTCAACTTTCAACAAATAGTGAAGTATCCAACCCAACGACTTCAGGGGAATTAACGTCAGATGCAGAAGTCACAGTAGATGTAACATACTCAACGAGTTCACCGTTTCCAAACTTCGTTGAATCAGATGGCGATTTCTCAATAAGAATGGATTTCTTTAAAAATATTAATTTTACTGATACTTTGAATAAGACAGACGAAGCGCCCTCTGAAGTCTATATCAAACTACATTTTGAAGGCTTGCTAGGTTTTACAGTTAATTTAATTAACTTATTCGTAAATGAGGGTGGAAATATTACCAGAAAACTGGTAGATGATAGGTAAGAAATTAGATTATATAAATTAATATTTAACTAAGTTTAGCTTTAATATTCTCAGGTGCATTTTGGAAGATGGTATGAACTTTAGCCTATATTCACCTATTCACGAATTTAGATTTAGTATTAATAAATCACTACTGTCTAATCATGGAATTGAATTAAGCTCCCTTCATTCGGATGTTGTAGTTTGCCAGATAAATAGCCCTTTCAATTGCACTTTACCCCCTCAAAGTTGTTCTGAACAATCTTTCGAAAACAACAATCCATTACCCAGCTATAGTCAGCCGTTGCATGGAGAGGAAGGAGAAGAAAATAAACAGGCGAGTGAGTATTGCACGTTCTAAATATACAGCATATATCTTTGATATTTTATTTAAAAATTCACGCAGCAAATGAGCAGAATAAATCGAACACGAGCCACAGTTTTAACCCAGGAATAATCGTTGGAGTACTCGGATCGTTATTTATAGTTATTCTAATATTTATTTCAATTTACGTTAAACGTAACAGCAAATTGAATAGAGTTGATATAAATCCCTCATAAGACGACAGATAAACTGAAGAGGAAGGTTGAGTAGGCGGGTGAGTGGGTGGCTGGCTAGCTTGTTGTTTAGGTGAGGTAAAAAAAAAAAAAGAGAAAATATAAAATATAAACAAAACATAATAAAATATAAGACCAAATCGTTTCTTTCTTTTTTTTTTTATAAAAAAAAGTCTCTATTTATTTATGATCATTTTATCCAAAGTGTTTTTTCTTTGATTCTTTTACTCGTTTAACCGTCTGCTTTTAATTTTTGATTAAAAATCGTATAAATATAACTTTTTCTAAGCCTATCTAAATTTCAATAAAGAATACAAGAAGAATTAATCTATATTCTATTTATTACATACTTCACGGTACAAAACTAAATAATAAACCTATTATAGGCCTATATAACATCCTTACTTATATCTAATAAAAAAAATAAAATTAATAAATAATTAACTAATTTTTTTTTAAAAAAAATCTACTAATTATTTATAAATAAAACACAAAAAAGGATTAATTTATTAATACTGTACGATTTTTAAAAGAGAGAGAGAGAGAGAGAGAAAGAGAGAGAAGAGAAAGATTTTTTTTCCATTTTATTTGTATATTTTATTATTGTTCAATAGGCGTATACATGGATTTAAATCTTTCTATATAATCAGGATAATCTTTCCACATTAAATCATTGAATTCTCTTCTATCTAATTTATTCTTAAAGTTAAATTTAACAAAAGTATCTTTCTTTTCGTTCTTTGCACGAATTTCTACTAAATTCTTTCTATATAATGGTATATTATTATCTTTTTTGTTTTCTTTATCATTTTCATCTTCCTCTTCTTCGTTAGCATTATCTTCTTTTTCTCTAGTTTCATTTGTTTTGTTAAGGCACGAATCATATTTCATAGGCCTACGAATCTGTTCAAAACGCTTTAGATATTCTGGATAAAATTTCCAAAAATCCTTTCTCAATCTTCGCCTTTGCTCTTCCTTGCTCCTCTCTTCATTTTGTAAAAAGGTAAACGGTTTGAAATTTTTATCAGAGGCACGTTCCTCTAAAATATCAATGTTTGTACTAGTTTGTCTTTTCGGTTTCTCATTCAATAGAGAAATAACTTGAGAATATTCATAAGGTTTATCATCCATATAATATCTACCGTTCAAATATACATTATCATAGACTTTATTCATCTTGGAGGGGATATAATCAATTCTTTTAAATATTCTACGACGTCGAATAGGCGTTAATCTATCTAATGAATGAAATTTAGAGAAGTATTTCTTCCATTCTATATCATTAGAATTGAATTGACATATTCGCTCATCTTTATTTAATATTGACTTTTGAACATACTTCCCCACTCCATTAATAGTAAAATCATCCATTAAATTCTTACCAGTATCATTATTCGATAATGAAAATTTAATACTTTTATTAGGACTTTCGCCAGTTGAATTTGCATTGTTTTCAACAGAATTTCCATTAATTTTACTATTAGAGCATCTTTTATCATTTCCCAACGATTTCTTATCCTCTCTTAACCGTCTTATATTTTTTGCAACTTGATATAAAATCTATAGCAGAGTGTTTCCATCAATTCCCTTTAAATGATAATAATAAAAAAGAACTACTTTTAATACTTACATCTTTTCTAATTGGTGGTTCAACAACAGAGTTCGACCTATCCGAAGAGTTGAAATTAGGTCCAATTGCCGGAATTTCTATTGACGTTTTAGGCAAACTAGTTTCAAATTTTCTCTTTTGAATTAAATATTCTGATTTTGATTGAATGATTAGAGTTTGATCTTTTTTAAATAAATTATTCTTTTTCCAATTATTCATGTTTTTATATTAAAAATTCAAAATTCTTTAGATGATGTGTGTTAACTTTTATAAAGGAAGAAAATCAACGAATAATTAAATGAAGATAATAATTATTTGACTAAAAGTTCAAAAGTTCAATAATAAAGTATGTGTATAAATAAAAATATTAAATAAATATATATATTTTTAGATAGAATGTTGAAATTTATTTATGTAAATATCAGAATAAATCGATGTTTTTTCGAAATTCAGCAAAATCTAATGAATAAAGGTCTATAGCTTCCATCAAACTGAAAAATAAAAAAAAATTGATCATTCACAGCTTTTTTTTTATAATTTTATTTTTTTATTCTTGTTTACTATTATCAGTATTTTTTATTATCTTACTTCCGGTGAATAAATAGATGATACGATAGAGGATTTTTTTTTCTCTTTTTCAGAAAATAATTATTAAAATTTATCAAAAAATCGATTGAATATAATAAAATCATAAAAAAGTAAACTAGATCTTTTTTAACGTAGAGATCTTTATTATTTCCCATAAAATTTGCAGTAGTACTACTCTTCTATCAATCCTTGTAATCATAAATTAATATATAACAATTAGTAATAAAATATTATACAGTGTTAAAAAAAATGGATGAAATATAGGATTAAACGATATCTTATAGGTTTATTGAAGAAGAAAAAAAAACCTATACATAGCTTGTTCTCTTCTTTAAATTCTTTCTATATAATAAAACAATAAACTGATGTATGTAGAGAGATAACTTAAAAAAGGTAGTATCAATAACTTATTTATTAATATTAATCAACAATTCATATTGTTTCAAATATGACCTTTTTCTTTTTTTTTTTTTATTACAATTATTAAAAATATTAAACAAAAAATTTTTATTCTTCTCTTAGAACTCTCTTTTACAAGACTTTTCTATTATATATATATATATATATATAAATAAATATAAATTTTTTAAATCTTTCTCTCTCCTTTCCCTACTGTCTTTCCCTTTATTCATCCATCTATCTATCTGTCTATCTCTTCATTAGTCATCTTTTCTTTCTTTACCTTAATCTTATTCTTTTAAATTATCTTTATATATTATATTTATATTCTTTTACTTACTGACTTTCTCTCTCTCTCTCTCTCTCTCTCTCTCTCTTTCTCTATCTCTCTCACTTTATCTTCACATTCGCATTTGAAAAATGAATACAATCATCAATATTTGTCTATGCTTAATTGTTTTCAAAGGTAAATCACTTGTTTCTTTATTCTTTTTTTTATTATTTGTAAATATTAATTCTTTATTATAATATCATAATTTTTATTGAAAATAAAGGAGTTCTAGTGTTTGGCATTGAAGATTACAATTGTTTTACTTGTACTTATTTGTCATGGGATCTTTATAGGGATGAGGCTTGTGGATGGGGTAATAATTTTACAGTTCCGGAAACTCCTATTAATAACAACAGAGTTGAAAGTGGGTGTAAAAAATGTGGCCTTATACTTATATGGAAATTCGGTTTCGTATTTGTTTAATACGCCCAATTACCAATTTTTGATTCTATATATAAACTTATTATAGGCCAAATCTATGAAATTAGCCGTTACTGCCTTTTAGAATTGGGTAACGAACCTTGGTCTGAAATAGAAAGTCAATGTTCAAGTGAATTGTTACAAAATGGAGAATACGAATTTTGTTATTGCGATGGTAATTATTGCAATAGGAACAATAGCGCTACTCACGAATGCGACGATTTTGGTCAAAATAATACAGATGTTACATCTGTTAATTATAATGCTAATAGAAAACCTACAAATAAACTTGCGTTATACAACAAACTCTCAAATATTCAACCCTTAAGCTCACCTAAACAATTAACTACATGTTTCCTATGCCATTGGAGAGATGGATTAAGCGACTATCCGTACGAAGCTAGATGTGGCTATGGTAACAATTTTACAATTCCAAGAGATATTAACGATCCGTCAGTGAAAACGAATTGCGATTCATGCCTTATCTCCATCCTCTGGAAAAGAGGTTAGTACTCTCTTACAAAACAACTAAACTTGTAGCTTGTAACATTTGAAAACTTGTAGGCAAAATTTTCGAAATAAGTAGAACTTGCCAAAGACCTTATAGTGTGGGGAACGAATGGCAGAATTATGTTCCACATTGTTCAAAACAAAAATTAAAAGACGGCATTGATGAATATTGTTACTGTTCAGAAGATTATTGTAATGAGAATAAGGACGGTATCAAATCATTTTGTCAAGTTCAAGTTGAACCTAAACCGGTTTGTCTAAAGTATTAAATTTGAATAAATTATGAGTAATCTAGATTTCGTATTAATAGAAAGAGTACCATTGTTACCAATGCACCTATCGGTACGGCGATCCGTTTACTGATTTTCAATGTAATTATGGAAATAATTTTACAATACCAGAAGATACTAATGATCATAGAGTTGTTAAAAATTGTCTTAAATGTGGACTTATTCTCACGTTAAAAGGAGGTTGGAACTCCTAATCTAATATTAGCATACATATATATACGTTCGCTTAATCATTGTTTGCAATAGACTTGGTCTATGAGGCAGTGAGATTCTGCCTAAATGAGCTTGGCGAAGAGGAATGGATGGGGTACGAAAATCAATGTTCCACTGAATTACTTCACGGAGGACAACATGATTTTTGCTTTTGTGAAGGAAATTATTGCAATAGAAATAAGAACGTTAAACACAATTGCGATAATTTAGCTAAAAAGGTCACCAAGAAGGACATAGCCTTAGGTATTCATTCTATAGTAATTTTTGACAATAAACATTGATATCTCGAATCAAACAGTCCCTCCTTTGGCTTCCAAAGAATTATTAACTTGCTTTTCTTGCTTTTGGCTTCGGGGGGGAAGTGCTTATCCATACGATGGCAGATGCGGATATGGAAGAGAATTTTCTGTTCCAAAAAATACTTCTGACGTTTCCGTTGATACTGATTGCGGTTCTTGTTCTCTTACCATAGTTTACAAGAAAGGTTATTGATTAACTCCTTAACCTATTGTTTTTATGTTGTGCCCTTTTTTTTATAGATGATATTTATGAGATTTCACGAACTTGCCTACCCAACCATTCGTCTGTTAACGAATGGCTTACTCCGATTCCTAGCTGCTCCGAGCATGAGTTAAATGGGGGGACGGAGATAAATTGCTATTGTTCGGATAGTTATTGCAATGAAAATAGCGCCGGTTTAAATTCGACATGTGAAACGATCAATAATTCTTCTCGTGTAAGGAAGTGTGCAATACGCAAAATCTGTAATCTCTTTGTCTAGCTCATCTTTTTACAGGGTACCGTTAATTGTTTCGAATGCTCCTTCGGACCTCATGACCCTTTTAGCGATCCGGCTTGTTCGTGGGCCGATAATTTTACAATCCCCGAGGATATTAGCGATCGAAGAATCGTTAGAAATTGCAAGCAGTGTGGTCTAATTGTACTGAAAAGAAATAACTTCATTTATGAAGTACAAAGGTATTGTTTAAGGGATTTTGGAGAAGAAGAATGGAAACTTCCAAAGAGTCAATGTTCTCGAGAACTTTTATTGGGCGGCGAGCGTACTTACTGCTATTGCGAGAACAATTACTGTAATAAAGACAACGAAGCCACAGATGTTTGTCATATGACAAACAATTCAATTGAACAAACTATATCTGGTAATGATGAAAACATTAATTTTCGTTTAAAATAAAAAAAATTAACAAAAAGGCAATTTAACATGTAAAGTTCCACCGTCTGTTGAATTAAAGCGGAATCTGATCTGTTTCAACTGTTTTTGGAAGAGAGGACCATTAGACGACACATATGATGGAAGATGTGGATATGGTACCGAGTTCTCAGTTCCAAAATCCACATCAGATGCATCGGTTGCAACTGGATGTGACTCATGCTTGCTGAGAGTTGTTTGGAAAAAGAGTAATCATATATACAATTACCATCAACTTATCATTTAAATATTAAGTAAAATTGCATAATAAATATACCTGATTTTTCTATTTTCAACAGATGACATTGAAATGATTTATAGAACTTGTCAAAGTCAATTGAACGCTGAATTAGCGTGGATGGGCTATAGGGAAGGTTGTACTGAGAAAATATTAGCTGGTGGTAAAGAGGACTTTTGCTACTGTTCTAAAAATTATTGTAACGAAGTTAAGGACGGTATTCCATCCATTTGTGATATAGAAAGTTCTACAACATCTAAATTATCTTCCTCTACTGTTACTACCGGATCAGATGCTAATATAATTAGGATAAATTGTTATGTCCTACTTTTAACTATTAACGGACTGCTAAGCTATACTCGCTCTTTATTATGAACATAATTTCATTAATCAATTTTTTTTTTTTTATAATCAACAATAAAAATTTGCATATTTAGTAGCAAAAATAATATAATTTATGTCGTAACAGATTTTATAACGTAAAGCTAAAACTGTAATTCCTACCAAAGGAAGAGTCACTTAAAGAGGCAGTATGTCACAAGACATTAATGTAACGTAAATTGGAGAATTTTGTCCATCAAGCACCTTCTACTATTTTTTCTTTAAAAGGAAAATATAAAGGTTTTCTGATTAAGAATATATGAATTGTTTTAAAATAAGAATTGTTATTGTTTTACTATAATATAGTAACTAAACAATTTTCTTGGTTTTGTCTTGAAGGTTTTTAGCGGTTTTAAAAAAAAATTGTTAATTTTTGAATAAAAAAAGACAACCAGTCCTAAACGAATTAAGTAGGTAGAACGTGTTGAATGCATCGTTTTAGCTAAAGCGTATGTAAATAGATAAGACAACAACAACGTATACAGTTCCGGTATAATAACAAGCAAACAAACATTCTCTAAAACCGCTAACGTCCGAAAGAAAAACAAAAAGAGATCGAAACAATCATTTGTTAAAAGGAGTCCGGTTTATATATCCGTTCGACTAAGACAACTCGTACGTTTCGGTTGGCGTACTGCTGCAAATTTTGCCGATTAGGCGAAGGCGGTGAACTGTGAGTTAATAAGTCGGACGAATCGGCTGCCTGGGACGAAGAGGAGGCGAATGAAGTTGTTGTACTTTCGGTACCTTCAAACCAGTTCCTCCTTTCTTTCATTCGAGCAACCTGACGACGCTTGACGGAATTAAATCTGTTGAGGCTTCCACATTTTTCATTTTCACAAGCAGTGGATACTTCAGGTGCAGATACCGAATTGACCGCTTGTAATGGTTGATGCCTATGTACAACGGTTGGTGACGGTGTCGTCGGCCGCTCTTCGTACCTGAATCGTTCCTTAACGCGTATATAAGTATTGGTTATATGGCAAAAGTAGGTAATATTTCGGTTGCCGAATAAAGAGGGCACTCCGAAATCGTTTATTAGCAGTCGAATCAAAGTCGAAGCCCTTTCTACATCTTCCTTTGAATGAGCGCAAGTGTGAAACAGAGATCCAGCTACGGATTTAGCCAAAGCCTCAGTTGACATTGTATTGAATTCGGCGTGATTTGTTACTCGGAAGAAAGTTCCAAAAAGAAGAGCTAATAATTGTTGAGTAGCCTGGGATAACCGGGATAAAATGGAGTTAATCTGATCGTATTGTTCGAGTTTCGAATTGAAATTAAGAGTAGCTAGTAAATCCGTTTCTGCTTCCCTACCGAGTATGCCGCCTGGAATGCGTAGAAGGAATTGTTTGAGCACAGAAGCCAATGTATAAAAGTTATATTCCTTCAAAATCACTGGTTTGCCCTCCACCAGCCTTTTCATGACGACTCGCTGGTCGGCAGCGTTTCCGGGTCGCCGAAATAAGCCGGGCGTCGTGACGCCTTCCCGAGCGATGTACACAAGTATGTCGATGATGGGTGTGGGCAAGCCGTATTTAAAAGCTTCCGTTAAGGGAGAGTTGAACTTGACGACTTGAGTAGGTGCAGAGCCAGCACGATCCGACACGCAACTTAACATCAGATTTCTTATTGTCGACATTGCACGCTAGCACCACCTACCTGCGAAAATAGGAAACACTGTAATTGCGCCATATCAACTGGATAAATAATCTTCATAATCGATAACTAACATCTGTACTTTCAACATACGCCGTTCGACTATTCGCCGATTGTCTTTAACTTATTAAAAGAGTGCTGCGCAAATTGATCGTCTTGGATAACGACAAAGCATTGTTAAGTTGGAGCAAAAAAACTTAATGCAAACGTAAAGTGTTTGTACTATTCGCTTCCAGCTGATAAAGGAATATGAATTTACAAAGAAAAAAAATATAACATAGCAAAATGAAATAGAAAATCAGCAACGTGCCCAATAAAACAATATATTACCATCAGTATGATAAACGTATAAACTCACTATCATTCACTACCATAGTACTGCTGTGGCAATAACGTTACGAGTAAACCAGCATTAATCGTACTTAATGAATCAGTCACAAGCTTAATTACGAGGCCAAACCATTAAACAATTTTCAAATAACGGACTGCATTACATTTATAAGGTATATCGTCATTTTTTATTCTTAGAAAAGAATTTCCCATCCATTTTCATTCAGTTCATCAATAAATAGAACATTTTACACATTCGTTCTTTTTTTAAATTGTCTTATAAAAAAAAAATTTCAAATATCTACGTAAATTTTTTTCGCAACGTAATTAATTCTCTCAGTTTACACGACATCCACCCTTATGACCAGCATATATCAGATCGTGGACAGTAAATAGTATTGCACCGGAGTAGCGTGCCAACACCGTTCAATCCCAGATATATATATATATATATATATAAATTTATATACATATATATACATATATATATATATATATATATATATATAAATTTATATACATATATGTATATATATATATATATATATATATATATGTGTCTACACACACACATACACACACACACACACACATTCACACACAATACACATGAATAAATATATGAGTGTATGTATATAAATATAAGTGTGATAATTTATACACAATCAAATAAAAATTAATAAACTTGCTCAATTCAGACGCTTTTTACTCATAATAATTCAAATCTAAGAATGCATAGTATATCAAAATTCATATATACATAAACACCGCTTTGAGTATAATAGTAAAAAAATGGGCGGAAACTTAATATAAACATTTATATTTTTAATTACCGTCATCATTCTTTTTATCACCGAAGGCACATAATTATATTTCTTAAAATGCAATTGGCGTTTGCCTAAATTGTGAGTAATACTACAATTGCTGTAAAATATTCTTTCCAATAATTTCTTTCGCCATTACCGGAACTGCGGCTAAAAAAATTTATTTTCGTAAATAAATGTCGATAAATTTGCCAATTCGTCAACCTTCAAAATATGTCTTCTCTAAGCCATGTACGCTGCAAAAAAATTACGAAAACATACACACAAATGTAAAATCACGTGACTTTATGTATGCTGTCGCCATTTTAAATTCAGAAGACACCCCTCAGAATTCTTTTTTTTCATTACAGACTAAGTATTATTCGTAGAAATAAATAAGAGATATTAGAATTATTGTTTCAAAATGGCTGGGCAAAGTGTGATGGACCGAGTACAAGCTGTAAGACACAGCTTAGCCGGCCAAGGTTTAGCAAAATCGGTTTGTAAAGCTACAACTGAAGAAATAATGGGTCCGAAAAAGAAACATTTAGATTGTAAATATTGCATTATTAATTTAAGAGAAATAACTATATCAGAAAATTTTCCAGACCTAGTAAATTGTACGAATGAGCCGAATGTGTCCATTCCGAATCTAGCGAATCTACTTATTGATAGAACATCTCATGCGAGTTGGGTCGTTGTGTTTAAGTCTCTAGTAACAATCCATAACATAATGAACTTCGGAAACGAAAGATTCACACAATACTTAGCCTCGAATAATTGTACATTCAATCTGTCAAACTTCCTCGATAAAGCAGCGGCGCAGGGTAGGATAAATTTCTATTACCAAAATAACATAAATATTTGGTTATCTTTTACTTCTGATAAACAGGATACGACATGTCAACGTTTGTAAGAAGATACGCTAAATACTTGAGTGAAAAATGTGTCTCGTACCGTCATATGGCGTTTGATTTTTGTAAAGTGAAACGAGGGTAATTTTTATTACAGTCGAATCTCTTTATAACACAATCCCGCTTATATTGAACCTAGACACTTGCTAAAACTTTACTCAATTCCTAATTTCTCCAAACTCGAAGCATTCTGATAAAAATTTGTAAAAAAAATATCAGATTAGTTATGGCTCGGTTCGATTGTGTTACCACGCTTATTTTCTGTATTAGAATATTCTATATTGTTTCAACAGAAAAGATGATGGATTATTACGTAAGATGGCAACCGAGAAATTATTAAAGTCGCTACCTGTTTTACAAAGTCAGATTGATGCTTTACTCGAATTTGACTGCTCTCCCAATGAATTAAGCAACGGAGTCATAAATGCTTCTTTTATGCTTCTTTTTAAAGACCTTATTAGGTTATTCGCATGCTACAACGATGGTATTATTAATTTACTGGGTAAGTACTTAGTCAAAAGTTGAACTATATCAATTATATATCATAAACTCCGGTGCAAAACTTAATGAACTAAGAGAAACTTGGTTAAACCGCAATTTTTACAGAGAAGTACTTTGAAATGAACAAGAAACAATGTAAACAAGCATTGGATATATACAAAAAATTCGTCGCTCGAATGGATAATGTTGCTAAATTTTTGAAAACAGCTGAGGTATAGGATGCTGTTGTTTTGGTTGCATCTAAACGGAATATGGATGCTTTTAGCTTTTCATCTAGTCCTTTCTAGTTTTCGCACCGCTAAAAAACAAGCCAACAAATATAATATATTTTCTTTAGCTATATATGTCATAAATTATTATATTGTTGGTTTGAATATTGTTTTTATTTTACTTTCTTTTATTTGTTGTATAGTAGTTAGTTTCTTCTGTTACCCTCAACAGAAAGATATTTCGATATGACCAAAAAGCACTGTAAGACGGCGTTTGAAATTTACACAAATTTTTTAAATCGCATGGAAAGAGTTTCTGAGTTCCTAAAAGTTGCTGAGGTATTTTAGCAATTGATTTAAGCATGATACATCCTTGATTTGTTTGATTTGAAAAAAACAAATTATTTTAAAAGTAATTTCGATAATCAAATTCGTGGTTTTTCGTCTTACACAGCAAAATTCGTCTCATAGTCATCAGGTGATTTTCAGATAACGTTTTTATTACGTATGGCAACCACTAGCATAAGTATTTTGATGAAATTCGAGGAAAAATCATCGCTTTTATGCTACTTTTATATTGTAACAAGAATTTTTATTTTGAAAAATCATTACTAAATGGTATTCATAACTTTTATAAAAAGCAAATTGACTATCAAGAAAAAGTAGTAAAAAGGCTTTTAATTTCAATTATGTCTCTTCTCTCTATCTCACCTGATAAAATATCAAACCAAAAACAATATTTATCAAGTAACAAGCAAATATCTATTTGTTTTTCTTAATCAAATATTCTCCACAATGTATATGATAAAATGCAATCTTAGTGATCAATTCTGAAGTATGCTTTAAAAGTGTAATGCAAAAATTTTATTTACTCTTCCTTTAACAGTTTTAAACGGTTATGCTTTTTTTTCAAAAATTACAAGATTATTATATTGTTTTCTGTTTCTTTAACTATTGCTTGATTGTGGTATATCTATCTTTATCTTGCTTTCCAAGATCAGTCTTTCTTCAAGAATATATCAATTGTTTATTTCTTTTTCAGAATATGGGAATAGATAAAGGAGAAATACCTGATTTAGCAAAGGTATGAGTATTCAAAAGTTATGTTGTCCTACTTAGCTAAGTTACTTCTACGTTAGCCTTTGTTGTAAATCTGACTACCCTCTCCGTCACATAAAAATTTTTAGAACTTAGTAGCCAAATCCCTTCCCCTCCCCCCTCATTTCCCTTTAGTGGATATTGTACCAGTCGGTTTTTTTTCATTGCATGTTACAGACTTTGGCTTCGAACGCTAATTTGCAGTCTGTATGTTTCCTTAATGTGGAACACTAGAACTTTTGTTTATATGGTACTTTTTCAATAACTATTACAGGCTCCCTCGTCACTCCTAGAGGCCCTCGAGCAACACTTGGCCAGTCTTGAGGGAAAGAAAGGAGTGAAAACAACAACCAACGCTGCTGTTGTTTCATCAGCTATATCAACAATGACGAGCAATTCGTCCAATCTTACGAATGAAGATAAGCAAAAGTTAATTGAGGAAGAGAGCAGACATCTTCAACAATTAAAAGCTCAACACTCAAAGGATTCCGATCCTCCAAGCATGACAACAGCACCCACAACAGTCCCACAAGCGGCTAAACCAAATAACCCCGTTAATTCAGGAGCATCAAATGATTTAATTGGCTTAGATGCATCGGCTAACCCATTTGGTGGTGTTGACGATCAGTCTCCTCCTCAAAAAACTACAGGTAACGATCCTCAAGTTGAGGCTTTGAGATACTCGACTGAAAGCTTGCTTAGGCGATCTAGCGAAAAAATTCTCTCTTGATCGTTTTCATAGCAGGTACGGTGAATGTGATGAATTCGTACGGTGGCTGCACATCCATACCGCAAACGTTATCGACGGATGATCATTTTGCCGCCGTTTTTGGTCAAACAGTTCGTTCGCCGTCTTCAGGTACAACGCGTGAAAAATTCTCATAATGCTCAGTCTCACTTATCTATTCTATCGCTTTTGAACAACGATCGCTTTAGTGTTTTGTGTAATTAACAAACCGCGTCAGGTTTTGAATTGGCATGATTATGTCGTTTTCATCCCAATTTCTAACAATATTTTGTGATGTAATATGTTAAAACGCTCCGAACAGAATATTTGAATGAAACGGGCGTGACAGCCGCCGCTAAGCCTGCTCCCAGCTCGTCTCCCGGTATGGCAAAAGTTTTGTTTCCCCAGACAAATTCCAGCGTCTTATTTGTAACTTGTTTTAACCAAACTTCATTTTCTAGCCACTCTTCCTACAACATCTCCAGTAAATGCGCCATCAGGCGTCCCAGCACCTTTACTAGACGGTATGTCGTTGTCGTCTAGTATATTCGTCAATTTCTAAATTATCAACATCACAAACTTTTGCAGCCGCTACGGTGAGCGTTACATCTTCAGCGCCACCATCGTCTTCAATAGATTTACTCGGTAATTGACTAAATAAAAAAATTATTTTCCATAGCTTTCCAAATTCCATTATTAATAAGTTAGGAAATCCTAGTAACCCATAAACTAATTATTAAAATTGATCCCCATGCTTTACTAAATTAAAGCCGGAATGGACTTTATGGCTAAACCTGCAGTTGTACAACAAGCACAACCGGTTCCTATTATGGCTCAGCCGCAACAAACATCTATGGCAGGTTTGTCACCAAACCCCTCCCTTAAGATCCTTGATGTTTAATTTTACGTGTTATGAGTGTTTATTGATTACAAAAATGCGTGATTTTAATGTTTGCTTATAACTCCTATTTCAATTTTTATTTTTTATTTCTGTTAATCCAGCTGTTTCATATGAGTTCTTATATTAAAAATACGGTTTTTTATTTTTTTATAAACAGCTTTTGATTCCTTTGGTGGTAACGTAATGCAGCCGCAACAACAATCAACTTCTCCTGTTGGTACTGCGTCTCAGCCCACTATAACACCACAACATAAGCTAATAGGCGGCGACTTGGATTCTAGCTTGGTGTCTTTGGCTGGAAATTTGAACATAAACGGGCCAGGAATGCAGGTAGGAAACATGAACGCGGTACTCTTACTACTTATATTACTTGTATTATACGTTGAAATTCCATGTGTTATAGCTAAAGAAAACTGAACATAACTGGACTGCGGCTAGCGGTCAAAATAAGCAATTAACTGGACGAGCTATGCAACAGCAGCCCTTTATGCCGAGTTTCCAGCAACCAAATACAAATATGGTGGGTCAAGGTGGCCACATGGTGGTAAGTTTTGGAAAATAAATGAAAATAACACCCATTCCCTTTCTATACAAAATTATGCATGCATTAGTCTTCCTAATTGTTGAGTTTCATTTATTTTTCATTTACTTTACTTATATTTTATTTTTTTTGTGTCGCATGTGGTTTTCGTTGTGTTTAGATGTCAAATGGCATGCAGCCCCAGGTATCCGGCATGTATGGTCAACATCAAATGTTCCCCGTTGGAACACCGCTCAATATGTATAATAACGGTCCTGCAGTAATGAATCATCCACCAGCAAATGGTACTCCCTGGGTTAGTTAGTTGTACTTCAATCTATTATTTTTTTAATTTATTTATTCTTCACTACGTTATCCCCGAATTATCTGTTGTTTTTGGGTGCAAAATTCATTTCCTTTTCCCCTGTGCAATAAGTTTATTATCTATTTTCTTTATTAATAGCCTGGCCCTCAGATGCAGCATCCTAATAATTCAATGATGATGGGACAACCTCGTCAGATGGCACCACCGAATTATCAGCAAGCCCAACAGCGACAAAACGTTAACGATCCTTTCGGCGCCCTCTAGATTAGTAAAGTTTGTAAGTAGAACAGAAGACATTCCAATAACACCTATTTTAAAGAAGTCAACCACCGGAAAAAATTTAAGCATAGCCTTGGATCGTTCGTGTTTTTATTAGATGAAACAATTACCTAGGATCATTGCGTATTAACCATTTCCCTTCACCCATTAGAGTTATATGTTTAAAAAATGTCGACGACACTCAATGTTGTGTTAGCACTGTGATAGAAGCATTTGTTTTGTTGAACTTTATAATTCTGAAGAAAGTATAATTGTACATAATGGTTTTGATTTTGCTAATTATTTTTTCCTGTGTTAACAACTCGTTTTAATATTTTCGCGCCAACACAAAATATTGTATTTTAAGTGTGCGATGCCATATTATGCAAAGAAATATGATTTTATGTGTAGAACTATCCATTTTACATTATAATACTATTTCATTTTCTCGGTCACTTGATAATGGATTTAGGATAATATGCTTTTTCATCTTATGACATCAATCGTATGAATAGATAATTGTAATTCGTGGAAGCTACGCGAATAAAGATATAGAGGCGAGAGAACATTTTAGTGTATTATCCTTCTACTATAAGTGAGATAAACAAGTAAAATGAAGTCTATAAAAATAACTCCGTCATCGCGGAAGTATTTCCCATCCGGATCTGTAGTAAAAATATAGAGCAGTATGATTATATTTTGCCAACTGATGACATTTATAGGTGCCGTTTGATATCTACGCTATCCATAATTTATGAACGTTTTCTCGAATCGCTTTTACGTTTTGTACAAACCGTGAATTGAACCGGAAATACTGTAATTAGCTGAGAACGAATGTATTTGACCAAAAGATACCGCCCTGCATATTTTATTACCAGATGGAATTGACCCTATGCTTCGAAATCGAAAATTGAGTTTTCCGATTATTTTCAACGCGACGAAACTCGATGCTAACGTCATTTTGATTTATTTACAAAAGGATGCGGCGTGGGTTGCGAAGCGCCAAGGCAACCTGTACTCAAAATCACGACTGACTGTTTACATTTTACATTCGTCCGTGTATATAATTGATCTAGTTTGTCGATGCGGAACGTGCCGAGAAGATGGCATTTACAAGGAGTAAGCCGCCTACCAACGAATTACTAGGTGTTGAATGTACACAAGAGACTGCGAATTGAGGCTTTTAAGGTGTCGTTATATGTTGAAACAAACTCACCTTTTACTTTTATCTTTTCCATAAACTGCTAAATGGTGTAGTAGCGAAGGTAGCTGCAAGCCAGAACGTTTTGCCACAAATTGGCAGCGAGGACCGCGGAAGTTGTTAGCGCACCGACAATGGCACCTTGCGAAAATATTCGACGGCATGACCATAACTCCACCATTTAAACACCGACCTCGACAAGACGCCTTCACGTTTTGCGCTAAAGCGAGGAACGATAAGGAAAGGAGCAGCCAGACGCGCATCGCCGTTTCGACGCTTATATGCCTCCTTTTGCCACTATTCTCATTAATATTCATTAAGCGCCGCGCCAACGTACGCCGAGTGTTTAGTTGCGCACCGTTTGAGATTTTCGGTCAGCAAAAGGAAAATATAAGTAGAAATGAAGCTAATTTGTTAGCTGTCGTATTCATTATTCTCGTATCTATTTCACATTTCACCAATCTATAATATCATTCGATTTATGTATCTCCTCATTTTTTTGTCTCTGTCATATGGTTCATTCATCTATCTCTTTCCGTTAGCTTTCATAAATTTCGCTTTTCTTCCTTCTTTCTTTATACTAATATATTCATTCATATATATATATATACACCAAGATATATATATAAATACACTTATACTATATTATATAAACCTTTTTATCTACCTTGTTTTGTAATTTTACTATATACTATTCATTTATCTAAGTATGTTTCTTATATTCTCACTTTATTACCCCGCTGGTTCTTTCTACGACCCTTTCTCTCTTTTTTTTTGTCATAAACACTATCTCTTCCTCCACCGACCCTTTCACACGTTTCTATTTCCCAGTTTACTGACAATTCTGCAATGGTGCGCAATACCACTATTTACTATATACACCTATTTGAGATGGATAATCACGAACGTTTTTTATTAGTTTTAATTGATGACGTACCAAGTGATAGAGTAGGCGTTCAATTCTATATCAAGCCTTATCGTATAGTCTCTAGACAAGAAAATTTCACATGATTTTCCTCCTCTTTCTGATACGATACAGCTTTTGGTTAAACCTGTATAATACAATGGAATTGTCATAGTAGTTCTTAATCTTGATTCCGTAGGGTTAAACGCCATAAGAAGGGCTTTATCCTTTAGTTTAGGATTGACATGCAAGTAAGCGTCTATGCTTTGCATATCCGGTCTCCGCACGTGAATAATGTCGCTAATTAATAGTTGTCTATATGTTTTGTAAAAGTCTACTGTTTCCTTGACAATTCGTTTGGTAGTGTTAGAATCGAATAGCCTATATCCCCTGTAACAAGCCGCAACTCCAGCACCAAGATATTGTTCTAACGCCCACTTATATTCTAAAGAATGCTGTGTCAAAGGTTCGAAAATAGCAGCAGCACCACCGCCATGATATTGAACTAAGGGCACATGCATCCAACCGACTGTAGGTGTCTTAAGGAAAGTATTATCAAAAACTGTCTGTCTACTTATAGATATGTCCTGCCACCTTGGAAGGGAATACTGGTTTTCATTATAGCCCATACCCGTTTTAGAACCGCCATCATAAAAGTAATTGTCTGGTTGGTTAATGTAAACAGTTCGTCTTCTAAGAAGCCTATACATTTCTCCCTGCTTTTTCTGCTGTCTATATACTGAGTCTTGATTATTTCTATGATATTTATGATTTTTGGAAGAGCATGAATAACCACCATAAGGACCGTCTGTTTCTACTGCGCTCAATCCCGTTTTGTCCATAAATGATATCATCTTTTCTAAAAGGACATCATACCATTCGGATGCAAAACACGTACTATCGGTCGAATTACCCGTTTCATCGAGTGCCATATATTTAGGAATGGTTCTTCTAGATAATGCTATTAGGTCGTAACCGCCCACTTCAATACCCTTAGCATGTGCGTAAGCGATATCTTCCGCTATGCTCTTAATATAAGCAGGATCTTCCGATTCAAGATCAAATCCGGATCCAAAGCTATATAGTAACATTTCAAAACCAACTTCAGCCATTTGATCAATAAGAGATCTAACCGCCACAGATTTGGAGTCGACCATATGAAAGAAAATGGGATTCTCTTGAGTATGGGGAGCAAGAAGACGGAGCATTCTTCTCTTCGATAGGCCAATACGTTCATCGTCGTCTGACGCGTGTACTAATTGGCGAACCGAGAAGGATTCAAAGCCTTCTTTATCAAGCTTTAATGCGAAGGCCGGTGGCGAAAAAGATACGTTTAAAGTAGGCATGAAAGATCCAGGCATGGATGGTTGTGATGGATCATCAGACCACACAACTTGTGTTCCGTGAGCCCAATCAGTTTCAACATGCATCCACCCGTAACCGTTTCTGCCGTATTGAGTATCAACGTGCCAATTCCTCGAAGCCCATGGTGAATTAACAGCTAGGAATTCGAGCGAGAGTAAAGAAAAGTTTACGCTCTCCGCCTCCTCGGATAAAGTTTTAGCTCTCATCTTCTTTGATAAAATTGGAACCCCATCGTATAATTCATATGATATAGTTATCAATACTCCTTTGTGAGGATCTGGCGCGGAATTAGGAGCTTTAAAATCAACTTCTAATCTTACGCCTGCTGGAGGCCACACTATATCTTCTGGAGCTCCTCTTTTCGGCTTATAAGGGAAGGGTTCCTCGGGTTTTGTAATTCTATAAGCAGAAAAATGAAATGCTTTTACATCATAGGTTGCTTTTTCCCTCAATTCAGTCCGATTCAAATAGCCTCGAGTAATTGTTGAAGTATTTAAATGTCCAACGAAATAGGTAATGCCATCTAGTGAAATAACAGCCTCAGGTCCCAGAGCCCGAAGGATTGATGCCTCCTTATCGAATGAGTAATAATCAACAGTAGTAAAATCAGGTTTAATTGAAAACTCTCTAGTTATTAGAGAATTTTGAATTATTAAGTTTCCTCGGGAAGTTGTTGAAACATTAGCTGAGTGGCTAATTGTTGATACTAACCAGTCGGGGTTAGGATACGTTTGATAAGAAAACGCCGCTTGTAGAAGTGAAACGAAAAGATAGAATCTAATTATCATCTCGATATCTAATTAAATTATGGGCGTAAAATTAATTGTCACATTCGAAATATATACTTTTTGGAATTCCGCGCCACCGAAATGACGTCACAAGCAGCCAATGAACGCTTTGGAGGTTTAGACAGCGAAATGTAAATTGCAGAGGGCCGCAGGTATTGGAGAAGGCCGACTTTATTTACGTCTACTGATTGGCCTACGCCGCGAAAGTTTAAGGCTATTGATCTGTTTTTAACATCCTAACAAGTGTAAAACGTAATATTGGGATGTTTTAGCTTTATGGTTTTTGGCCCAAGGATTTTTCAAGGCGATAAACGGAGGTAGGGTAATTGATTTTCTCTTTGTTAGTCACCCACACCACTCATCACATCGTTTTTTTTCAGATTAAACAGCTTCATCTGCCCTAAAAAGTCTAATAATGATTCCTGTTTAAAGTATTCTCGATAAAAAAAGCAGTAAAGTTAGTATAGAATATTACGCTACTAATACTATTTTTAAACGGTAATAAAATTCAGTACAAAAGTAAATTCGTGAATTTAGTTGAACCAAAAAGTAAGCAGTTTTGAATATATAATTAGAAAGGCAACGAACTGAAAGAATCTATTATGAAACCTTTTCCTTTCATTATTATTATTATGATTATTATAGCTATACTCTAGGCCTGAAGGTCTTATTTTGAACAGGTACAAAATGTTCATAAATCATTCAATATACTTATATATATATATATATATAAATAAGAAGGAAAAAAAACCATCTCTTCAAGAATTTTTATGATTAAATATAAAATTTGATTACTCTTGTCAAATGTTCTATTCTTTGTCTTAATGATAAAATACCATTTTAAATCGCTATCGTAAATTTTTATGATAGGAATATAAATATTTGCGTCTTTCCTTTCCGCCTATGAAAATTTATTTGTATTAAGTTTCGATTAGTAAGCGTAGGTTGTTCTACTAAAATTACTTATGGTCTTGAATTTGGCAAATATAAACTAATTTTTAGAAAAAACATTCCATTTCTTATTCTTCTTTTCTTTTCTTTTTTTTGATAGAAATGTGTTCTTGTTTGAGAACCCTCTTTGCAAAAAAGGAAAGGCTACCGAACATTAATCATGTTCCTGTTCCGGATTTACAACCAGTCAAATTAAACGAAGCCGCTCGGCCAAACGACGAACGTTTGGAGGCAATGTTCTCATCTCTAGTCGACGAATTGGGCTTACCTGAACCTCAAAAACAGGCTATGCTTACTCTAAGTGCTGATAAAAAGTGGCAAATTTATTGCAGTAGAATTCAAGATATAGATACAGGTCGAACATTGGCTAGCCCCGAAGAATTTCTCGGAAAGTTAAAAAAGGTAGAGACTGTTAAGGACGTTGACGCTTTAAGGACTGCCCTTCGTACTCAAACTCTCAGCTTTGTTACAAGATTTCTTACGTTAAATGGTGTTGACGAATTATTAAATGTGCTAAGACAATTAGAAACGTGGTCAAGCGAACAGCAGGAAGAGATCGATTACATCCATTTGGCAGTAGTCGGTTGCGTTAACGCACTGTTGAATGTGTCTGAAGGACGTTCTCATATTTTAGGCCACCCAACAGCTATTGCTTGCCTTGCCCGTATTTTAACTTCACAATCTGTTCAAGTAAAAGTTAATGTTCTAGAGATTTTAGCAACACTCTGTATGGTACCAGGAGGTCACAGAAAAGTACTTCAAGCTTTCTTTGCATTTTCAAGATGGGCTAGTGAAAGAACACGCTTTCAAACATTGATTTACGAATTGGGACGTAAATGGAATAATCCATACGAGGAAGTTAGAATGAAAACTGCCATCTTGTCACTAGTCAATGCCGTAATTAAATATGGTGCAGGGGAAAAGCACCTTGAATTCCGATTGCATATCCGCTTTGAGTTCCTCATGCTGGGTATAGAACCGGCAATAGATGCTCTTCACCAATATAACGACGAAACTTTGGGAAGACACGCCGAATTCTTCGAAGCTTTGAGAATAGAGGATGAGAGAAACTTTGCTGAAAAATTTGAAACGAAACATGTAGATTCCCGTTCTGCTACCTCGTTATTCGATTATTTGAGAAAGAGAATGACCGTTTCGCCTGCCTATCCCTGTTTTGTTTCCATACTTTTCCATCTTATGCAGATCAGTCACGCTTCCTACGGACCATCGTGGCTTTTAATTGAGCGAGTTATCGAGCAGATTATCTTACAAACGAAGGAAGGAGATCCAGACGATGCTCCACTGGAATTAAACGTTGCTGCTGCTATAAAAACTATTGTTGCCGAAGGAGAGATGAAACAACTAAAAAAAGATATACGTAAAGCGGAAAAGGAAAGGGAGAATGTAGAAGCTCAACTTTTGGGGAAAGAAAGGGAAATCGAAGTTAAGGAAAAAGAAATTGAAGAATTGGCCAACATCTTAGAAAGTATGAAAAGGGACTTGGAAAATGAGAGACGACGTCGAGAAGAGGCAGAATTAAAATTAGCGAATGCTTTAAAACAGAATGGTGGAAAAGCTGTTTCTATGCAAAATGGGCATGATACAACGCCATCTAGGGTTGGAAGTTTCAAATCACCAACGCCTGCTCCGGCACCACCACCGCCGCCTCCACCTGGCTTAGGATCTTCTCTTATACCGCCTCCTCCAGCACCTCCACCTCCACCTGGTGCTCCTGGTGCACCTTTAAGTCTTATCGAAAGGCCGTACGCAGGACCCAAACCGACTCAGCCACTCAAATCGTTCAATTGGACTAAATTGCCGGCCAATCAACTAGATGGAACTATTTGGAAACGAATCAGTGAAAAATTTGATATCTTAGATCTGCCTGACGTAGAGAAAAATTTCTCAGCCTATCAACATAAAATAGAAGAGAATGGTGGGGGAGATTCTTTAAAAGGGCGATCTGCAACAGTGATTCGAGAGCTATCGGTTGTAGACGGCAGACGTGCTCAAAATTGTAATATTCTCTTGTCGAAGCTGAAATTATCTAACGGCGAATTAGCCCACGCAATACGGAATGTTGATCCTAGCGAAAAACTGGCAAAAGATATGTGCGAACAATTGCTTAAATTTATTCCGAGTACTGAAGAAGTACAATTATTAAGTGAACATGCACATGAAATCGAACAAATGGCAACAACTGATCGATTCTTATACGAAATGAGTCAAGTAGAGCATTACGAAGAGCGTCTAAAAGGTTTATATTATAAAAAGAAATTCAATGAAAGAGTGTCAGATTATAGAAATCAGTCAGAAAGTGTTATAAAAGCATCAGAGCAAGTTGATAAGAGTAAAAATTTGAAAATAATACTAAGCGTTGTTCTTGCTATGGGTAACTACATGAACCGTGGACAGCGGGGAAACGCAGCTGGCTTTAAATTATCATCTTTAAATAAACTAGCCGACACAAAATCAAGTGTCGATAAACGAATTTCGTTGCTTCATTATCTAATTGAGAGTTTACAAATAAGATGCCCACAAGTCATGGAAATTCAAAATGAATTAAGTTCTGTTAAAGAAGCTAGTAAAGTTGAAGTAGCCGAATTGGAAAAGGAGATTAGGCTATTACGAAAAGGATTAAGAGAGATCAAACTGGAGACAGAATTTGAGAAGAAAAGGGATTCGAATGACAAGTTCTCTATTGTAATGTCTAATTTCGAAACAGTTGCCAATTATAAATTGAACGATTTAGAGAAACTTTTAATTGAAATGAAAGAAAAATACGCAAAAGTATCTAAACTATTCGCCGAAAGTGAAACAACACCGCAGGATTTCTTTACTGAATTTGATCTGTTTTTAGTTTCAATGAGTGAGGCTCAGGCTAGTATGGAAAAGATTAAGAAACAAAAAGAAGAAGAAGAGAAACGTAAGAGAATTATGGAAATGCAAGCTCAACGACGTAGCTCTCGAGGAACATTACCTAGACCACCGCAAGACTTGGAAAATAAAGGTTTGACCTAATTTTCGTTTTATTTTTTATATTACTATGTTAAAACCAATGTCTTCAATCTGTTTTTATTATTTTTTTATTTTCTTATAATTTATTATAAAACAGCCGGCGGAGAATTCGACTCTATGATATCGGCCTTAAGATCAGGAGTGGCCTTTGGAGAAGACGTTGCAAAAATGAAAAGAGGAACAAGGAAGAAATCTTATCAAATCGATCGTGAAAGGTCGTCTTCTAGGGAAAAAGTGAACTGCCGATAATTGTATAGCAATTTTTTTCTTGGCTTTCCTTCTTTTTTTTAATACTAATTGCAAGTTGAACTATTTATTATTCTTACAGTATATGCAGTACGGTGCTGCCTTTTTTTTTATAAATGATTTCAGTACATTTTACGTGTTGTTGTAAGAAAATCTAGTCACGAAAATAACTGATTGATAAAGAATACAAAATAATATAGAAAATCTGGTAATTAATCTTAAAAGATTCATTATTTATTTGCTCTCTCTACATAGCCGATTTATTTTTGCCTATAACTACGAAATTTATGATTTGGAGTAGAGTATCAAAGAAAAAAAATAACCAAAGGATGAGTTGTTTACATTCTTGTAAGCTTTCTTATTGCGCGCATTTTTCGCATAAAATATCACTTCCACTAGGTACAAAGCCTTGACCAACCAATGAAGTTGAACAGCTGCTGCAGGAGAAACAGTTAGTATGCCAGTGTCGGTCTTCGTAGACCACCGCCTTAGATCCATCTAAGCCTATAAAGCAAAGTAAACAGATAACGTAATATTATTATATAGAAATTCTTCTATTTACCGACCTGTAATTGCCGTTGAACAACGGCTGCAAGTTTTTGAAAATAGTTTTGCATAGCAATTTATGCAGTATGGCTGTTCATCTTTCGAAGCGAATTTCTCTCCAGCAAGAGGTAGACTACATTCAGTACAAGTAAAGCAATCTTTATGATAGGGATTTCCTTTATAGCCAACCCCTCCCTTAGTAATTGGTTTTGTGCAGGCTGTACATTTCTGAGAAAATTTCTCCTCATAACAACCAATACAAGTAATATTACCCTCTCTCGGAACAAACGACCTACTCCCAATGGGCTCTGAGCATAAAAAACACACAAAACACTCTTCGTGATATTTCTTCCCATCATATTCAAACTTTTTCATCCCTCCTCTTAGAGGTTTAGTGCAGGAATCGCATCTCATCGCAAATTGTTCCTCATAGCAATTTGCGCAATACAAACTATTCTCTTTAGTGGCAAATGGCTCGTTAACAAGCGATTTTTCACAACAGCAGCAAATAAAACAGTTTTCATGCCAGTGTTTGTCTTCGTAACAAACATCCTGTTGTTTTTTTTATTATTATTAGTTTATTGTTTTTTTCAAGGTACTTTATTCTTTTTCACACGAACAGACACCCATATAAAAGTACTTACGTACTTAATAACTCTCTCTTTCCGTAAAGAAAAACGTTAAAAGCAAATATAGAAAATATTAAAAAATATTAAAACCAACCTTGAATTCTGTTCCAATAACTTTTTGACACGCTTCGCAGGTGTTGGAATAGAGTTTTTCGTAACATTGGACACAACATGAATTCTCATTTCTCATAAGATATTTTTTTCCAGACAACGATATATTACATTCTGTGCAAATTGTGTCGTTGGACTTAACTGATGTTTTCGTCTGCTCTCCACTGCTGTCATCTTCTTTATTTCCACCTACGTCTTTATCAGTTTCACTTAATTTATTTATCGTATTCGAAGTGGGATCAAGATCTCCCTCAAGATTACTGTCTGATTCCTTTAAATCAAATATAAAAAATATTCTCTTCAAACCTATATAGATATTTGAATGGACATATATATTTATATATATATATATATATATATACTCTATTTATATATGCATTTGTCTAGCGAATGACAACGAGATTAATGGAATTTACAGAGCAAAAAGGCGTGAAACCAGCTATCTAGCTCGATTGATCATCGAAAGAAATCTTGTTATAAAAGACATTACGGGGTATTGATAAAAAAAAAAGTCCAAGGCGTGTATACCAAACAATATAAATATTTGCCTAAACTGCTTTGTAGAATCTTTACCATTATAGGCCTATTTGAAAAATATTCTTTTCTCCGTAAAGTTAAATACACATAGATATATATTATATATATGCAATATTTTTGATAATAAAATTAAAGATGTATTAAATATACAGGATTACGACTTATTATAATAAATTAGGTGACTTCTACTTACAGAGATCATCAACGATTCCAATGTACTTTCTATATCCGCATCTGATTTCCTTTCTGATGCCATTTTCTTGCTTCAATCGCCTACCTAGTTGGGATAAATAATAAAAATTCGGTTCTAGCCTGTCAGCTATGGCCTGTATTTGGCGGTATATTTATATAGACTGGTCCACCTCTTATCACGCTGGAGAGTATCGCACTAGACTTCTTATGACTTCACCGAAAAAGAATATATCAACACTAGACGTCGCTACAACCAGTCGAATGAGATTTTATTTGGCTCGAAAAAAAAAAAAGAACGACATCTACTGGTTGAAACGAGAGCTAGTTAGATAATCATCATGGCGGATAGTGAATGGAAGGAGCCTGCGTTTACGAAAGATGACAACCCACGTGGTTTAGTTTGCGAAAGTTCTTTCGCCACACTTTTCCCAAAATATCGGGAAAAATATCTCAGGGAGTGCTGGCCATTGGTAAAAAAGGCGTTAGCCGAGCATGGAATTAAAGCTGAGTTAGACGCTGTGGAAGGCAGTATGACCGTTAAAACTACAAGGAAAACGTTCGATCCGTTTATTATCCTAAAATCTCGCGACCTGATTAAATTGCTATCGAGGAGCGTTCCATATGAGCAAGCTGTGAGAGTATTGGAAGACGACATAGCGAGTGATATTATCAAGATAAAGACACTGGTTCGTAACAAGGAGCGCTTCGTTAAACGCCGTCAAAGACTGATCGGCCCGGATGGATCTACTCTGAAAGCTATCGAACTGTTGACTGATTGTTACGTGTTAGTTCAGGGTAATACTGTATCAGCTTTAGGACCACATAGAGGCTTGAAAGAAGTAAGAAAAATAGTTGTTGATACCATGAAAAACATTCATCCCATTTATAATATTAAGACTCTTATGATAAAACAACAACTATCAAAAGATCCTGCACTAAAAGGTGAATCATGGGATCGCTTTCTGCCAAAATTCAAATCCAAGACAATAAGCAAGAGGCGAAAGCCGTTCAAGAAGCGTACAAAGAAAGAATATACTCCCTTCCCACCTCCACAGAAACCTTCAAAGGTCGATTTGCAAATCGAAAGCGGGGAATACTTTTTAAAAGAGAAGAAAAAACGCGAAAAGAAACATTAATGCGTGAATATTTATGTGTCACTATGTATTGGTTTTTTTTTCCATTTTTTCATCTGCTGCTCAACAATCATTTAACAATTTGCATGCAGTCGAAAGAAAAAAACATTTACAACCCTACTTCTTGTTCTAGAATTTTCTTGATCGCGAGACAAACGATGAAAAAATAAATAGAAGAAGGAATAAATTAAAACGTGATACATTCAGATGTTTGCTTCAACCTTTCTCAACAAATCAGTGTAAAAAGATGCAGTGAACATCACAGGCAAAAATACTAAACTTAGTCAGCATAGATAAAACGTACTGCAAATGCAGAAAAAAGTGCTCGCACAACCAATTTATGTACATGAGATTATTTTTTGCAGATTTACATATTTTATACATAGTTCCAACATATATATGTATATAGATATATATATGTATATAATTTCATATACATATATACATATATATTATATATGTTACATTGTATAAGTATACATATAGAGATTTATAAATACTCTATATATACAGATATTTTATATATACGTTAAAGCAAAGAAAGCAAAAAACTTTAACTATATTGACACATAACAGAGTGTCGGTAAAAGCAGATGTACGCGTCGCAAACTAGACGCCTGAGTAACTCGTCTAATTCGACGTCTTTGGCAGTATGCAGTCTCTCTTTATCCGATAAATACTCCCTTATACGATCAACTAATTTCACTTCGGGTATATTATAACCGTTTTCCTGCCCTGCATAGAAATGAAACGTTTACGGAAAAATCAATGAAACGACTATAAACTGTGCATATACCTTCTCTGTCAGCCATACTATCGAAGAATACCCAAGGCGCCTTTTCCGAACAGGCGGTCTTGCAATATGCAACATAGTGGCTAGTACGGATGCATATAACGGCAAATAATTCCATAACCTCTCTGCAGGACACTTCGTCAGCTGTTAAAGTTTCTCGTCTCGAGTCCAAAGAAGCTAAAGACATATTCGAGCGATACTTGGCATCGTTTGGTGACTTTAAAGGTCTTGGTCTATGATGTTTGCGTCTTTGATGACCATGAGACTGCGAAGTGAAAAAAAAAGCGGGGATTTTATTGAGTGGACTAAAAGGCAGTCTAAGTGACCGCGCTGCAAAAGTCAACTCACTCTGTTACTACAAGGGGCACAGAACGCTATTTTGTCGAGAGAATTGCCGAAATGCGAAAAGCACTCTCGGCACTCCAGGGTTGCAATAGTCCCACATATGGCGCATTGCCGAACGCCTAGATAAGACGAATTCATAAGATTAGGTATATAATAATATCGGCAATTAGATAGAAAGGTACAAGATACTTACTATATTCTAATACATCCGTTATGTCTAGGTATAATGATGGAATTATTTTCGGATACATCTTAAAGTCTTTGCCACATCTCGGCATTTGCAGAATAAGTACCGAAGGAACGCTCATCAATTTTAAGTCGTTCTGGAAGAAACTGAGACCTAATAGGTGTTGTGTATTCGGTAGAACGCAGTCATCTTTCTCAACAAATAACTGATAGTAATAAGCATTTACTCCCGAGCTAAGACGCAGATATGGTGGAGAAACGACAAAGGCTTGCTGCAGTAAACATTCTAAAAATTCTTCAGGATCTGTACGAGAGTAGAAACAATAGTAAAGCAAATAGAAATCGAATGTTGATCGTTTGTGCGAGTATTTTATAAATTGAACCTTTTTCTTCGTTCGTCAATCCCTTGACAGATGAATTCTTATCGAGCATTCCACGTAAATTCAATACTTTGTCGGCTCGTACGAAAAAGTTCCTACATAAATTAAATTCGTTTAAAGAACAGAAAATGAATAATCGAATAATAATAATAATATAGAAAATACAAACTTTCGTAGGGGATTAACAACTGATTCTCTTAAAATAGTTTGTATCTCTTCAAAACAAATAATATCCGCTTCTTTTTTGGGTCGACAAAGAATTTCATCAAATACGGACGTAAAAGCGAACATAGAAAAAAGAGTCGTGTCGAGGTAGCAAGATTTTCTATGGCCTTGAATACCCTTATTTTTGCCGCAATACGGATTTAAATCTGCAATGCAATCGAAACTCAACGGATCTACGTGACCGATAACTTCCGGACAGTCGACGTTGCCGAACGGGGAATGTTGACCAGCACCGTTTCGACTAACTGCATTTTCTTCAAAACGTCTGTCTCTCTGACAGACCTTTAATGGATAAAAAGCTGGTTTGCCACCAGATGTACATTCAAACAGTGACTTTCCCCCCAGAACTCCTTCTCTTTTCGGTGTCGGTTGTGTACTGTTATTTTCCTCACTATTTAGATCGTCCATTTCTAAACCAACAATAGGTGAATTGATGTCTTCTTTATAACCAAACCATCTGGCAACACCAAAATGTGAGCCATCTTCACTATTTACTTCAACCATGGAACCGTAACTTAACTGCGTGTTTAAGGAGGCGGGATCTAAGGGTTTCGGAGATGAGGTTTTGCCTCTTTCATCTGACGACCCACTTTTGCTTGGCGCCTTAGAGGGAGGCTTTGATTGAGGGGGCGTGGCTAGACTTCCTCCCTCACTCTCGCTCGATTGCCTAGCATTGCGGGTGTTAGAAGATAATATTCCACGACCAAGAGATGACGCCAAATCGTCCAGATTGAACGTTTCTGCAGAGAGAGAAAATAGATTTTTCCCTAATCTTATTGATTATAAATTGCAAAACCGTCAATGTTGATTTACTTACCAGAGTCCGTACTTGTATTTGCCGTACTATCGCCGCCACCACTACCACCACCACTTCCAACTGACGCCTTCTTTCTTTTTAACTGATTCATAATCGCGTTTTTTGCGGCTTTCGCTTGCTTTTTTACGGCAGCTCCCGCCCGTTTTTCCAAACTCATTGTTTCAACATCGTCTGAATTACAGTCTTTTGGTAATAAATCACGAGGATTAACTGCTGGAGATAAATTAGCAGAGTGAGCAGCATTTGCTCTACCCTTTGGTCGTCCAACTTTGTCTATAATATTGTATGAGGGGTCCCCTTCCCGCAAGGGCGTCGATATAGATCCGCTGCCCATGCCTGTTCCTCCATTTGTTGAATAGTTCATTGTCGTCGGTGGGGTACGCCTTTCCCATGGTGAATTGTCGGATCGATCAGGCGTTGATGCCCTAATGAAATTGTGTTTACTATTCACATGGTCCTGGGTATTTTGACGAGTCCTCGGTATTGTAGCAGACACTCTCGAAGGAATATTCTTTGGAGTATATTTGGGATCAGGTAGTCCCAATTCCGAGACCCTCATAAGACCCATTATTGGTATGAGGGACGCGTGATTCACTGCAGTCTTAAACAGCTGCTGATCCTTGTATTTTCCTGTTCCAGTGCCAATGGGATTATCCTGGATAAGGGGACATAACAGAGGGCATTAGTAATTATGCTTAGTGGTATTAGTAAATGCAGCTGCGTTACACTTACGAAGTCTACTCCGACCGTCCAACTCGATTCCTTCAATTCCGCAAGGTAACCTATCCAACGAACTGTTCCAAATTCAGGCGAATGGTCAGTCATCCAAACTACTCGTTCACCTTTTGATAAGGGTGGATCGCCGGTTACTCCCGGGGGTCGATCATACACGACAGGTTTTTCCTGTATCGGTGC